GTGGCAATATCGAGCTGGTCCAAGTTCTTCTAGCTGCTGGTGCCGATGTCAATGCTCCACCAGCACATGCAGCAGGGGCAACCGCACTTCAAGTATCTGCAATTAAAGGCTATATCGGAATCGCTATAATCCTTTTAAATGCTAGTGCGGATATCAATGCACAAGCAGCACCAGAGCAGGGAAGAACGGCTTTAGAAGGGGCTGCGGAGCACGGGCGCATAGACATGGTACAATTGCTTCTCAATAATGGTGTTAGGCTTACTGGGTCTGGAGATACGCAGTATAGAAAAGCGTTGAAACGCGCATCAGAGAATGGACATAATGCCGTCAAGCGACTTATTGAGGATTGCTATGAACGCGGAGGGAATGAATAGTTTAGATACGTTCTAGGAACTGGGATTGTGTACGTGGAGACAGTCACTTATTTAATTCAAGTATGCTTTTCCCTAGACCACAGTATATACGATAGCAATCGCTTTTATCCATCTCAACATCGAGCCAGAGCTCGGCCAGCAACAATACTTCTTTTCCACAAAGCCAAGTCGCAAATACAACCCTTTAGCCGACCACTCCTCCATCTTCAACCACCACTATCGCAGCGTCTTTGCTTTTTGAACACAGCATCGCGCCTTAAGTCTTACCGAGAATATCGGTTACTACTAAGTTCAACCGTGCTAAACCTATCCCGCCTAATCCACGATTCGAGGTAGTTATGAACGGACGAGAGCGGCTTTCCAATATACCTCATATACACTAAAACGCCTCGAATAGTCTTCGATCACCGTCAAAGCAAATTGGGAAGGAACCTCCATTATTGTTGAGTATCCGATCTATGTCGGTGATAGGTCGATGGTAGGTGACTCTAAAGGCTATAAAGGGGATAAATTTTATTCGTATTGGTTGGTCAAGGTCGGACATTTGTAGCAAATACTTAACTACAACATCTTCTTCATATGGTTCGAGGTACTGTTGGCCTCGCGCTTTCTCTTCCATCGAGGGTCGTCCGCGAGCACGATGATGGAGTGTAGAATGAGGGACGTTGCCATGATCTGCAAGAGCACGGTATGACCTAGGCACGCCAAGAGGTACGCCTTGCGTTAGGACTTGACTGGCTCTGTCTATATTATCCCGCCGTCGCGATGGTGATGTAGAAGGAGACGGGTGACGGCGCTCCAGTTGCCAGGCACCAGCGTACTGCCGCCTGCCGATAGAATGTTCGAGAAACCTGCTCTTACGCCACACGCGTGATCAGGCCTGAGAATCGTGGCTAAGTAAAATATAGCGAGCCCGGGCGTGAACATAGTATATTTTGACTAGGTTAATGCATATTACTAAGCACCGAAACATGTGGCCCATCTCCTCGCAACGGCGAAACTCCCGGACTGCATTCTTTCCCTCTCTGAGTTTCTTTAAAATTTGGAGCCATATTCTTTCGTTATAGGACCTCTCCCCAAGCGCTCCGAATTTTGAAAAGACTCTAATCGTCGCGATTAAGCAGGGGGGAACAGCCAAAGCGGCGATTGGTGGCGTGATTAAAACGATCAATAGCACAATAAACCGCACTATTTTTCTTGTTGCCAAATGGTCTTTCTAGAGGGAAATAGGTAAAGAAAGTAATGTATTGATAACAACTTTAAAGACTTACTATGAAAAAAATTGTGATTCCAAAACTATAGATTCGTCTCGTTACAGGGTGCGTCTCGGGACGCAGGGACGGACGTTACGTAAATGATTCGACTGAGCTTTGAGAGCAGAGAAGAGACCTGAGAAACAAGCAATTGAACTAAAGATTACGATCACGTGGCATGGCTGATGGTTTCAAGCCTGAAGATCGAGGCTCCAATCCAAGCCTCTTAACTTCCCGTCTTGCATGACGTTTACTTTCTTGAGATCTCAGGAACAACTCCAAATCGAAGCTAAAGACGCGTGACGTCGGAGCTAGACGCGACAATGGAAGTGCTGGAGGTAAGGAGAGTAGGTGATCTTGTCTTTTCTTTGCATAGTGAAGCTTTGGTGTGAAGTACTGTACATTTGAATGTTCAATTCTTTCAATTCTAGACTGCGATCGAGCAGACTCTTCTTTGTGTATACTAAACCCAGGAGCATAACGAATTGTTCGAGACAGAAAATCTGCGACCAGCTTAGACCGATTGCTCTTGTGCCAGCATTGGGTATGCCTCCCAAGCGTAAGAGGTCTTCAGTGGCCACAGACACTGTCTCTACCAGTGGCTTTCTGAACGATACTCCGATTTTACCACCAGGTGCTATTCAACCGCCACCACCAAAGAGACAAGCATCTCGAAGAAGCAAGGTCGATACCAATCCAGACCATAATGCAGATATAGTAGACGGAAAGACTGCTCTCAGAGCAAGTCCAGATGCAGACGAGAAAGGAGAAGCTCTCGATATCAACAAGATCGAGCTGACGACTCCTGCGAAGACAAATGGTGTCAAGCGAGTTGCCAAAAAGGAAGAGAGCGATTCTCCATTGTCAGACATCGAAGCACCATCTCCATCTTCAACACCAGCCAAGAAGCCCAAAAAGACACCGACTAAAAGCTCTCTAGCAGCCAAAAAGGGGTCGGATGAGATCAAAGCTTTCAAGGCCGAACAAGCTGCAAAGAAAGCTGTAGAAGTGAAAGTCAAGAAAGAAGATGATGGAGATGAATGGGACAAGAGAGTTGATCCTGATGGGGACGATGAAGCGCCAGTCGAAGATGTGGATACAATGAAGAAAGAGGCAGCCAGACCACCTCCTGTGAACAGTGACTATCTTCCACTGCCTTGGAAAGGAAGACTAGGATACGTAGGTCGCATGTGGTACTTTAAAGACTTGTACTGATTGAAATAGGCTTGCCTCAATACCTATTTGCGCTTCAGTAACCCACCAGTTTTCACATCACGAACCTGCCGTATAGCCTCGATACTCGAACATCGTCATCCCTTGAAAGATCCATCCCAGCCCGAACATGCAACCAAAAACCGACCTGATAAGACTCAACCAGCATCGGTATTACGCGGACAACGTTATGTGGAGGAATTATGTCTCGCAAACGTCCGAGATCTCCCCAAGATGCTTCGATGGAACCACAAGTACGGCATAAAGTTCATGCGTCTGAGCTCTGAAATGTTTCCATTTGCCAGCCACGCAGAATATGGCTATAAGCTGGCTCCATTTGCCAGTGCAGCTCTCGCTGAAGTTGGGAAAGTCGTAGCAGAGCTTGGTCACCGCGTCAGCACACACCCGGGACAATTCACACAATTGGGTTCACCTCGTAAAGAGGTGATTGTGAATGCGATTCGAGATCTAGAATATCATGACGAGATGCTCTCGCTTCTCAAGCTACCAGAGCAGTCAGATCGTGATGCAGTAATGATCTTGCATATGGGCGGCACGTTTGGCGACAAAGCTGCCACTCTAGATCGTTTCAGAGAGAACTATCGGGATTTATCGCCATCAATCAAACGGCGCCTTGTTCTCGAAAATGACGACGTTTCCTGGTCTGTACATGATCTCCTTCCCGTTTGTGAAGAGCTCAACATACCCCTCTGCCTCGATTTCCATCACCATAATATCATCTTCGACTCAACCCAACTTCGGGAAGGGACGCTGGATATCATGTCTCTCTATCCTCGAATAAAGGCTACTTGGGAAAGGAAGAACATTACGCAAAAGATGCACTATAGTGAGGGATGTCCAGAAGCTATTACAGGACGTCAACGAAGGAAGCATAATCCGAGACCCATTACTCTGCCACCGTGTCCGAATGACATGGATCTCATGATCGAGGCAAAAGACAAAGAGCAAGCCGTGTTCGAGCTAATGAGGACATTGAAATTACCTGGTTGGGACACATTCAACAACATCATTCCCTATGAACGAGACGACGATAACAAGCCACTGCCGAAGAAGGTAAAAAAGAAGAAGACAAAGAAACAGATAGCTGCCGAAATTGACGAGTTTGGAAAGGAGCTTAGTGAAGAAGAAGAAGCTGCTAAAGAGACCATTCCAGATGAAGAGGTAGGGATGGGCGGAAAAGAGAATCGAGTATACTGGCCCGTTAGCATGGAAGAGTGGCTAAGACCTAAGAGACGAGAAGTGAAGAAGAAAGGTGGCGAGGACGAAGCTGAGATGTTTAAGAATCCTACACCAGCGAACTTTGAGGCCAGGAAGAAAATTACCGCAAAGAACAAGGCTCCACTTGATGACGAGGTCAAGGATAAGCTGGAAGAGGCAAATAACCTAGCCGACGTGAAGGCTATCATAGATGAGATGAAAGCGAGACGGGCCGCTGAAGAAGAAGGAGAAGATGACGGCGAGAAATCAGCGAAGAAGACGAAGTCAACGCCAGCCAAAGAGAAGAAGGCCCCGGGAAGTGTCAAGAAAGCTACGCCGGCAAAGAAGAAGAATGCGAAGAACGTTCCAACACCGAGTCTGTCGAACGTGGACGAGGAAGAGGATGACGAGGATTTGAGTATGGTAGATCTTTCAGATGGAGAGGAAGATGAACTTGATAGAAAGATCATGGCTGCTGCGCCGACAAGCGTTTCGGGTAGGAGCAGTGTAAGAGCGAGGGGAAAGAAGATGAGTTATGCTGAGCCTGATGTGGGCAGCGATGAGGAGTGAGCGTTTCGGAAGGTCCGAAAAATTGTACTTTTAGAACTTGGGATAAAAGCAATGTTGACGAAAGTGCTCTTGAGACGATTTCGCAAATTCATTATTGGGTGGTGAATCAGCATTCAAACGTGAAGGCCCTTGCTGTATTTGTTAGCATGCACGAGGAACGATTTCGGGTCGTTTGGAGTCAGGACGGAACGAACTGGAAGACGGGGCACAACCCCATTTGCTTTTCATTTGAGATATTGCACATCTCTAAAGTGAGGCTGCCAAATCAGATTTGTGGCTTGCAGATTCGACTTGTACAGCCCCCAAAGTTCAAGGCTGTGTGTCTGACGCGTTAGCGCCTATCAACAGCATCAACCTTTCAGTTGAAAATCTTCGCAATCTTCTTGATTTCCTTTAGATTATATTCTCGAATGTTTTAATTACTGCTTATATCTTCTTGAAACACGATTGCGTTTGCTCTAATTATATTGAATAGGTCTTGGTACCTTTGCATGCGATTGTCGAGGTCACTTACGCTCAGCCTTGTCCTCGATATGCTTCAAAACACTACTTTGGACGCTCGCTCAGGTTGGGTCTCATCCGGAGACGGCAGAAGCACATCCGATATTCTGTGGAGTTGTTTCTCTGTGTTCCTAGTCTGCACGTGGAGTTGTCTCCATTTGAACGTCCCTAGCATCGAGGAGTCTGAGGCTGGCTGGTACGATTGGCATGGCATACCATATTGGCCTGAACTACCTTTGCTAGAAAAATGGATTAGAAAGATCCTTTGGATGGGAGCTATCGTACTCGCTCCAGAAGTTGGTGTTGCTATGGCCATGAGAGATTTCCTCTCGGCGAGAGAGTCTTTTGCTAAGGCAGCTGTGCAGAATGCTGATGAAACGGGGGAAGACGAGAGAGCAAAGATGACAAAAAGCCATGCCTTTTTAGCAAATATGGGTGGGTTCAAGGTCAAGATATGGTATCAAAAGCCCATATCCGAAAATCTACAATAGGTGCAGATGCTGGAGAGAATATGGAGCGACCTGCTTCGAACACAAACTTCGATATACCTGCACCGACTTTGGTGGAAGGAATCTTGATGAATTATGACGCATTGGGTTAGTAGGTCTATTTAGCAAAATGTTTGACTAACGAAACTTTCAGCATATATACGAGAAATTTGTCAAGACTGCCATATACCGGATGAAGAAGACATCAAAGCACTCAGCAAGCGTGATCCATTTACCAAATTGTTTGCTATCGTTCAATCAACTTGGCTGGTAGTACAATGTATTGCTAGAGCTTCGGTCGGCTTGCCGATTACACAACTCGAGCTGGCCACTATCGCCTTTGTGTTTTGTGGCCTGGTGATGTACGGACTGTGGTGGAATAAACCTTATGGTGTCGAGAGGAGAGAACTCGTCGTGGGTACGACAAACGTGAACCCCTCATGTATGCATGGCAGTGTCGTCCTCCTTCCTAACCAGATTTATCACTATCCATACAACCAAGTATCACATCAAGACTTTAGAACTACACGAACCGAACAACCCCCTTTTTTTGCGTATATCGACCTTAGCACAAATGATCTCAGCCTGAAGATGGCTGCGGCTGCGTTGGCATACCTCCGCGGCTCGAAGCCCAAGAGCCTAGGCACAGAAATTGGATCGCAAATCGCATTCTACCTCGCAGGGACATTATTCTCAGCATTACATATCCTAGCCTGGAACTGGGAATTCCCAAACACGGATATCAAGATTGCGTGGCGCGTCTTTGCAGTCACCGCAACTAGTTTGAATCTGGTATCGCTCTTACTCTTTTCTTTTCCCCTTCCTGATCCATTGGATACTGGTAGCAGCATACTTGGGTGGTGGGCTCTTTTTGTTTGTTACATTATTTCAAGAGTTGGGCTTCTTGTTCTGATTTTTTACTGCTTTTCTTCGATGCCGGCGGGTGTGTATCAGACAGTAGAGTGGACGAAATTCTTGCCTCATTTTGGTTGACAGGCTAGGAGTGACAGGACAGGATATAGAAAGTATCAAGCATGACATTGCATGCTGGTAACATAGTGGCCGAAATGGCGTCAGGTCAGGATTAGAAGAGGATTCCAAGCTATATAGCTCTTTCCAACAAACATACAACAGAATATAACAATCATGAAAAGTCATAACTCATAAGCAAATAGGTATCAAAGAACCCAACAACGATGAATATCCCTGATCACCGCGATCATTTTCCCATCCGATGCCCGTCATACACATACACATCGTCCTCGAAAAATTAAGAGGTATGACGATATTAAATAAGATTTCGATCGCAGTGATCACCAATCGCAATCATTAAACAAGACCGCTCTCCTTAGCTACAGCAGTCTTTTCACTCTCCCTTGGTGGTGGTACGACACCGCCAATCGGAGCGGCGATCTTGACATTTCCAGCCTCGATATCTTTCTGTAACTGATCGAGACGAGATCCCTTCGGTACGCTGCGCCAGGCAGGAAGACCGCTGTCGAATACGTCGTCCATTTCTTCTAATGTCTTTCCTTTCGTTTCGGGGGCGGTGAGGAACATGTGGATGAATGCGGCGCCGTTGAATGTAGCGAATATCATGTACATTTTCCAGTTACTAAGAATCATTAGCTGGAGTATGTAAAGGAGAGGCGGGGTAGATATACATGTTCCACAAAAGAGGCGGTACGGCGAATGCCAGAACGCAGTTCCAGAACCAATTTGATGCTGTTGCGAGAGATACAGCTTTGGCACGGATCTTGTTTGGGAAGATCTCAGCTGGGTAAGTCCAGGAAGTTGGTCCCCAGGTGGTTGCGAAAGTACAAACGAACAGGTATGTCATTGCAACGATAGCTTTCGAGATCGGCTTGTTGTCGTTGACAATCCAACTGATGTCAGAATTGGTTGAATTCTTGAGTGGACCGACATTCGCTTGTCCGTACGAGGCTTGGAGAGCTCCTACGATGAAGAGGAATGTCATCATGAAGAAAGATCCTATGAGCATCGCAGGACGTCTTCCGAATCGATCCAGGTAGATAATGGCGGGTAGTGTGAGGGTGACGTTCAGGATGTATTGAATGGAAGCTGTAAGTAGTGGAGACGCGATATTGGCTCCTTCCATGATGTACACAACGTAATACATCATAACATTCATGCCGCATAGCTGAGACCACATCTGGATTGACATTCCGAGCAAGACTCGCTTCAACATACGAGGCTCGACCAATTGTTTGTAACTACTGATAGCTTCCTCCCGTTCGAATCTTAGAGCTTCCTCGATCTCCTGGTACTCGGCAAGAACCTTAGGGTGGTTGATATCTCCATTACCGTGAAGTCTGGCCATGACCTGGATCGCTTCCTCCCATCTATCTTTCGAGGCGAGCCATCTTGGTGACAAAGGCAAAAAGAACATTCCGAAGAATAGGAGGACAGCCGGCACGATTTGAACCCCCCATGGAATACGGAAAGCAGATGTTGGCTGATTCGGATCATTTGGTCCGCCACCAACCCACGAAGCACCGTATTGGATAAAGTACTGTATAAGAATACTACAAGAAGTTAGTATGTTGTTCACTGTAGACGATACTTCAACACCAAATGGCTATGGCTGCACAAAGCAGACTGGTTTAGACGGGTCTCAAAGTCCAACAAGCGTTGGTGACCTAATACAGCAGAATTGGCAAGAAACGAGGAAAGGGAGAGGAAGAAAACAATCACTTGCCCCCATGTGATAGCCCATTGTTGAAGAGATACTACACGACCACGAATTTCCTTGGGAGCAATCTCTGATTGATAGACTGGGCAAATCGACGAGGCGATACCGACACAGAGACCAGCAACAACACGTCCGAAGCAGAGCATGCCAATGTCGACAGAAGCGCATTGAATACTATATCCATATTAGATCGACTCGGAAAGTCAGACTCAATTACTAACATCGATCCAATCACCCAAAATACGGAGGCGATTTGTATACTAGTCCTTCTGGAAAACCTGTCTGCGATGTAGGAGGAAGATAGTGCACCGACAAGCGAACCAGCTGGCATGGCGCAAGTAATACCTCCCTGCCTGTACGACACTGGGTTTCCGAAGTACCGTTTGTATGCCATTGTTCCTAAAACACCTGACATACTGCTGATGTCGAAACCGAAGAGTCCACCGCCTTTTCAGATCAGCAAATACTCTGAAGACACTCTAGGATTATCAACATCAACGAAAGAAACTTACCAATGGCAGCGAATGAGCAAATGAAGTATACATTACTGGTCTGATACATAATGACGGTCGAGGAACTTCCTCTTGCTGCTTGCACTTAACTACCACTCAGTCGTTTGGATGTATATGAGACTCGAAGCTTGAATTATCAACTATCCCACGACTTCTGAGACATCGAAAAGGGAGATACCATAAAGTGAAGCAGAGGGTGCGAGAATTCGGCCACACACGCGGCGGTGTCTTGCACCTTATAATGACTAGCTTGCTCGCATTTCCCCGAGTATTGGATGGTCATGATACTCGGGACTGTATGGATGACCGGCTGGCACGAGCAGGGGAGCTCCAAATGGACGGGCTGCACATAATTCGCTAATTGCTACCTAGGCGGGCAGAGGGACCCTTGTGGCATCTCTAGACTGGTGACGAGACTGCAAAGGAAGCGTGGTGAGCGAGGGAAAGTCTTGCCTGGGTGGCTCGACGGAATCATGGGCCTTTCTCCAAGTAGGCTCTTTCTGGGACGTACAGGCTGTCAAGGATTATCATAGGCCCCAAGTCTGCTGCTGGTAATTGATGATCAGGGATTATGCAGTGGCCGTTACTCCTCATCCGGCGGCCCTAATGATCCTCAGTCATCGTCTGGCTCGCTACACATCTCTTGGCTTTGTAACCCTGTACTCCTGCACATCAACGACTTTCAGCCCTTACGAAGCATTACTCTGGGTTTGCTGGAATTCCGAAGAGCTCACTCAGCAAACAAGCATTGTAATCTCCATCTTTCATGTTGAAAATCCTTCAACTTTCGAGTTTCAAGGCGTCGCAAACATGCCGTCACAAGCCATATTCTCACTTTTTTTTCCTCTTGTGTGGCTTAATCCACGGTCGATGTCGCCGAAGGAGCGCCGCTATCCACCATCAAACTTAACCCGATCTTCCCCAGTCCCCGCATTCTCCAGCGTTGTGTTGGGGAAGTGGGCCGCTGTGGGCGCTGGACTGCCCCACTAAGCCGCCAGGATTCTGGGGACTGTTCTTTTAGGAACCTTTCGAGTATCAGTCCATGGACCTCACGCGACAAAAGGAGAAGTGTCGGGCCTTCAGTCTAGCGTACTCGTCGGAGCCGTTCGAATTGGAACTGGACATCGTGTGCTGCCGACTGCCTTTGAACTTGTACCCCCTGAAATACACCCTTCGATTGCCTAAAAGGGTTATGAAGCATGTGCTGCCATTTGATCATCTCCTTTTTAGACCATGATTTTCTGATTTTCGGATATCAGCTTAGACTATGACTTCGAAGTGAGTCGGCATCGTGCAGTATTGTACATCGATATACAAGCCAGAACAAGCCACAAAACTAGCAAAGTCTGCGAGGATGTGCTGAGTAGAGGCCGAGAACGATGTGTAATTAGCGAGTGAACCAGCGGCACCGTTCAACGGCAGACAATTTACCGAGAGCAATTAACGTTCATAAGGCAACACAAGCTCATGCTGTGTAATATGATTCCGAGTGGCTCGCGATGGCCGATAGGATTTCTCTCATGATCATGTGGCGGACAAACAACAGGGAGTGTGCATCTCATATCTAAAAGGTCGTACACGTCTGCGGGGTCGTTGCACAATGCCACCAACCAACATGTCGAGATCATTGTGTGTTTGCTGGAACGGTGCTCGTCGCGGTGCATTTCTTGCCGATTGATAACGCTCATCAGATCCGACTAGGTGTTGTTGTCAGAGTCTGGGGATCCATAGAATCGAGGTACCAATGTGGCGTATGCATGTTAAAAACTTTTTATATCCAAGGATCGAAATATTGCGAGTAAGACGGGTGCCCCGCAAGTCAGAAGAGGGGCCTCGCACTCTGGTCGCAAAATTCCCCTGCAAAGACCTATAGAGAAGGCTGTCATGGTCGTTGGCAGCTCACTGGTACTTCGGTACATAAACCGAAGCACATCAAGTGGGCCGACTTGGTTAGCTCACTTTCTTAAACTATCGACCTTCAACGGTACCATCCATTGATCGATCACAAGGAGTGCTCAGGGCTGAGCTGTCAGATGTTTTCTAAAGTTCTATTGAGTTGTTATTGTTGACATATACGACTGCAACGTTGCAAAGCGTCGTTCCTAGAACGATCTGTTGGATATCCTCATTTCTTGGGATGAGGAGATAATTCCTCCACAATGTTCTCCGGATGCTTCCATGCCAGCGCAACATATCTGTGGCGCGATCAACGACGTATTCCTGAAGGCGGAAAGACATTTGTGGGATGATGACCTAAACATACTTGGTATGGCTGCCTCTTGCAGCTATCTCTCCTTTACTGTTGGTGAACTGTATCGAAGTGTATGCCAGTGTTTTGCCAACTGCAATGGCGTCAAACGACATCTCGTGACTGTGTAGGTGTTCAACTTACACTTGTCACATTTAACAACGGCTCTGAGAACATCTCCAACTTGTCCGCCAGAATTGAGATAAGTGACTAAACAAGGTCAATTTCAGCGTGTGCTCTTTAAGCTGCTTCTAGACCGTACCATTCAGGTCCGTCGACACTCCTGTAGCATACAATCCTCTTGATGCTACTGCCAAGGATCCGCCCAGGTCAACTATACCAAAATATCAGCTCTAGCTTGGGTAGGAATGTGTTGATGCTCTACCCATGCTTGCGATGGTACCTCCATGGATGATATTGAGACGATTCTGTAGTGAAGTGAGACACTAGAACTGACTGGGAGACTTCTAGACCCACTGTATGCTCTTTTTTAATATCAAGCTCAAAGTCTACACGTCCAGGTTCTGCAGCAGTGACTCGAAGCTAGAAATGCATTATCAGACCTTGTCTTTCTGATGAAGGACCTGAATGCGTCTAGTGCAACCCATGAAAGGCACTGCTTCTTACATTTTCTCCAAACAGTCTGAAAAGGAATATAAATCAGTACAATGACAAGTATGGAGTATGATAAGCAAAAATTAACATGAACATGAACTTCGTTTGAAGACAAGAAAATGCAAAGCCAACTGGGTTTGCACTTCTCCAAAGTGGGAAGACGCGCTCGTACCTCGGTTCTAGTCCAGACTCTGCTTGGAAGGACTTTAGAACCTGTCAACGCATCAGCAAGAAATACTTCCTCCTCAATTGACGAGTTTCACGTACTGATCGGACAAATCTCAAAGCTGACATGGTGCTCGAAATAATGTGAAAAGGAAGAGAGCTTGCGCAGACAAGACGTCGTCACGGGGAGTAACCTTAGATGGTCCGTGCGCTATCTCCGCGACTTTATGCCAGGCTACGTCGCGAGGCTTCAATAAAAATACAAGTCGCATGCCAGAAATGATATACAGATAACAACGAAAGACTCGAGACTTTGACACTGCCCAAGATGTCTGTCTCTACGTCTGCATCTTTCGAGTACCTGGAGAGGCTCCCTGGAGTCACTTTCAGACGATTGTATCAACAACCCTCAACAGCTCTGGCCATCTTCCGTCGAATGCTGCCTCATCTTGGTATAAATGCATTTCCAAAAAAGAGACGCTTGGCTAACAGTGACTAGCAAAGACATTTGTGATGGCCTTGCTATACATGACTAAACCTCTGCCTTTAACAGATCTCGACTCATGGGTCCACCCAAATAGCAAAAGGTTGTCCGCTTCGCTCTACTTCGTTGACATTGCTGATCCTTATTTAGAGAACGAGACCAAGCACTTTCGCTATTATCACGACTCCATATTGTCACAATCACTGCGCCGAGTCGAGACGATCCCCAAACCGTATCTTTGACCAAGAATTTCGGTTCATCCTTGCGACTGGCCTTGACTGGAGGTGGTGAACATCAATCATTTGGTGTCCCGTCTCACGATGTTCTTGCAAATTTGGACACATCATACCTCGACGACTACGCTAGAGATCAATGGGAAGGCATATTACATTATGTTGTTGCCAGTGTTGCAGAAAATAGGGGACTTGGGAGCCAGGGACCAACTGCATCAGTCAAGAAATTGCTCGAAGCAGGAAAGCTGGTGACGACAGGCAGACATTCCGGAGGTGGGATCACACAAGCAGGCTTCTCGTTCTTGTTGCAAGAGGTTAACGCGCAAGTCTGGACTATGCTTCTCCTCTGGATTGAAAATGCTGAGCACGTTAGTACACCTTCTCCTGCCTGGCTATGGATACTGACCATGCACATAGATGGATTTTGACTCTGTGGAAGTGCTCTCGTTTCTGTTCATGCTTGGCTCTCTTGAACTAGGTCGCGCATACAGCACCTCTACGCTCTCGGAATCCCAGCGTCGAATGCTTACATACCTGGTGGACTTCGGTCTTGTTTATGTCCCTCCCTCGGCATCAACTCAATTCTACCCAACTCGGCTAGCTACCACTCTAACATCTGATGCGACTGCTCTTCGCAGTGTGTCTGCCGGATTTGAGGCTGCTCTTACGGCAGCAAGTGGATCGAAGGGTTTTATTATCATCGAGACGAACTATCGATTATACGCATACACCAATTCTCCTCTGCAGATTGCCGTCCTGGCTCTTTTCACAAAACTCGGTACTCGTTATCCCAATATGGTCTCTGGACGTATTACTCGAGAGTCTGTGGCCAGAGCCATCTCCCATGGGATCACGTCAGACCAGATTATCTCTTACCTTGGCACACATGCACATCCACAGCTAGTGAAGACTTCATCCGCCAACGGCAATCCTGTCCTTCCTCCTACTGTGGTCGATCAGATTCGACTGTGGCAGATTGAAAATGAACGAATGAAAGCAACACCTGGCTTCCTGTTTAGAGACTTCGAGAATTTGAAGGAATATGAAGCATGCGTCAGGTATGCAGACGAAATTGGGGTCCTGACCTGGAAGAGCGATGCAAAGAGGATGTTCTTCGTAACGAGGCATGAGCAATTGAGGGATTACATCAAAAGTCGCAAGACGAAATAGGATTTCGACCCCACTGGAGTATGATCATTATCACTTACGGCACGAACCGCATACCAAAATTTCCGGAGCGAGCATAGCGCGGCGTTGGGGTGGCATGGATTCATGTTTCTAATTCTTGGAGTCTTCACCCCTGGCCATCGAGAGCAACGGTCTTGCAGGTGTACTCCACACCTACTAATAGGGTGAAAGATTATGATCTGAAAGACAAAGAAAACATTTCCACAGCAGAAAGTCTGGACTCACTGCCAGATATTCACTGATTAAGGCTTACTCTCTGAATGGCCGCAAGTCAGAGTGAACTGCGGTTAGAATCACAAAGACACTCGTGGAAGAAGGTAATAAGATGCAAATTCTGACTCATGGATGTTGCATCCTGTATTCGTCCGCACTCGGTATACTCAGTACAATGATCCATTTGACAGCTGGTCCTTTGCGAGGATTCCCCGTCCATCAGAATATCCGGCGCTTATTAGTCCACGTCTCTCCTCCTCTTCTGAGAGTATCCATGTCTTGGCATAACAAGGAGAGGCGGTTGAGCAAAGAAGATAAAGCTCCACTTCGGTATTGGCTTTGAGCAATCGTATCTGGCTGCGCCTGCCGCCGTCTGGTTCCCCGGCTCACTTAAGTTTAGCTGACCCTGAGGAGATCAATCTGTGGGACTGGAGTCTGGTCTCGGCCCGCGCCATTCGATCCGGTGTGCCCAATGAAGCTTCTTTGGGCGCTGATGCTGAGTATTTTGAAGCCTGTTATATTTCCTCTCAATATAGAAGCCCAAGATAACTTTTCTTCTGCTCGGATATCCCTCATTGGGCGTCTGGGCTTCACGCTAACACTACGTCATCGTTTTGGCGGTCAGGGAGCATCCATCATGCAAACAATTGTCTTTCCAGACCGCAGCAGAACATGAAACAAAACCTGAACTCTACCCCCATTTTCTACTCTTCTTCATCTTTTCTAAAGTGAATACCAAAGTGTTATCCTCCCTATCTTTACGAGTATCAGTTGTGAAGGCACACGAGGCGAAACACGCTGATTTTGAGACATCGAACACTCACGTGCAAATCGATTCAGGCCGTGGCTGCCCAATCAAGCAGCGTTGTCCCCTGTCATATGCTCGTCACTCCAAGCCTGTTTCCATTTCATCAACTCCAAGCACCCCACCCAACTTCACACTTGACACTTCCGACGATAAATCTCTTCAACTCCAGCCTCCCCATTAATCTCCTTCGAAAATCCATCCTCAAATACTCTTGCGCCAACCGTTGCCGACAACTCTTCCACCTTCTTGACAACCAACAAGTGCAGCTCGCGCGCTGCGGCAGTAGCGGGGTACAAGATATCGCATAATCACCATACGCCATAACCTGCCAAACCATCTTCTGAGCTCAACGACCAAGTCTCATCCCTGGACAGTTCTTCAAAGGTCACATCCCAAGTACTTGAGCCTGCAAGATGTCACGAGATTATGGATACGGCCGCGGTCGTGGAGGAGAACGATGGGACAGTGAACGCTTCGCTGTCGAGCGAGACCGTGCACGCTTCGAAGAGAGAGACTCCCGTTTTACCCGCACTGAAGACTTCGGACGAGCCCGAGAACGATCGGTCGACGAAATATACGAACGAAGAGGCCCACGAGGCTTCGAAGAAGACAGATACGAGCGACGAGACTATTATGAGGACGACAGAGACTACAACAGATTTGGCCGAGATAGAAATCTAAGTGTAACTATTGAGAAAGAGCGTGAGAGGGATGTATATGAAGCCGAGCCACCAAGGCGCAGCAATAGACCAGCTTTCTTGAGGCGGCAGTCGAGTCTGGATACCTTTGATCGGAAGCCCTTGACTAGATTCGTTGAGAGAGAGGAATATGGTCTACCTGCAAGATATCGACCAGAAGTCAGACCTCCTCCGTTGACACCCATCCCCTTACCCAGGACCAGAGCTCTACCACCGCCAAGACGATTTGCCGAAAGAGAAAACTACGACGAGATCGAGATCGCAGAACCGGACTTCTATGGTGATGAACGTTTCAGAGGATATCCTGAAAGAGTCCGCGAGAGAGAGATCATCAGGAAGAAGAAGCGCAGCAGAAGCCGAGAGAGCAGAGCAAGCCACAGCGTCCGAGGCAGCGTGAGAAGCAGCAGCGTCAGCTCTTCGAGCAGTGGCGGCGAGACAACGACAACGGCTGTCAGTGTGAGAAGCGAGTTCCCAAAGAAGGGCAAAACAAGAATGCCTGCTAGACTGGTGAGCAAGCGGGCAATCATCGACTTGGGGTACCCATTTGAAGAAGAGGTGAGGTTCGCAACTACTTCTGATTGTACCCACTAACGTTTCATAGGGTGAGACAATCATCATCATGAAAGCTTTAGGCCGTGAAAACATAGACGAGGTCATCAAGCTTAGTGAAGATTACAAAGCGAGCGAGAGTAAGTACTGCCTTTCTTTCTAAATTCACTGCCACCCCTTGTTTTGCCCTAAAGTTTCATCAGCGTTATCAGAGCCCTCGACAAATCTAACGACGTATTCTTACAATTCAGAAGTTGAAATGCATGGTGGTCGCTCTGAAGCCGGCACTGTGATTGAAGAGCGCCACGAGGTGTTCACCATTCCACCACCCCCTGCAGCACACCACGCACCACCAGCTCCTCCCGTTCAGATCGTAGAGGATACCAAGATCATTGAACACCGTGCACCATCTCCCCACCACGCCCACCACGCCGGCCCTATAATCATGGATGCCAGACCGCACGAGGAGAGCACCTTCGTCGAGCGAAGGGAAGTCTATGAACGATCCGATCCTATGCCCGTTGGCCCGCTCGTCTTAGCGGCTCCTGATCGTCGGAAGGACGAGCGTGCTATCCGGGCCGAAATCAAAGCCTTGGAAGCTGAGAAGGAAGCTTTACGCGCCGAGAAGCGTGCCGAGAAGGAGATGCGCAAAGCAGACCGCATTCGTCGTGAGGGCCGAGCATCTGAGGGTGATTTGGTTCTCTATGAACGTGACCGCTTTGAGACCGCCAACGAAGAGATTACTTTGGTTCGAAGAGAGAGGATCGAGGAACCTGAAGGAGGTGTCAGAATTGAGAAGGACAAGAAAGGTAGGATGGCCATCAGCGTACCGAAATACTATCGATAGATCGTATTAGGCTGTCCTCTGGTGGGTCACGGCCTCAGGGGATTCAAGATTGAATAAGGCTAACCTAGTTTGCTTGCAGTTCCACCACCTAGATTGGTCAGAGCTATGCTTGCAACTCTCACATAAACTTCATGCGGGAGCTCACAGGACACGAGAAAGTTTTCACATCTGCGATACTAGCGTCCAGAATCCAGTCTGGATCGAGGAGTTGCGAGGCGAATATGGAGCTGAACTTCTTTTCACATGGTCTGGTGCAACGGGAAACATGGAACAGAGCCAGATTTGGCTTGGATATATACGTTTGGAGGACTTGGGGATCGACCCGGCTGGCTAAGGGAAATTTCCATTATTCTTTTGTTGTTCAAGATGTATTTTGATAGTTCTACGGATACAGTGGAATGCGATGAAATCACGAAACTATTTGCATATCATGCCTTTGCCATAAGAACACATATGATTGGCAAGTGCCAAGTCTATTGCATGCCTAGGTAGTTCATTGAACTCCTGAAAAGTCTGCGCATGTGAAAGTAAAGTGACACCAGGGAAGTCACGATGGTTCTCACCTGCTTCATGCATTGTCAGGCATTCACTAGCGCAACTGCCTCATTCACATCTACAATTCTTCATCCAACATCCACATCACTCAATGTTTCGCCCACGCCCGCTGCGACAACGAATTGTTCCCAGCCAATATCTACGATACCTTTCGAGGAGGCACACGCACTATTCTACCGTATTGATAGTCGATACGAGTACGTACCGATATAGTTCGTTTTACCATAAACCTCCCGTCAGCATCACAAGCACTTAGTACGTGATGCAATGCTTGCTTCTCTGCCACAAGTACTACATTCACTCACGATCTCTATACATTCCCTCGATCGCCGTGCTCGAAACTATTACCATTAACCCACCACTCGCCTCACAGCTCTTCTTTTGTGCACCACCAACCATTTGCAACGAAAGCGTGCCTATCCCAGACATCATCTGTGTGGACTACTTGGCTACCTGGTCATACGTTGAAAAATGATAGATCCTGTCACTTGCAGGATCTCGATCGGAACTTTATGATGTTGCAATTACCTTACACTATGACTACCGTGAGCCAAACATGCGATTATTTCTCCTTACGTCCGTTGGCCTCTAGCTCCGAAGATGCTAATCCAGAAGCAGATACCTCGTGGTCCGGATTCATGTGCAAGATATATCACGACTCGTTTTGGGACCCCATAGCCTATGCCCGGCGCCGACGTTACTTTCATGTGCATAATCTCCGGTTGGGATTGAGTACAACCGTTCTTGTTCTATGCTGGCGTTTCCTATCACCAAGAGCAGTACGCAAGACTTGTGGTACAAGAGGTTGATCAGTACCTCGTCTAGGCAGCAAGAATGGAATCAACATCCAGACCAACATCCTGTTACCTCTGGCTACCTCTAGAGGCAGAAGCTTCAATGAGCGAGGTCACCTCTGCGGTGTTGATCCGAGCCCAAATCTTCTTCCATCCTCTTAATTGCCGGTGTATTTGAAAGCAATAGGGGTCAAAAGATCTCAGTCATTTCCACTCTGCTCAGCCAACCTACAGACGCCCTTTTCTATCTTTTATCACAATGCCAATGGGCCACTCATCTATATTGGCTTCACGTGGACCTGCCCGTTATTACCACATAAATAGCACCGGCAAAAGCATCCGCGGGCCGTACCATCTTTCCAGCTCGGGATCTTTAGTAGCGGTGAGAGGTCGGAATGTGCGTACCTGCATATTTTTAGGAGGCCGAAAATGGACTGGCATATTTCTCTTACAGGAAGCGTGCTCCCATAGGCTGGAGCCCAAAACCTTACCAGATTACCAGCCACGAGAGACATCCTTTCATCCATAGCTTGCTACGAAAAAGACAACGGCCTTCCCTGTTCTTCGACTTGAATAGAAAGTTGCACGAGGTGGAAGAATGTCCAACATTTTATTGACTGAGAACTCAGTAGCAAGACGTGAAGTTTCATTGTGACTTGATCACGGTCCGATCTCCACATGAAATGTTCTCTTGCCTGATGACTCGATGACCGGATATGCCGTCATCAATGGCTAGCCAGTACTACACTAGTATTCGAAAGTGGATTTGGCCTGCGAGATTTTTGGGGTCTCTGGCGTATTTGAGTAGCTGTCCTTGGCCTTGTCCTGGACGGTTTCCTAAACGAGGATCCTTTGTACAACTGATATGCCAAGCACCATACCAGGAAGACCTTCGACCCATTCCTAAAATACCTTCGCCGTCTTATATATCACATCTCAGTGCCTCCATCACGTCACAGCTAGGGAAGATTTCGGAGACGCCGTCATGTCGAGAGTACAATGACTATCTTTGACCACCTTGTGACAAGTATACTATACTGGAAAGACAACTCTTACGATGCACAAGCAAGTTTGGAGTAGAGCACATTGATCTCAAGAAGACAGCATAATCGATCGTTGAGATCGGACCTGGCCAGAAAGGTATATAAAGCTTCGATCCGTCGACTCGATCCTGAACCAGATCATCAGGAATTCAGCCAGCAATCGATCCAAACTTCTTCTTCAACCAAGTTCCAGACCTTCAATATATCAGACACTCTCAGCTCCGTTCAATATGCGTTTCACTCCTGCTCTCACAGCAGTTCTAGGCCTCTACGGTGTTGCAAATGCAATTCCAAACCCCATTGCGGCGGCTTCAGTTCCAACCACTGGCAGCCAGGCTCCTTACCCAGCTACCAAGCAGTCTGGCAATAGCACGTAAGTGCGCATAACATATGCCCTCCATTCGTTCCATCCTCACCACACGAACGAGCACTAACACCATCCATTAGCGCCCTAGCAGAATTCGACATCGTCTGGTGGTTCCTATCCTTCGGTCTCCCCACCATATCCTACACCGCTTACGGTAACTGGGGAACATGCTACAACATCCCAGGCCTTTTTGGTGTTGAGACTGGGAGCATCAAGCCGGAGAGCGGTAGTCCTGGTTGTTGGGTCTATCCGAAGACTAATTGTGTCGGCAATTATACTGTTATTGGGCCCAAGGGAGATGATATCTGGGATGGGAGCAGTGGGAGTTTTATTTGTGATCCGCCGGCTTCGAAGTAAGATGTCTTCGAAGACTGGTGCGGTTGAATGGATGGGGATGAGGTGAGGTGAGGTCAGATGAGAAGAGGAAGATCGTGTGAAGCGAGGAAAGGGGGAGGAAGGCTGAAAGAAGTGGAGCAAAGAAGACGCGATAGTGATGAGAGGGAGTGGAAGAAAAGTTTTGGAGGAGGGTCCTAGTTCTCTTAGCGGCACCGTGTTTCATCTGTCCTTACTGCTCTTCGGTTTCTAAATTTTTGTTTTCCTCGGGTTTTTGATTTAGTTTACAAATTGATTTTCGTTCAACACGCTCTTCTGGTCTTACGTTCTTTATGGCTGCAGAATGGGACTTGAAAGGATCATTGAGCTTAAGATATTCTTGTGACTCGGCTTCTTTCGTGACTTGGCCACTTTTGTTGCTTGTCATAATTCACATCATAGGTTGTGAGCAATCGTGACGCTGGAGCGCAAGCAGCGCAAGTAGCGCTGGATGCGCAAAACGCGCGAATCCCGCAGAACGCGCAACAGGCGCTGAAAGTGCATCTTCCGCACCAGCTAATATGACTTGAAGAAAGTAAAGTTCTCAATGGTTTTATCTATATGTTTCATTGATCTCGCTCCTCGCCTCGTGATTGATAGGTATGCTGAGTACAGGTAAAGGAGTGAGAAATGAGGTAGTCAAATTCCATATTGTCGGTTGTGTCTATAGACATTGGACTGTGTTTACTGTTTAATTCCTCTTTAAGAAACTTAAGGCATTCCCAACAGCTTCCTCGACACATAAATTCTAAATCTCATGGTGAGAATAAAGTTATGAACATAGTCACAAGATCATAGCAGACTATCATCGATTTCCTAATGACCGTGGTATCATCTAAAGACTGTATCCTATCCCAACCCAACCAAAAATATATGTAAGCTCGGAAAGCCGCGAGACACCCGTCTACACCGTTCCGATCCTGATCCTGACTCCGTGTGTGTAGTGGAGGTTATGTATGTACGTGTTTCTAATTCACACTCTCTTGCTCGCCAGCTCCGTAAACTCAAACATCAACTCCCGAACTCCTCCCAACATCTGCTCCTTCTTCTTCAACCACCTTCTCAGTACCACTCATAACGGTATCCTCTCCCTTAGCCCCCCAGCTCCAAGGCATCCAGCTCCCACCACCCGAACTTACGCTCCGCTTCGCCGCCCTTCTCTCTTGCCCTCCTACCTCCTCAGCTCCGGACTCAGCGTCTATCTTCTCGAAATCAGGCTCCGATTTACGGGAGCTGAGGCCGGATGGTCTCTCTTCTTCGAGATGTTCCTCGGACCCTGATGAGCCGTCTAGGAACATGTTCTGTACGGATCGAGAGGAGGGAGTGGAGAGGGTAGAGGCTTCTTTGTCGAGGGCTGACAGGAGGATCGAGAGACGTTCTCGTTGGGCTGAGATGAAGGAGAGGCGTTCTTCGCCGCGGACGGAGGGCGGGATTAGAGTCCCGGAATTGGATAGGTCTTGTGGTGCTGCTGCGCGAATATTGGTGTTTGTTGTTGCGGCGGAAACTGCAGAGGCGAGAAGGGAGTAGAAATCATTTGCCGTGCTGCCGCTTCCTGTTGGGAAGGTAGGACGAGCAGATGGGATGTTGAAGCGTGCGATGAGGGATTGTGTGTAGGAGTATGGGGTCGGTGTTGGCGGGGGAGTGGGCTCTTTGGGAGGGAGGCCCAGGATGTGGGTCTTTAGGAGCTCGATGGCTTGTTTGAGGTAGGTTATTCCGGCGGATTTAGCGCGGTCATGGGCCGAGGAGATGAAGTCGTCGATGGCGAGTTCGTTGGTTAGGAGGAAGGGATGGACGTGTTCTTGGTAGAGGACTTTGGCGCCCTGGGTTTGGGGGAGGATTAGGTAGAGGAGGAAACCGAGGCGGATCCAGGCGTAGAAAGGGATCCTGTGAAGAAGTGGTTAGAGAGTGAGCTTTAGAAGGGAAGAGTGGAGATGGTACCAGGTTAGGATGAATCCGGTCCATGATTCAACGAATAATGCGATTGCGAGCACGACCCAGTACATGAGCCATGGTTGGAGAAGCGCGGGATCATTCGTCTTGAGAGCTTTGTAGGAGGCGAAGACGGGGAAGAGAAAGGTAGGGACAGAACTGCAAACATGTTATGTTAGAATCGTGTGATGCTTTGTTATTGTATGTCTGGGTGCAGATGAGGTGGGATGACGATGGCGGGGTATTTGCATGCTTACGATAAGAGGTTGGCGAACGTTGCGAAGAACATGATGGCAGATTCGGAATTTGCTTGCGAAATCTGCAAGAGTGTAGAGAATCAAGAGAAAGACGACTCGAATGGTCGTCTTGATGTTGGAGAGAATTAGGGACAATGGAAGAAGAAGAGGAGGTCAGCACCGAGTCAGGGAAGTCGTCAAAGAGGAAGCTTAGCGATGTCTCTTATCTGACAGCTTGGACCGGAAAGCGAGTTCTGGTCTCGTGGGCAGCAGCACGCCTCTCTGTTCCTTTGTACATTCGTTTCTCTTCTGCCTAATGGATAATTGATTGTCGAGAATTGTCTTTATGGTCGAAGCCACGTAAGGGTAATCATGGTATAATTATTCACAGTCGTCGAGATGTGATTCCATGCCACCAACAAACATCGAAGCCTGAATCTTCCGACTTCTCTTCTTCATGATCATCCTCCCTCCTTACTGTATCCTTGACCCTCATTCTCCCTGGTCAGGTCATCTGCAGCCCTGCCTGAGTCTCAGCCGAAGCCGCAATCAAACATGCTGAATTTGCCCCTGTGGCTGCAGGTCACGGCCGTAGAGGATGCCAACGGGAATGGCTAAGACCACCCAAACCCGTTTCTCGGAGTCGTTCTGGTGCCTGTCAGTGGCCCATCCAACCAGTGAAGCGGAGGTGGCTGAACTTCTGGACCCTCACATCACCAGAAATCACCATACGGATTCCTCAGACCATACTGCCAGATGCAAGCTTGTGACGCAAGATAATTGCTGCAGCATCACTTTCCGATTCACGGTATGGCTGCGGGCTGGCTGCACTTCAAAAAGGGTCCTTGCTCGCACTTTCCCCCAATTTCAGAAAAAGGAAGTAATTTTAACTATTTTACTATTTCACTCTTCACTTGAATCCTGAGGTTTGACTGAGAACCAAGACGTTCTTCAGCCACACAAACAATTACCTACCTCACCCCACACATCATTGCTGAACACAAAAGAAGAAAAAGGAAAGAAACCATGTGTATCGTCCTAGTAACCACAGCACACCCCTCCTACTCCCTCATCGTCATCGACAACCGCGACGAATTCATCATCCGCCCCACGAGCAGACCACACTGGTGGATCTCGCACCATCAACAGATCCTCTCTTCTCGCGATCTGCAACGTGCAGAGCAAGGGACGTGGACCGGTATCACGAAAACGGGCAACTTTGCCGTCCTGACGAACTATCGGGAAACGAATACCCACGATGCGGACCACCCCATACAAGGCACGAGGAGTAGGGGCGGTATGGTGACGGCGTGGTTGACGGCTCCGAATGATGAGAATACGCATGCGTTTGTTCACCGCTTGTTGGAGGAAGGAGAGGGCGTTGCTGGTGTTGGGGGCTTTTCGTTGTTGTGTGGGAAGTTGAGGAGGAGGAGGGATACGAAGCATGAGTTGGAGCCGTTGGCTATTATTTCGAATCGGTGTGATAGCTCTGAGGACGTGCCATGGATTGCGGAGAAGAGAGGGGAGGTATACGGGTTGAGTAATACTTCTTACTCGGATCCTGACGTCTGGCCTAAGGTACAGATGGGGAAGGAGAAAGTGTTGGAGGTGGTGGAACATGCTGTGGACAAGGGGTTGGAAGAAGAGGAATTGATCGAAAAGCTCTTTGATGTCCTGGATTCGGATACACTACCCGAACAAGACGGCCAAGACTTCGAGGCGTATATAATGGAGCTCAAGAAATCCATCTTCATCCCCGCCATCGGTCAAGCAGCAGAACCTCCTCTCCCTGCAGATTCCATCGCAGCAGCAGATCCCCATCTCGCCAAAGACTGTGAAGCAGAGCTACAAGAGAAAGAAAGACCAGAGCCCAGTCCAGCGATGACGGGGATTTATGGCACACAGAGACAAACCATCATATTGGTAGACTGGGAAGGAAATGTAACGTTCAGGGAACGCTCGTTGTGGGATGAAAAGGGACACCCGATACTGAGAGGGGAAGGCGATATGGATTTCCGGTTCAAGATCGAGGGGTGGAATGGTGAAAGTAAGGGGAACGAAGTCCATCCTCTTGCTGTTTTGTAGTGCTGATTGATCTTGACAGAGAATGGGTAGTGGTGGTTTGTGAATAGTGGGATAACGTGCCGTCTAGTTCGCGCTGCATATATGATAATGAATTATGTCTTTGATTGCGGGTTCTTGGCTTAGTGAAGCTTAGACGTCTTTCCTTGTAAATGCGTAATTGTGGCTTGATATCATCGGTAAAAATAAGTTTCGTCTGCTTGTAATACTGGGAAATCTTAGTGGTTTCCGTAGACGCTTTGCTGCTGTAAAAGACTTAGATCGGGGAGCTCCTCTATTTGTAGTGGCGTCTTTATGAGTTCGTTGCCAGCATGGTCATCTTAGTCAGAGTAAAACCATGATAGACCGTTCTTGCTACAAGAATGAGTCTTCTTTCATGCTCTTGCCTCACAGAGCTCTTTGACCCTAGATTTACTTAGTGGCAATGTTGTCCAATGCTTGCTGGGTGGTGTCATGAGGTTTTGGTTGGTTTTATGTCCTTGTTCAGATGTTTGTCGCATTTGTGTTTGCCCTCTGTTTATCTGAGGATGTTGATTTGGGTCTTGGTGGTTTGGTGTGCAGAGGAAATGGGCATGCTAGGACATATAGGTAGTCCATGATATGTCTCTCTGTCTGTATTGCAGGTTTGCTTGTTCTTCAAATTGGCAATGGTAGCTTGGTCGCGGGAAATGGAACATTGGATCTCGGAAGTGGTCTGTGTTGAGTGACGCTGTTCTTCAGTGTTTGGTAGATACTGATAGAGCTTCGAATCTGCTACCAAGATCTATATCAAGTAGTTCCTGAGGTAACTCGTCTGGCAACGTTCGTGGGAATCTGAGAAGTCTCCCCTAGCTTCTTGTAATCTCAACTGCTTTGTGAAAAAAGCAAAGAAAAGCCTAATCTGCCACTTCCGCAAGGCAAAGCAGTGTAGTGGCTTGAATCTGGAGTGCTCGAGAGTCCCGTAATTCATTATTCAAAGTAGCTATATATCCCTCAATCATGAGATCTGGAAATAGATCGCATAAACTCTAATGCTGTACTCGAACTCGCTCAACTTCAAAGAAGAGCGGGCTCATCTACGGACCTCGCTTAAAAAGCACCTCAAGTACAATTCAAAAAGAACGAAAAAGACCCAAAAAAAATCGTACAGGTCAAAAGCAAAAACTTAACCCTCCTTCAGGAGGGTGTCCAACACCACAGCTAGTGTGGGGTTTAAAGGGGGATAATCATCTTTGCGACATTCGTATTTCAAGCAATCACGAGAATATAGAGAGGCACGATCACTGTCGCAAGCATCTATATCCTGGTTGCCGCTGTCTCAGAGGATGATGGCAAAGATTTGCTTATTTAATTCTATATGGTATTCAAAAACGTGAAGGCTGTGATTGGTCGAAGGCTTAGCGTGGTTCTAGCGAGCGAGATGAGCAGACGTAGTGACTACATCGATAGCAGTATCTGCTCACTTGCGCTTTTGAGTCGGAATGTATTGAGCCTCAATTAGGTTGATTTGTACCTCCTCCTTTCTGAATGTGACATCACTTCTCGGCGTCCTGTTCCTGTTATGGACAACCGTAGCTAAGATAACTCAAGTAGGGAAGTATCAAGAGCCATCCACGTACTCCGACCCTCCTGGTATCTTCCATACAGTTCTCTGTCCTCTCTCGGATCCGGGTCCAGAGCTCAAGCTCGTATAGACTCTGTTACCATGCTTGAGCTTGTTCCTTTCCAATTTGGACCTCACTTCAAAGCATTCTTTCCGGTAGCTTTGGAGGAATAGAAGAGAGCCCTCCGCATATTTCAATCCTACATCCTTCTGACATGTCTCTATCGTATCTTGTCTTGGACTCGAGTCCGGCATACATAGCTCTCATACGATGGCCCAACTTGTTCTTTCCTGATTTGGCTCTCGCTTCTTCTTATCATGCCTAGATATGCATAGGTAGACTACTTTCGCAACTTGCCCTTGGGGCAATATAAAAGAAACCTTTACGCATTTCAAAAGTCCAACCTTCTTACATACTTTCATCTCCTCTCTCGGCGTCGGTTCCAGCACCACTAGCTCTGCTACTGTTGTTGAACTCGTCCTTTCCTAACTTGGTTGTCGCTCCTTCCTATTATGGACGACTCTCGCTAAGGTGTCCTAAAAGTAGGTAGTATAAAGGAACCCTCCACGGACCTCAAACCTCCATCTTTCTTACATACTTTTTTCGATCCCCTCTCGAACTCAGGTCTGGAGTACATAGCTCGGATGAACTCTGATTAGGTGCTTGAACTCGTTCTTTCTTGATTTGGCTTTCGCTTCACAGCGTTCCTTCCTTCATTAAGCGAGAGACTTCGCTAACACAACCTTGTAGTAGTATAAGAGAACCTTCCTCGCCCTTCAAACCTCCACCCTTCTTACACAATTTTTTGTATCCTCTCTCGGACTTGGGTCTGGTACCCATAAACCAAGGCATGCCTCTTCCTGTCTTGGATGACCTCGAGGTCCTTCTTCCGGGCTCTGGCAAGTCTCGACACATGTTGCGCTCTTGATCTCTTGAATAATTTCTCACATCGATTCAATCTGGAAGATATAGGCTTGTTGGGCCATTCTTCGAGGAGATTTGCGCTAGCCACTCCCAGTGAAGTATAACAAACCCGCTCTTCAACCTTGATTTTACTTACATGCTTTAGTAGGTTTGCTTGAGACCCAGAAGCAAGGTCCGCACACTATGTTCTCTCACCTTCCACATATGTACCATTTATATCGGACATAGAAGTCCTGATAGTCAGAGGACGAGGATTCCAACACATCCCTAAGCCGACAAGCTTCTCCAGTGTGCTTTGGACTCTATGATCCAAACATGACTGCCACTTCCTGTCCTAGAAGTACTTGGACGCTTTCTGTTCTTCCAGGCAGAAGGCTATTTGCGCAAGTACGCTCTCAGAGGAGCATAAAGTGAGCTTGCTTGAGGTTCGACCCACGTCTTTCCTACATGCATTCTCTCAATCTCCGTTGTACAATATTCCGCGTTTCCTCTGAAGCCAAGCCAAACAACCATGGGCTTGACATCTTGTAGTTCCCGCAATACTCTAGGAATCTTGAGGCTTTCAATAGTCTAGTCTCACAACACCAAAGTTAATCCAAGCCTAGGCTCTTGAGGTCAGTGTCTTGAGATATCTCCTATCTAAGAAGTCTCGATGGACTCGAATTAGGATGCTTTCAACAGAGCATAAAGACGATTTTGCATCTCACCCCCTTCATTACTATTGGAAGTGCTTCCTGAACACTGGTTCCAATGCTCAATCATTGCCTGTTGGACCTAGACCATACAATGTCTGCATATTGTTATGGCTTCAGAGTACACGCTAAACAAAATCAAGACACAATACGTCTTTGAACAAGGTACGTGAAAGTTCTTTATTGGTTGACATTTTTACGATAGATCATGCATTTCAAAAGGACAATCAAAAAATGTAGGCTGACGCAGAATGTCCTTCAGGTTATGGGTATAAGAGAGAGTGTTGACGTTGAGGAACTTCAGCAATGCAGGTACCCTTAGTAAGTTCCCATTGACTTGCTAGGGAAAGTTCTCATAGCTGAAGCTCTGACTACGTAGGTGCCTTTCACAGTCCCGTGATCCACGAGAAATAAATAAACGAATATCAAAATCGATCTCCTCGTTCCCCGTCTCCGCGATCTCCAAGAAATTTCAACTCCTGCTTCGTCCCGACGCGCACATCAACGTTTCATTTGAAAGCTCTAACTTGCTGATTACTTCGCTTCCAAAGAATCTTCCGGTTCCCTAATCCCCGTCGACGACTAAGCCAGGTCGCGGTCTAATCCAAATACAGCCGTTGGCTTCGCAGCAGACCCGCTTTACTATCGCCATGTCCTACGTTCCTATGATGAGTCGGAAGGACTCTGTGTCTCGACCTAGTCCAGCTTCTCAAGCCAGTTCTCTTTCTCGATCCACGTCCTCGAAGCAATTCAGCAGCCTTCCTCGATCTACGTTGATTCCTCACTCGACCTCCCTGACACAGTTCAGCAACCTGCCTCGCAGCGATTCGATCCTTCGATCCAGCTCTTTGGCGCAGCTCAGCGATCTCTCTCGATCCTCGTCCTCGAAGCAGCTCAGCGATCAGTCTCCATTCGCGTCCTCGAAGAAGTTCAGCGATCTCTCTCCATCCGCGTCCTCGAAGCAGTTCAGCAGCCTTCCTCAATCCACGTTCATTCCTCACTCGACCTCCCTGACACAGTTCAGCAACCTCCCTCGCAGCGATTCACTCCTTCGATCCAACTCTTTGGCGCAGCTCAACCATACTCCTCCATCCAAATCGTTGTCTTTGTCAATTCCTTCCACGCAATCCAATAATCTGCTTCGGTCCAACTCGGTCTCTCAATCGAATCCGTCTACACAATCGGCTGAGCTCCCTTCGTCCAATTCGATCTCTCACTTGAGCCCGTCTGCGCGATCCAACGATCTCTCTTCCTCTCCGATCTCTCAATTGACATCTTCTACGCAACACGAGCATCTGCTTCAAGCCAAATCAACTTCTCACCTGAGCCCCCCTACACAATTGAACTTCCTTCGGTCCAATCCATTCTCTCACCCAAAGAATTACGCGCAATCCATCACGGTCCCTTCGTCCAATTCGATCTCTCACTTAACCCCCTCTGAGCATCTCGAACACCTGCTTCAGGCCAGTTGCATCTCTCAACCAATCCCTTCTCTACAATTGAACAGTCTTGCTCGATCCAATTCGGTCTCTCAGTCATACACTTCCACGCAATCTGCCAAGCTACCTCGGTCTACAAGCATCTCTCGAATTCCGCGATACACACAGACAACCTCACTATCTCCGCTCCCAGAGATTCCGTCAAACAACATGGCTCCATCGGATCGCAAGATGAACGTGATCAATATGACAACCGCAAATCACGAGAAGTGGACGGACATATTGGAGGCTGTTGACACGGGCAAGCCGGTCACCTTTGCAATGTCTGAGCCGTACAAGGTTACTGGAGCTCAATCAAATAGCTATTGGTCCGGCCGATTCATGGCCCTCGATTCGAAGATTCGAAACGAAGCTTTCGATCAGAAAATCGTCGATTACAATTCGGAGAAGTTGGACCGGGCAATTGCCAAGGGCGACGAGGAGATTGACGAGGGAGAGGTTGAGGCACTCAACCAACGTTGGCACAAGTCCCGCCTCAACAAAGTAGTTGACGGCTACACCAAGACGGTCGAGATGAGAATGACCGACGAGGAGTTTGACCGGACCGTAAAGGTCTTTAAGCAATTGGGGAAGGAGTGCGGCGACAAGGCCGCTGAAACCAGTAAGTTCACTTTTCTCCTGTATATTCAATCATTTACTAATGATCTGCGAATCTAGGTCTTTCAGACTGGCAAGAATTGTACGCCCGTACAAAGGACACCCGGGAGCTCCTCCCTGTGGGAGGATTCATGACCGACGGGGAGCGGAGGGCGTGGGAGACGAAGACGCGGATGGAGCTTCGGGCTCAACGGGAGTGGAACCAGGCTCGCCACCTGGCGGAGACAGCGGAGAATGAGGAGGCGACGGCCGCAAAGGCTGCCCAGAAGAAGGGGCCTTTGGCTCGTGTGTCCGACTTTTTCAAAAAGTCTGGTTAGATTCTGGTGTCTGTCTGTCTGTCTGTCTGTGCCGGTGTGGCTTTTCCTTTTGTTTTTTTGTTAGACTAGATACCCGGTGTGTGGTGCTGCTCTGAATGCAGCTTTTTAGATTCCAAATTGTCTCAGCTGTTGTGGTGTGCTCGTGTCGTGATATGTTCTGGAATTTAAAAGCAGTTGACAACTCTAAAAACTATTCTCTAAGATTGTCCCAAATATAAGGGACATCCGTACGCTGCTTCCCTCGTATCTCATATCTCGATACTTTTTTGTCTAGCTCCAGATTAGATCGAGTTCAATTGTCCAAGCTTACGGGTACTCACTGTCTATCTACTTTGCACCCGGATCTGGCCACTAGTGCCTCTCGCTTAATTACCCCCTATCACGTGAACTTTCCGAATTCCAGATTTGCACATTTTGGATCTAGTTTATAACAACACATTGAATAGCAAAATAGATCATTTAAATGTCCTAGAGTCTTGGAATATCTGAGAACTGGTTGTTTGGTAGTCGAATTTTGAGGATTCTGCTGTACTAGCTCCTCTGCAGAAGGCGATGCAGATTCTCTCTTGGAACGTTGCTCGATGACCTTGAAAAGCAGTGGACTTTGAGAGCCAATATGTAGGTTCCGCGAATTGGAATACCAGAGGATGTTTCCATTCTAGAAGTTTGATTTAGAATGATCTAGGATACTCTAGACAATGGTTTTGAGGACTGTTGAGGATCATTTTGAGTGTCCTTTAGCCTTTGAGGACATCTCTTGCGCATTAGTTAGTGAGCTCGAGTTTCTGTATTTCGATGTTGAAGAACTCAAACTTCTTTGGTAAATATAATATAGTGTTTCAGCAGTATGTAGGAATGTGTTCTGAATGTCGTTTTGTTTGAAAGAACTTTTCCTACCCAGAAGTAAGAAGCAGCAAAATGTCACTTTGAAAGCTAGAACTAGATTCTCAAAAGGATAAACAAAGCATTCAGAAACTTGCATCAAGTTGAGAGCTCGGCTCTAATGTCCTTCCTTCTCTAAGCACCTTTCCGCTTCAATAGTTGACCTATTCCAAGACTTGACTTAGGTATCTGAAACACACTTTGGAGAAATGTAATTAATCATGAGGCAAAGAGTGTCGCGGGTGTGAGACTCATGGTTCCTACCTCGAGACCTGGGATTGACGGTCAAGCTTACTTCAACCCATGTCCGTTAATGCGGTTGATCTCTTGCGTTCAACAAAGTAGAGGCGTTTTCACCCCTAAAATTCTCGAATGTTTGAGTTGCTCGAATTATGTCGCTTATCAAGCTGAAGCTGTTGGAAGTGTGGTTTATATTCGTCATTGTAATCCGAGTCCCAGTCCTACTGCAAATCCCAAAGCAAGCAAGTGTAATGTCAACTAGCATGATCGAATCAAGTTACTAGTTTTAGTTCTATCTCGATGTCCTTGTTTTGAGAATAGTTCAAGTTATCATAAGTAGATACATCTTGAAGACACTACTTTAAGGATATGAGCCTCTCTTAATGTCAGAAAGTAACGCTGCCATCGTGGTAGATTTCGTCAATTGGCTTGGGTTGACCCCATGGTCAGGGCTGGCAATGAGGTTTGCTGGACATGAGCCTCCATCATCCGGCTTCTGACCATCCAAATCTCGCTCGACAATGTCGTACATTTTGCAAAATTATCCGCTCCGTCACCTCAATTCCTTTCCTTTCTCCTTCAGAGTCTGCAATTGAAGTACCGCTACTTGCTCCCTGACCCTTATGATAGCCCATTACAGGAATCAGGTTATGATAACTGTACACATAGCTTCACAAACACAACTGTCCTCTTGCTGAGAGCTTCAGCTTAGTTTTCTTCCATGTCTGACGCAGTTTCTGTTCACATACATAAGTCAATCTATTTCGAAAACCCTCTTCGCATTGCTATACTACTTTCTCAAGAAGTGAAACTTGTATACTCAAGGCAACAAGGTTCAACACTTCATACAAGCAAATTAATGCTCACTTAACCACAACCTGACAAAAAGTTCTCTACCCAACAGCATGAATCTCTGAACTTGGGCAAAATGGTCTGATTACCCCCAAGAAAGTGTAACCTCTAACAAATATGTCAAATAGCAAGAATACTTCACTTTAGAACAACCGTCTCCAAATGTGAATTATTGTCATTATTCTAGACACTCAAACGTTAAGACATACAAGGTCTTCTTTCTTTTGGTTCCGATGCGGGTACCAAAGAAGCCAAAAATCGTGAAGTGCTGATGTGTGTGTATGGATGGGGGTAGCAGGTCGGGTGTGGGTTGATGGGTGGCGGGAGAGGGATTGAAGGATTGATGGAGGGGTTTGGTGGATGGCAAGAGAGATACGTGAAGATTTAAACATGACAACGACGCTTAGAACTTGACAACAGTGAAATAGATTTTGTGGTAATATTACGTGCATAAGGCACATGCTGATGAAGGGTCTAATCAGCTAAACCAAGTGCCGACAGGCAAGCTTGACTCCAAACACCCGGCCCCCCAATCATCGCCCAAAAGGGCGCGAGAACTTCTTTAAATTTTTCGACAGCTGGGCACACGAGAGCGCGTTATACGATACTAAACGTTCTCCCTTTGTCCCGACACGAAATTCACTTCTATTCTCCGCACCATATTCACCAAAATTCACCGTAATCAGCCGTGGATGACGCACCTCACCTCTCCACACCGAAGGAAGACGGCCTCGCGAGGTATATATATATCGTCTCCCCCCGCCTTGACACAAACCCACATATCTTGGATCTCGCTTCACGACCGCTTGACCGGGAACTTGGTGACGGGAGGGTGACCCGGACGACAAATACTCCGGGTCCTGGGCTGTGTTGAATCATTCGAGATATTTACAGGCCGCATTTGAACCAAGTTGGATTTGCAAGTGTGGTTGGTTGCCAGCGGTAGTTGGAGGTGTTGACAATGGGTGATATATTGGCAGCAAGAGATTGGATGACAACGATAGTGGGAAGTGTTAACAATAGATAATACATTTGCAGCAAGAAATTAAATAAAAACAACAGCTTGACACAAATCCACATCTCTTAGATTCCGTTTCACGACCGCTTGACGTGGAACTTGCAAATTGAGAAAGTAATTGAGACGACGGCGGCCACTCCGGGTTCTAGGCTATGTTTAAATCATTCGAAATGTTTACAAGTCGAATTTGAATCAAGAAATTTTTGCAAATAGTTGAATAACCGCAGTAGTAGGAGGCGTTGGCAATAGGTAATATATTAGCAACAAGAGATTGGGTAACAGCAACAGCTTGAAAGTGCCAAGCAAAATATATCAAATCCAGCCTCCCCACCACTTTAGCCTCTTCAAATTTCCTCTGTCTGTCATAAAACCACAACAACGCCACATTATCTGTCTCTCAATTATCCACAAAACAATGAATAGTAACTAACGGACGACAACCTACATACTGCTTGAAGTCAAGAGTGTCTATAAGAACACACCCCTCCCTATCTCGATCACTACCTGACTGCTGGACTTCCTCATGTAGCTTTCATACGTGCATGAATTCTCATTACAGTGTACATCCTCTAAACTTAACAACAAATCTCAGCAACGGCAAAAAAAAGTCGACAACAGAAATAGCAAAGAAGCCAAACTCTTAACACAAAAGCAGACGTAGCTAACTGCCCTTTACATCACTTCACTAGAAAACACTTCTTCAGAGCCCCATCCTATCGCGGGCGGGACGGGCCCCCACAAACCGCGAACATCCACTGCACCGATCTCGCCTTTCCTAAAAGCGTTAGGTCGTTGGAGGAGGGGAGCTTATATACCCGTGAGAAAAAGATCTTGGCTTGACTTACTGTCATTCACTCATCAATCTAATTCAGCTGCCGGCCTTCGATCACGTGGGGAGGCTCCATCCCCTCCCGGCTTCTCAGAGCTTGCGAAGGTCCGTCCCCGGCTATTGCACAGGATTGTTCACTCATAATGCATTCTCTGGTTAGGTTTAAAGCAGTATATAACAACTTAACTCCTGCTTAAAATCAAGATCCTCTATAAAAACACCTATCTCGGCCATCAAATAGCATCAACCCCTCAAGAGTTTTTTCGAGGCTTATATACGTTTCGATATTCATAGCATTCAAAAAATCGTCGATGCGCTGTCATCGCATGGTATATCCTCTCAACTTAATTAACACCGAGAAAAAGAAAAAAGAAAATTTGGCAAGAGGAAAAGAACTTGACAACAAGAAATAACTTGATAACAACAAAAAACTTGTCTTGACACCCAGACCGAGAAGAAAAGCCTACCAATTGTCCCTAGCTTGGACAGCCATGTGTCATCCCACTTCACAAGCCGGCCCGCAAACACCTTGCCTTTCTTAAAAGCGTTAGGTCGTGGGAGGGAGAGGAGGCTTATATAGTTATTCGCGAGACGATTTGGGTTTGGGTTGGAATTATTCACTTCTTTACTCAGGTGATAAATAGTGAATAGTAATTCGCTTCATACATGAAATCAGTACGTAAGTATGTCCGTTATTAAACGATATTAAGCTTCCTCAATCGTGCATTCTTCTCATCGAGCTCGGATGTCAGGGTGTTTTCCTTTCCCAAGTTTTCCGGAATTATAACAATAAATGAATCGTTGATGCGTTGTTATTGCACTATATCCTCTAAACTTAACGCTAAGAAAATGAAGAAAGAAAGAAAGAAACTTGATACCAAGAAAAAACTTGACAACAACAGAAACCCACCCCTTCCTATCTACCCAAGCACCATCACACAAGACTAACAAAATCACAACTTCCTTCTCCCTTCTTTCCCACAACCCAAACCACGAACCGAACAGCCGGCCCAGGCCGCGAGCCAAACACCATGCCTGCATTTCGCCGTTTTCCTACCTTTCCTAAAAGCGTTAAATCATAGGAAAGAGAGGGGCTTTATATACTTGTGAGAAGAAGAGGATTTGTAAGATTGAGGTAGTATTACTCACTCATGATACTTTCTCTTGTTAAATGAGAAGTAGTACAAAACACTTTGCCATCAAATTCTTTTATAGAAACCACTTTTTTTTGAGCCCCCACACAGCATGATATTTCCTCAAGTGCCTGCCTTCCTTGCCTATGTTTCCTTCGATCGTAAGATTAATACAATCATTGCACTCACTATATACTCTTTTAATTTAATAATACACTAGAAAAAGCTTGACAACAATAATGATAACAACAACAACAACAAAAGCCATTCCACGCGAATATCGCATAAAAACCAACAAAAACACAACCTGTCTCTCCTCACAATCAACCCCCCGAACATCATGCTTGCATCTCGCCGTTCTCCCATGTTGCACTTTTGCTAAAAGCGTTAGGTAGTGGGAGGGAGAGGGGAGGGGGTTTATATACCCGTGAGAAGAGGACCGGTTCGTAGGATTGAAGTTGTGTTATTCACTCATAATGCTTTCACTTCTTGATTGAAAAGTAGCGCAGAACAACTTATTATTAAGATCTTCTACAAAAACCACCGTTTTTGGCCACTAAACAGCACGAACCCCCTTTAAGTGATTTATGTAAATTTTCGTCGAGCATAATATCAAAGCAATGAGTAACACATTATCATTATTACACTAACTATATACTCTCTTAATTTAATAATAAGCTAAAAAAAAGCTTGACGACAATAATAAAAACAACACCAAAAGCCATACCACGCAAAATTAGCATAAAGACTAACAAAACACAACCAGTCTCCCTCCACAACCCAACCCCCGAACACCTATTTCTCTTTGTCCAAAGTCTCGCTTTTCCTAAAAGCGTTAGGTTGTTGGAGGGAGATGGGGCTTATATAGGTATCTGTGGGGAAAATATCTGGGTCTAGGTCACTATTATTCACTTCGCTAGTTGGGTAAAAAGTAGTGAATAGCAACAGCTCAATAGTTTCTAGGATAGAAAAAGAAAGTATGTCTCTGATGATCGACAGCCTTGTCCATTTCACATGCAGATATCCGCCCTCCTCATAAAAACAGGTATCTAGAAACGAATCACCTCACTCACCTCTACCCTCCCTCTCCCCGAAAAACAAAAATCTCAATCTCCTGCCCCTCCCCTCCCTCCCCCAACATCCCCAAAGGCACCACCCACCTCTCCCTCACCGCCCATCCACTCTTTTCCATCAACCCAAAAAACCCCATCTCACTCTCATGCCGAACCTTCATCGCCAACAACACCTCCACCCCTTTACTCCCCTCCCTCACCCTGTCCAGCGTCGCCACAAGATCCGGCACCACGTCGATGTTATACGTACAATCAGCCACGACCACCAAATCCCACTTCTCCCTCTCGACATTTTCCGGCAGCGGCGCCGCCCAATCTAAGATCTGGTGCGAGAGTTTAGCTTGAGAGGAGGGTATATTCCGCGCTAAGATCTCCTGCGCTTCAGGCAGGTCTGTTAGGATGATTTTCTCGATATTAGGAAGCGAGGTCGCCATCGTGATACCGACGATTCCGCATCCTGCTCCGAGTTCTAGGATCTTGAGGTTTGGTTTCTTTAATACATCTGGTAATCTCTCTGCTTTCTGTGAAATGAGTGCTGAAAGCACTAACCCCGCATCCCTTCCTGACGTGTCAGTTGGAGAAAGAAGGAGAGGACCTACCTACGCACCAGATATGCCGCGCAATACTCTCCCCCGTCTCCTCCCAGATGCTCACATCCCCGAATCGCCGCTCTACTACCCGTTCCACGGGCTCAGGGGAAGAGACATCGATTTCCGCGCTCCAGACACCCACCACGCCCGCCTCTCCCTTCAACACATCTTTGAACTCCTCCACAGCGACCCCGCCCTCCTTGGCACGAACGTACATCCTCTCTTTCCCTCCCTTCCCCTTCCCCTTCCCCTTCCCCTTCCCGGAGACAGGAACACAAACCTCCAACCCCCGCATGCCACTCCTGCCACTCCATTGGAACGGTATAGCTGGTCCGGAAGAGACAGAGGCGAGAACGGAGAGGTCAGAGGCAAGGAAAGAGTCGCCGAGGTCGGTGGTGATGGTTATCTTCGCGAGGACTGACTTGCGGTCCGTGGTTAGGCGGGGCGGTTTGAGGATGCGGATGTAGTGCATCGTCAGATAGATGGGAAGGAAGATGACGTGCAGGAGAAGCGGGAATATGCACCGAGGGTCTCTGTGGGGTCTTCTTGCGTGCACGTGGAGTCTTCCAGCGTGGGATGTAAGGCCGGCTAGATTCTCGAGGACTAGGTAGGTAGGTAGGTAGCGGCCGACGGAGAAAGAAGGAAGGTTGGAAGGAGGAAGGAAGACTGCACGTCACACTCCTCCCGCCGAGTGGGGACGTGGGAATATGCACCGAGGGTCCTGGGGTTACACGTGGAGGAGCAAGCTCTGTCCCCGACTTGATCTTTGAGGACAAGGTAGGTAGGAGTGCAATCCTCAAGGAGCAAGATAGCCGCCAGCCTTAACCAAAACCAAAACCAAAACCAACAAACAACCTCGCACTAACCCTCCGTCACAATAACCTCTCCCTCCCTCTCTATCTGCCTGGCGCTAACCTAAGCGCCGCCTCGTGTGATATCCGATGTGCCTCGCTTTGCCTAGACGGACGTTGGATATCGGCGGCTAGCCTTCCTTCCGTTCTCGTACCGGACCGTTGCATGGATAAGCTAAGAACTAGCTGGCAGGTATATTTGAGATTCTCGAAGGATGCGTAGAAGGCTGAGTGATGCGTCCTGCGGTTGGACGGCGGGGGCTGATGATCTGTGGTGTGGAGGCTGCTTGATAGGTAGTGGGTATGTAGATATGCAGCTCGATAAGAATAGGAGAATTTAATTCTTTTTTCCCTTCCCTTTCCTTTCCTTGGATTGAAAGGATGGATGGTGGGGTTCGACAGATATGGGGGCTAAGCTGAGCCTCAAATTCAATCAATTTATGTATGTATGTATGTATGTATGTAATGTACATAAGCTCAGTCAGGGTCCTGGGGTTCGGCTGTGGTTGGTTGCACTAGCGGCGTCGTTGAAGGATTCTTAAAATAGCTTCACCTCTCTCACTCAGTCGCTTCCTCGCATATGGTGACACGAAAAAGGGCACAGCCGTCCGTTTTCTGGTACTGCACTGTACATTAATTTCATACGAGACTTAGCTCCCCTCCCCTCTCCCATTATTATTCTTAGACCCCTCTTTCTTTTTTTCTTTTTTTGCCAAAAATCCATTCTCACTGGATGGATGGAGTATTTCCACCCACGCCTCACGTTCACAGATATACATACACACGGCACGTTTTCCTACCTTGCCGCTGTCCGCTGTCTGGTAATTCCCGTCCGTGGCTCAGCTCAGTTGACGATATCTGCATGTGGCGTCGTCGCCGACTTACGAGACCCTCTAACTAACGGCGAGATTTATGTTTTGTGTGTGTGTGTGTGTGCTGATGTGTGTGCTGATGTCAGGTTTTGTGTGGTGTTGTGCCGAGCGAGTGAGGATTATGTATTTCTTACCTACCATAAGCATCTTCAAGTTTATTTTTTGTCCGTCTATCTGTCTGTCCAAATCCAGTCAGCATCGCCTGTGAACCATCAGATCAATCAATGCCCAATCTGGCTCTTGCACTGTATGTAGCGAATCGCACCCTTCACCGAGACGCTCTGCATGCTCTCTCTAATCGCAATCATTCCACCCCTCCCCTCTTTCCCTTCCCCTCTACATCTACATGCACGTAAAATTCACCGAGGTGTGTACCGTATGTATGTGTTGGCGCCCCCAACTGTGCGACCAGCACAACCACCGCGTATTTTGGGCTGGGCCGCATAGCATGGTATGGTCAAGGCGCGGTTGCATGAACGCCTTTTTGGCTGAGGGTGTGCAATGCGGATGTTTGAATCGCCGGCACATGCACTGCGCTGTGGACTTTGGATGGATTTGAGGGTTCACATTGGCTGGGATAGCGATGTTAGGGTTTGGGAGGGAGGAATTTTCGAGGAGTGAAATTTCGTTGTGTGCGGGATGTAGAGTACCCCTCTTTGGGTGTTTGAGATGGATGCACTTTGCGTGTGTGAGGGAGTGTGGTCTAAAATTAATGAGTATGGAGTAGGGACGAAAGGAGGAAATAGAATGTGGAGAGTAGAGTGGGACAAGAAAGGACATCAATTTCATATCTGATGTGTATCAATATATGTGAGTCACCAAGAATAAAAATGTGCGAGAGAGATGAAGTGTAATGTTTTCCAATTTTTTATTGTGGATTTTCTGGTGAAGTGTAGTGTAATGAAGGGTATCATCTGTGAGAGATCGAAAAGAGATGCGCGCGCGCAATCTGACAAACAGACGCCAGTGCTGCCCCATATGCCTCCTCCAGCAGAGAGAAAAGAAAACTAAAACTAAAACTAGCAACTACAATTACAATTTCCCAGCCCTGTCTGTCGGTTGTGGTTCGTTCCAAACAAAAATGCGCAGCATCCTTCGTGATAATAAAAAAGAGCAAGCAAAACCTCAAGTTTCAAATCCCAATTCCCAAATGCCGTTCCTCTGGTGACAGCAAACTATAATTTCCCAACTTTTCCCATATTCTCGTCCCGAACGTCCATAATGCGTGATCTTGATTACCACCCAATGCTGCCTTGCCTGACTGACTGACCGGAAATGGGGGCGTCCCCTATATCCATCTATTATCTTACAATGCACCGCTGTAGAGCATATAGAAACGCAAAGGTGGTATCCGTAAGAAATGCGATGACGATGACGGAAGAAATAGACAAACTCCTCCTCTTCTCTTCATCTCGCGTACTCTCGTGTATGTGTATGAAAATTTCCTACTGTCCCGGTCTGCGAAGGATATCCTCGCAGTTGGCGTCGAAGCGGAGGTTCCACAGGCGAATGGAAGACATGAATTTCTCTGTGGCCTCGAGTTCCCGATCGCGACCAAAGATGGAGTCGACGAATTCGGTACCTGCGTTCTTTCCCAACTGGGAGGTTGAGTCCCTTGAAGACTTCTTGCCTGCCCTCAACATCGGTGTCTCGCAGGCCTTTAGCAACTTCTTCAACTTATCCGTAAGTCTCTCTCCTGATTCGATGAAATCATCGACCATCTCTCTGTTCTCCTTGGTTCGAATGCGATCCATGCATTCTTCGGCGCGCTTGACCTTACCGGCAAGCTGGATGAGCAAAAGCCAAAGCTCACCAGCCATGTCGGCGATCGGTGTCGCGGGACCGTGATGGTACACGGTCCAGTCGTAGATCCATTTGCCAAGACTGTTTGCATCGAAGACACTGCCCAAGAGCATGATGGGTTCCTCGGAAGGATCCCAGTTCTTGAGCGAGTATCCAGGGGGAATGCGATGCTTCTTGGCGTCTGCCTCGGTCGCGACGGCGATGGGATTTGGCTTTCTTGGTGCAGCGGTCGGTCGCGCGGTGTGGGGTCGTTGTGGTGTGGAAGACGATTGACGGCGTCTTCGGTGTAGTGGGTCGTCGTATGGAGACTCTTCTCTATCATAGTACGCGCCTTGAGCCTGAGAATAGTAGTACTTATCAGTGCCATGCCCACGATATTTATGACTTGACTTTGTAGGCCGGCGACTATATTCCCGGTAGATAACACCATCCACCAGATAGTCTACATATTCATATTCGTCCTCGTCGGAATCCCCATATGAGGCTCGATAGGAGTAAGAATTTCGCCGCTCATGGCGCGGAGCCGCATACGAACTTTGTTTTCGACTCACATTGGCTGTCGCGTAGTATCCGCTGGAATTATATCTGGGGGAGAAAGCTCCCCTTGGGGAGTATCCAAATGCATCTCCAGTTGAGGTATGTCGCGCGTGGCGAGGGGAGGGTCCTGGGCGCGCGGTTCCAGGTCGATAGTAGCCGTGGGCTCCACCAGAGGGGGATCCTGCCGGCGATGGTGTTGCGCTGTAAGGGTAATGTGCGGCTCCTGCGTAGCCAGGAGGTGGCGTGCTGTATGGCGTGTAGGTGTTCATGATATCCAACTCTTGCGATGTCCTAGGAGACACCCGAAAAAACGAAAAAAGAAAAAGGTCGACACGCCTATTGATCGAGGCGTGTTAAGAGTGTGACGAGCCCGTCACCGTGGTATGTAGTCGGTACGAGAGGGAAAGGGAACCGTTGTCGTTGATCCGTACATGTCAAGAACTGGCTTTTCGAAATCCCACGGCGGAGATATCTGCGATTTTTTTCGAAGTCGACTAGTCGGCTCCGGGAAGATTCGAGAATGAGCTGGACGAGGAATCCGGCTCGATTTGTTGATTGGTAATCGTTTTTGAAATGTAGGCTTTGGGAGCAAGAGTTTGGATCGATGATGGAAGAAGACTCGAAGAAAGGCGCGTGGCTGGGAGGGAGAGAAAGTATTTAAGTTTTTGTGGGAGATTCGGGTAAGGGCAGGGGTGGGTTGAGTGAAAGACACCGCAGCGAAGGGAACCCCTGTCGCGACCAGGACCAGGCGTGGTCGGGCTAGTTTGGTGGTGGACCCACACTAAATCTGCACCCGCCAAGGTTTGATGGGTTGGGTTGGTGGTGGATGGTGGATGGTGGTGGATAGTGGTAGTGCAGCGATGACTATTGTGGTAGTATTCTAGTCGTAGTCTGCTTGGGTCAGCACAGCTCGCTCAGCAAGCACCTTGCACTCAGCGCAGCACAGCACGGTGACAAAAATAAGAGAAAAACACCATTGGGTGTCGAGACAAGCCCCCCTTCTGGAATGTGCGAGAGCGCCCGCGCGTCTGCTGAATGGACAAAAGCAAAGGCGGTCAGAGCCGCAAAGGGGGAATAGTAATGTGTCGAAGTGAGTCTTGCTCTCTCTTGCTCATTTCCTATTTGTGCTGGTGCTGGTGCTGGGACGAAAATGCGATGACTGTCCTGCACAGGGCTAGGACGGGGTACGCTACCACAAAAAAAAGGGGGCCGGGGGGGCAACTTACAGCAGAGATAATCGCAATGCCCCTGGATTTCACGACCATCCGTCCATCGTGATTTGAGCAAGCGAAATTATTCAAAGACACAGAACCCTCTTTTTCGAATTAAACGGTGTGAGGGGTCCCGTTCTTTCTCTCCGTCGTGCGGCTCGCGGAGAAAGTCTCTGATTCCCCGTCGAGACGTTGGGATTTCTGATCCACTGGCACCACCGTGTCGGATTCGGGAGCGTGATATAACTAACTGACTGACTGCACGTCCTGGATCTGTACGTACTGTACTGTACTGTACTGTACTGTACGGAGCTGTGAGAGGGCGTGGGAAGTTAAGGGGTTGGTTGCGTTGCGAAGGCGTTCGCGATACCTCAGTTCCACGGCGATGGCACGGTGCGATTTGTGTGCGAGGCGCGACGGTGCGATGTGAGGACTGATGCCCGCTTTGTGTTTGGATGTGAGTCTTGGGTGTTGTTATTTGAGTCAGAGAACCCTTCTCTGGAGCGTCCGGATTCCAGATTCGTCACAGTCAGCGTGGCAAAAACCAGTCGTAGGTGTTTGACGTCGAATTGCTTTCGCAATTCCTGTGCTCTGGCCCGAGAGTGGTCAGATGAGGAAACAAATGGCAATTGATTGTCTCCGGGAGCTGAGGCGCCGCAGCACTTCGGATGGTATTGGATACCGGTCGGGCCTATCGAGCAGCCAGGGTCCAGGCAGAGATGAAAAGGAAAGTAGTTAGTACGGAGTAATGGTACGAAGATGTACTCGTCGTATTGCCCATGGAGCGACGAGACAGACAGACGATGCGAGCTGATAATACTGGATGACCGGGCTGGGCTGGCTGGCTGGCTTGGATCTGGCCTTCCTCTTCTACGTTTCTTTCTCGTACCACCGCCGAAAGGGCCGGACTTTGCCTCTCTCTTCCCTACAGGCTAATAGGACGGTTCCCAAATAATACGGCGACGGCTACGTGAAGACGAGACCAGGTCTAGGAGCAGAGGAGCACAGGTACAGTACAGCGTGGTACGAGGGGGAAGCGAGCAGAGCAATGGCCACGATGGCGATCCGTCGTTCGTTCGTTCCTCGTTTCTTAGCTAAGGGAAGCTGCAGATGGAATTCGATGCGGATGTATGTGGTGGTCTGGTTGGAGGTTGCAGCTGCAGCGTTTGGAAGCCCGCCGATAGAGGGGTAATGCTGGTTGAATTGTCGTTGTTGGATTATTTTGGACGAGGCAGTACAGCACCACAATGTAAGATTATTGTCTGTCTGTATGTATGTATGTATGTATGTATGTGTATGGTACAGCATGCAGATATTAAAGGATGACCTGCTGCTGAATAAGTGGCCGAAGGGAGGACGATGCGCAAGGTAGATAAGGTAGTGCAGCAGTAAGCTGTGCTTCGCAATTCATCAATTCATAGAGTGAGGGAAGAAGGGAAGGGGAAGAGAGAGGGAGGAGGAAGGCGATGACGAAGATGGATGGAATTGAAGAGAGCGAGAGAGTGAGTGAGTGAGTGCTGATAAGTGGGAAGTGGGAGGCAGCATGAGGATGATGAATGAATGAGGTTTGGCTTTGGAATAAAAGGTGACACAGCTACTTTTCTCCATTCGGAGAAACTGGACTGTCATCCATCTGCTGATCAAGTTCTTGCCTCCCCGCGGTGGGAAAGATGGTGGGCAGAGGAGGGGCACGGCGCGAGCGGCGGCGACTGCGATTGCGAATTGCGACTCCAGCCTCGTCTTTTCTTTCCTTGATCATCATCATGATCATGATCATGATGATAAAGTTCCAGCTGGGATCGAGACATCCCACCGACGACGGATGCCGAATGCCACTGACGATACCGACGATACCCCTCTATCGCGGCGCATAATCATTATCTGGCGTATCTATTTATTCTACGCTTCGCTTCGCTTCGCTTCTGCATCAGAGATGATCAACATACAGGTCTCACTTCATTCTGCTCACGATGCTACATTGACATCGACACTGCGGCGGCATTGGGGGCCATAGGGTGATATCCAGCGTTTTATCCAACAGCGGTTCTGTTCTTGGCCTGTCCTCTTCTCGTCTATCTATATCCCTATCCCTATCCCTATCCCTATCCCAGCCCTCTTACTCAAGCCAACCCAGCCTCAACTAGCTCTCAAGATTTGGTGGTCATGGCATGGCATCAAAGCACACCTCCCATGGTTCGCCTATCACGCGCCCTTAATCGCCAACGAGATCTTGATATCACACAAACCGAATTTTTCACCACGGCGGCAGCATGAAATGAATGACTGGCCGAGATTCAATTGCGCCGAGAGCAACACAATCTCAGCCCTCGACAAGCCCGAATATCTCGATATCACGAGTCACGACAGATATTGCGACGAGGGAACAGCAGATGCTTGCTTTGCGACCGCGGCGACCACAGCGACAGTGCTGCGGTGTCCAGTACAGTACTTAATGTGCTGATATTCAGGAGATGGTTCAGCGATCGCACTCGAACGGCGAGTTGAATCGCTGTGACTGGCATTAGTGGCCGCACAGTGCATCTCCAGCGCATGTTTGGCCTGGAGCTAGGCCCTTTGCTACGGTGGGTTTGCACATCTGTGTTCAACAGTCCCGCTGAAATGGTTCGTGAGGTGAATGGGATGGGGGAGCGAGACTACTGTACAGTACTGGACCGCCCAGACTGGGAATATGGAAGGGCAAAGCTGGTGGGAGACTGGGATCATCATTTGTTGGCGTCGTCGTACACACGCGAGGAAGACGGACCGGCATGGTGCTTGCACGCGGAAGCAAACAGCGCCGCCAAACCTTTCTTCGCATCCTGGTCCTGGTGCTAGTGCTAGTCCTAGCCATGGTCTCTTCTCTCCTGGAGTTCTCGTTCCCCGTCCTCCTCCTTCTCCTCTCCACCTCCTCGTCTCGTATGTAGCCTCAACTGGTTTCCTCCGTCCGTCTCCGTCCCTCCTTGACACCGCACTACTGTACTCCTTCGCCTGGGAGGGTCTGATCTCTAAACTCTGCTTCCTTCCCCGAGCCACCAGAACGCCAGAACCCTTTCGAACTTCTTCTTTCATCCGTGGCTGACCTTTTTTGCTTCCACACCCTCGGCGCCCTCCTCCCACCGGCCCCCCCCCCATTCCACCTTCTCCTAGCCGTTAGCATCTCAAGTCACCTCCTCCCTGACCCCCAATCCCAGATGTTGGATGTGGCATCCCAGACTGCGATCATTACCCATTACCCACACGTCCCATCCATCTCAGAATGGCAATATCGCTCTGATTCTGCCGCCTCTTGGTTTCGTCGTTCCCAGCTCCTACCTTGCCGTCAATTTGCAGAGTTTTCACGACCCCGTCCCCTCAACACGAATCCTCCTTCAGAGTTTGAGTCATTGTGTCCTCACCGACTCGACCTCGTTTCTTCCTTCTTCGTGCCCAAAACACCATTCAATGGAGTCCCGACGCTCGTTGCATAGGAGAGGGCTTCCGGAACCGTGCCAGCGACCTTTCACTGGCCTCGTTAAGGACGCACAATGCATTCCTGCGACGTGATAGGTAGAGGATGCAGGAGAAGGCTATCACTCACCCTGCAGAGAACCACGTCGTACACTCCCACGATCCCTGCCCGCACATCCGTCTTGCTGCATGTCGAGGCGCGAAGTCCCGCTGCTCCAACAGTTGTGCTGGATCGCCTAGTCGTGCATGCAGCCGGATAGCAGCCAGACTATTCTCCTGCTGCTGCATCATCGCATCACTCTTTGGATTGCATTTCTGTATCCACCTCATCACATTCCTCATCCTCATGAAGTTGCACTCTGCCTTGAGAGAGGAGACGCCGGAAGCGGTCAACGCACACGTGTAACCTCTCCTGAGGAGCATGAAGACCCAACAGATGCGCCGTGATGTCACTTGCAGGCGCAGCATCATCTATTCCTGCCTGCTGGTTCGCGCACAAAAGATATTGTTGATTTTTTATCATTTCCAATTTATTGTCCTGCTGCTGTGCCAGATATTGATTTTCACGAGCCAGGCCCAGGCTCCACCCCTATCCTTTCTCACATCGTCGCACAAATGCAAAGCAAGCAATGAAAACTCATCTTTCTGCCAGCTCCTCCCTCGTCCTTCTGCCAAAAGAAGGAATCTCTGGCCGGGCCTCCGTTTGTGTGTTGTGTTGTGTTGTGTGCGAGGGGTTTGACAAAAGGTTTGGGGGCGAGGCCCGGCGCGTTCAAGTTACACCCTGTAAGCCTCTGGGTCATCAGATGTTGTCTCGCGCTTAAACACAAACAAACTTTTATGAGTGGCCCGGTCTCTGAGCCTCATGAGACATTGTCCATCCAAGATTAATATGTGCTAGTCCATATATATCCCATTGTGGTACGGAACCCTAGTCTATCTGGAACCTTTTTATTTTTCTTTCCTTTTCTCTTGCAAGAGCGGACGGACCGTGGTTTTTCGCTCCACGGATGTGCCATGTGCAAATATCCCACGTTTCAGAGTTGAGTCATCCAGATAATTGTCAACCAGGCTGAGGCTGCAACATGTCTACGTACCTCTCCTTCCCCCTTTCAGCCTCGCTCGCCTCGCCTGGAAGCTGAGTCACGTGTGGCGAATATCAAACGGATTTATCGGGGTGGCGAAAACCTTCATCCTTCTCCTTCCTTTGTTAACGACGAGCATCACCCATGTGTCACAGAGAAGTATCTCGAATCTCTTTGTTTGAGTTTTTTTTCCAGCCGTGACGTTTGCCATCGCAAGGCGTAGGGGCATTTGTCATCGCTTTGGATTCCATATCTGCGTCAATATAGGGGGACGGAGTCAGGAATCATCTGACCATGGAGTCCCCGAGAACGATCGAGATCTCAACCAACCTCCCAGCCTTTCGTCCGAGTGATCATACCTACTCACTCATAGCTAGAGTCACGATCGAATTGATATCTCTGTTTGGTTCTTTCATCGTGAGGCTGAGCCCGGTTCTCTGAGTCACTATTTTCTCGCTGCCGCAAATCAAACTGGTTTCGTTGCCGCTCGTCGTACTTTCGCAAATCAAACATACCTAATGGCCACAGTATCGGTACTCTAATTGCTACCGATCCGGGGATCGTGGTTTGTCCAGCTTGCATGTGATTCTGCCAGTGTTTAATCGCTGAAAGGGGACAAGTGATTTCCTTTTCTTGCCCAAGGCAGATTTTTGGGGAGGCGATGAGCCCCTATATTTTTTTCCCTTTGTCTGTGTTATGGATAGATGGATGGAGTTTGTGTCAGAGCTGAGGAATCGATAGGATAATGGTTTGTTTCACGATGATGATGTGGTAGGCAGCAGTTTCGGAGCGAAGTGGAGGATGGATGGAGGATTGTGGCAAGAGGCGGTTTTATGGTGTATGAGTGTTATGGACTAGTTTGGGGAACGCGTCGGCGATGGCGATGGCGATGGAAACTGGGGCATTCTAGTCAAAGGCAAATGGACGATATGGCTAGCTACTCGTCAAACTTTGACCTCGGATCGAAGTTCGAGCCTGCTTGGGGTGTCCAATCTTTCGAGCTTCCTTCTCCAAGATACTGAGTTACATCTTCAAATCTACAGCAACATCTAGCATGTCCCAAGATGGCAAGTTGCATCATCAACCAACAGATACCGAAACTATTGCAATCTCCAAAGACCCAATCACTCGTCACCTCTCCTTTTCTCCATTCTCTACCGTTCTAACTTCTCCTCTACAAAAATCTAGAATTCTTCATCCAAAAAACATCTATTTCTCCTCCTCCCTATTCACTGGTCAACTTTCTATCTTCTTGATCTGATCAGCACATTCACTCACTCCTCCCAAAGTCAAAGCAAAAACGTAACTCAACCCTACCCTACCCACCAAATCCCCTTCTTCTCACAGGTACTATGCCCATTTAACCCCCTCCCTCCCCCAACATAACGCCTTCAGGAAAAGCGACAGTTTCGAACAAGGCGAACCATGTATTCGGTTCGCCTTCCAACGACCTAACGTTGCGTTTCTAGGTATCTGTTTTTCTGAGAATATTCGACATTTGCCTAAGAAATATTCAATACTCCTTCTTCAGACTTTTCATCTTCTTACTTTCTCTGTCTGGTCCAGGAATTGTCACGCTATTGCTATTCACTATCTACAGCTAAGTGGCCATGCTCCATCCATACGGATTCACTGGCTTGTATTATTCACCACTTTACTTATACCTTTCAATTGCCCTAAGGCATGCTTTATAACGTCTCTATAATAACCAAGAAACTCTGCTCAAATCTTTACCAAAACCATTTCGATGATGCTTCGATTCTCAGATCCGGGACTTGGTACCGGGGGTTTCTAATCTGTTCGTTGAGCCGATTATTATTGATTGAGAACTTTCTCCTTTTTATAGCAGCTCTCTTTATCCCATTGCTTCCATTGTCAATTCCTACTTCTCATCGTCATGTCTAGAACTCTGCTGTCAACTCATTTTATCTCCTCTTTCCCACTTCAACCTCTCAATGCTTCGCAGTTTACCATCTTAGAGCACTGCAGGCTCCCCACCCAACTACACGCCATCCTCCACAGGACCTCTGGTTCAGACCGTTTTGTTGTACTAGAGTAGAAAATCCCATGAGGATGGAGAGTTTATATACCCGTTTCCCGCCTTTGCGTTTACTTGAATTGAGGAGATTGGATACAGTGAATGGATGTTTTCAAGATGGTTTCGGAATTAGGAAGCAGTAGGGTTTCTTTGAATTCACCTGTTTCTTTTTATCTTGGGTTCTTTAGAGGATTTACTCTTGCGTCAATTACTCTACTCTCTCGGAAAGCTGTATATGAATGACTGTCCGATCACCGTCATTTCAACAAATACTAACATGTAGACAACGATTCCGGTTTCATTTCCTGTGAGATGCTTTGTAGCCTGGTCTAGTTCATTTGCATTTCATTTTCGCTTAATTATTTGTACTCTGTCTTCGTCGGACACTTTATTGCCAATTATTCTGCCATTGTCAAGTTTCGGAACGCTTTTATTCTCTTGCCATGAATTTCCTTCTCTATCCATCCAGCTTTCTGGACTTGTATATATTTAAAAACAAGAATAATTCCTTTCTTGCTAAGCACACTGAGTCACCGTAGGATATCTCTGATCAAGACTACAAAAGCACTTTTCTTGGCCAGAAAGTTGGTAATAAGTTGAGTGACTTGTTACAAAGCAAGTTATTATCCGGCTATGGATGGAGGGGTATATATAAATCAGTTCACAGGATAGAATATTTTTTCTGTACTTTTTCTGAACACAGAGATCTTTAAAGATGGGAAATCGCACGAGTTTTTATTCTATTTGTATTCTCTGTTTTGTTTGTAATGATACGGCTTCTTTTGAGTTGCTGTTATTGTTGTTGAAATGTTCTCTTGTTGTCAATGATTAGCGAGCACTCATCAAGGTATAGCTGGGATTGTGGAAAGTGCGGACGATATCTCAAAATATACATCCTGTTTTGGAGAACCCACAGGCGAAGCATGTCAAGGAGGTACTCAGCAATGATAGTGGTTTGTTAGCTTTGAAGAAAGAGAACGGGGGTCTTCATACGGCCCCTCAGGCGAAGCGAGTCGTTTCTCTGGTGAATGGTTGTTGCAAGTGTCAAGCTATGTGAATATGTTATAAAATTTCCCAATCCCTTAAGCAGTGGTAAACACACTTTTCTAGCTCCTGAAATATCCATCCTAGTTAAGTTTCCAGCAATCTGTGCACTAAATGCGCTGTAATCGGGGCCTGGGATAATTCGCTTAGGCTCACCATAGCTGAGAAAAGGGGGTTTGAAAATACAGCTTAGGGGAGAAAGTGTATTCGCTTTTGTTAACGTCCTAAGTTGAGGGAGAACTCGTCTATTTTAGAGGGATATAAATAAACTAGGATTGGTATCCTAGACAAATTGAAACATACATGCGTTCGAGACTGGTTCTCGTGCTTTCCTTTCGGTTGTTTGATTTTGCTAGAACCCGTTTTCTTGGCTACGGTGTAAGAGTGTTCTTATAATTGCTTTTAGTGTCTAGCGGCTCTTTTGAGTTGTTGCCGTTATCAAGATTTTCAGTGGCTGTCAATGCTTGACAATTAGCAAAGCCTGCTTTGTAAAACATGCGCTTGGGGCTTCTAGACTGGTTTTTCTACATCTCCTTCGTTCTTTAGAGAAGCACTTTCTAGCCCCAATGCCAAATGAAACTCATTGAGGGGGAAGACGTGCTCGGCCTTGATGGTGCTAATAGCAGGTACCCGTCAATGACTAAGGGAGGTGCTGTGTAAGACACTTTTTGATTAGATTGTTGTCCGGCTTTAAGCTATTCCTTTACAGTCTTCAACCCTTTGGTTTCCTTTAACGCTATATAGTTTCTACTTGCAAGTTCCTTTATGTTGTCAACGTCTTTTATATTGTTGCTGTGGAGATTTTTCCTTGTCGTCAGTGGTAGGCTATCCCCATAATGATATATGACAGGGAGTCTCGGCTGGAGTTGAGGAAAGTACAGCTGATGATTCAAAATGCATTTCCTTCTTCGGGGAAACCACCGTTTCGAGTGGAATTTATCCAGGAGAACACAGTTGTATTCGTTGTTAGCCTTGAGGAATGTTGTCTACTCCCCATGAAGAGAGACGAGAGTCCTATTTACAGATTCATGGTGATGGGAGGTGGGTGTCCCGAATTGGCGAAGGACATGCAAGCGTCAAGCTGTTTCTTATTGTTCACTGTTGTTGTTGCTGCTCTTTCTTCATATAATAAACCGTCCGATCATAAACTTTCTCCTTTTCCATAAATTCTTTAGCGACGTCGTCTACAAGCAGACTAAGGAAGGAGCTGTGCAGAACATCCTCTGGCTACATTATCATCTCGTTGGAAGCTATTCCTTTTTGTCTTCGGACGGTAAGATTTCTTTAGAGCTCGGCGAGTTTCGCTGTGAAGCTTTTTCCTGTTGTCAACATCCTTTCAAACACAATTCTTCGTGTTGCAAACACACAAATTCCGCATCAAGGAAAGCTCACAAAGCCTGACTCAATCAATATCTTGCAACTTAGCAACTCATTTCGTTGTACAGCCTTAGTGGCAGGAGTTGATTGTATTGTGTATTGCGGAAAAGCGGCCGCTGGGTGGAATTTATACTTATTCCCAGCCCCGCGGTTGCAAACCCGGCCCTTTGTCCGTTGATTCACTCGTATACAATCTCGGGATTTTTTTTTTCCGTTACTAAGGATCGCACAAGTGAATCTAACATCCGTAACCTTTTCTTAACCGGGAAGAAGTTTGTAGCCCCATTTCAAGTAGTGGCATTTATCTATATAAGAAACCGTCCGATCATGAACTTTGTCGTTCTTCAACATGGTATTCAACGGAGCTATCTAAGGGAAAACATGTCCACGATCTCTAGCTACGTTATTATCTTGCCGGAAGTCGTTCTTTTCGGCCCTTGTTTTACCTCAAGGGTTTGAGGATATTCATAGATCTGTGCCTTTTGTTGTTAAGCTCTTTCTTCTATCAATATATCTCCATTGTCAACCTACTTTCCACTATCAACATCATCTCCCCTGTCAAACTTAGCACAGCCTGCGTCTTGAAATGCCAACGCAGCTCCCGGAATGCCGTCCTTTCAGCTCCCTTATCTGTTCAAGCACACACTGACATACAAATCCGGCACGCTGTCCCGGCTCCATAATATGCTTTGCTGGAATTCAGAATTGTTCAAGTCTCGGTCAAAGCGGGTTGGAGCTCCTTGGGCAATCCATCCAAAAGAAGGAGCCGATACTGGTCCTTGACGAATGCTATTACTAGAACCCGAGAAATCAGCTGCGATATATACTTTACCAGCAGCGCTAATTTATCTGCACTGATTCACAGTCAAGGGTGACGTTCTTGGCGTGAATGAGTCTGGAATTCACTGAATTTGGTTATGAGATGGAGAATGCCGAAGTCGGAGTTTCTGGAAAAGTGTAAAATGTTCAATTAAGTGGAGTGCGATGTGAGGGACAACTCGAATACTTAATGCGTGAATAAGTCCTGTCGTTGATTGGACGACCCTCACTCTCAAAAGTGCTGTCTTGCCCAAGTGGGCGCTATTCACCTCGTCGTAAGAAAGTGAATCTGACATTCGAAGAAGTTTCGAGCTATATAAACGCCCTAAAACTTGCTTTCGCACTTCATCACACCTGAAACTTCGATGTCAAGATGGCAGAAGGGCACCGGGAAGCATGTTGTCTTTTTGTTGTTTTGCCGGCATAGTGGATAATTTCCCTTGCCGATTTAGGTAGAAGACATAAATCCATTCGGTGGGCAAGACATGCTGCTAATTTCAGACGTATACAATGTTAGGCCGTTGCCAACTTCTTTTATTTCCGGAGATACTTTTTACGGACGATTTTGCGGTTTGCGCATCTTGCGCGGACAGCGCAAATACGTCAAATGTGCTGTACCAACAGCACTTATGGTCATTGCACCTCTTCCTGGGCTCTCTTCCTTCCACCATCATGGTTTGGCTCTTCACTGATGGGGATCGTTGTCTCGAGAAAGACTACGCAATTGACAACGGAAACCTTCTTGACAACAAACACCATTCTATTTATTTTTCACATCCGAAGACGGCTCAACTTTGACTTTCTAATTTTTAGTCAAGCACAAAGATTCATCCAGCTAGAATCCACAAGGGCAAAATGTCACAAAAAATAGCAAATTATTGTCGCAGCAGCAGAGATGAATGCTATTGGGTCAGGTGCTGTTTTAGGCCGGAGACTGTTGCCGACTGTCAAATGTGTGACCGATGACCTGACCCCTGGAAGCCAAGTCTTGAGGAGCGCTATATTATGTAGCTACGATCGCTGATCTCGCCATTGTGAGGTCTCTCGTGTTACTGTGGACACTTCTCTGTTGACACGGAAAAGCCAGTATGTTGGATGGTCCAGTAAATTGTTGTTGAGAAGAGAAGAAGAAGCGGGATGGTCGGCCGCGTGTATATATAGACAGCGGAGAGAACGGAGCTTTTAGAACCGGTCATTCGCCGATGTGACAATTTCGAAATTTGTTTCTGTCATTGAGATTTCTCCAAGTGAATCTGTAGCCTTGTGAGCTGGTGCATGATTTCGCAACTTTTGCCCGTCATGGAAATTTCTCTATTTATACTTCGCTAAAATAACCATCAATAAAGGTACATATACTTTGACACAGGAGACTCAGTCTAGAGAGACACAGCTGGCATGAGACCGCCAACCCCAAGAAAGGCTTGGTGATAGTCAAGCTCCTCATCATGGTTAAATATCTCAAGCAAGCGGAGAAAGGTGGTTGCCAACTTTCTACTTGCTGTCAACCTTTTTGAAAATGTTGAGATCACACTGTGGAGGACTTATGATCCATTGAGTCCATGACCCGATTCTTTATGTTTGAGCACGGCGAGGATGGCATCTTGTGGCATTTGTAATCCCGGAAAGGCTTGTCTAAGCTTTCAATGTCTTGACTTTCGTTGTGGGGATGCAGAAGATGCATGCCTTAGGACGCATCACATCAAACTTGTCTGGCAAAGGGTTTTGAATGCCAATGACGAGTGCGTAGCTGTCTCTAACTTCTGTTGCAATGTATTTCAGCACATTCGGAACTCAAAAACTCTTTTGGACGAGACTGTGTTACATTAAATCATATGCTAACTCAACTTGAGATTTCCCTCGACTCATCCTAGTAGTCAGCACATCGATCATTTAATGAAGATAGGCAAGCGCAATGCCAGTGAAGCAATTGTCCAAGTCAATGATCCTCCTCTTATCCGAACCGTCCTCATTGAAACGATACAGAGCCCCACCAAGATCAGCCACATAAATGTGATGATTCACGAAATCAATCTTCATCCCAATCGCCTCATGGAAGTGTCTCGCGAGCGTAATAACCTTTTTGTCTTCGCCAGGTCCTACAATCGCCTTGCTGAGCGTATTACCCAATGGGTACTCTCCACGATCAGTCCAGTACAATGTCTGGCTTAGGGCATCAATTTCTAAATCAATAGGTTCTGGCAAGTGATCGAACAGGAATTCGACATCGGATCTTTTGCTTGGAGTTTCGCCCGAAGGGATGTTGATGCCAGCACGGAAGATGCGGCCTTGGCCGGCTTTGGAGGCACCTTTCTGAGACCAGTAGATTTTGCCGTGCTTGGAGTCTACAGTGATGCCAACACACCATTTTGTTTGATCTGCAAACCCGTCTTTCTCCCAATCCCCGGTCTAGATAATGATTTCGTGGGATGATCCATCAAAGTTGCATCGATGAACTTTCTGGCCTTCACGATCGCCTGTCTTTTGTCAGTTATTGGGTGTAGCCTGAGAAGTATTGGGACTCACAGAAGTAGATCGTGGAGTTGTCGTGATCGATAACAAGCTGCTTAGCAGTATTGACAGCCCCTTTAGGAATGATTGTTTTGATATCGCTTCCATCTAGCTTTGCTGAAAGCACACTACCGTCAGGCTTGCTCGGGATACCCATAGATGTCCAGAAAATGCGTCCAGCAGAGATAGAGACATCGATACCATCAGGCGACGTTACTCCATCAATCAATGTTTTCATGTTGCTGCCATCTGAGGAAGCAGTCATGATCTTCCCGCCGGTGAACGCTTTACTAGGTTCGAAATTAGCTCCCACACCAAGGTCCAAGAAGTAGAGCATCGGTGCGGCAAGATTGTCGTGATGGCCAGACTCTGTAGCAGATGACTTCGTAGTGCCACCGGGTGGATAGAGACCGCCTTTGCCGCTTTTGGCACCGAGTTTCCCTTGATCAACGAAATTCTTTCGGAGCCAATCGACAGTCAGAGCTGAGTCAAGATGCCTCTCTTCTATGTAGTTATCCTCAATGAAGGCAACGGTATCGAGCCCTGGAAAGTGACTTAGAGTTATCTGATAAAGTCTCCAGGTGTTTACTTACCCACAGCGTCCATCATGCCACAAGGACCCGAAGAATTGTTTCCAAACATGCGAACAAAAAGAGCGTCGATCTCCTTGGGATCGCTAACACCTTCCGCGAGCATCATCAAAACCTCACGCTTGATAGCTGCCCAAAGTCGATTGAGAATAAGACCAGTTGACTCTTTACGAGCAATCGCTGGCAACATTCCTGCGTTGAGCAGTCGCTCATACATGAATTGTATGATATCCGGATGCGTCTGACCGTCTGTCATGATCTCAACGGTGTTGGCTTTGGGCGGCATTTGATAGTGTACGTTGCAGATTCTGGCGCGATTCTCTGGCTTGACTTTCTCCAGCATCTTGCTCGATTTGAAAGATGACGAATTAGATCCGATAATGCAATCTGGCTTGACTAAGTTGTCAAGCTGGCCCATAACATCAATTTTCATCTCAAGCTTTTCAGGGACCGCTTCGAGCACAAACCAAGCATCCTGAACTGCGGGGCCCAGGTCGGAAAACACGTTCAACGTACCGGGTTTGCGGTTACCTCCGGTAAGCTCTTCGAAATCTGAAAGGTTGGTCTGGATGAAGACTGCTGCTGCATTTCGTTGAGATTCTGCAGGGTCACGGAGGTTGACATGATACCCTGCGGCAAGCCATGATGCAGCAATTCGACGACCGAGTACACCGGCTCCGAGGACAGCCAATGGCCTGTTGGAGGTATCAGGAAGTGTCCACTGCTGTGGCATTGTTCAAATATAGCTGAGGTGAACAAGTGAGATTTGCGAATGGAGTTATTCGAAGTGATGTTCTTTGTGAGACTTGGAAGTGACAGTATTTGATCTCACGATGAGAAATATGTTATCAAATTGACTGGTACCTGGAAATAAGTAGATGAACACTTTGAAGACGTAAGTTAGTACCAATCGAAGTCTACAGCCAGTAGACATACTTCGAAGCTCGCTTTGGCAAGATTTGCAGATTGCATAGCCTCAACTTGAACTTAATGACTAGCTCAACGCAAAACGCCGTCATCATTTCTATTCTTCCCTGCGCATCATGCAGAAGTAGGTATTGATCAGACTTGACTTCGCATCAACTATCGAACTTTCAATTTAGCAGAGCTTTTAGAGTGCTTGATGTCGTAAGCAGGTTGCCGCTGTGTAGCATCCGAAAGGGGAAATCTGGCTCCTTTCGGTTAGCGCAGTCCCTCCCTCGGACACAAACCTTCAACCACCAACGTAAAATAGCGACTGGAGGCCCGCCTCCGAAAGGGATGATTTGGCTCTATTCAGCAAATACAAATTTCTCCCAATGCAATGCACAGATCTGCACTTAGTCAGCTGGAGCAGAAACAAGCGTGTGCATTCTCTCTTTCACTTGTCTGTCGGCAGCTGATACCGTCTCATTCTCCGCTCCTCGCTAAGATAGAACTTTCAAGTCCTTCGGCAGAGCTGGCTGTGATGTCAAGATCTGTCGAGCTCTGAAGTATAAGAAGGGCTGCCTCTCTCGAAATCAAAATTACTGTTTATCGTCTCTTCAGAATGGCAGCAACCATTAAAACTGTGGGGGTCGTAGGCACTGGTGTGATTGGTTCCAGTTGGGTTGGCCTTTTCCTTGCAAAGGGTCTCCACGTCCTCGTTTCAGATCCCGGAGATGGAGCCGAGAAGGAGTTGTCCAATCATCTCGAAAATATCTGGCCACTGTTGGAACGGATCGGACTTTCCCCAGGTGCCTCACTGTCGAACTACACTTTCGTTGGCAGCAGCCTAGCTGGGCATTTTGAAAAACTTGACTTTGTTCAGGAAGTAAGTCCACACAAATCCTTTTCGACACCAAGTCCTTGACACGCACAGAATGTACCTGAACGTCTGAATATCAAAAGCCAAGTCATTGCAGAGATCGATCAAGGAACTCGTGAAAATGTTGTCATCGCATCTTCTTCGTCCGGAATTCCATCCTCGCAATTTATCAAGGATTGCAAGAAGAATCCAAGTCGCATCCTCATCGGGCATCCTTTCAATCCACCTCACATTATGCCTTTAGTGGAGGTTGTTCCTCACCCTGGCACTAACGAGGACTCTGTCCAGATTGCGCTTGAATTCTCCCGAGACATGGGGAAGAAGCCAATTGTCGAACGCCATGAGACACCTGGTTTTGTGGTGAACAGGCTTCAGGCCGCGATCAACAACGAGATGTTCAGTTTGGTACAAAGAGGAGTGGTCACAGCCAAGGAGATAGGTCGGTACACTCTCAGGAAATGCTAGATGATGAATGCTGACAGGAAGAAGATATCTGTATGATGAACAGCCTCGGCCCCTCTTGGTCCTTCATAGGTCCGTTCATGAAGGATGTACTAGGTGGCGGACCAGCAGGCTTTGAGCATCTCATGAAGCATGTTGGACTCGGAATGCAGGGATGGCTCAAAGATATGACAGCGAATTCTTATGAGTATACTGATGAAAATCCGAAGATACTTGATCGTAGCGTACAAGACATGCTGGGTGGTGTGGATCTGGAGAAAATGGAGAGCGAGCGGAATGATTTGATGATCGATCTGTTCAAGGCCAAGGCTTCAGCGTCATCTTTGATCTGATGATTATCAGAAAGGATATAATCAGCACGCCGCAGACACTCGTTCCACGCGCAGCTTTCATGAATCATAAGTTTGTCGTTTCTGTTGAGCACAAGGCAAAAAGACACAGAAGTGAAGATAGTGTGAAGTCGATCACGGTTGAGGCTAACCATTTAAGCACTAGCGCCCTGGCTCATTCAAGCTTCCCTTTTTGCTCATCCTTTCCAGGTTTCTTCCGTGTTTGTCCTCGTTCATTTCTGTCATCTTTAGCTTGATAACGAACTGCTACCCAGCTCTCTTCGTCACTAGAGAATTATTCGGTAACATCTTCAATGGCCTCCATAACCCTACAGCAGGATCACGATATATGAGGTCTTCCCTTAGTCAGTGGCAAGCCCGTCATCACCGAGTGCCATTGATCGACCTTGTCGCAATCAAGTGGCACAACTTCCATGCATCCAAACTGCTGCCCAAGTGAGCGGCCCTGAAAGCACTAAGACTAGTAGCTCGGTATTTACTTGGGTTCCTATCCCAGTCACGTGAGATGCTCCGTCTATTAGTATTTCCTTAGCCCGAACTCTATTTCGTCAATGTACGTAGTCTCAAGTTTGTGAAACTTTACAACTTCATTCCTACTTTACAGTTAAGATTGCCCAATTTTGTTGTGTACTTTCCGCTGCCAGAAATAGCGTTTCAATGGCTTCTCGCCAATCTCGTTCAGGTCGTCAAGGCCCGGCTTGCCGTGCTTGCAGGCTAAGGAGACTGGCCTGTGACAAGGTGAAGCGAAGTCTTTCCGTTTTGGATGAGTGCTCTGACCAATCACTGACTAGGCGAGACCTTCATGTGCTCGTTGCAGAGAAACGTCAAGAACAGTATGATACAGAAGCTTTGTCATTATTTGTATGATTATCTCTGAAGCCACTTAGTGTTCTTATGACCCAGACCGCCGACAGACTAGGACCGAGTACACTTTCGTCGGTACGTTTGAGTCTCAATCTCGATGCTATTTCATACTCACATGCTCGAAATCCAAGACGAGACGCCTCAGAGCATTTCCGGCCATGCTGAGGCAGGTCCATCATCTCGGGTTCGAACCAGCTCATCAAGAGGCTCAACAGAGCCGACTGTAGAACTTTCTTCGTCTAGACTAGCAGAGATCGAGAGTAGACTTGAAGCTTTGACAGCAGCAGTCAGATCGACAAGTTGGCGCAGACATTTCTTACCTGGCATCTCGGAATGCTGACCGACTATAGGATCAGATGAGGTGCCCATCAGCGGATTATCAGGGCTGAGCGGTAGAACTCATGCATGTTGGCAAACGATTTACTGATAGCTAATAGCGCACCAATCTATGCCTAGCATTGAGCCATTAAATGAGACTCAATCTGTTGACGCTGTGGTATCAAGCATGGGTCGACTAAGCTTCCTTGGCAATGGTCGTGCTAGATTCGTCACTGGTTCTTTCTGGGCCAACATATGCGATGAAGTAAGTCCCCAGGTTCATCTCTTATCATCGAATCTAATGAAGAGAAGGCTACGGCTATCGACGAAATGCTGAGAGAGCAAACTCGGTATACTGGAGCTGCCAAATTAGACGATAAGCATCTTTACACCTCGCTCGGCGACAACGAGTCAGGAAACTCAGATTTCGTACAAACTGCTCCTGCAAGCTTGCATGATATGTACCCTTACGGAGACATACTGTCTGCAATTGATGATTGGCACAGTGGGCCACCTTCCTCGCGTTATCAAAGAGCCATGCCAGATATAATCGCAGAGTTGCCTCCCAAATCACTTTGTGATCGTCTATTTGAGTCATTTGTCCTCTTCTGTCATCCAGTAGCACCATTAGTTCACGTTCCTACTACTCGAACGGACTATGAGTTATTCTGGGAAGCAAGCACAGGAAGTAAGAGCGCTAGGACGGCATTATGCACCCCTCTGATCACGGCAATCTTGTTCGCTGGAGCCAATGCTTGCGAGGAGTCTGTTATCACTAGCATCTCGGGCCGCCGTAAAGGCGAGGTGATCGCTGATCTGCATCTCTTGACTGCCAAAACGCTGCGTTATGCCAACTTCCCTAGAACTCCCACAATCGAATCCTTCATCGCCTATATTACTATCCAGAACACTTGTATGAGAGGTATTCTTGTCACTCAACAAATGCTATAGCTTGCTGACTCCGCGTAGAGGAACAGCCTTTAACCTGCTGGTGCGTCGATGTGCAATATGTTTCTTGTCTTCCTGCTGACCGCTCCCTAGCTCATACGCAGGAACTGCGGTTCGTGTTGCACAGATGCTTGGGTGCAACCGCGATCCATCCTCCCATCCACTTCTAACGCCGATTGTTGCCGAAGTCCGGCGGCGAGTAGTCTGGCAGGTATTTTATCTTGACACTTTGGTAGCATTAGCAGCCGGACTTCCGCCTCTGATCGATACCGAATCATGGTCAATACGCCTAGTGAGCGAGTTGAAAGACGAGTTTATTGGTACAGCTGAAGGCGCAGCTTATGAGGAACTTGTCAGAACGGGAGAACGAGCACTAGACCAAGCTATCGAAAACTCTTTCGTACCTGCCTCGGGAATTTTTGTTGCAGGGAAATATCATCAAGCTGGTATGACTCTACACCCAGGACTGGAGGAAATGCTAACAAAAATAGTTGTGACACGAGCAGTCATGACGAAGCTCAACGGACAGCAGCCCTTGACGGATAAGGTTCTCGTTGATATTCAGAACGAACTCGAGGCTTTGAATACGAACATATCGTCCCGCCGGGAACGACTTGAGCATTCTCATAGCCAAGTACCGCAAGATCCCAGTGACATATTTGCCAAGTGGGCGGGGCTGCTCCTCTCAGGTCTAGCAGATAGGAATTGGAGCTACCTGTACTACCCACTGTCGCATGTATCGGACGGGTCCAAATGGCAAGAAACACTCGACCAGTAAACAAAGCCTTTCTCACACCCTTTCTTCATACTGACTGAGATCAGAGTACTGCAACATAGCCGTAGCTACGTCGAGAAGATGGTAGCACTAACATGCTTGAAAGAGTTCGGACCACTTCAGTGGTCGTGGCCTGGGTCAGTTTCTGAGATTTCACCTTATTTCCTCCACCATCTTACTTTAATCAGGATCCATCAACCTCTCCACGCCGTAATGGTACTGGTCCGTCACGTGAACAGATTCCCCCATTCACCTCACTGCGAAGCCAACAGACAGGCAGTCGACGAAGCACTCGCACTTTGCGGCCCCGATGGAGGAATGACCGGTGTCCACGAAGGACGAGTGAATCGTCGTCCATTGAGAGAAGGCGGAGAAGCAGCCTGGGATTTGATACGTCGTCTGAGAGCACAGGCCTGGCTCAAGGCTGGCGTAGATCCCGATGTTCTGTTGACAAGAGATGAAACCGCGGAAAGGATGAAGATGCGTCTAGCGGATCAGGACATTACTGGACAATGGGCAGCAGAGCCTCAGTTTGATTTTCAGAACCAGTTGGGGCTATTGACTGAGGAGGAGCTTCTGGGTGCTATTGATCCATCGATACCGCTCGACGCGGATATGGATTGGGCGCAATGGGAGTGAAATTGTCTTAATGGATTCAGACTTTTCCGAATGGATCCTCCTTGTTCCGCAATTGCATTTGTAAGTGTGGTGATCATATCGTTGTTCACTTGGGTGTTCAGTAATTTTGGCCACCGCTTGGGGTCGAAGGGATGGTTGATTCCAGAGGTCAGAAGAAATATCCTTATGGACATGATAAGTAACTTGGGGGGTTGCGTAGGACTAGATTGAAGAGACAGCATAAGCAAGAGACGGCTGGCCGCAAGGCCGAGAAGGTCAAACGAATCAAGATTGGGAATTCGCTTGCGTAACGAATGCAAGAAGCGACCCCGCCTTGAGAGGTTCTTGATCAAGATTCCGCATATTTATAAAATTCTAAATTCTCCTTCTATTTCTCGTAAAATAACAAAATTAGCAGAGACCTTCCGCCATCCGTTCACTTTTACCATCACTCGTCCTACGTAGCTCGCTTGCTCCCTCTACTTTCGGCTTAGCTCTAGCTAACTCATATATAGTTTTAAATAAGCGTTCTTTACTCCAAGAATTAGCAGCCGAGTTAGAGCATATCGATTTAAGAGATAGTAATCCGCTCAAAACAAAGCAAGGCCGGATTAGGAATGGTTAACCGTACCGAAAAGAGGCCGCTAAGGATAAACAATGGTTCGCCCTTGTACTAAGCAGTTCATCATGACCCGTCTCATCATGATGAGCTGTTAATGTTTTGTCAATTTTTTTAATGATTCTTTTGGAGTCATGGTAGGACAAGGAGCCGCAGAACCCCGCACCCCCTATCCCACTCTCGCTTAGCATACCGGGTCAATCGCGGGACGCAACGGCAGCTTGTCCCAACCTGGTTGGCCACTAATGACGTTCCCTCCTAGGTTGTCTAAATATCCTGCTTTTGCAAGACACTTTAATTGAGCCGCCTCCAACAATATAAGGCAAAAAAGACGAGTGTCGAAGTTCTGAGATTGACGACAAGGATTCGCAACTCAAATGCAGGGTTGACGTCATTTTTTACCCCACACTTTGAGGCAACAAAATCATTGCATGTGCTTGAACTTGGAGCTTTCACATATATCGGATTCTTGATATACAGTGTATCCATTTCTCTTCTTCTCTGCCACACAACATATAAAGCTTGAATCTAAGCCCTATCACCGTCCAAAATGGCAGACCAAGCAGCAGACAAAGCAGCAGACAAGATCTCAGATCAAATAACCCAAGAATTCAAAGACCAAATCCCCGAAGTCCCATCAAAAGATTCCTCCAAAGAGAAGATCCTGAAATACGCCTCGGACCGACTCAAAGCCGCCGAGGATGCAGAGGCTAAAGCTGCCGCCGCGAGGGAACGAGCGGAGGCTTGCGAGGACCCGGAAGAGAAGAAAAAGATATTAGCAGAGGCGGAGAAGGAGGAGAGGAAGAGTAAGGCGGAGATGAAGGCTGTGAATCGGATACAGAGTGGGGTTTGGCAAGGGGCAGGAATGGGTGGAGGGATGGGAGCGGGGCTGGGGATGGGTATTGGGGCAGGTGTGGGGACGTTGCTGGGTGGTGTGGTTAGTATACCTACGACGGGGTTGGGGATTCTTGCTGGGGCTGGAACGGGTGCGATTCATGGGCCTTGGTTTAAGTTGCCGGGGGCAGAGGGAATGAAAGAGAATAGGGGTGACGAAGAGGGCGGAGAAGGGAAGGTAGAAGGTGGAGGGGAAGGATGATTGAGTGAGAATGAGTTGTTCCGGTCGACAGGACATTTGTTCTGAAAAGTCGCGGAAATGCATCCCGCTTCTTTGTTAAAGTACACTTATATGGAAACACGGCAAGGCGTTGGGGCGTAGAAAGCATCTTTCGTATACCTATTGACAAGCGTACATCGCGATTTACAAAAGTCCTCAACCGCCTTGGATCATTGATGTCTTGGAGAACAGCGATATTGGGACTTGGCTTTGGGGAAAAGGTGGCAAGATTGTAAGACTAAAATGTTTGGAGATAGACGTCTGGTCAACCAAATTGTCCCAGCATTTCCACAATTTAGATATGATGCAACAAGGTCTGATCAACCATGACTGTGAAGATCGTATGCTCTTCACCAAGGTTGTAAATCGAGATGGTAGGAAACTGGTGCAGAGGGATCAGTAAAAACATCTTAAGTATCCGCCTCTTGGAACTGGTGATTAATGACTTTCATGGTTCAATTATGTATATCTCTGTAGACATCAGAATTTTCAAATCTATTTTTAACCTCCGCGCCAATTTCATCATCTATGATCGATCTAATATCCCTTCTTCTTGTCCACCTCATTGATCAACTTCTCCCCTTTCTCAATATGCGTCAAATTCCTCTCCAGAATCTCGAATGTCCTGTTCGCATACATAGTCCCCAGTCCACTCACGTGTGGCGTGACAGCTACATTTTTAAGATCCCACAACTCATTGTCCTCAGGCAAAGGCTCGGGATCCGTTACGTCCAACGCAGCACCTCTCAGTCCGCCTTCTTCTGGTGTCTTCTTAAGAGCCTTGATTAAATCATCCTGGACCAGAACTGCTCCTCGTGCAATGTTGACGATGAATGCATTGGTTTTGCCTAAGATGGCAAACTCTTCCGCTCCGAGCATATGCTTCGTTTGCTCGGTTAGCGGAACGGAGATAAGTAGGACATCGATATCTTGCTTCAAGAAATTGTGCAGTGAGGGTTTGTCGAGTCCAGAGTACCATTCCGAAGGGATCAAGCCATCCTCATCTCCCGTGCCGGGAACGATATATCCAGAGTCTTTCTTGCTCTCGGGTGTTTTGCGTGGAGATGCTGTGTAAGCAATCACATCCATTCCCATAGCTTTGCAGATACGTGCAGCTTCGACTTTGTCAGCCAATGCTCGTAAAGGCAAATGTGAATGTGGAATTCCTCACTTTGACGCCCAATTGCGCCATATCCAAGGACTCCGAGCCGTTGCCCCACGGAATCTCTCACGAATCCAACTTCGGTATGCGGCCCCCATTTATGCTGCTTTTGCCACTCAACCATCAGTTTCTCTTTGTGAGAGTTGGTGAGGATTTGCATGATGACCCATTCTGCGATTTGAGGTCCATGAACTCCTGATGAGTTAGTGATAGGGATGTCTGTATCTTTCCATATTGGTGATTCGGCGAGGTGATTGGCTCCCGCGCTTCCAAGATGAATTAACTTCAAGTTCTTGATGATATCGAGATTTGGAGGCAAGATCTGGAATGTCACGAGAATCGTGGCCTTTCCCCATATTTCTAGTAAACGTTAGTATTGATATCAATTAACAGTAAATTGAATGTTGATATCTACCTTCAGGGATGCTGCTGTCGCCCATCCGCCAACCTTGGAAGAAAGTGATGAAACGATAGTCGATCTTAACTTGGGAATGTTTCTTCTTGATCTCACTTAAAATACCCTCCATCTTTTCGTCAAGTGGAAATGGAAGGGCAATGAGTATATACTCCCTTTCGGGAGTTGGAGCGTCTCCCATGATTATCGACGTTAAATTTGAACACGATCTGTCACAATCCGAAGCATAGAAGGAAGCCGGCAAGCTCGGGGAAGGCGATGTTTTATATGAGACGGGAGCTCACTTCAGCTCGGTTAGATGAGAAAACGTGCTTAAATGATCATTCTGTTGTGAGATTTTGGCGCCGGGTTATAGATTCATGTAAGCTACGTAAGAGTTGGGGCCACCGCGAACGGCCCACTCGCCATTCTACACCAAAACGCGCCTCTTTTATTAAATTATATTTTTACAACATTTTTATAAAATTTTATAAAATTAAAGATTCGAATTAAACTTTATATAAAGTTAATTATATAAAGAACGCGAAAATTTATAAGGCATTTTGCAAGAGTTGTTTAGAGGTAAAGAGAGAAGAGGGGTAAAAAAGAAGTGAAATCGCTTCATTTATATGTAAATTTTAAATTTTTTGAAAATTTTCTACTTTAGCTACGTACCGTTTCTATAATTTCCTTTTAATTCGATTTCTGAATCGTACAAAATAAATTTTTAATACTAATTTGATCTCAATTCGTTTTCTATTATTTTTTATTAAAGCATTGTAATAATATACTATTTTGCAAAAGGGGTGTTTTGGTGTAAAATGGTGGGGTGGGCCGCTCCCGCTGGCCTCAGCTCTTACTAAAAGAGTGCGGTTTCCGATGTCACCAACCCCGCTGCACCTTTCCGCCCCTGGGCCCCACTCTGGTGAGGCTAAGATAACCGCGATAGGCTTTTGAAGGCTTGACGGACGAGGTCATGGAAATGTTTCACGTCTGTTTGGTAATTTGGGAAAGTTTCGTTCCGATATTGCAGTGACTCGAGTCCTCTTTTATAAATTGCATTCGAACAAGTCTTCCGTGAGTACCTCACGGTGGACAAAAAAACCCGGACGAAATAGACACTTCAAGAACAACAACCTCGCTTCACAACTATATTAAACTATCAATACTTAACGCATACTCATAAAATTATATTCGATAAAAAAAACCCTAAATCCCAGCTATCTAATGAATTAATTTCTTTATTTTCCCGATTTTTCTAAGACGTCGGAATTAAGAATTAAATAAAGTGTATTGCTCGAACTATCGCTTAATTAGTCCGGGTTTTTTTGTCCACCGCGAGAGTACTTAAGAGAATCTAACGAATTATCAAGTGCTGGGAGATTTATAGAACTAGACAAAAGATCAAAGTGGTATACTGCATGGTAAAATCTTCGTTGTTGGTATTAGCGACTCGTGCCTCAAGATTTAATAAGAGAGCAGCGGAAATAGAGTTCATGCAAAAGTCGAGCTCTGAGTCTTATCCTACAGGGAAACTTTATTTCGAAGGCTGCTTCTCGGCCATCGCATCATGCTCATCAATGTCTGTGGCCTCCCAGGGATAACAAATCCAAACGTCTCCAACTGTCCGAGCTGCCAAATATCTATTGTCCTTGAGCATATCGTCTGGCAAGCTTCCCTTCTTACTCTTGTCTTTGTTCTGGAGAATTATCAGCATCTTATTTTGTCGAGGCTTTCAGCCTCGTGGTATTTGACGAATTCGGCTTACATGTAACACGAAAACCGAGAAGACAGTCTTTTCACCTTTACCACCAAGCTTCTGTCTGGCAATCTCGACATCTTTCTCTAGTTCTTTAACGGCATATTCCAAGGTTGTCCTAGTATCATCGACCTCGTCCACGATCAGGATGCGCTTGCCAACCAAGTTCTCCATCTCACCAAGACTCGTTAAGTCCAACCATTGCGTTCGAGTAACCTTCGTACCGAGTTGTTCGATATCTCCAGGAGTGTTTGCGCCTGAAGGGTGGTTCGAGGGAAGAGCTTCGTAGAGGGAAAGGCCAATAGCTTGGATGGGGATATTTGGAGATCCAGGCTGCTTGAGAAATGATCGCAGAATGCGCGCAGGAACATATCCACCACCTCCAATGGCGATCATAAGCTGAGGTCGAAATTCCTCCAAAATTCGTGGGGCTGCCTCCTGGCAGAGCTTGTGGACCTAGGCCGGGCTGTCAGATCTCGGCCTTGTGAGGGGCAATATGAGGGGTCGCAAATACCTGGTTATAGGTCACGTACTCTTTGACGACCATTTTGGTTTGTGAGGAAGCTGGAGATGTGCAAGAAGATATCAAAGATCAAAATGCCCTCGAGGGTGCAACTTCAGTTGGGATTACTCCAAAACTCCAAGGACAAAAATTGTGAGTAGTGGGGAAGCTTAAAGAGTGCAGAAAGGCTAGCGGATCTCGCCTACCAGACTCGGCGTAGACTCAAAGACGCTTTAAATTCACCCCAGGTGTGCGTTCAGAACTCGCTGGCGGTCTGAAGTCCAGCTCTCCTTCGGAGAAGAAAGTGGTGGATTTGACGAAATGCGCAATCTCTAGCTAATGCACAGAATCATCAACGATTGTCTTAGATGTTTGAGAGAAGTTTGAGGTTAAAACTTATTTGGGTATTTCTCTGGGATTTCATAAGACGAAAACCTTTTTGAAATGTGAAATATTGAGAAATAGATAATTCAAGACTTGATCTTGACGTTGTCGCCTGTCAAAAACGGCAACCTTTTTCTCCGGTTGAGGTCCTGGTTAGAAAGTGCATTTAGTTCCTGAAGGTGTATGTCTATCGACCGTTTTTCCCCATCAAGGTGGCTTGGTAGGCATGTCAGCCTTGCATTCAGCCTTGACGAAACTTGTATCGTTCTTGTCGAGTCATAGTTGACCTCCCAGTCAATGTCTTTCCATCACCTTGAGAAGTCTCTCGATATTGAAAATCTAGGAGATCTGCTTTCTCACCCCAAAGTCGTTTCTCAGCATTGGCGGGGTTAATGCAACATGATCTGACGTCAAGTCCGGGGCGTCATGTACGCCGAAACTCCGTTTACATATCTTCATATGAATGTAAGCTCTCTTCACAGTTGTCTCGATCCTTAGAATCTACTAGTAGTCAGCTATTTATTTAATTTACTTCAGCCTCAGCTTACACCAGTGAATCTACAGAATGGCTCAGTCACCACCAGATCTGAAGATCCCGTCCTCTTCCACCATAGTCCAAGTTCGGATCATCGACACGACTTCTCACATTGAAGGGATTTCGATCGCTGGTTTCATCGAACCTCATATCAAAGGATTCGATACCCTAAGCTGCCCTGCATTTTCATTTCTTATCGAGCATCCGTCGGGTCGAAAAGTCCTCTTTGACTTAGGCGTCCGGAAGGACCATGAGAACTACGCCAAGAATATTGTCAACCGAATCAAAGACGGAGGATGGAAGGTTATTGTCAAGCAAGGGGTTAAGGAGCAATTAGAGGCCAATGGAGTTGATGGAAAGAGTATTGAGGCTATCATCTGGAGCCATTGGCATTGGGATCACGTTGGAGACCCCTCGACTTTCGAAAAAGACACAGCTTTGATCGTCGGTCCTGGTTTCAAGAAGAGCTTTACTCCTGGATATCCCCAAAACCAGAATTCGCCCATCTTGGAGAGCGATTACGAAGGAAGAGAACTGAGAGAAATTGCTTTCGACCAAAACCTCAAAATTGGACGATTCAATGCTTTCGATTATTTTGGCGATGGATCTTTCTACATCTTGGACAGTCCTGGACATGCTATCGGCCATATTTGTGGACTTGCAAGAATGAGCTCGAGTCCAAATTCCTTCATATTTATGGGAGGTGACGCCTGTCATCACGGGGGAGAATTCAGACCGACACAATATCTGCCAATTCCATCATCCATCTCCCCGAATCCTTTCGATATAAAGAGCAGCAAGCCTTGTCCGGGTTCTCTCTTTGATGACTTGTACCGAGATGGAGACAGAACGAAGCCATTCTATGCTATTGCTCGACTTCCGGATGGAAAAGGCGTTGCCCACGATGTAGACGAGGCTGAGGAGACGATCAGCAAAGTCATGGAAGCAGATGCTCATGATGAGATCTTCGTTGCGATGGCGCATGATGAGAGTCTGCTTCCTGTCGTGGATTTCTTTCCTAAATATGCCAATGATTTTAAGTCCAAGGGATGGGTTCAGGATACTAGATGGTTGTTCTTGAAGGATTTCGCTAAAGCTGTTGGTCATTGATGGCGCTCTGTCTGTTTGTTATGTCTTGAGTGTTTTCTACTATGACATTCTTAGAATTTGCCACTTGAGATGTTTTGTTTTGTTATGTTTTCGTGTGTTACGACTGTGCTACGCTTTCTTCCTCGTTGATGTGTGGTTGTCTGACTATGGATGCGCTTTCCGGAGACCTCTTTTCGGAGCGAATATCTCTTCAGATCTGGTGGTCGTTCGTTCTTATGTGATTAAATAGTAATTGGTCATGACTGTCGAAGCTTCATGCATATATTTCTCTCCCTCGCGTTCGGAGCCTGGTGAGCCTTCGACTTGGCCGAGACCAATGTCTAGGGGTAACAGCCCATGCCGCCAAGCAAAGGCGCTCAAACTTCCCCAATCCTACGCCAAAGCCTCCCAAAGCTAAGCTGATCGACAACCGAGATAGGCTGACATTTACCAAGATCAAGATACATGAGGCTACTCCTATGACAGGACATGAATGATTTCGCCCCCAAGCGGCGCTGTAAATGCGATACTAGCCAAGCCAATTCCCAGCCTGACCCTACTTTCTGGGGCTTTCTTCATGCTGTAAGTTCCTTTCTTCTTTCTTCCTTTTCTCTCACGAATGCAAGACCTTCGTTTTGTGGCCTTGGGGTAAGTCGAGATACATGGCTTCTCCAGAGGTGTACACGCATTCAGACCTCGAAGTCGTCCTCGAAAGACGATCGTTCCTAAGCCTTACGGGGCTTCCCCGGATTACTATGGGCCTGGGACGAACTCGGCGGTGCAAGAGCGGCGGATATGTGGACTCAGAACAACGACATTCCTTCTGAGTTTGGCCTTGTTACTCGTGGTACTCGCTGCTGCAATTGGAGGTGGAGAGGGCGGTAGCATGGCGGTAACCAATGCAAAGAAGTAAGACAGCACGGCGTTCCCACAATTGAAGCTTATCATTAACCTTGAATCCAGTCGCTACAAAGATCAATACTGCGTCGCCTCAACGACAAGTACCACCACAACAGTTACCGCAACAAGCACCACCACCACTACCACCACAACTACCACAACCTCAGATTCAAGCGCGTCGACGTCCACCTCCGCATCAACAATCACCGTCCCGACCTCCGGCTTCATATCACTCGACTGCCCCGCCCTAGACGCCACCACCCTTGGCATCACGCTCCAGAGCACCTCCCTCTTCACCGTAACCTGCGGCCAAGACTTCTCAGGCCCAAACCACGATATCGATATCCTCGCACTCGTTGTTTATTCCCTCGAAGACTGTGCCATGGCTTGCGCGAGCTATAATCTGAACTGGAAATCAACAATCTGTAAAGCGGTGCGATTTAACGCGGACTTGGGTCAGGTGGGGATTAATTATGGGACTTGTTGGCTGAAGAATGGGACGGGGACCATTGAGAGTAGTAATAGCGATACGAGTGCGGGGATGATTTTGCAGACCTGATCTTGGAGCATTTGGGATGTGCGTGGGTTAGAGATGCGTTAATGCTTCAATATACTAGTATACTATAAATTCCAGCGGGCATTTGTTCATAACTTGATGCAGGTAGATACTCAGTAAGGCCTTTAGACTGGTTTACTGTTCTTAAGCTTTGATCTGAAGTCATGGTTTCGTGAATTCAATGCTATGTGGTGGTCAGAACATTGCCATTGGGAAAGTCATGAAAAGCAATATCACATCTGATATGAGAATGAATATAAATAGGAATGAGTACCCATTTGGGCAATGCAATCAGCGCAATTCTTGGTATTATTGAGTGAATCTTGGAAGGCCCCATCAAATAGAATGTCTGTATTTATAACAGACGTTCGCCGGGGCATATTGTTTGATTAGAATTCGGACACGCAAGAAGGAAAGTGTCAAAAATGTGCGGCGGATCCTGGCATCAGGAGCGGTAACAAGCAAAGTGATATATATTTCAGCTCAACAACTCATTATCATGCATATCGTCAGACACATCCCTCACAATGGTGGCATCAGCAATCCAACCATAGCTCGTACAGCGCCGAGAGGACCCTTTTCCTTCTTCAGCTTTTCAAAAGTTTCAGGCACCTTGCTGAGGCTGCTTCGCTCATCGGCATGTTGCCCTGTTCTCGATTAGCATGTTGGAGTTGCAAGGATGTAGGTAAACATACAAATCTTTGGTACCCTGGCAGCCGCCGCGATTGAGCTGTCGACCTCGCCTGTCCAGTCGAAATTTATCTTCCACTCGAATCTCACCTCTACGTCCTCGTTCGAGAGCTCCATGCTACTTCGTCCGAAGTGCGGTAGTAGCTGTTTCCTGGTCCACTTGCTCTTCTCATGCTCATCCTCGACACCTTCCACAGAATCCTCATCATTGTCAATGACTGAGCCGAGACGTTTCCGCTTCCTTTTTCTTTGTAGAGATTTTATTCTCGCATCTGGTGTACCAAGTTCTTGTTCGACAGCACACCAGAATTGTGCCCGTCTGATCGAGACTTCAACCCAACGAGACATTGCCCAGCAGATGACTGTGATATCTCTTCCAAGAGGTCCTTCGTCTCTTGCTCGTCCTCGGATGAACGTTCCAAGTTCTTTCTCCGCATTCATGTCAAGTCGAAGAATATCAACAGATGATATGGACAGCGCTGAGGTATCCACTGTCATCGCGAAACGAGTCGTGAAGAGGCTAGATGGGTGAGAAGCTGTTATAATATGTTTCTGCATGAGCGACTGCTCTAGCTCTTGTGAAGCAGTATCCGATGAGGTCAGGTCCGATGGGAGTAGAGTGATGGTCGATGTATAGTTGAGACCAGAAAATGCTTGAAGATAGGGTAATGGATCGTCGAGCGCAATAGGGAGATGAGAGGGAGGTGGCTTTTCTGAAATAGGCAAAGGCGCAGCTCTCGTTTTCGGATTGAATGGAAGAAAGGTGCTGATTGATTTGAAGATGCTTGAAGGTTTTGGCTTCGGCTTGACCGGCCGTTCGAGTGCTGTAGCCCTTGTCAACATAGCAATAAGCTCATCCGGATCCGCAGTAGCAGCTTTCTTTTTCCTCGATTCTGCCTGCCGGCGCAATCGCTCGTTCTCTTGGTTTGCTAGAGCTACATCCGCCCGCAGTTGCTGAAGCTCATTCAAAAGATCATCACGAGCCTTCTTCTTGGCAGCGTGGGGGTCTTCAGGAATCAGAAACCTGGCCGACTTTCGTCGTTTGACTGGTTCTTCTTGAGCCTTCTTCTGTTCCTTCTGCTCTTCTTGGGGTTCAGCTTGTTTCTCTTTCACGGAAACCTGAGGAGGTGGGTCTCGCGGCTTCAGAGGCGATGACTTGAGCTTCGCGGATAGCGCCTTGCTCCTCCTCGCTCTCTTGCTGGGCGTATCGTGGATTCCTGTTGGTGGTGTAGTGACGATTGGATCTGGTATCCCCCTCTGAGTTGGCGTGGGAGGTAGCTCCGGCTCAGGACGCTCAGGGCGACTCACAGGAAACAATGCTGTCATTCCTTGTCCTCTGGGTGATCTTGGGGGCTCAAGTGAGCCTAGTAGCTCTTCGGGAAGTACAATACCATCTGACGGAGGCTCATCTTGCTGTGGCAGCGACGCTTCGTGCACGATATCAGCAATGCTAGATAAAGGAGGTGCTGGCTCAGTCGGAGTTGTGGCAACATAGGCTGGAGCCTCTATAGGAATTTCTGCTTGCTGGGCACGGTGGGTTGAAGGCGTTGGCATCGTTGGGGCGGTCTTGGTCGTTGAACGGTAGGCGGGAGCCTCAACTTGCGGAGGCTCGACATTCTCAACTGGCTGTGACGAGACAGGTGATCTTCTCAAGCCAGTCTTGCGGAATGGATTGATGTTCTCTTGTTGACTCTGTTGAACTTCTTGCTGGGGCAATAATTCAGCCTGGCCAGGCACCGGTGACCTTCTCAAGCCTTTCTTTTGGAACGGATTGAAGTCCTCTGGTAATCCTTTCGTTGGATCCACTTCTGGAAATACAGTAGGTGTTTTGTTAGGTCTCTTGACTGGAGATCGTGATGGTCTTCTCGGTTTTGTAGAAAGTCCACCCCCAACAGGCTTTGTACTGCGAGCTTTCGGTGTGGATGCTCTTGGCTGCTGTGTTTGTAAATCCTCAGGCTCATTCTCTTCGGTCGTTGACATTGATTTTGAACCCTCTCTGTCTGCTCCAGAAATTACAGACTGTCCTACAGGAGGAGCAGTTTCTCCCAAAGCTTTTGCAAACACATCTTGTAGATTCCTTCCCCGACTGCTAGGCCTCACTGATCCAGCTCCTGAGGACGATGGTCTGTTCAGCAATTGAGGATTATGTCTTGCTAAGCTTGCCTTCGTCGGAGAAGCAAACGATGGTCTACGAGCTGAGGTCTTCGCCGCACTTTGTGAAGCAATCGGTACAGGTATTCGACTCGGTGTCGCAGGCGCGTCGATTGCAACGGAAGTGGTGGGCGATGTTTTGCGCCGTTTGGCTGGTGAATCTGCCATTGATGATATGAGCTTCAATCACCGTTTCTCCATAATCTGCCAGAGGAGTTCCACGCCGGGCAGTGTTCTCTCGACGATGTGGTGTTGCGCTGAGGGGTTGTCGAATTATTTGGTGTTGAGAATCGCGTAGGCATCAAATCTCGACGCGACGAGGGGCCTGCTAGCGACCGTACACACTAACGGGCTCAATTCAACAGCTTCAACATACACTTACAATAGGATTTGGAGTCTATTTGAAAATTCACGAGATAAAACTTGATATTCCACGATTATGCCAATTCACCCAGATTTGACAACTAATACTTCTGTCACGAGACCATCTGCAGCTGCTGATAAACAATCCATCCGATGACGTCCAAAGGCGACCGAGGCGATTCCGAGTACTTTTCAAAACATCTTGCTGCTGAGTACATTTAGCTGGCATTTCAACAGAACACCTCCAATGTTTTCACGATAACGTCTACTTCCTCCTTTCGCACAAGGAGGTCTACTATCTACAATAGAATGGAAACAAGATTCCTTCTTCGCGCATGCCAACGTTCTCGAATTTCTTCTCTCCGCCACATCTCTCTCGTTCGCAATGCTTCCAGCTCCACCAAGTCCTCAACTCAGCAAGCAAATCCTATAGGTGACTACTATGCCTCAATACTAGATTCGTCTACTCCTACAATTACCAGCAAGCCACCGACAACCGCTACACCTTCTACCGCGCCCCCAATATCTACAAAGAGCGATGATGAAGACTCTGGTCCTAGCATTCTCTTCTCCTCGCGGCTGAGTTCGCCTCTAGAACGAAGATCAGAAATAAAGAGAAAGAGTGTGCTGGTAGCAGGAGTATGGGTCCCTCCGCGGCCGACAGAGCCAGACAATTGCTGCATGAGTGGGTGTGTGAATTGTGTCTGGGATCGATATCGAGATGAGCTTGAGGAGTGGGCTGCTGCAAGACAAGAAGCAGACGTTGCCCTGAGAAAAGAGAAGGGACTAGAGAAAGGAAGAAAGCGGAGGAAGAGTGGCGATGGTATATCTGGAACAGGCTTGATGCTCGGCGAAGGAGAAAAGGGAGCATCACACACCTTGGTCAGTATGGATGATGATGGAGGCGGCAGTGAGACAAATTGGGGGACTGGGTTGGAGACAGATTTTACCAGTGAAGACTTGTTTAAGGGTGTTCCAGTTGGGATCAGAGAGTTCATGAAGCAAGAGAAGAGATTAAAAGAGAAGCATGCTAGAGAAGGCACAACTGGATGATAGAGGCATAATATACCACATGAACAGAGGCACAAGTAGTGTTGGTGCGAAGGCTTGGTTTGGATTTTCAGAGCGTTGTAGCATACCCTTAAAGGGCAACCTGTATTATGTGCCTTCTCCTTAAATCAACGCCAGCAGAATGCTTTCAGTATGCTGACTTAGTCGACCTCGACACCCTTGGTTCTCAAATCCTCTCTCGCCAAATCGATTTCCTTCATCAATTCTGCATGTGCCTCTGGTACGTCGTTAAATGTGAGAACACCGTATCCGAGTTTAGCTAGGAGGTAGGAGCCGAAGGAGACGAGTGCCCAGAGAGGAAGCTAGATGAACTAGTCAGTCAAGAGGTTACAGATGTGGTCAGGGATCCACGAATGGTGGAAGAGGGGAGTTCTGGCTCTGCCATGTGGGATGCTGGAGCAGCAGAAATATGGCGACTGAGCCAGTCGAGACGCCCAAGTCCCACGAGGAAATGAAGGGTAATCGTAACGTACAACAGGTATTATCTCTTCTGAGATTATGCTTGGAAGTGGGATAAGTTGTAAGAAGAGAGCAAGGTAGAGCTGAGTCTGTTAGCTATGCTACTTTTAGCTGGACTGGCTGGTGAAGTATAGGCGTACTGATGCGAATAGCAGTCCAATGGACACGGTTTGCTGTGCTCGAGTCATTGTCGCAAGTGAATAATCGACAGTTTTTGACGATTATGAAGTTGTTCTCCGCACTGTGTCTGAATAAAGGAATGTGGTTCGTAAGGAGGTGTGTTGGCAGCTAGAAGACACTTTTCCAAGCTCCATCGCGAAGCCAGCTCGTGTTAAAAGGGGTCACGTGTATTCATGCGAACTTAATAGAATGATATTAAAAATGGAATGATCAGATCAATTCAGATAGCCGTTCAATTATCATTTATTTGTATGGTTTGGTATGTTTCGCTTTATTGTAAGCAGCTTCTACGAGTAGGGGAGATATGTCGACGCAGACAAGAGAATGTGACTCTCGACCGATCATCTGCACCTAGGCAGTATCATGTAGAAGCATTCGGGCAGGACAAACGTAGATATTCAGAAAGAACATGTAGATTGAAGGAGCGAAGAGTTAGAACTCCACCTAGGCGCATCGGAACCCTCGCAGGGGGTTACTGGTGATCAGTTCGAAGAGATATCATTCCGACTGACATGGCAGGCAACCAAGAGATGGCCTGGGCAGGAATTTCTGCGACGTACGAGAAGAATGCCAGTACCGACACTTCTTAAGCTTCCAGGAACGAAGGCATATCGCACTCATACATACATATTTGATCTTCTTCCTCATGCCACAGCTCGAAGCTGCGTCCATAATGAAAAGGATGGGTTCTCCAACAGGAGATGGCAATCAAAAATTCCCCCGATGACGTCCCCGAAGGAAAGTCAATTCGTCTAGACGCCCCGGTGTGCAATGGAGGTCTCGTCGAACAATCAAGGCTATTCATGAGCAGCCCGATTTCAAGAAGGTAAGTATGAAGAGAAAAAGTTGGAATTCAGGAGGGAGAGTCAGCTTATATACCCGAAAATGAGTCCAGACGCTAGGAGCTTCAATACAGGCTAGACTGTATTAGCTGTAGCGTCGTACTCATGTGACTGGTGGAGTTCTTGATGCCTTGATGCCTGATTACTCCCACACACGAGATTTTTGACAAATTCAGTAGCGAATTCAAACTTTCGAGATTTCGACATCCCCAATTCCACGACAATCTTGATCGCGACACGACAAAATGGCGATCAAGCACAATCAGCAAATCCCGCACAACCGTTCGTACTACAGGAACCATTACAATATCTGCAAATACTAATTGCCCTCAGATTTCCGCAAGGATTGGCAGCGAAGAGTCCGCGTTCACTTCGATCAGGTAATTCGCACATATCGAGATATACTACTAGCAGATTCTGACAAACAATTAAAAGCCCGGCCGAAAGCTCAGACGTCGCAATGCTCGTCTCTCAAAGGCAGCTGCTGTCGCCCCTCGACCAGTTGACAAGCTGAGACCGATTGTCCGATGCCCTACGATCAAGTACAACCGCCGTGTTAGAGCTGGACGTGGCTTCACCCTCACCGAGTTGAAGGTGAGAGATATCTGGGAACGGGACTATGTGTAGATTCTGACAAAATGTAGGAAGCTGGTATCCCCCGCAAGCTCGCACCAACGATCGGTATCTCTGTTGATCCCCGCCGCCAAAATCTCTCCACCGAATCTCTCGCTGCCAACGTCGAGCGCCTAAAGGCATACCAAGCTCGTTTGATCCTCTTCCCCCGCAAGTTGGGTCAACACAAGAAGGGTGATGCTTCCAAGGAGGACGTCTCTGCGGTCAAGGAAACCGTTTCCCGCGTCAAGCATGGTCTTCCAATCGTCAACGCTGAGGCTGGATTCACCGAGATCTCGAAGAATGATCTGCCTGAGGCTATCGAGGGTGGTGCATACAGAAAGTTGAGAGAGGCGAGATCCGAGAAGAGATACCTGGGTGCGCGTGAGAAGCGGGCGAAGGAGAAGGCTGATGAGGCCGCTGCTGCTAAGAAATAAAGGGCATCATCTGGTTTGCTGGGTCTTTTATCTGTTTGCGCGGGTTGGCTGGAGGTCACAATAGCAGCATTCAAGGGATTGCTTAGGTGTACTTTCATGAACGCAATGGCTACGCATCATCTGGACTTCTTCTGGCAGTGTTACATGTGAAATCTGGTCGTGTGTGCAAGGCAAACGTGGGAATACTGGTCATTCAACGATTCCTGACTCCATTATCAGTCCTACATCTGCAGCTAACATCTGATTGACCTTTTGATATAGTCTTATGGCCAACCATGACGTGATTGTGGCGCTGGATATTTCGACCCATTCAAGGCAAATCCAATGAACCAAAACTACTGAGCGAAAGTACACAGAGAACAGGACGAACATATAAAGGACCAGTTCACCAAGACCAGGACAGAGATTTCGAAGACTAGACAGACGTCAGTCCCAAAGCAATCTAACAAGAAAACTTTACATCAACCTACCATCACCATGAACAAGTCTACGGAAACTACAACTGCACGGCCGCAAGACACAGATTCATGTCCACGATGTCATGCTTCTGGTTTTCAAGGTCAATGCTTCTCCTGCGGGTATGGCGCAGGTATTGGATTGTCCAAACCTGTTGAATAGATCTGTGATGGTATCATTAAATTGGAATGTAAGATAATTTTGTTCTAGAGCTTATGAGAAAGTACGACTGGGAAAAGTAGATTCACCGAGAGAGAAGGAAATTTACGTATTTTTCGCGTCGTTTTTGCTCCACTCCATTCTTACAATGTTAATTCATACCTAGGTCGTATTCCTCTTGGATTGTCCCACAACCTCTGGAACATTATTATTTTATATTCTAAAATCTACTGTTATTGATCATGGACTCATCCTCCAACCTCATAGATCCATCCATTCAGATGGTTCTGGCATGAATCACAACGAGTCACTTCTTTTCCTTGCTACTCTATTATATAATGGAGGATTGGTTGTGGCTCTTCTACATAATCTTCCTCAAATAACATCCAACTACCAGTCCATCAAGAGCCTACAAGCACAAGGACCTGAAACATACTGCCAAATTCAGAGCATTAACCATTCGAAAGACATCCAAGATACTCAACAATCTTCAACTAATTCGACTCTTTCCAAGACAACTCGAGATGGCTCCCAACACGCAAAACAACAGTAACTGCCCATATTGTGGTGGAGATGGTTGGACTGGATCTTCTTGTGCTAGCTGTGGAGCTTGTACCCAAAGCAAAGGATAAAGTTTACTTCGGTTTTTGATGATGGGAGGGGATATGAGCGTGTTTTGAACTGATGGAGTATATTTGTATCGAGTGAGACTTTAACAATAAGCCACTGTGTCTGCCTTCCAAGACTTCTTGTTCCATTTGTCCATGGTGTGAAATGACCGAATGAAACTGTGAAAGCATGATCTTCTAGCATGGCCACACTTGAGCCAAGACTAATGTCCCCGCTCCCTTCAGAATTCATGATAGATCCAATATTCCAAATATTGTACACTTTTGAGATTATGAAGTTACTGGTCATTAAAGTTTACTTCACCTTCCACAACGACCTAGTCGTTCAAGATAATTCAGGTCTTGCTTGTAAATGATCATCAAGCTTCAAGTGTGGACCGTGTCTATCATCAGAAGTGGACGGCCCACCTCGCTTCCAATCCTCAACGTCGTTTTGCCAGCGCAAAACATCACCGCCATCTTTTCACCAGTGAAGTCTTCAACAACTTCGGACTCGGATACCTCGTATATGATTCGACATTTTAGAAAATCTCAGGCATGTGTATCGTCCCGACCCGCACATAGGTGGAATAATCTCATTCGGTACCTGAGAAAAACATTCCAGAAGCTCACCCACGGATCTCTTTTCTATCACACGTGCATCGGCAGTGGACCCGTTATTCGGAGACTCCCTGCTCGATACCCCTCCTCACTATCGCCGAAGCTTGATCTCCTTCCCAATCCAGAACATAACCCGCTTGCAATATATCTTGATCTCCTAGCCTGTCGAAGTGGCTTCTCCCGGATGCGATTCAGAGCATGCAAAAGCATCACGTTTTGACCTTCTGGTTTCGTTTCATGCGGTAGTCTCGGCAATGCATCTGGGGAAATGAAAGCTTGGCCGTTGAGGCTGGGTAGATGAAGTCGTCATCCCTTCCTGTAGCTCTGAACGTGGCTAAGCATGATCGTCTGATTTGATTAGGATCTGATCCAGTCTGTTTATGCGCCAGGTACCCGGAGGCTCATCGCTTCTTTCAACGTCCATGTCCGTGATGCATGCTCGAATCGAGATACCGGACGGAAATATCCATGTCCTGCTTTTGCGGGGCATGGATAACAGGAACAAGTATAAACTGCTACGATCTCTTTGCGGTTGACGATCTTTTTGTTTCTGCACCCTCGCTGTCAATTACAACTCGACATCATGGCTGTACTTTCAAGACTTCTTGCAGGCCTGTTGGCTACTGTTGCTGTTAATGCAACTCCATTTACTCTGCAGAATCGAGGAACTATTGCTTCTGATGAGATTGTTGGGTTTGCCCAAACAGTTCCCAGCGGGACCGTTGGTGATGTGTATTTGGCATACCAGCCATATCTTTATGTTGTGAATGGTTGCGTTCCGTTCCCTGCAGTCGATGCTGAAGGAGATACCAAGTAAGACTACTCTCAGGCATCATTAGCATTCATTAACATCCTACAGTGCCGGGCTTGCCACCACCGGAGCCTCAAATGGTGATTGCAGCAGCAGCACTGGGCAAATCTACGTCCGAGGAACGACGTATGACGATTATTACGCTCTCATGTATTCTTGGTAAGTTCCTGGCATCAATTCAAAAATCAATAGCTCACAAGATCAGGTATATGCCCAAAGACGAGCCCTCTGATGGATTGGGGCACCGACACGATTGGGAAGGTGTGATTATCTGGTTGACCTCCTCCACCGCCACTACCGCAGCAAACATCGTAGGCGTGTGCCCTTCTGCGCACGGCAACTGGGATTGCTCAACTGACGGTTTCACTCTCTCTGGAACCGCAGCTCTGATCGATTATGAAAGTATCTGGCCTTTGGATCACTCTTGTGGTTTGACGACCACAGTTGGTGGAACGCAGCCTTTGATTGCGTGGGAGAGCTTGCCGACTGTTGCTCAGACGGCATTGGATGACACGGATTTTGGAAGTGCGATTGTGCCTTTCATTGATGCGCACTTCACGACTAATTTGGCGGCCGCTACCTTTTGATTTCGTTAGCATACTGTGGATGTCGAGAAGCAGGGGATAGAATTGTGTGGTGGAGATGTTCACATACGTACATGCATATTTCGAGAATGAATATAATGAAATCGTAAGAACATGAATATAGAGCAATTGCAAATTAAGATTCAGATCATTTCATAGCGCGAGGCTGTGGAAGTTCCTTATCAAATCTTCAAACCCTTTGTCTTCGAGATTTCTAGCAATATCCAGTGCTGGTCGTCCGATGTTACGCTCGAGCTAAGCAGCTCATTCTATCCAGCCAATCAGCACTCATAGCGTGCAAGCAAACAACTGTATACGAACCCGATTCTTTATCAGTTCTACGACCTCTACCAAGCATTCCTGCCTTGTCTATGTGGGTAACCCCAAATTTCCTCGCCCTCGAATCCGTCACTAAGATTGCGGCTCACGAGCACGCCTATGTGGAGAGAGCTCAATCGCAAAGTGATTGAAGCCTCGTTGGTGGTGTTGGTTGCACCTTTAGCTACCATTGTGCTAATCTTGTGTCAGAATCTCCTACTAAGATTAAAAGATGTTTGTACCTTTGGAGGGACGCTAGACGATAAACGCGTACACTATCGCCGAGCATGCGCGCCACTGCTGGTCCGAGCCAATATTTTGACTAAGATGTGCCCCCACACAGGAAAACTATATTGATTTCGTTCGCTTCTATCGCAGGCTTCGCTTTTATTCCGCATGGGTGTAAAGCAATACAGTAAAAAAATTAAAATATAAGGTAATAGTGTTCCGGAGCCAGCAAAGAAGGGTGTGCTTCCACTTGGTGTGCTCAACAACGGAGGACAGAGCTTACATCTCAGAGAAACAAGGCATCTCAATTTAGTAAAGCATGCCTTCATGATTGCGATGTCAATGCATCCTTGTATTCTACGAAAGCTCCATAGAACTCTGCTCAGCAACTTGCGTCATGTTCAAATCAGCTCTGATCCTCTTCTCCTTTGGCTTCACATCCGTACTCCAATTCGGCTTACTTTCCTTATAACTACTGACAATCTCCGAGCCACCCTTCAACAGATCTTCAAATAGTGTTCGCCGCATAAGAGCCATATCACTTCCCCTATTCTTCAACAACTCGTTGATTAGCACCAAAGCATTCTCTCGATCGATTCGTGCCATTTCTTCGGCTCGCGCATCGGGCTGTACGCTCTCGGGAGATTTGCTTTCGAAATTGAAGGGTGACGGTTGGTTGGACGACGATGCTGGTGATGTGGTTTCGGATCTAGGAGACGTAGGTTGGTAGTCGACAAGTCGTTTGCCTGTGAGCATTTCGACTAAAGGTGCGAAAACAGCGACGTCGTGCATAAGATCGCTGATGCATTGGGCTCCTTCTGGATAACGCGCCATGAGTGCGAAGACAAACCAACCTTCGCTCCTCACGACTGGCCATTTGGTTTGCGAGACCATGAAACCGAGAGGTCTGCCAATATCTGGATGCATTGTGAAGAACTTATGTCGGATTACTACAAGTTGTTCGGGGGTGCGGGCCTTGGTGCTGTTGGTAACGCGACAAACGGATGTGATTAATCGTGAGATCTCCATTTTGATTGGTTCTACATCTGTCCGGTCGAAGAGAGCAATGAGTAGAGAGATATTTGTCCTATAGTGGGCCGGTGAATCTTCGTCTTCATTAAGGCGTTTAGCAAGTTCCCTAACGTTCATAAATGTGCCAATGGTGAGTTGTCGTGCCAAAGAAATGGCCGAAAATTGGATCTGCTGCATCGTATCGAGAGCCCACAGTCTTGGAAGGATCTTGAATATCCCGGTAGAGCCTATAATTTCTTTGTTCTTAGGGGGCATGGCAAGATTCTTCAGAAAGCCAATGGCGGCGTGTAGTAATTGCGAGTCCGTTGCATCTTTGAGGATAGTAACGAGAGGTATGTGAACGCCAGATGTGTGAACGAACTGTATGCAAGCCTCATCTGAGCGTGCGAGATTACCAAGTATGATGCATGCACAGACTTGGAGCTGTAATTGTGGACTCAACAGCCAGCGACGTAGCGAGGCTGTGAAGGGTGAGACGACAGGAACAGCTTGTTGAAATTCTGGAAGAGCAGAAATATCCGATAGAACTTGATTGAAGTTGCTTCGCATGTTTGAAAGAGCTTTTGCATCATCTTGATCGCCTGAAGCTACACCTATGGAGGGGTGGGAGTCGAAGCGAGTGTATGAGTCCACCAGAACAGCTAGTGTTGCATCGAGAGCACCCTGTTCAATCAAATCTTTTTGGAATCTCTCATGTTGGAGATAGGAGATTGCCGTATTAGTTAACGAGATGAAATCGTCCATGTCAACTGGAGTTTCTCGATCTGCTGCAACTTTGAGTAGGATGCGAGGTGTTTCTGCAGGCGCAAGCTCGAGCTCAGAAGCTAAAAAGGGAGTTAGCCTTCAGCTTAACTTCAGGTAGAAATGCCTACGTTGAGTAACCATGAGATCGATAATCTTGCAAATGTATCCCAGGAATGCTTTTGCATCATGGAATCGGGGACTCGAAATCAAATCAATCAATTCTTTGGTAAGAAAACATTCAGAGGCCAGTGTTTGGGCAGGTTCTGGAGAGGTCAGTAGCTGCAATTATGTTGGGATTTCTTCTCAGCTCACCATAGTCTATGCAAATATTGTACAAAACGGGTACCGCGAAAGGGAGTAACGAGGTATCTTGCAATTGAAGAATGATAGAAGGAAAATAATTTGACGCAACAACTCGAGCTCGGTTCTCATCTATTCAGTCAGTTATGTAGAGCACGTCAATTAGGAGTGTTCTGACCTGTGTCCGCGCACGAATTCCCTATAACTCGCAGAATATGGATCTTGAGAGCATTCTTCAAAGTTTGTGTGCCAAATAGCTCAAGGACGAAGTTCAGAATGCCAGATTCTCCAATAGGTATTCTCCACTTTGCTGTGAGATCATCAGTCACGTGATGCTGCACTCTTGATATGCGCAGGTGTTCAACTGAGCAATGAAGAATCTGTGTCCAAGCCGGGGCTATGTGCAGGGCAATGGCGTTATGACAATGGAAATGAACAGTGGTGCTTACGTTCTCTACTTCCATCCGCCAGCTTCTCCACGGCTATATCCATCTGATCCGAGTCTGCCCACCACAATTGAGCAAGTGCCGACATGGCTCCTCTTAACCTCTCGGTTCTTCTCCTCTGGTCTTCTAGGTCAATGACTGGCTCTGCATCTTCTTCACCTTCGTCTAACATTTCTTGGTCCTCGTTCACTTCATCCTCCTCCAGTTGGAAGATATCTGCGATACTATTCATCTTCTGGCTCTGTTCTTCGATGGATAAGGTGATGTTAAGCGAATTCGAGTTGGGCTCATCGCTCTTTGTACCTTGAGTAAGAGCACTTCTGATCAAGATATCAAGGGGATCGATAGCTTGCGGGTCAGGGCCAGAACCCGCGGGCTGGCCGGTATCCATATATGGATCGGGCATGTCGTCGAGAGTTGCTCAGACCTTGCTTGCTGTTAGATTAGACGTCTGTCGTTCTTTGTGAAAGGAATACCAATAGCGCGTCCTGGGACTGTTGCAAGAAAAGGTGCTGCGCCACCATCAAACGCGGGTTTGCTGACTTAATGATGTGGTTGATGTCGAAGGTCGCAAAATTTGTTGCCGACTCCCCAGAAGGTCGTCTCTAAACTCCGGCCCGGCTCTGAGCCTTTTGCGGCAAGGCAAGCGTAGAGTTTATTTGGCACCAAACGTCTTTCCGGGCAAATGAAGTTCATGAGTTGAGGTTGATATTTTCAGCCTTGCCTTGGCGTAGGTGAAACGGGTAAAGTGGGTACAGTAATCATTTGACGTCGACTCCAAGCCCAAAAACGCTCTTTGCGCACTCATCGTCACACAACATCCTCTTGTTCTTTTTTTCACCAAACGAAGCCCAGACCGCTTCATGCAGCAACAGCAGCATCGGATTCGGGATGTAACTCGCAGACAGCGCAACTGTTGAGACCACGTCGACTCGCAAGCCTTCTGTGCATGGAAACGTCGCTGCCTGCAAGAGATTGGTCAGTGCTTCAGGCATCACTTTAAGAACGGACAAAGGAACTAGACGAACCGCCCAACGAAGAATCCACATCGTCGTGCCAAGTCCTGCTAAAGCATGGAAGGATGATCGAGTTTCCACCATATCGAGCACAGCCTCGTATGAATAATGGGTTGATACGAGGAAAGTTTATCTCAACCTCCTTGTTTTGAGTCGAAGTTGCTCTCCTTTTTCTCGCCAAGAGCCCGTGGAAGCGAGTGCGTAATCGCGACGCCGACATCCGACTTGTCAGCCTTTTCTGCACATATCTCATTTCGAGCCTTGTGGATAGGACTGGGTAAATTTATGCATGCCATCGTCGCGAGGATTGTTAATGACGATACTGTGCATGAGATGTTTCCGAGATTAGAATTTTGCCTCTGCGGCTCGCTATGAGATCGTCTCTCGAGGTGTCATCGTTGGAACTGCACACTCGCAGTCAGGTGCATACGACGTGAGTGGCGGATAAAGAAGGTAGGTGATGTTCGATATGTTGTCTATGATGATCATTTGGAGGAAGCAAGTCGAAAAATGGTTGAGGCTGGGAAGCTCAAATCACCTAATCGGGAAAGAGCTTTACAATTAAATTTCCTGCTGTTCAGCAAGCACTTCTTGAAGGTTGAAAAACCGAAAAGGCAGGCATGTACAGTGTCACCCTAATCATATATCAATTGTATGCCACTCGATTATTTTACTTCAACTTGAAGGGGAGAAAACTTATGCCGCTTGAAAGTGCTTGGTTGCTAAGGGAGTTTAAATTCTGCTCTCTCACTTTGGCCTTGAGTTCGGCTTGGCGCCTCTTGTGATGTATGCGAGATGGTGTTGGACTCACTTTCGACATATCACAGTGCGGATCTAATAGAGTAGTTTTTGCAGAATTACTCAGTAGCATTGCATTGTTGAAAGCTCATAACTGTAAATTAACTCCAAAAAGATGGCTCCGCGCCACAAAGTCCCGCAGGACAGAGAACAATCTACTTCTTCGAGTTCTTCCTGGCCTTGGACTCTGTCTTGCGCTTCTCGCGGCGAGCTTTCATCATCTCCCTCTTCATCTGCTTCTCCGTCTTCTATACAGACAATCTATTTAGTACATGCTCTCAAATCTGTGTTAGATATTGGCAAACCTTCTTCCTCCCTCCTTCTCCTATCTCCTCCCCTTTTCCCATCTCCTCTCCCTCTCCCATCTCTTCGTCCTCATCTTCGTCCTCCTCCAAAGCCTTGGCCGTCTCCCCCGCCTCTCTCAACTCCTCCCTCGTCAACTCCCAACTCGGGTCTGCGAAGACCGTCTCTCGTATCCTCTTCTCGTTCGCCTCCTAAAGAAACGTCAGCTCTGATTTCTCAACAGGATCCAAAGTTCCGGAGCCAAAGAGGCTTCGTCGGGCCCCGGAAGAATCCAACTCATATTGTGGTAAAGATGAACATGTAGGGAAGTTTGAGTCCCTTACCCTCTTCCTCCTCTCCTCCTCCTCGTCCGCCTCCTTCTTTCCTCGAAACGCCAGCGTCGTGGCGAACATTGTGATTGTTTGATTTCGTGGTTGTGATTGTCGTCGAGGTCGAGGTCGAGTTCGAGGTCGAGGTGTTGTATGTTGTTGGTTGAAGAGAGGAAAGGAGAAATCGCGAGCTTTCAACTCAATACTCCTTAAGCGAGAACAAGGCTTAATCGCTTCAATCAACTAGATATTAACAGCACAATGGTTGCCTCGAAGAGGTCGAAAGAGCGGGTATACAATTGCAAGAATCAAAGCACGAAGAAAATACAAACAAGTTACTCGTCTTGATGCGGCATGCTTCTCTGCTTACTTGCGCTTCAACAGCTCCTTCTCTCCAGACTTTGAGATTATTTATCTTACCTCAATTTCTCTCAAATCAGCTCTTCAGGTCATCCATGTTGTCCCCAGGAACCTCAAGCTTTGGCATCCCCAAGAGTCCTCAAAGCATGTCTCTCTGCGAGCCTGCAGACCATACAGAATTTTCGAATTACGATGAAATGAATCGGCTCGCCCACGCAACTACAACACCATAATTTGAATGGCTCATTCATACCTTCATGCCTGGCATAATGTACAAGCTCCCCAGAAGTGGCACGAAGAAGTAATGTGCTACAACCTCACGAGCGAATCCGTCTTTGTACGAGTTGCTCGAGCCCCGGCAAGGCCATCCACGGAATTCATGCCCAAGCGCAACGGACTTCTGGATATTCTAGAAAAACTCCCTATATGGTGATACTACGGGAAGCTTTCTGTTTCAGTGAAACCCGATTCCTAGAAGCCTTTGATCGGGTAGAAACTGACCACAGTTTATCCGTGTTAAGATGCTATACCATTAAGTTCCGAAGGTAGCGCTGACCAAAGTTAACCTTTAACTTCAACACGAATGGTCCATCTTTTACTCGAAGTACCCAGCCTCTTCTGATGCAGGATTTGATACTCTAGAGAAGTATTAGCATAGTACTATCCATAGCAAGGAAACAGAAAATCCAAATCATCCCAAAAAACCAAGACCTCTTCACCTAACCCCTTCAAAAGCTCTCTTTTCAAGATATAGCTCAAGGAGCATAAATCAATCTAACACAGAAACGATAAAGAAAATTAACCTACTGCTACATACTGCATACTACATATCCTCTACCAGAGATTAAGCCGAAACAGAAGACCCTTCCCTCTGATGTGAAGGCACACTAGCTCCATGACACGCCTCACCCACAACCGCATCTTCCCACTCGCGTCATTCACAGACTACTATCTAGTGAAAGAAATTAGGACCAATGCAGCTATCCCATCCCATCCCATCCCTCCTTCATTGACAATCGATATCAAAGCCCAATGCTTAAACGCTAGTGCGACTTTCCCGTCGTCGAATGTTCGTTTACATCCCCCATCCACCCATCATCTTTGTTTACCTTCCCCATTCACGCAAACCACAACCACCCTCCCTCCCTCCTCCATCCACATCAAAATCAAATTCACAACCACGCAAAAACACGCACGTAAAGAACACGTCCATAATTTACAACGCATTCATTTTATTGTTATTTACCTGCCAATCCGACTCCGGTTCCAAGCAAAGTTAAGCAAAGAACCATGTCGTCAGGGGTATCTACATACGTACAAGCCATCCATCCTTCCCTTATTTCATTTCCCATTGTGCATCCATGCATATCATACAGAGCAAAGCAAAGCTAATTACCATCCATCCATCCAGCAAGCAGGACGAGAAGATGCGCCTTTTTGCCAAATGAAGAGTTGGAGACAGAATTTCAAAGCAAGTCCGCACGATGCAGATCCGGTACGCCAGAACCACGTGTTCCATACAGCAACAAGATAACTCCATCGTCATCAGAATTCGTCAATCGCCGTCGTCGTCGAAGTTGAACGAGCAAGGTATCTCGCATTGAAGCAATCAGCCACGTCCAGACTCGAAACCGATTCCCAAGCCAATGGCCTCACCATCAGAGCGAGCCTTCTTGACAGGACCATACTCCTCATCTCTCTTGCGCTTCTCGGCACCACCCTTGCTGATCGGGGCGAAGAGTTTGGATTGAAGATTGACCTTTGCCTTGTCGCCGGGAACGGGAGTATGGGTACGGGAAGCAGCAACTTCGAAGGACTCACGAGGATCAGCGCGAAGCATCTCGGTGGCACTTTGGCTAGCTTGGCTCTCTTGAACCTCCTCGTCGCTTTCCTCGCGGTAGGAAGCATTGGTGGCACGGACAATCTCCTCATGATCGGAAGCTGAGATGGTGCTGTCACGGGACTTGCGACGACGGTGCTCGGTTTGATTCATGTGTTGGAGGGCATTGTGAGCAAGGACGTTGATACGCTCGGTGTTTTGAGAGAACTCAGGAGCAGGCAAGAGGGTCGAGTTGGCAGTTATGGGGCGACCAGAACCTGGAGTGGTAGGGAAGGACGAGAGGGATTGAACACCACGGTTATGCTTGTTGGGAGTGCGAGGATCAGGACGACGAGCAATGGTTGGAGTCGAAGGGGCACTGTTATTCTCCTGGCTCAAGACAGAACCTGCCAGCAACAAGGCGTTGAAGCGCTCCTGGTTGTCCTGGGAAGCTGGGTAGCGGACTTGGCGGTTGGAACTTGGAGTGTATCGTGGGGTGCCTCGCTGATACTGGTGAGGGGTTGCTGGAGCCTTCGGGGTGCCGACATGGAGAGGTCCACCTGGGCTACGCAAGACGTTGATATGTTCACGGTTTTGGCGGATACGCTCATGAAGACGGCCAATCTCCTCCTTTGCATCAACGATCTGGTCTTCCTTGGACTCAATCAAGCGCTTAGCCTTCTCAATACGACGATGGGCAGCATAGAGGTCATCTTCGAGAGACTTGCAATAAGCCTTCAACTTCTGAGTGTACTCGATGTTGGTAGACTCGCGGCCAGTACCTTGAAGAACCTCAACCTCACGGCGGGTGATGTCATGCTCAACCTCCATGCGCTTCAAAGCCTCTTCACTTTCGATGGTGAGGAGTCGGTATTGGAGCTTGTAGTGGGCAGCAGACATACGAGCCTCACTAGCTTCAGCATCAAGCTTATGGTTCTCTGCCTTGGCCTTCTCGACCATCTCAATGAGCTCTTGCTTGGTATATTGTGCCAATTCCTCGACGTTGGGACCCGCACTCGCAACCTCACGCTTGTGGCCATTGACAGTTGGAGGAGGGGAAGACATGGCGCCGGCAGCAGAGGCATCAGGAGTGATCGATCGAGGAGCAACGCGAGGTGGAGCTTGCGAGGATGGTGGGGGAGTGATGGATGAAGGACGCATGGCCGAAGACGAACCAGCTACCAGCATCGATGTAGTCAAGGAGGCAGGGTGATTGAGGTCGACCTTGGAAGGGAGATCGATATCGTCGGCTTGAGGAGTGACGGGATTCTCAATGGGAGTCGCAACCTCCTCGACAGAGGATTGGGATGCCATCGCGATGGAGGTGAGTCTAGATCTCGGTCAGCATGATGGAAGGCTGCGCGGCCACGAAAACCGCACCGATATCGCCTTTGTTCGATCTCACGGAGGATTAGGGGAAGAGTGATTGTTCTACAGTGCCGTCAGCTCCCATGCAATGCGACAGCGATGGGCGATTGCCTACCTGGGATGCTTGGACAGCAAAGTCGGGGCAAAGTTGGACAGAGTCAGTCGCGTTCCGGTCGCGATCAAGACTTGTGTGCGATAGTGAACGAATGGTTCTCTCACAAGGAGAAGTGTGGTACCCGCAGAGAGGTGAAGTGGTTGTGCAATGAGGGTACGGGAGGGTAGTGGGGAAGTAGTTCTTCGCGATAGACGGAGCTCACTGGGCGGTGGCAGGTGGTTGGGGCCGATGTCTGGGATGGAAAAACGTGCGGCCGGCGTTAATACAGCAACGGGCAGAAAAATTGGTGGTGGCACGAAAGACACACGAAAACGCTGGTAAGAGAGAACCAGAGGCTACTTTGCTGAATCACTTTACAGATCGATGATTCATTCTCATATATTCAACAATATCTAGTTGAAGAATGCAAAGAATGCAGAGAGTAATTGAAAGTGTTTCATCGATGTATCCTGAAGTGCAAAATTTGCACCTGTCCTGTTTGTCCAGAAGTCCCTTTTTGCGCTCAGATCGAAAAGGGGTCAATGTTCCACTTTGTGCGAGAGCAGATGGGCTTGTGCATATGCCGCTGCTCTATGACGAACTGGTGTTTGATTAAAGCAGCCGCCAGCGACTCATAATTGCATATCTTATGCATGTAACTGTGCATCCGCATCTATCCCAATTTATGCAGTTATCCGCTTCCGCCGTGCAGCACCAAAACGTGGCTCCCTCGAGCCTCTTCGTGACCAATGTCCCTTGCCGAAAACCGACATAAAGTGCAGTACCGAGATTGGATACGGCGCACTTGATTTGATACGGAAGCTCTGTCCGAAAAAGCAATTCACATTTATTTCCATTGGTCAATGTGACTCTAGTCAGGCACAATATTCCCAAAGCTCCCAGATTTGATAGACGGGAAGCTGGCGGAGCGATAACGCTGCCTGACGAGGCTCCCCTTGGCGTCGACCGTTCCTACCTGGCCGTTTTTTAATTACTGATGATCAGAACCACAAACCACAACTTACAAACCCCCCCATCCCTTCTCTGTGTGAGCTTCAGCTCTTGCTTTCTTTTGGACCTTCTGCATAATCATTATTCGACAGCCCATCCTCGTCCACCGTCCAGCACTATGATCAACTCCTGAACCCTTCCACTCGTTGTCGTTGTTGCTACGAACAGCTCTCCGACCATGGATCAGTCAACCAGCAGTCCCAAACCATCTGGGATTCCAAGACCCTCGAAAGTTTCAAGGCTTCCCGTTCCAAAAGCAGGCAGCCTGCGTACAGCTCCATCTCGCGAGAATCTCAAATCCTCAACCCGACAGAGTATCAACAATCCTCCTCTGCGAAGCTCGGCATCACGCGATCAGCTATCCGCAACTCCTGCCAAACCCCGCATTTCTTCGACATCCACACGAAGCAGAGAACCTATTATCCCTCGCGACCGAGATGTGTCGACTGGCACAGTTATCTATAATCCTACTCCGCAAACTGTTCGGCGGAAACCCAGCGGTGATGCTTTGTTCAGGAAGCCTTCACGACCCACCCTTCGAGAGGTGAAGCCTGAGCAGAGAGAGGAAGAGGAAGAGGCAGATGCAGACGAGAATATTGGGACAGTCATCGAGGAGGAGGGTCAACATGATCTCCCTCGAAGGCCTCGCCCTTCTTTATCGGAGCGAACAATGGAGACACTACAGAACATACCATCTTCTCCTGCAGTGCGGAATAGACGATCGAGTTTTTTCAATAGCGATAGTCCAATGCGGCCTCCATCTCGCTCCGTGAGCAGACCGACATCAAGTGCAGGCTCAGGCTCTGGTTCCGGTTCTGTTTCGTCCTTCCCAATAGACTTTCGAGCTTCTACGAATACCTTCAGACCTCCACAATCTTCAATATCAGCCCATACTCCCATGAAGCGTCCTAGTACTGCCAAACCTTACAAGACTCCTTCGACTACTCGAAGTACTGTTCCTCCTGCTGATACCCAGCCCAAGGTCGTATCCAATTTTAGTTCCTCTCTTCGCCAGAGATCGCCAAGTCCAGTAAAAACTGTTGCTCCACTTCCGAGCATAAAGTCTGGAAGTAAGACGTTCTCTGCTCGTTCTGTGAAACCTCGTGCATCTCTCAATGGATTGTTCCGGAAGCCATCTGTGCCCTCTTTGAACCAGGCCGGGGAGCTCGATAGAATTGGATTTGAGAAGAAGGCTGCTACGTTCTCCAACAGCTCTTCAGAAGCTACTTCATCTGCTTCTAGATCTTCGAAGGCGAATAGCTCCTTGACCACAGTTTCTAGCGAGGATGCACCGACACCAAGAAAGTCATCACTTGCTTTGCGGGATCAGATAGCCAAAGCTAAAGCTGCGAAACGAGCTGCTGCGGCAAAGCAAGTAGCTGCAGGAGGCAGCACCGAAGAGGAGGTCCCGGTCATTCCAACTGGTACATTTGATTTTGGCTTATCAGATGATCCCTTCAATCAACAGAAGCTCGATGATAATTTCAAAGGACTTCTCCGGAAACGAATCGACGCAGCTCGTACAGATGGGAGACTGAACATTGCAGGCATGGGATTCAAGGAGATACCCGAAGAGGTCATGATTATGTATAATCTTGAAGCAATTGGCAAAGGAGGAAGTGCTTGGGCTGAATCTGTCGATCTCACCCGGTTCGTTGCTGCTGATAATGAGCTTGAACTTCTTTCTGATGATGTATTTCCGGATATGGATCCACGAGAAAGCACGGATGATGAGGAAGCTAAGGGTAACCAGTTTGGAGGTGAGTGCACTTTTTCCAAGAGCCTAAGATTTACCTTCGGATCTCTTGATCATTGAAGATTGATGCGTACTTTAAGTATACTAACACAATATCAGGATTGGAAACATTAGATTTACATGGAAATGTGTTAATCGCTCTTCCTCGTGGTTTAAGAAGACTCGAATTGCTGACCACGCTGAACATCGTAAGTCGACCTACCACAATCTTAATTTATATTTGTTAATCGTGTCAGTCCAACAATAAACTTGGCAATGATTGTTTTGAAGTGGTGTCACAAATTCCCTCGCTGCGAGACCTCAAGATTGCCGGCAACGGATTGACTGGTCCATTGGATCCAAGTGTCACGAATCTTAAGAACCTCGAAAGCTTGGACTTGCAGCGTAACGCTTTGATCTCCTTGCCTGAAGGTCTAGCAGAACTTGTACGGCTCCGAGTACTCAACATCACAGAGAACAGCTTCACATCTCTGCCTTTCGAGACTTTACGTCATTTACCCCTCACTGAACTCTACGCCGCGAAGAACAAGCTCACTGGCACTTTGGTTTACTCCGAAGTAGATGAGCTATCCCTTCTTCAAATTCTTGATGTCACGAGTAATTTGCTGACGAGTCTCGACAATGCTGGCCATTTACGACTTCCAGCTCTCCACCAACTGAATTGTTCAATAAATCGCTTGACAAGTCTTCCAGATATGTCATCTTGGATTTCTCTTCTTACTCTCGCTGCTGAGGACAACAACATTGCAGCTATTCCTGATGGTTTCACTACGCTGCCAAAGATTAGAAATGTCGATTTCACAGGCAACAATCTCAGAGTTCTTGATGATCGTATTGGAGGCATGGCTAGTCTTGATATCTTCAGGATCAGTGGCAATCCACTCAGAGAAAAGAAGTTCTCAGGCATGACGACTGAGGATCTCAAGCGAGCACTGAAAGCACGCATGGCACCAGAGGAGGTCGAAACGATTGATAAAGAGACAGACGGAGATGGAACCTTTTACTCTGCGCCAGTGTCCCCAATTTCACCTCGACCTTCATCTTCGGATTGGCCTGTCAAACCTGGTGGAGTCCTCGATCGTTCGGGCACGCAATCACATTCTCTCAACCCTGTCGCAGCAGCAGATGTGGCTGCCAACAATGCAATCAAGGTATTGGAATTACATCATAACATGTTCAAGGAGATTCCAAGCTCTATTGCATTCTTTACCACTACTCTGACGACATTGAGTGTTGCTCACAACGAGTTGACCAGCGATACATTTCTCAAGGACGACCTTGAATTACCAGCATTGAAGGAACTGAATCTGAGTTCAAACACTTTCAATTCTCTCCAGCCCCTGATCCAACACCTCAAAGCTTCACAATTGGAACGACTGGATATCAGCTTCAATCGCCTAACTTCGCTACCTACGCTGAAACCACATTTCCCAAATCTGACTACGCTTCTTGCTTCAAACAACACAATCAGAGAGTTATCACCGGAGTCAATCAAGGGTTTGAGGACCGTGGATTGTGCGAGCAACGAAATCAACAGCTTGAACGCTCGAATTGGATTGTTAGGAGGAGCGGGCGGCCTGGAGCGACTGGATGTTAGTGGTAACAGATTCCGAGTGCCGAAGTATACGATTCTGGAGAAGGGAACTGAAGCAACTCTTGCATGGTTGAGAGACAAAATTCCCGCAGGCGAAGCGAGCCCTCCTACTACGGATGTTGATTAAAATGTTTAAATGAGTGTCGAGTATTGGTATACCCAGAATTAAGCGGGAGTTGAGTTTTGGTTAGGGATGGGTGGATTCAATCCTTTCAAGAGGCATCAGGTTCTTTCCGTATACTTAATCAGGACTTCCTGTAATGGCAGTGTAGATAACTTGTAATGCAAACATCCTTCCACATCCTTCACAATCGCTTCTCGGGAATTGCGTCTTCTCTTCGCTCGCCCCTATTTTCGGCGATCGCCGCACGTGATTTGTGCCGAGGTCATTTCCACATGCTTTAGAAAGTCCATCCCAGCCATCGACACTCACATCCCTCACCATTGTAAACAACACCACAAGAAACCCACAATCTCATGCCATACAACCTCATCTCACCATGGCGTCCATCGCAGAATCCTCCTCATCAGGACCCTCTTCTTCATCTTCATCCAAACCCCGCATCTCCGCCAAATCAACAGCAGACCCCATCCTCCGCAACGCGCTCCGCTACACCATCTCAGCAAAGGAATACGAGACCCTGCACAAATACATAATCTCGCGCTCGAAAGTGCTGCGTCGAAACGCGCCAACTGTTGCAAAGGTGGAGAAATTGGTTAAGAAGGATGGAGCAGGAGGAGGTGGGGGAGGGGACGATTATAATGCTGCAGCGATAAGGGCCAGTTTGAGGGTTTTCTTGGCGAGTAGTGCTGCGTTGAAGGTGTGGGAGTTGGTGGGGGAGAGGTGGTTGGGGAGGGTTAGGTTTGTTTTGCCCTCTTTCTGCTTGAGGGGAGACTTGTGCTAATGTGAAGGGTGGGTAGAGGGAAGAAAGTCCCGTTTTATAAGAATGCCAATCTAAGGCTTTCTATCTCGTCATCGTCGATATTACTCCTCCATCGACTTCTCTTCCGCTTTTTCACGCGCCTCAGAGCCCATCTCCTCACGCCTGAAGCGAGGCCGTTTCGTCAGCGGAATAAAAGGACCTCAAAAACGTTGACGAGTTCGCTGGCTCCAGCGGTGGGAGCGAGTATGGCGGGGTTCATGCTGGCGGTGTATCCGGCGGACCAGTTGAGGGTTACGATTGCGATTTATGCTCTCAGTCGAGCGGCGGAGTTTGCGTATAATCTTGCGGAGGAGGAGGGCTGGATTTGGAATAAGGTTGAGAGGCCTTGGTGGTGGGGGAGTTGGTTATTGTTCCCGATTACGAGTGGGCAGTTGCTGCATGCTTTTGTTTTTGATAGGGATTGTTTTCCTAAGGTATGGTTATCTTCTAGAGGGTGAGAGGGGAAAGCGCTAACTTTTGATAAAGGGATATGGGGATTTTATCTTGAAATACTCCCAGCAGTATATTGCTCAAAAACCAGAGGATTATCCTGCTAGTCTCCCTTGGCCGGATCAATACGAGATAGTGGATAACTTGGCCGAGATGGCGAGACTCAACTATCCGTAAGTCTCCCCTCTCTCTATTTTGACAACACTTACTAACCTTTTTCCAGGCCATTCACAAGCCCAATCCTCTTCCCAAACACCCAAACCCTCCCCGCATCCCTCTCCTCCATAAACCCCATAACAGCTCCCGCCCACCCACTCCTCAAATCCCTCACCTGCGCGACCCTGCACCCCTCGGACCCGTCATGTACCCGCACCTACCTCTCCTCCTACCTAACCTCCTTCCCACCCCTCGCGCGCCTCTTCACAATAATTTTCACCATCCTCTCCCTCCCTTCTCACGCGCACTTCTACTCCTCCCCCCTCACCTCCCTCAACAACCTCGCCTCCACCATCCTCCGCTACTCCCTCTTCGTCTCGGGCAGTATCTCCACCTCCTGGGCCGCAATCTGCTTCTTCCAGGCCTTCCTGCCCCGCCACGTCCTCTCCACGCAGCGCTTCTTCCTCGGCGGTTTCCTGGGCGGGATATGGGGCTTTGTCGTGCGAAAGTTAGCAAGAGGAGAGTTTCTGTATGCGATAAGGGCTAGTTTGGATAGTCTCTGGAAGGTGGGACGCAAGAGAGGGTGGTGGAAGGGAGTGAGGGGAGGCGATGTCTGGATCTTTGTGGTGTGTTTGGGGGTTATTAATAGTGTTTATGAGAGGGATGGGAGGGGGAGGGCGATTCAGAGTCGGGTTGTTAGGAAGGGGGTTAGTTTTTTGAGGGGAGATGGGGAGGAGGAACGGAGGGTTAGGGAGGAGAAGAGGGTCGAGGGTGAGAAGGGAGGGGTCTTGATTGATGGGAAGGAATGAAAGAAAAAATAGCGTTTGGGTATGATTTATGAATGTATGTTATATTATTGTATGATTGATCGGACGACGATGAACCCAGTTAGCACTTGCACTGGTTTTTTACCCGTACATCTATTATCCTCACGTCATATCACCTCACATCCTTCAAGATAGATTGGATAGGTAGAAACCTTCGCATATCATTCCGCAGCTACCTAGGGGGTCTACGGTCATTACAAAGTCATATGGGCCACCACCGATGCACGAGTTTCCGTTGCTTTTATGTAACTCCCCGCCATTCCGTCCATCCCTCATCAATCATTCCCTCGAAGACGAAGGAAAGACGCGTACAATGCTCTTCGCTCTCATCAAAATATGTAAGCCAGAAGGAAAAAAGGCCCTCGAGGACGAGGGAAAAGAATCCACTCTTTTTTGTATGCAATGAAGAAGCAACGCTTGATGGCCTGGGTTCTGTAGACCTGGGAAAACGACGAAATTCGTGAAAAAGGACACCCTATATGCAACGCGCAACGCCTGTGCTCCGGAAAGACAAACATACCAAAGCCTATTTTTGTCGGTCGTGAAGAGAAAGGTGGATCAATTTTCAGGTTGAGTGAAGTTGACCCATTCCTTGACGATGGTTGGAGTAGAGTCGTTACCATCGAGTGGAACAACCATCTCCATCCAGCCAACAGACTCCCACTCCTTGAAGTTGGCCTTGCGGTCAGCGTTAGGAACGTGGCTAGAAAGCACCTTGAGACGGCGTTTCTCGCGCTCTTCGATGACCTTATGCATGACCTTGGTTCGGAGGTTGGTATTGGCCCATCCTTGAACGTTACCCAAGCGCGACGACTCCAATACGTATTTCAGTAAGGGGAACGGAAGGTTGAGTAGAATCTTGGACAGTGTGAAGGCAATGGAGCTGGCACTGTTTGACCTCGTGCTCTCCTCACTTGGGTGATCACCAAACTTGATCAAGCTCAAGCGTGGGTTTTGGCCGGTTCCGCGAGCCTCCTGGATGAAGGGAAGTCTACGGTTGCGAACCGGCTCAGGAGCAGAAGTGTCAGGCTCGAAACCAGCAGGGAATGCAGTGATGATGAAATTCAGAGCATTATGGATCAGAATGTTGACAGCTGGGCCATAAGTGCTTGTTGAGTGGCTTTGGTCAACTTGGGTGTTGCCAGTCCATTGAGCATCAAGTCCACCATCAATGGCAAAGTCCAATGCCTTCTCCACAGTGACCCAGTTGATGACATGAGCTGCAACTTCAACACCGCGGGCGATGACAGGCGGGATTTGAAGAAGAGAGCCAGCTGCAGCATATCCGAGAGCCAGATCGAAACGGTCTTGAGGAGCACCGGGCATTGGTCCTGGGAATGAGGCTTGATGATTGTTCAAAGTAGTGATATGTCCATACTCCAGAAGAGGGCAGCCATAGAGACGCTGGACCGCCATCCAAAAACCATCAGAACGCAAAAAGCGATCATCAGACTCAACGAGAAGAGTGCGGACAGTCAAACCATCACTGTTGCTGTCGCGTGCTTGGGCAGTCATGAGAAGCTTCAACGTTGGGCTGCGAGCGAACATGAGGTTATGACCAGGAACACGAACAGGAGGAGCGCGATCATCAGAGTAGCGAAGCTCCAAGGTGTAATCTGCGAATGAAGGATCAGCAAATTGTGCCTGCAGGTACGGAATGAGACCATCGAGATGATCGCCCATTGGTAGGGGTGGCATGTTCGCGAAGCCGTTCGGAGCAGCAACAGGTTGAGATCCAGTTCGAGGCTTTGGTCGCGGTTGTTGATAGAGGCGGACTTCATCAACATGACCGTTGCTACCATTGGAGATGACTGCGGTAGGGTATTGGCTGTAGAAAGCAGGACCATTCTCTTGTTCATTAGTAGCAGAAGATTGTGAGCCATGGAAGCTTTGAGTATGTTGATCAAAGTTGTTGTGACGTGCACCACCATCGAAAGGAAGAGGAGTGCCCGAAGGAGAATAGCCCTCAGGAGGTCCGAAGCTGATCAATTGACGACGAGCATAACTGTCAGCAGGAAGGCCATGATTCATGAAGCCATTTTGGCCTTGGTAGTAACCTGGTGGTGGGGGCGGTCCCATAGGCGAATAGCCGTTTGAGAGCGGTTGAGAATGACCTCCATTTGACTGGTGAGGGGCATGGCGGCTTGGTCCTTGCGCAAGTTGTTGTACTGGAAAGCTGGGTGGTGGCATGAAGCCTCCAGATCCAGGTGGGACAGGCGACGAAGCGTTGGAGTCAGGGTAACCTGCAAACATGATGCTGCCAGTGCTTGGATGAGCGTGGTGCATGGGATTTTGTTGGCCGTTGAAGGTATGTTGTAGAGGGTATTTCGCAGGATCACCGCCACCATCAAATTGAGTCTGGCTCGCGGGAACGAAGGCAGGGGGCATATGATATGTCGAGCGCGACGCGTTGGACTGAGTCTCGGAGGGAGCTGTCTTTGGAGTCTCTTGCGGGTGTGCTAGTAAGATGTTAGATTCGTGCATACATATCAAAAAGAAAAGTGGGATCTTTCTTACCTTCAACTTCTTCGTGGGTCTCAACCTCTGGCTCGATAGCAGCGTTCTGCTCAACCACTTCAATTTCTTCAACTGCAGGAGCTGCAGGAATTCCGGCTGTATCGGGGGTCGTAGCTACAGCTTGCTCAACTGGTGTTTCTACCGTCTCGGGTTCCTTGAGGTCGGGTTCGCTGGTGACTTGAGGGGTGGGATCGACAACTTCGTTTGTTGGAGAAGTGGGTGCATCAACAACGGCTGCAGCCATAGCTTCCTCCCGTGCTTTGGCACGCGCAGCCTCTTGTTGCTTTCGCTTTTGGACATAGGGAAGAGGAATGGCGGGGATAATGGGCCGTGGGACTGTAGGACGGGGGCGGTTCTGCTGAAGACCTTTGGCGGGACTGCTTTGAGGAGCCATGATGATGAATGGGTCTCCGCTGGCAATCAGTTTTGCACTTAGACGTTACTTTTCACAAGTGACGTCCCCAAGATTTAACAATGACCGGGACCAAGGTCATGTAGCATCTGGGGAGTCTTTTGACGCGCTGCGCGGTGAAGGAGGAGGGAGGCGTATTGTGGTGGATGCTGTGAAATGGTCCGGGGAAAGCTCGAAAGCACCGATGATGTTTTTGAGGCACCAGAGGGGCGGCGGCCTTCGCTTCGAAAGAGCGCGATACCGGATTAGGAATCGCCTTCATGAAGCTCTGTCGCGACTTCTTCTTAACCAAAAATTGTTCCAAAAGGAGTTGAGAATTTCCAAAGATTGTTGTCAAGATGATTCAAAGTGGAATGATTCCCAAGAGCAATATTTTTTGTGAGCAATATTTTTTGTGAGCAATTGACTCAAGCCTCTAGCTCTAAACAGACTAGCTCCACTTCGACTTTTCCATGTTCTCAGCATTGCATACAACATTTCAGCGTCCTTCATTCATGTATCTCTGAGCTTTTTGATTGTTTATCTTTTAGGTTTGCTTTAGTTATTTGGACAAGAAAATCTCCTTGGACTGCCATGCTGTAAAAACAATACCGATTGCAATCAATCAAACAGATGCAGCAAGCCAGTGCAGTACATACAGGTGGGCAAATTCTGTTTGATATGACTTCCACTCTTCCTCTTATGATACTGCAACTGTTAAGAGATGGAGAAAGTGCTTTCCAATAGTAATAGAGAGCCATGTTGCCATTCAATCACTTCAACCACCCTCTATGATGGCTTGCCCTGGGTGCATTTTCATGCGTCCTACCTCTGCATACATTCATGTCGCATTTTTTCCCTTCCCAAACCGAATCCCAGGGAGAAGTTGCTTATCTGGTGGCATGTGTCCAGCTCTATTGATTGTGTTACGCTATATACTGTATGATCATATCGGTTTTACTTTTCAAGAATTCACATCACAATTTTGCCATGAAGATGAGAATAGAAATCGAATCATAAACCTGCCCCTGGCCCAAATTTCAACTTAATGCAGGCAGGGAGATCTTCTAAAGCTCCATGCTACCTTCTCATCTAAATTTACTCGACATCTTGTTTCCAACCCAATGACATATGAAATCTACCCTCTAACCAAATCGTCAGACGCCTCATCTTCCAACCTTTCTATCACCATGCTAGCCCAAAGGGTCCGTCAACAATCCCAACAACAAATTTCTTATGTCGCAAATACCCAGGTGCACTCCTTTGTGTTCATAGTATCTTACATCACCAGAGGAAGAACCGCATCTAACGGGACACATTTTCAGGGAGTCCAACATTAGATCAAAGATGTGCGGATATAGAGTGGCCACGGAGCATACCAGCAACACCTCTCAATCTACTCTGCAGTCTTCGTCGCCTTGATACGGAGCTTCATCAAGAGGTAAACGAACCCGTGACAGCCAGATACGAATATGACAACAATTCCAACGTCATGCCAACCATTGTAGTAGTCGGTAATATTGAGAGTGGCAAGTTAGTCGCTGCCATATCGATACTGGCATACTCTGCAACCCTCTATGGCTTCTAAGTTTTAAGAAATGTGCGCGATCCCTCGCTAGACATATAACGTGAGAGATGGGCGCAGCTTTGATTTCCAGGGGTGTCGAACACGGCGTACTCTGCTTCTACACATACCACCTTGATATCGAACATCTCAAAAGTCAACAAGCTATTCACGACGTACATGCACGGATTCAAGTAATACATCGTGTATCGCCAGAATGATGTGATAACAAAGTACGGAACGAGAACTCCACAGAACGCCACAATTGATCCCAGCGTTTGGAGCATAAGCAGCAATGAGCTGGCCTAAAGCTGTGTCAATGAACTCATATAACAAAACGACGAAAAACATTGCTCCAGCTTTGTTCGGCTGGCTCGGCCAACCGATCGCATAGTACCAGCAGACGAAGTATATTACACCACAGATGCCCAAGTACGGGAATTCTAACAGGATCAAACCGGTAGTGAATGCAACCCAAGAGTACATCTTGGACTTCCTTTCTCGCGTCTCGTAGATATCACGCTTTTCGATAAACAAGGGCTGTAACTGGTTGAGCACCTCGGGAGTCACAAAGATGAAATTGAAGACAGTGAACAGGTCTACTTAGAGATCGGTGACTCTGTTGCCGATTTTCCAGAACGAAAAGCCACCGAGCAGACCTAGAAGGATGTGAAGAAAGAATTTGTTGTTGATGTAGTCCGTGTTCCGATATAGGGACCTGTTCATGCGAGAGGTAACGATCTTGATACGAGTCTAGAGGCTTGTTGCAAATTCACGGCCATCGCTTGAACTTCCAGGAGGTGCAGCTGCGGCGGTAGCAGCCATTCTTTCCAATTCATCCACCGTGTGCCTACAAAATTTCAGATCAGACTTGTTAAGTCAAAGAGCAAAAGTGAAAGCTTGTCGAAGACTAGTCATCAGGGGATGAAATAGAAGAGGCTAAGTTACTTGTGCTCGGGTGAGACCAACCAAATCCGACTTCAATCTTTCCCTTTCGAGAGAGCTCCGGACATAACGTCAATCATGTGCGCTGTTAGATTCATTGCCGGAGGGTAAGGAGCACCATGGTGAGCAAAGTAGTTTTAATTGTCATTGCGTTGTCACCAATATCCCCAAAATACACAATTTTTCCACCTCTGGCCAGTGGTAGGAGAGTGTCAAATTGGGCAAATAATGAAGCTGAGGGTTGATGGATAGTCATAAGAATGGCCTGTCCGGCGTCTGATAGCTTTCGCAGGAACCTGACTGTGTTGAAAAGCTTGTCCGCCGAGACCCGATGTAGGGTCGTCCAGGAAAATGAGGGTCTTTGGCTTGGACACCAACCTAGAAGATCAGAAGGTCAGCAATATGTTACGGCGGCAGTCTATAAAACTAGCCAGGTGTAGTTGAATGAAAAGTGTGAGGGTCAAAAGATATTTTCAAGAGCGGTCTTATTTACTCAACACCAATGGTTAACCGCTTTTGGTGCTCGATAAACAAGCCTGCCCCAACTTCACCAATAAGGCTATGCTCTATATCCTGCATTTGAAGTAACCCGATGATTGTATTGGCATAATTGAACTTCTCCTGACGTGGTATATCTGCAAATTATCGGAGTAAAACCGGAAACTCCACCTTCATCCGGGTAGCAAAATCAATCGTTTGTCGACTGTCAGAGTGGGAAAGAACAGTTCATCCTCGGTATTCATGATGATCTGCCCCCGATGTTTCCGGGCTTCCATGTGATCCATGCTACCAAATCTGCCAAATTTTGCGTCAGCATCACTTCATGGTTAATATCTCTCGAGGAGAAGTATATTTGCTTACCGAACATCTCCAGATACCTCTGTATACCCATCCCGATATTTCGCCAACAACTTCAATAGAGTGGTGCGTCCAGAGCCTGGTCGGCCGAGCACGAGAAGCGTTTCCCCAGGTTCGACGCAACCGTGAGTGTCATCGAGGATTGTACGCAGTGGTGGCTTGTGACATGACTCCTTGATTGCCTGTAGAGTATTGAGTTATGAGAAGATGTTCTCGTTGTAAGTCGCTCCGGTATCAAATCCCTTTACCGTCAAATTGTGCCAATTTTCGGCCCTTGAGATTATCTTGTTGCCCTTGTTTGTGGAAGAGTTTGATTTCGGGCATCATCTTCCAATCATCAGCTTTGCTAATTGAGTATGGGTCTTCGTCTACGACATCCTCATCCTCATTATAAAAATGACTTAATCGATGGTGTTGTTCAGCGGCTTGACTGACCACTTAGAGTATGAGAAAGCACATCCCCAATAGCGTGTCCAGCTCCAGTTCCTATGCCGAAAGTTGTTGCGCCATAGTGCAAGGGGGTAGTCAGCAATACAGTGCTTGGACAAATGCTTTCTAGATGATGGATTTGGTAGCCGTCAAAAGAATGAATGATACCGATCAGGGCCGAACCAGACAGACTTCAATCTTGCATCAGTCAAAGTATTCCCAGTCTCACCTTTATGTGGAGGACTATGGAGAATGCGGAAGTGAAACCATGCAGCGTTCAATCTCTCTACCGGAGGATTGGGCCTTGCTGCTCCATAGCGGTAGATGATGAAGCCTGACATCCATCTTATTTTTGCTAACCTACATAAGATATATCCGAGACCCGTCCACATCCGAGCCTCTTCAGGATACTTCCCAACCTGAAAAATGGGGCTACCTTGAAGCTCCAAAGCTAATCCGAATACGGATTCAGGAACTGAGATGTGGATGCAACTTGATTGAGCGTAAGCAATGAGAAATAAAAAGGGTAAAAAATTGTGATGCCTGCCAAAGAACCTCTATCTCGCCGTTCCACCGCGCATTGTGGAGATTGGGCATCCGTTGGATACTCAAGACAACAAGTTAATTGTTGTCACGCTCGCTACTCTTTGTAGACAAGACGGTGGCCAGAGTGAAGTTCGTCAGCAGCCATGATCAATTTGAACGCCCACTGAGACTTGATTTCTTCTGTTGCCGATCATCATGCTAACGCTGCTTCTATCGTAGCAGAGCTCCCTTTCGAACTGCTGCTGAATTTCGCCGCTGGGTGGGCGACTTTCGAAAATGGCATTATTTAGCCCAGAATACGATTCCTGAGCCCGAGCATTCGCATCCTGACTTGGCGAAAATCAATTGGGAGTTTGTTAGCTTTTCGATAGGAGCGATTAGCAATGCATATTGAAATGGGTCTCTGAACACAATCTAGTATTGGGAGCTTGAAGGTCTTATATATCGACTACGATATCAAGTTCGCGGCTCATGCTCACTTCTTACATGAAAGCTCTGGAAGAAGTATGTTGCTCATGTCGTACTGACACTAACCATGCCTGATTGGCGCCGTATTTAGAGAAGCGGAGTTGCCGTAGCGGGGTGCATTAAGTCGACATTGACAGTAGTGCTTCCCCAATAATTGCGCGCGGAGATCACAGGTAGCGGTGTCGTGTAGCTCTGGAGAGATGTCTTACAAGTGGACCATAGAGAAAAGAGGTATATGTATGCTACCTTGCTTTCGTGGATCTGACGGACTTCATCCCTTTTGCCAGCGTACTCTGTAATGTTTATGTGGTGAAATCTCAGGCAATAGATTTTCCCATGGGTGATAAGGTTACGCGTGGTCACGTTTTAGGTCTAACCTCATTGAGCTGACTGGGAACTGACGCGCTTGACGTGTGCAAAGGAAAGAAAACAGCCATCTTCCAGAATTATATACCTTCTACGAACGAACTGCAGGAGTAACAGATGCGCAATGTTCTCTACACAGCTCAATGGCTCGGCAGTCATATTCAGGTCCGGCTACCTCACACATGCTGCTTTGCAGTGCAAGTGCGCGATACTTAATCCCCTCCCGGCCCTTCCACTTGGAATCATCCCCAATTTCCTCACAGTCGTTTTCTCATCGTCGCTCATCATAACACTCCCTGTCATCTCTACTAATCGCATCTTCAATCGCACTTGTTAAGCAGTTTGCACGCCCTATCAACGATCCTTACACTCCAATGTCAACAATGGCTCAACCAACACAGCCTTCAGTCATTTCCTTTGTCCTTCCACGAAGAATATCATCACAGCATTACGAGGACATGCGCCCACAGATAACTGAGATGGTTTCTAAGGGAATGAAAGCGGATAACATTGCCAACGTGCTTGGTTTAAAGTGAGTCAGGAAATGTACTTCAGGGTTTTATGGAGGCTAATCCAGTATATCTTCGTTAGCCCAAAAACCACGTCAGACAAGGTCAAGAACTGGGGACTACGAGTGAGGGGCTCGGGTAGACGACATGGGAAATTGATAAGACGTGGTCTCAACGATATGCTCCCATACTTTCCAAGCCAGCCTACCAATGGCAACAAATCTGCGGAACCATTGTCCCATTACCCCGCGCCCGACTCGATGCAGGAACCCGCGAGTGGGTTTGCACCTTATGAAGATGGACATACTGGGATGGAAGTCGGGTTTGCACCTCCTGCAAGTGGTGCTGCACCTTATGGGGGAGATGGGAATACTAAGACGGGAACCTCGTTTCCATCTGCCCCAAGCTTGCCTTTTGGCAATGGAAACCCCCGTTGGGTGCGGTCTGAAGTCATTCGGTCTATCCTGCGGTCCAACTCGTCTGATCAGGAGAAATTGGCTGCGATGGAAAGATGTGTTGGGCAGGAGCCTTATGATCAATCCAAATCTTTCGCACCCGACGTGGTTTTCGCTCAAAGCGATCAGACCGGACCAGCTCCAGAGACGATTCCAACATATTTCTTTTGACACTCTGGCTCCTCGAGGGTTGTTCCTTTCACGATAACACGAGCATCATGCGGTACTGGCCACCTCCAGAAGGAAGGAAAGGATTCACGATCTCTACAATCTTGCTCCCGTCGCCAACATTTGTCCCTCACGGGCTACGGTTTTAAGATGACACGAGCACCACGCGGCACTGGCTATATTTAGGAGGAATGATATGATATACAACCACTATGACTTTCCTTGTATTCGTTCCTATACTTTTTATTGCTTAAATATGTGGCTTTCAATAGCCATACTTCCTTAGACATGGCACGTTTTTCTAGCGCTGGGAGTTCTAGACGGGATGGTGGGCGCAATTGAAAACCTGTATCCAAAAAAAACTTGCGTTACATACCTAGGTACACTACATACACAAAATACATCTGCTATGCTTGTCCTCATATCTAATTTCTTGCTCCCTCTTATGCTAAGTGTCTTCCTGTCAAGCTTTCGTGAAATCTTGCGCTCAAAGTGCCGTCCTCTTTCACTTAAACAAATCTCTTTCCAAGCCCCCAAATATATGGACCTGGACATTCCCCATAGTTTCACTTCCTCTCTCGAAATGATTCTCTTTGTACATGGCCAGTCACACCAATCGAAACCAAAGTTCCCGTCCCGAGATCGGGGTTGCCTTGCCTATACGGCTTGCACTGCACATTATTGCAAAGAGCATCCATTGCAGAGCAATAGCAGAGCAATAGCAGAGATCAACGACGTCTTTGCATTGCACAGCAATGGAACCTCTATAAGACGCCGAACTTATTCCTCCCATTCCCGTTTTCTTTTCCTTTCCTTCTTCACCACCTCAACACACAACTTACCCACAACACCTCCACACCCAAGTAAGAACCCCTCCAACCTCCAACCTTCAACCCAAGATACCAACCTAACATTCATCTATAGAACCATAGAACGAACCATGTCTGAAGAATCAGTCACCCTCATCGGCCTCACGCTCGGAGTCGCAGCCATCACTTGGATCCTCATGTTTCTCCAACTCTTCGAGTCGTGGGAATATCATCGTAGGATAGTGCGTCGGCTCTAAAAAAGGTGAGTAGCTGATCTCGTAAAGTACAATGTATAGGTATGTATGGATGGATGGAAGCTGACTCGGATTTTCTTAGATGTTGTTTGTATTCGACACTTCGGATGATGATGGAGAGGGTACCTACCTACGCACCGGGCCGTGATGAACGATATGAATGCTGGAGGGGAAAGAGGAGAAATGTTGAGCGATGGGTGTGTAATAATAATATTGATGGGGTCGTTAGCTGTATACAATAAGATCAAAGTAAAGTCTAAAATTCCTCACTTGCTACGTTCATCGGCTCAATACACCCTACCAAATATGGACTTTTGACCTCGCTGTGGCTTTTTGCATGACGGCGTGCGGGCCAAGTCTCTTGGTAAGATAACCTGTTGATGGGTCTGTAGCCTTAAAAGATTTCACCTCGGTCGACGATGATGAGGGGTATTGAGGCCTGTAAGTAGAATGCTAATAGCTCGAATGTGAAAATTTGACTCTGTTTAGTTCTGTTCGTGGAGAGTTTCTCGCTCTTCATAGTCTCTTAACATCTACACCGATGACTCTTTAGTCGTCAGTATTCAGTAGTTAATAGGTCTGGAACCCTGATGTTCAGTTCGCACTGAGACAGCGTCCTTGTGAATGGCACTAGAGTAACGTGACCATTGGTCATCATCAAAGGGCGGGAGCATCACAATCATTGGAAATCCGCGAAGTACAATTATATCAACTTATTGCCAATTTCATCTATTGACTCCGATCCAGGCTCCAATGATCTACCACCCTCACGAGCGCTTCGACCGTAATATATACTATATGCCACCACCACACTAATGTCAAAACAATAAAAGCTAACAGACAAGAAGCCGCCCACTGGTGATAAAGCCCAGTCCAGCTGAGAAAATCAGCACCGTCGTATGTTACAAACAATCCCCTTATTCTCAGATAACATTTGCCAAAACCTCCAAGAAAAATATTACACAGTCAATCAATCTCGAAACGCCAAATTTCCCTTTGCCGCCAATCTTTTTTGTTGCGCCGCGAGGCTGATGTACATAAGAAAGACCTTTTCGTGTAAACATTATCTAGAAACCATCCAACAAAAACAATACTAGCAAAATATACTATGGGTATCTGCGTCATGTGCTGCGAATGGGAGGGCTAAAAATAAAATCAAAACATGCCACCCTCAATAGGGCGTGGTGGGCTTCCGGACGGGAACGATCCGGGCATTGCTGGGCTTGGAGCAGCTCGGGCGACCTCTCGCGCTCTGGCGTTCAGGTTTCCGCCTTCACTGGAGCTTTTGCGAAGCTTTCCCACTTTGTTTTTGGGTTTAGAGTCTTCGTCGGCGGAGAAGGTGCTCATTTCCTCGCTGGACTGAGTTGCAGCGGGTATCGAATATTGCTCCTCGTAATCGTCTTTCCTTCCTAGTCCAAACATACCTCGAGTCTGGCGACGTCGAGGATTGACGGGAGGAATAGGAGGAGCGTGGATTTCCAAGCCATTCTTGAGCGAAGATCCAGGTGGCAAATTGACAGTGTCTACTCTCGAAGTTGATGAGATGAATCTTGGTTCCGATATGTCGGCTTTGTTGATCGAGCGTTTCCGGGCCGAGATACCTTGAGCTACGCCGCTTGTAGGTGTACTGGTCCCAGATCCTGAAGGTGAAGGTTGGATAAGTGCAGGTGTAGGATTGACAACGAAAGGAGCCGTAGGAGAAGGCCTTGGAGCTTTGCCAATGTCCATTATATCGCCACCAGTTTGGACCGTCAAGGTCTTTTGTACTGGGTCAAAGTAGCCTGTTCTGCTGTTGCTTCGAATCCGAGGATCAGGTCCCATCATAGGGGATGGGATGGGAGATTGTTGGAACATCATATTAGGAGTCCCAGGTGACCTGGGTAAGAGACGGTTTGGAGGTGGTTCAAGTTCATCGTACGCTCCTTGGGCAGAACTAGAAGTTCCTTCAGCCATAGCCCTGGCTAGATCGTCTTTGTATCTTCCATTTCGACTCTTTGATCGACCACCAGAAGTATCCGAACCAGATCGCTCGCGAGAAGACCGAGACTGCGGCCGTGAGTCTGATCGACTGGTTCCTGTGCTGTCCTTGCTCTCCCGACTGCTGGTAGTGCCATTACGATGAGCGTAGGCAACTGGAGGAGGCTTTCGCTCTCTGCTAGGAGTCCGGTGCCGGGTCCGAATGTTAGGGGGGGCGCGATCATTATTCTGTCCTTGGTAGCGGGGTTGGTTATCCACCCTGGGGTTTGGCCACTCACTCTCTTGGAAATCCTGGGCCATCCTCTGTTGTTGGTGTTTCATTGCTACCTGACGTTCTCGTTCACGCTGCGCATCTCTTCTGGCTTGTCTGAAGGCCTTGGTTGTAGGAGGAGTGGTTGGAACGCCGCGAAGCATTTCTTCCTCTTCCTGTTTCCAGGCCTCACCGAAGGTAGATTTTCCGGGTGAGGGAGAACTGGTCATTGTTGCATTGCCGATTCCAAGCATTTTCATGGCTTTGGATTGTCCGGGTTCTTTTTGTCGAACTACCAAGGAGCCTCGGCTTGTCTTCTTCAATAGGCCCAAAGCGTTAGTCTTTGCTAGAACAGCGTTCATAGGAGGATCCTTGGGGAGGTCAACAGGAGGCATTGGACTTGCAGATCTGCTTTCGGTCTCGTGAAAGCTCTTCAGATTTTCCGTTATTTGTCTTCGCCGGGAGGCCAACTCGTTCTTGAAGTCTTGTTGTTCCTTTTGCGTTTCAGTGCTACCGTCACGAGTATGGTGGACTTCCAGCTCCTTTTCCCAGTCAGGCTTGATGGGTGACTTCCCAGCATTGTCCAGGTTTGGAGAGCGGACTGAAAGAGGTGGCGGAACAAAACTATTGCCGTTCAAGAAATTAGCAGCTCCATCTTGATCAGCATTGCTCTCGCCATAGTATGTGTGCTCCCAGTCATTGTCATCCCATGGGTTATTCTTGGTTCCATAATCGTTCTGGGGCATCGGATCCGTGGGGTCCAGTGGAAAGCGGGAGCCAAAGTTGACGGAAGGAACGCCCCCATATATTGACGAGGTATTGCTGTCTGTCCTCAGATGTTGTCGAACCATTCCACTCAAACCAGAGGTAGGCCCCAGAGTAGGTGAATCAGCGGGTTCTTGTGGAGTTACTGGCTTGACCGGTTGCAAGGTAGATGATGGGAGAGCAGGAACTTTGCCTCTCGACTCTTCTTCGAATGGTCGTTGACGGTGAGCTGGGTGTTGTGATTCTGGCGGTCGCTCAAGGGAGATCTGTTGATCTGGATGGTAAAGATGAGAGAGATCAAGTGGTTTGGGTTGCAATTTTGACTTAATTGGTTCCGGCTCGGAAGGGGACGTCACCGAGCTATCATCTCCTGAGCTGAAGAATGTACCAGAAGCAATTGCTTCGTCTTCTGGGACTGTAACTTGCTTTGAAGCTTCAGGGATTCGGTCAGGAGGAAGGAAGTGTCTCTGAGCGGACGAGTTTGATCTGGATCTTTCGGATGCGAAAGTGGCATTTGACTCGGCACGATTTCGGCCCGTCATTTGTTGCTGCTTAGGGATGAAGGCAGCAGGCGGCGAGTGCTTCCTTAGAGGTGGTGTCTCGCGTCCTTGCTGCATCTGCAGCTGTCTCTGCGAGTATTTGGTTTCATCATAAGGTTGTGCTGGTTTGGAAAAGGCACCCAGGGCTGTCGCCTTGCCTCTGTCGTTCGGCTGAACGGTGAGCACACCTTGCTCACCGTGCTCACTCATGGGCGGGCTCAGCGGTGGAGACGTCATTCCAAACGGCTTGGTCTCTGCAATTGTTTGCTGTCTGACGCCAAAGTCAAAAGTACCCATACCAGGTCCTGTCGCAGGACTGGCTGTTCGGAGATTTGGCATGCTACCCTTACTGGCAATTTGTACTCGATCACCCCATCGGTCAGCTGGGTGTGCTGCAAAGGTTGGTGATGGTCCTGAAGGTGGAGTATGACCTCCCAATGTCCGTTGTCGTGTCAAAGTATCGATTCTGTTCATTGCCGAGAATTGCTGTTCATGAAGATGGTTATCAAGACCAGTCTCATAGAGTCGGCGAGTCTTCGTTACTGATCGCTCAAGTCCAATGTTGCCCGACGTAGGAATGTTTGGTGAAATTGGAGTATGTGCTCCGCTTAGTGATGGAGTCCTTTGGGAGGTGAACGATGTAGCAGCAGTCGACGTCCGCGTGTTAGAGGGTCCTCCTGAGGAAGTAGTCGACGATGTCTCCCTGTTTCGATTATAACCTGAGAATAGCGGAGAGCTGGGCCGGGAAGATGCTGCTTCATTTTCCTCTTGCTCTCGTCGTTCGGCTTCCTCCTTTTGTTGTCTCTCCTTCTCCCTAAGCTTCTGAAAAGCAGATTGACTAACATCGTTGTCATATAATGTCCTGTTTCCCATGGATATCTTTTGTCTCCCTCCAAATAAATTATTACTTTCTCCTGGCTTCGCTCGATTCATTATGCTCCCACTGTGCTGCGAGTCATCATCTGTCCCATAACCCTCAGTAGTATTATAAGAGTCCGTTCTTGAGAAGGCAAAAGGCGGCCTGATTGATCCATTGATTGACGAAACCTCTGCAATGTCCGAAAGTCCATGTGCTTGGAATCCAAAATCGTTCATCCGTGATTGTCGTTTGGGAAATAGCACGCTATCGTCACTTGCTTTGCCAATCTTCGACTTTGGATCGTCCTGCTCTCGGAGCATGGAGAATCGTGCAGACAAACCACTCATAAGCAGACTTGTTCGGAAATCATCTGAGGATGGCAATGCAGAGGCGAGATCAAGCTCTGGTTTCGCTGGCTCTTCATGGCTCTTCTTCCCCCTTCTGAAGGTCATTGATGATTTGATGCTTGGGAGTGCTGGTCCATCTGAATCTGTCGATGCTCTAGCAATGCCATCGACATTCTCCTTCTTATTCTTCTTCGTACGGAATCGATTCATGTTGACTGCCCGGACTCGCGGCGTCTACCCAGGGTTTGGTCTTCTCTTCTCTCGAATTCCTGCTCTCCACAAACAATTGACAGCAAGTGTCGTTGGTGAGCACGCTCACAGAATTGGTCTGAGCTTCTCCAGCTTGGATTTTGTATGAGGAAGGTTCGGCTGGTGGAGCAGATTGGGATTCAAAATGAAGGACTGGAATACGTCGACAGCTCGGAAGTTGGGAAGAGCAGACGAAGTCTGTTCCGGGATGCAAGCATCAGCCCTGAAGATGCAAAGAACGGCGAGTCGAATGAGGGATTGGGGTAACACACGGCCGACTAGGAAGGGTTGACCCCAATACAGACAGAACAACGGCACGTACCAGGGAGGATGATCCGTTTCGAAAACAGGCTCAAGTATTAATGGCAATCGGATATCGAATTGGGTGTCTGAAGTCGGGTAGGGGTCGACGGGTATTCTGCTTCAGTTTGGAAATAATGTGTATCGGGCTCGTTTCGGCACCCTGGATTATCGCTGTCGTTCCTGTCGAGTATTTTTGTTCTGCCGGAAGGTTTATCGCAACCTCAAGGATTTTTGTGCTGACCCGATGTCAATGAGTGGTGGGTAGTTGCAATGATCGAATGTTCTTCGCGCGTTGTCGAAGGGGCAGATTGGAATTCAAATGAGAAGCACGGCGCGTCGACGCAGCCCTGGACGGATGGTTGCAGATGCAGATGAAGGAGCGGTGCTCAGCAAATCGTGTGACGGTGCATTAATCGAATCTGCGAGCTTGTAATGAGCGTGGTGGTCAGATGCTGCCAAGTGAAGAGAAGTGAAGCGTGTGGTCTTCCGACTTCAGCAGACTGAGTTGAGTCTCTGGTCCGTTTCGTGGAGAAGTTGTTTCCTCGACGCTGATTATGCAGACAGACGAAGGAATGAATGGACGACGAAGAGAGTGTGAACGGTGCAGTTCATGCCCTGAAGAGAACGAACGGTCCGAAGAAAACGGAAGTAAAGAGAGCGTGGGTGGAAGGGTGGAAGGGTGGGAGAGAGAGAAGTAGGGTTAGGTTGGGTTGCTGTTGAGCGTGTGAGTGGGTGGAAGTGAAGGATACTGGGGGCCGTGGTTTATGCAGCGAGATGGCTTGTGGTTCCTGGCGCTAGTCCGCCTGCAGATGAGAGAAGTTCCACTGCCGCGACACAACGCCTACAGTACTCTACTACTAGTACGCCGAATACGCCTTTTTGTTTTTATTGCACGAGGGAATCCGTTGCCACAGCCAAGCATGAGACAAGGCAGAGAGTCGAGAAACCATTCAAAGAAGAAGGAGAGACAAAGTCGAAAACCAAAGGAGTTCTCAGGAGATGGAAGCGCTCCTATCCTACCTATTCTACAGCAAATACCTACCTAGGTACTGTTCCTCGCAGAAGCGCGGGTTCTCTAGCTCTCGACCTCTCGGGGGGCTGCTCTTGCATATGGAATATTGAGTTCGGGCATGAATTCTGCTCTGCTCGACCTCTGTATCCCCAATCTGTCCCCCCTGCTGACCTCTCGGGAGTTGAAGAACAGTCACCACCGTCAGTGCAGTGTTCCCTCTGTCTGTCTCCGCCAAACGTCCCAAGTCCCTCCGTACCGTACCCCAAACACCGGAAGCACTTTGTTCTGCCCAGGAGTGCAGCTCTTGAGACGAGAGTCACGAATTTACTTGCTTGCTTTGTTACTTTACGGCAACGTCTACTCTCCGACGATTATTTCCTTTTGCATCGTGTCCATGCATGGCAATAATGGACCACCAAACTTTTTCAACAGCCTTCAAAGTCCTGTTCACAGATCGCGAATGTCTTCCCCTGACCCCTTGTCTGGACGAAGCGCTATGAACTCGACGATGCCTATTCGCTCCCTCAAGGATGCTGAAGGTTTACTGGAAGTTGGGACGCTATTCGCTGGTGCGGCGCCAACGAGCCATGCCGTACGGTTACGTGTTTCGCGTTTAGCTGCGAGTTCACGATATCGTGATACTGCACTGGCTCACGAGTAAAGGGATGGAATACAGTGTGTCCTTTTGTCTTTGAGGGTCGATGTCTCATCGAGTCGACGATGGCTTCTCGGATGAGATACGATGCCGTCCAGGTAGCACGTCGCCTCCCTCGCCTTTCCTTTCTCTTTCTTCTCGGACGCTCGGCTCTACCTTTCCTTTGTCAATCATGGGATCCAGAAGGCCTGAAGTACTGCTTTTCATGGCATTCTTTCTTTTTCGTGTGATGTGAACCGGCGGCCATGTCACTACCGTCCAAGCCCACAAGAAACTGGTCCAATGCCTGGCTTCCCCACGCCCACACGGAGTATTTGAGGTTTCAGGTTCTCCCACACGCCGCAATACATAAGGTCACCATCCAAAAGGAATCCGGTTTACTTTTCCCTTCAGCTGCTTCAGCGTTGTTACAGGCGATTCAGTGCAACCAAAAATCATTGCAGCACTATCACAGCAAATGATAGCCCGATCATGCAAGGGGGAGGAGATTTGTGCAACCCACCGATGCAGCAGCGAAATCCATCACGAAAGCGGGAAAGGACCAAAACGGGATGTTGTCGCGTGTGCCAAAAAAGGGGTAGACTCGACTGGTCCGAACTTTTTTTTTAGTCGGGGCGGCCATTCATCTCATGAGGCCCGTTCATCCCGTTGCAAGGACCAGGTCCGCACTGCAAGGGCGACGACAGCGTGAACAAGAATCCATGCAGCCCCATGCATGCATCCACGTCCGCGGAAACGGCCACCACCCGTACACCCACTCAGAGAGCAGTTGTACCTGAAGCTTGACTCCTTTAAGCATCTCGTCTGATCTCCAGTAGCTTCGAACTACAGTAGCTTTGAACCTCCCGTCACGCCAGGCCACCAGCCCCGTCCCAAGGCCGAGTCCCGGGACTGGGAAAACCGCTTTCATTTGATTGATTGGAACTCATCTCGTCGTCCGTCTCAGGGGGATTATGGAGGTCTCACTCTGATGAGGAGCCGGCGTCGACGATCTCGTAGGAAAAAATCCTCACAAGCTGAATATCAGTAGCCACCGGGTTGCTCTCAAACTCTCCGTTGAACAAGTGGAAAAGCCTCGCAGGAACTCTGAAGAAAGAGGCACGAATGATGGCAACGCCAACGATGAGTCTTGATACTCGATCTCCGCCTCCAGAATATTGAAACCCACTCATAGAAAGGATCTCCATTTTTGTCACTAGGATGATCCACGGTCGATGAGCTTACCTCGACTTGCTTTTCCATCTTCTCAAACTTTGACAGCACGATAATGGCCACGGACCAAGCTCGTGAGACATCTCCATCTCCGATATCTTTTGTTGTCATGGCGATTCTTATGCGGCGAACACGCAGCTTTCATCCAATATCGATTTGAGACGAACGACAGCGGATAACGTTTGCAGTTCGCATACGGCCGTTGGTTCGTTGCTGTCAATTATGCAGCCTCGTCCGTGGTACTCGACACTATGACAAACTACCGAGTATTGAGACACAGTCTATAAGTTACTGAGAGCATTTATAATAATGTTCCGACTTCACTTCCCCTTTTCAACCAAAATTTCCTGTCAAAATATCAACATATCAACAAATAGACGTCTTCAAGCCATGAAATGGCAAAAGATCTCACATCCATTTCTCGGACTCAACAACTCGATCAAGCACCCCTTCTAGAAGACTAGAACCCCCAATACATTTCACATCACGTCATGCATCGTGTTTCCTTCCTCATCCTCATCTCCCCGCCAGATCACTGCCTGCAAGTTGCAACACCTTCCCATCTGCTACGCCTTAACCTCCCCTCGAACCCTGCACCCACATCTTCCCTTCCTTCTCCACATAAGTAAGCAAGCCCTAAAATCTGACCCAACAGCCAGACAGACAGACGCACATCTCGATCCTTCTCATCATCCTTTCTGTAAAACCTTCCTCACCATCATCACGAACAATCAACCCCAAACCACCAAACCACGCCCTCGGGCCCGAACCCTGCTGTTGCGAAATTTGATCCCCACAATTACTAGTCTCTTCCTTCCTTCTCATCTCTCTTCTTCTCTTGAACGGCAGGCACGACTTTCCACGCGATACTAATCTATTTTACTTCGCTCATCATCCCGTTTCTGACCTTGGCTACCGGAACGCTTCCAGGGCTACTGTACCGGGAAACGTCCGTCCGTTCGTTCATTAGCGGTTCGCCACAACGGGAATCCAGACTAAAAGCGATTAGGGTATCGTGATGCATGCATAATCTGCAAATCTCTTTTTTCTTCCCTTCTCTCTCCGAAGAAAACCATCTTAAGTCGCGCTCCGCGAAAACAAACACAAAAAACACGACCGCGACGCGCATGCGGGGAAGAAGAAAGATCCGAATGGAGAAGGGAAGAAGATTCGAAACTGCAACCATACTTCCGTGACACAGACGAGGTACAGTAGTGAAATGCTTCTAGAACTCTTCTCTTTCTTTCGTTGCATATAGCCTATTTATTGAGTGAGCGAAACTGCGTCGTTGTTTGAGGGTCGGCGGTGGTGGCGTTCACATGTCATTCTGCATCGTGGTGGGTATATCGTTGCTTATATAGCCTGATAGCAGAAATCTGAATTCAGATTCGCAGCTAACGAAGTCGGGGATTGATGCAGGGACGCGCCGTCGTCGTCATCTCGAGTGAGTGAGTGAGTGAAGGAGGTTGTTTATGAGAGTTTGCGCCGGTGCAGCAGGAGGAGCGTGCAGATCGATGAGTATCCTTGGTGGGGAAGTTCTAGATTCTAAAGTGAGTTTTTAGGGTTCGGCGGTTGTAGATTGAATATTTGTGGGTTTGTACAGAATGCTAGCTTGGCTCTAGTGTCTAGTTCTTTTTCTGAGAGGGAAATCCCAGCAATTCATGGCCAACTAAGCGGACTAACTAGCCAGGTAGTTTGACCTGAAAGGCTGAAGATTGCTTCCGAACATTAGAGAATGCATCAAAATCCACAACTCCTTAGGGTTTGAAGCATTTCAACTTCTAGATTGATGCACCGATCATCGTCTTTCCCCCTCCTCATCTTCAGGGTCTCCACATTCCTCACCGGCAGTCAAACATAGCAATACAGCACTCGAGAATGTCTTGCCAGTGGCAAAATCCAGAGTCTGTCCAAAACTTCTCGTTGCCCGCTTTCTGTTAGCAGACTCATGTTGTCCTTGTTCACTTCCTGCATTCCTTATGCATGCTTATAAGATCCTTCCCAGACTTCGATATGGTTGATAACGAAGCAGTCTGTGAGGGAGAAAATGTCGTTGATTGCAATACTTGTATCACTATTGATGATTTGCAAGAAGCGCAGAGGGTGACCAGACCATACGTGCGAAGCCTTGAGGAGCTACCTGCTTGCCGAATCTCACATGACTTGGAAAGTGATACTACTGAGTCGAAGACTGCTTCAAAAGTCAAACTGTCAACAGCCAAGGAGTAAGCAGCTGAAATCCATACCAATTCCGACAGAGCAGAACTAGTTGCTAGCATGGAACCCATTGAATCTCCTACAACTGAAATCACACTACAAGATGAAGATAGTCTCTTCATTCCCAGCCCTCATGGATTTATCATCACAGTCCCCGGGAAGATGCATATTTCGTTCCAAGAGCGACGAGAATCTCGATATGCCACGTCGACCGAGAATGCTCTGGAAAATGCCAGTCTTGGCGTTGAGCACGATGAGTTTCTGCTTGCTTTGCTTCGGAGAAGAGTTCTTGCGGGAAGAGGAAGGCGATCTTGGTTCTCGAGATGCCGTCTTTGAGTTGCAAGCTTTCAACAAGCGACAACAGAATATTCATATTCCTTCCAGCCCTGAATTTCTAATAGTTAGAATGAGATCTAAAGAATCAGCGACTACAGGGACAATTGGAGCTAGGCAGATCTTTGCTGGAGAATCGATCCAAGAACCTCTTTTGATAGCAGAAATAACACCTTCTACAGAGAGTGTCATGCCTGGAGACGCTGGTACTATGTTAAAGAGGGTATCCGTTCCAGAACACCATGAGCCCTCTTCAATATCTAGACCTAAGACAAATCCTCTGTGATCTTGGTTCAAGAACGCACTGGGTCCTCCCATTGCACCTAAGACCTCCTCTGAACCGAACAAACTAACAAGAGAAAACCTCAATCGACTCAACAATGAGACTAGTGAAGATGCAGCACCACCCTCGAAGCAATCGCATCCTCGCTTCAAGGCAGAGAGAGCGAGTGTGTATGTGCGCAAGTTATTTGACGATGCAGCTTCGAGCGTCCCAACTTCCATGTCGACGTACACAAGACATGCATTCAAACTCGCCGGGCTGATGCTTCCACTGCAGGAGCGTACAAATAACTACGTCGGCAAATACACTAAGCTTAGAAAAGTAGATGCAGCCCGTATGCTACTCCGAGAAGGATGTTGTACAGGGACAAATTCTCAACCTCAGCCTGGACCTATCTTCGATGTGGTGAAAGGGGCAAGTTCTCAACCTCCCAAATGTCTAAGCGTGCAAATCATATACGGCGTAGATGTCAATGTAAGATGGAAAAAGAAAAACAATACCTACGCCAAGTACGGCTCTGGCGACCCTCCCTTGCTCAAATTACTGAGCGGAGGACTCTTACCGCTGCAAGAACATCATCGCAAGGCCCTGGCGCTCCTACTTTCTCCGAGCTGGAAGACAAACGTACATGTCACCCCATTCTGGACGCAGAACAAACCGCTCCATCTTGTCATTCGGCCGAACGACACTTATGCAGTCGGCGGGCTGTTCGAGAAAGACGATTCAGTAATCGAAGCGCGGAATTCGGAAGGCTGCTGTTAGCAGCTTGTTCGGGGACGATGAATATGTCGTCTGATCAGCTAGAGATTTTGGATCTGCTGCTGAAGAAGAAGAAGGCTGCTGCTAATGTGAAGATGTTGAGGACTGATAAGACGCTGTTGTATGTCATGGTCGCGCTGGGGTTGTTGCATACGGTGGAGAGGCTCAATTACTATACTGTTTAGATTAGTGAAGAGTGAGATGCAAGGAGCTTAGGATTCAAAATGACTTTCACCTCATTTGAAAGAGAACGGATGCAATGCTGTAAAGCGTTCTCATTCTTGTGAGCACCGATATGTCGTATTGAGTAGATGCACCTCCAGCAACATCGTTTGGATATCGAAGTGAACGGTATCTAGCATTGGAACCATGCGGCTCAGTACTAGACTAGGTAGTTCAAATGTGATGCAAGAAGATGAATTTTGCCTTGCCCTCTCCTATGAAGTGCTCCAGCGTGAATAGTGAAAGCGGCCGAGTAACGTATGTAAATAAATCATGATTATGAAAGCTTTGAAGAAGCAGTATAGAAACGGCATTGACGACGTTGTCGAGGTTTCGCTTAAGGACTCGGAGGTTAAGGGGAGATCTGAAGCAGGGAAAGGGGCTTGATCGCGCCGCCAAGCATCATAACCGAAACATCAGCGACCAAGTGGCATCTTCAAGCTCCCTCCAGCTTCTATCACAACCATCAACTCACTCAATCACCACCCACAACACCGCAAAAATGAGGAGAATAGAAACATTGGTGCTGCTCAGCACCTTCACAACCGGTATCCTCGCCGCAGAGTCCTCTCGTCCTCGTGGTGTATCGCCAGAATGTAAGTCTCACCTCTCTCTTCCCCACCATCATCCCAAGCCAATTGAGCAGCACTAACGCTCCCAATTGCTTCACAGTCGCGAAATTCTACAAAGACCCAAACGTCTTCACCTGTATCTCCAACCCATCCATCACCCTCACCCCCTCGCAGATCAACGACGAGTACTGCGACTGCCCAGACGGCTCAGACGAACCCGGCACCGCAGCCTGCACCTACCTCTCCGCGCTCTCTCCGCCTCAACCTATATCCGGGACCCCCAACACGACACTCGCCCTCCCAGGCTACTACTGCAAGAATAAAGGCCACATCCCAAGCTACGTCCCGCACAGCTACGTCAACGACGGCGTCTGCGACTACGAGCTCTGCTGCGACGGCAGCGACGAGTGGGCCGGCGTCGGGGGCACGAAATGTGAGGATCGCTGTAAGGAGATTGGGAGGGAGTGGAAGAGACTCGATGATCTGCGGCAGAAGGCTGCAAGGACGGCGGCGAAGAGGCGCATGGAGTTGGTGGGCGAGGCGCAGGCGTTGAGGGCCGGGGTGGAGATTAAGATTGGGAGGCTGGAGACGGAGATTAGGGAGCTGGAGCGGAAGGCGGCGGATTTGAAGATTAGGTATGAGGAGGTTGAGAGGAGGGAGAGGGGACGGGTGGTTAAGAGTGCTGGGGGAAAGGGGAGTAAGGTTACGGTGCTAGCGGGGCTGGCGAGGGCGAGGGTTGAGGAGTTGAGGGAGGCGCTTGTGGGGGTTGTGGGTAAGAGGGATGCGTTGAGGAAGAGGGTTAAGGAGTTGGAGGGCATATTGGCTACGTTTAAGGAGGAGTATAATCCTAACTTTAACGATGAGGGGGTTAAGCGTGCAGTGAAGAGTTGGGAGGATTACGCTGCTAATAAGAAGGAGGAGGATGTTAGTGCTGAGGATCGAGATCTGGAGGAGATTTCCAAGCCTGATAGCGAGAGTGAGGGGATCAATTGGGCGGAGTGGGAGACGGGGGATGAGGAGAGTGATGTTGATGCTCGTAGGTTTCCTCGCTATTTAACCCGTTTTTTGGTCAGAAAAAAAGGAATGCTAATTTGTAATAGTCTACAAATTCGAAGAATACCTCCCAGCCCCAGTCCGCACCTGGGTCCACCAAAAACTCACAGATCTCCGCATCCTGCTGATCGAAAACGGTATCCTAGCCGATAACGCCAATTCGGGCAGCGAATCCAAAGCCGTGACCGATGCTCGCAACGCTTACCAAACCGTCAACGACGATGTGGGAATCAAGCAAACATCTCTCGGCGATCTAAAGAATGATCTCGAGAAAGAATACGGTCCCGATGATATCTTCCGTGCCTTGAAAGGGACGTGCGTCTCTAAAGACTCAGGCGAGTATGAGTACGAACTCTGCTGGATGGATCAGACGAAGCAAAAATCTAAGAAAGGCGGTGGACACACGGGGATGGGCAACTTTGTACGCTTCGACAAGACGACGGTAGATGAGGAGATCGGGGCTGATGGCAAGGGGTTGGGGAGCGGGGAGAGGATGGTGCTGATGTATGAGAATGGACAGCATTGTTGGAATGGGCCGAATCGGCAGACGACGGTGGTGCTGGCTTGTGCGGAGAAGGATGAGATTTGGAAGGTGGTGGAGCAGGAGAAGTGTATGTATCGGATGGATGTCGGGACGCCGGCTGCGTGTGATAAGGAGAAGAAGAGTGGTGGTGGGGAGAAGAAGGATGAGTTGTAGAGGAGGAGAGGGAGGGGGATTGTATGGTGCGTTTGGGTGGATAAAATGTATAAATACATAAGATGAATGTGAACATTAGATTAGTGTTGCGGGTACGAGCTTTGCTGAGAGTGTGAAATAGCCTTTTTTCTGTTGCAGGAAATCAATGTTCGAAGACACAATTGTCAAACTTGCCGGCTGGATGATTGTCTGAATTTGTAGCTTATTCCATCTCTCACTTGCTTTCATCTATTGTCAATAGCCATCAGGGGATAACCCATTTTCCGAGTAACTAAATCGCCACCATTCCAACGCCAGAACTCCAAATACCATGCATAATAAGCCATCTCTCCTCCTACTTCGTCTTAGGCAACGAGAACCCTCTCGTCATAAAATCCCCTCCCTTCTGCTTTTGTGCATCATACCCCGTATTCGAGAACAGAGACTTGAGATTCTCATTCTGAGCTAACTTCCTCCTCTTATTCCGCTCTTCTTGCTCGTTCAGCACTTTAGCTGTCAGAGATGCCGTAGCGGAATTCTTGATCCCGTTCGATGTTGCGGTTTTCGTGCCCTCTACTATGGGCTTCGCTTTGGTTTTCTCTTCGGCATTCTCGCCTTTCTTCCGCTTCTTGGCTCCTGGTGCTTTTTTCAGGGAGTGCGTTAATCCGGATGCTTTTAAGGTCTCAGCGCGTTTGGATAGGCGGTCGATATCCTCTTTGGCCACGGGCAGGATGGAGATGATGTTCTCGGCTGTGTATGGTTCGTTGCATTCCACGCAGACATCACCCTTCACCTCCTTGATCGCTACTTCGGAAAAGGCGTGTCCGCAAGGAACCAAGTAGACGGCTTTGGTTTGCGGTCCTAGTTCTTTGCTGGTAATGGGGCATATTCTCTTCTCTTCTTTCCCTTCTTTTGTAATTGTGAATTTGACCTCGACGACGTCTCTCAACCCCTTCACTTTTCCTTGCAGGACGTCGTCTTTTTCTTTATCTGCGACGTCGGAGTCTTGTGGTAACAGGTACTCGATGATGGAATCTTTGTTGAAGAGTGTACCGCTGCTGTCGGATACGATGGGCGCGGCGAGGGGCCGGTTGGAGAGGGGACAGGTGTTCCAGGCGTGGGTTTGCGCTTCGAGGAGTTTGGCTTTCAGTTCGGTGTTGTTGAGGGCGCGAGCTGCGTTCTTGACTAGTTCTCGCCGGGTGGGAATACTGCCTCCATCATTTCCCATGGTTGCGATTGCTGTTTTGGCGATTGGGAGTTGTGTCTTGGAAGAATGTGTTGCTGAAAGATTGAAAGGCGAGGAGGCGGGCGGATAAGCCGTTCGATAAGAAGACGCTAGTGCGTCTTAGCCAGCGGCTAGTCCCGGGCTATTGTTAATCCAGGAGCTACTACTAGATGCTCGGCTTATTGTTAATCCGCGGCCGCCTGTGTGCGAGGCTCGCTTTCGTCAGAGCACGAGCACCTCAACTTCTTGCAGACCGACCAGAGATTACATCTGCCAACAACGACTCCGCGAACACACCTCGAGCGCCCGCGGATGATGGCGGATGTAGTACGTTAAGGGGAGAGCAATCCGCGAACGAGACAACATGGCGCAACCGGCGCTCGAATCAGCACTGAACCGCATTGTCGCGGATTTACGTTCAAGGTTTGAAGACGTCCAGCTGCTTGCTGCGCGGAGGACAACTTTACTGACAAGCAAACAAACAGAAGTAGCGATGACACACGAAAACGAGCCGCACTTGAGCTGCGCGAATTGGTGGTAATTACACATAGAGGTAACATCGACTCGAGTTCACGCTTCATCTGGAAGTAGGCTGACAACAGCTAGATTTCTCTCAAGAACGATTCCTGGAGTTTTATGGGACGGTTAATACGAAGATAAATCAACTTATTCACGCGAGTGATCCGGCGGATAAGTTGGGTGCGATACATGTTCTGGATGCTCTCATAGATTTCGATGGTATCGATCAGGCGAGCAAGACTACACGTTTCCTGCAGTCCTTCAGACAGATTCTCAAAGGGAAGGATTTGGTTCCTATGCAAGCTGCCGCTGTTGGATTGGGGAAACTATGCAGACCAGGAGGTTCACTCATCTCGGAATTGGTGGAGTCGGAAGTTAAGACTTCGCTGGAATGGCTACAGTCCGACCGTGTTGAAGAGAGGCGGTATGCTGCAGTCTTGGAGCTGAGAGAGCTGGCGCGAAATGCTCCTACGCTGATGTATGCCTTCGTCGGCCTGGTTTTCGATCAGATATGGGTTGGACTGCGAGACCAGAGGCTGTTGATTAGGCAGACGGCTGCGGAAGCTATCAATGCCTGTTTCCAGATTATTAGGGAGAGAGACCAGGCGATGCGACAGACATGGCAGACGAAGATATACGATGAAGCTGTTCAGGGCGTCAGACAGGGCTCGGTGGAATACATCCACGGATCACTGTTGGTTATCAAAGAGCTTCTGCAACAGGGAGGCATGTTCATGCATGAACACTACCAGGAAGTTTGCGATATTGTCTTTAGACACAAGGATCATAGGGATCTGCAGATTCGACGCACAGTTGTTCTGCTGATTCCTGAACTGGCGAACTACTCACCGACAGAGTTTGCACAGGGATATCTGCACAAGTTCATGGTATTTTTGTCTGGGATGCTTAAGAAAGACAAAGATAGGAACGATGCATTCTTGGCCATTGGAAACATCGCAAATGCGGTCAAAAGCGCTATTGCACCGTACCTGGATGGAGTTCTGATCTATGTTCGAGAGGGATTGAGCATCAAGTCAAGAAGAAGCGGCACGGTTGATCCCGTTTTCGATTGCATCAGTCGGTTGGCAGTAGCTGTTGGACAAACACTGAGCAAATACATGGAGGCTCTCCTTGACCCCATATTCGCTTGCGAACTCACACCGAAGCTCACGCAGGCACTGGTGGATATGGCTTTCTACATTCCTCCCGTTAAGCCTACTATTCAGGAGCGATTACTCGATATGCTTAGCAAAGTCCTTTGCGGAGAGCCTTTCAAGCCTCTAGGAGCTCCAACACCAAACAGCATCTCTGCAGCTCCTGTAGTGCCAAAGGACTCGAAAGACCCTCTAGCATATGAGCATCGCCAAACCGAGATTAAGCTTGCTTTGAATACATTGGGCAGCTTTGATTTCTCGGGTCATGTGCTCAATGAATTCGTTCGAGATGTTGCTATCAAGTATGTTGAGGACGAGGATCCAGATATCAGAGAAGCAGCAGCCTTGACTTGTTGTCAACTCTATGTCAGAGATCCGATTGTCAACCAGACTAGCTATCACGCTATTCAGGTTGTCAGCGAGGTCATTGAGAAGCTACTGACCGTCGGAGTCGCAGATCCAGATCCAGCCATTCGAAGAACTGTACTGGCTGCCCTGGATGAGCGCTTTGATCGCCACTTAGCAAAGGCCGAGAACATTCGTACTTTGTTCTTTGCTCTTAATGATGAGGTCTTTAGTATCAGAGAAGTTGCTATTACGATTATTGGTCGTCTCACACACGTCAATCCCGCCTATGTTATTCCTTCGCTGCGAAAGGTCCTCATTCAGATGCTCACCGAGCTCGAATTCTCCGATGTGGCAAGGAATAAGGAAGAAAGCGCCAAGCTGCTGAGTCTTCTCGTCCAGAACTCGCAAAGATTGATCAAGCCATATGTGGATCCTATGATCTCAGTACTCTTGCCCAAGGCTCGAGATCCTAATGCAGCTGTATCGGCGACGATTCTGAAAGCTATTGGAGATCTTGCAACAGTTGGTGGAGAGGACATGCTACCGTATAATGATAAGCTCATGCCTATCATCATCGAGGCCCTCCAGGACCAAAGCTCTGTAGCGAAGCGTGAAGCTGCATTGCGTACTCTCGGACAACTCGCGAGCAATTCTGGCTATGTTATCAAACCGTACTTGGATTATCCGGAGTTACTGGAGATTCTCCAAAACATTATCAGAACAGAACCTTCTCGAGGTCCTCTACGACAAGAAACGATCAAGCTCATGGGTATTCTTGGTGCCTTGGATCCTTACAAATACCAACAGGTTGAAGAAAGGTCGCCAGAGTCACAATTGCGGCTTGAATCCACACAGATGACCGATATCTCTCTTATGATGACAGGACTTACCCCATCTAATAAGGAGTACTTCCCAACTGTCGTCATTAATGCTCTACTACAAATCTTGAAAGATCCTTCCCTCGCAAATCACCATGCACTTGTGGTAGAGGCTATCATGAACATATTCCGAACCCTACAACTAGAATGTGTGCCTTTCCTCGACAAAGTTGTGCCTGCCTTCATCGCTGTCATTCGAACAGCACCTGCGAAGGCCCTAGACTCGTATTTCAGCCAATTGAGCATCTTGGTCACTATCGTCAGGCAACATATCCGAAACTTCTTGCCAGACATTGTCACTGTTTTGCAAGAGTACTGGAATCATCCAAATCTCCAGCTCAATATTATGTCTTTGGTGGAGGCAATCTCGAAATCCCTGGAAGGCGAATTCAAAATCTACCTCGCAGGTATCTTGCCTCTGATGCTTGGTGTTCTTGAGAAAGACACTTCTCCAAGAAGACATGCTTCCGAAAGAGTTCTCCACGCTTTCCTCGTATTTGGCCAGAGTGCTGAGGAGTACATGCACTTGATCATCCCGGTCATTGTGAATGTGTTCGAGAAGCCTTCACATCCATCCTTCATCCGCAAGTCGGCAATTGATACAATTGGACGAATCTCTCGGCAGGTCAACCTGAACGACTATGCCTCAAAGATCATCCACCCTCTCGCGAGAGTTTTGGCTGGTAACGATGTCTCTTTAAGAATGTCAGCCCTCGATTGCTTGTGCGCCCTCATCTTCCAACTTGGCAAGGACTACTTACATTTTGCTGGCACCATCAACAAAGTGCTCGCAGTTACTCAAATCCAGCACCAAAATTACGAACTGTTGGTTAGCAAGCTCCAGAAGGGTGAAGTCTTACCCCAGGATCTTAATGCGGATGACCGCTTTCGTCACACGATGGATGATGGTGCCTTGACGGAAGTTCAAAACAAGAAATTGGACGCGAATCCCGTCCATCTGAAGGCGGCTTGGGATGCTACTGGCAAGTCGACGAAAGAAGATTGGCAAGAATGGATGCGTAGATTTAGCATCACTGTTTTGACGGAATCCCCAAACCAGGCATTGAGAGCCTGCGCAGCGCTTGCCTCCAACTATCCTCCTCTGGCACGAGAACTATTCAATTCTGCCTTTGTTTCGTGTTGGGGAGATTTGTTTGAGCCCTATCAGGACGATCTCATCCAAAATATCGAGCTAGCTATTCGCTCGCCGCACGTTACGCCTGATCTACTTGGTGTCTTGCTCAATCTGGCAGAATTCATGGAACATGATGACAAAGCTCTGCCAATTGACATTCGTGTTCTCGGTCGTGAGGCCGGCAGATGCCACGCTTGGGCAAAAGCATTGCATTATAAGGAGTTAGAGTTCCTTCAAGATCAGTCCAGTGGTGCTGTTGAAGCTTTGATCCAGATCAACAACCAATTGCAGCAATATGATGCCGCTATTGGTATCCTTCGAAAAGCTCAATTATACAAGGACGGGATCCAGCTTCGAGAGACGTGGTTCGAGAAACTTGAACGATGGGAAGAAGCACTCGAATTCTATCAGAAGCGAGAGCAAGAGTTCCCTGATCAAGCTGAGACATTCGATGTCATCATGGGTAAAATGAGATGTTTGCACGCTCTAGGAGAGTGGGAATCACTGTCTGCACTGGCTCAAGACAAGTGGCATACGTCAACACTTGAAATCAAGAGAGCCGTTGCTCCACTTGCCACAGCTGCAGCCTGGGGCTTGGAACAATGGGACCAGATGGATGATTACCTCAACGTCATGAAGACCAACACTCCGGATAGATCCTTCTTCGGTGCGATTCTTGCCCTTCACCGCAACCAATTCCGAGAAGCTGCCATGTACATTCAAAAAGTTCGAGAGGGCTTGGACACTGAGTTGAGCGCCCTGGTCAGCGAATCTTACAATCGTGCATACACCGTCGTGGTTCGTGTCCAGATGCTGGCTGAGTTGGAAGAACTTATCGTCTACAAGCAAAGCAACAATAACCCGGCTAAACAGGAGACGTTCCGTGCGACATGGGAGAAACGTCTCCTTGGATGCCAGAGGAACGTAGATGTCTGGCAGAGACTGCTTAGACTACGTGCATTGGTCATTACGCCGTCTGAAAATATGCAGATGATGATCAAGTTCTCGAATCTCTGTCGAAAGTCTGGACGTCTGGGTCTTGCAGAGACTCATCTCAAGATGTTGATTGGAACCGACGATAGTCTGGACAAGCTACTTCCATATATCGGCCATGCGAACAATCCTAGTACTGAAATGGCACGACCTGTGATGAAGAATGTTCCACCTCCAGTTCAGTACGCGGTCCTCAAGTACCACTGGGCAGCTGGAAAGCAAGATCAAGCTTTGGATGCATTGAAGTCCTTTACGACTGAGCTCGCTGACAGACTTGAAGCTCTTCAAGCAGCGGCTCAGGGGGTGAACGGTGCTGCTGATATGCATAGTCTCAATGGCGGAATGGCAAATATGGCACTCAGTCCTAACGGTTTTGTCAACGGAAATATGGGTCAACCTCCAATGAATCCAACTCTAACCGCAAAGCATCTATCTGATCACACAAAACTTCTTGCTCGCTGCTGTCTCAAGCAGGGTGAGTGGCAAGTTGCCCAAAAGAAAGGGGACTGGAAGCATGATCACGTCCATGACATTTTGCAGTCATACAGGGCGGCCACTCACTTCAACCCTACCTGGTACAAGGCTTGGCACGCTTGGGCTCTCGCAAATTTCGAGATTGTTCAGGCTCTTGGTCACCGACCTGAACGCGATCGTGACTTGGTCGTTCCGCCAAACGTGCTTATCGATTACGTTGTCCCTGCTGTTCGTGGTTTCTTCAAATCAATTGCGCTGTCCCAAGGGAGCTCACTTCAAGATACCTTACGACTTCTCACACTGTGGTTCGCTCATGGCGGAAGTCCTGAAGTCAATACAGCTGTCACTGAGGGCTTTGCTTCCGTCAGCGTTGATACATGGCTAGAAGTCATTCCCCAGCTTATTGCCAGAATCAATCAACCAAATACCCGAGTTCGACAGTCCATCCACAACCTTCTCGCTGATGTCGGAAGAGCTCATCCACAAGCGCTTGTCTACCCTCTGACTGTAGCAATGAAATCAGCACCAAACACTCGACGATCAAGATCAGCTATGCAGATCATGGATAGCATGCGACAACATAGTGCAAGACTCGTTGAGCAAGCTGATATTGTCAGTCACGAGCTCATTCGCGTTGCTGTACTTTGGCATGAGCTCTGGCATGAAGGTCTGGAAGAGGCTTCAAGACTCTACTTCGGCGATCGCAACATTGAAGGCATGTTCGCTACATTGGCACCTCTACACGACATGCTCGACCAAGGACCAGAGACATTGCGTGAGATCTCCTTTGCTCAAACATTTGGTCGTGACCTTCAAGAAGCACGAGAGTGGTGCTATACCTACAGACAGTCTGGCGATGTCGGAGACATCAATCAAGCTTGGGATTTATACTACCAGGTATTCAGGAGAATTGCTCGTCAACTTCCACAGCTCAATAACCTCGAATTGGCATATGTTTCACCAAAACTTCTCCATGCCCGCGACCTTGACCTGGCCGTTCCTGGTACTTATTCCAGTGGCAAGCCTGTCATTCGCATCCTCAATTTCGATACCAACTTCACTGTCATTTCATCGAAACAGCGTCCAAGAAAACTCAGCTTGCAAGGAAGCGATGGTGTGGCGTATTCCTTCCTTCTCAAGGGTCACGAGGATATTCGTCAAGATGAGCGTGTCATGCAACTCTTCGGCCTCTGCAACACTCTAATGATCAACGACACCGAGTCGTACAAGCGCCACTTGAATATTCAACGATTCCCAGCCATTCCATTATCTCAGAACTCTGGCCTCATTGGTTGGGTACCAAACAGCGATACTTTACACGTCTTGATTCGAGAGTATAGAGAAAGTCGAAAAATTCTTCTGAACATTGAGCATCGCATCATGCTTCAGATGGCGCCTGACTACGATAATCTCACCCTCATGCAAAAGGTCGAAGTCTTTGGCTATGCTCTTGATAACACTACTGGTCAAGATCTTTACAGAGTCCTATGGCTAAAGAGCAAGAGTTCCGAGTCTTGGCTTGAGCGACGTACCAACTACACTCGCTCTCTGGGTGTCATGTCGATGGTCGGATACATTCTCGGTCTCGGTGACAGACATCCTTCCAACTTGATGCTTGACAGAATTACTGGCAAGATCTTCCACGTGGATTTCGGTGATTGTTTCGAAGTCGCTATGCATCGTGAGAAGTATCCTGAGAGGGTGCCTTTCCGATTGACTCGCATGTTGACATACGCCATGGAAGTCAGCAATATAGAAGGTAGCTTCAGGATTACTTGCGAGAATGTCATGAGAATTCTCCGCGACAACAAGGAGTCCCTGATGGCTGTCCTTGAAGCTGTAAGTTTTTTGTCCTTTTATGGTGGCCAAAACTAACAAAGTCATAGTTCATTCATGATCCTCTCCTGAATTGGCGTCTTACTGGCGATACCTCTCCAGCCGGCCCTAACTTCCGATCCGAACGTCGCGATTCTCTTATGGCTGCACAAGCTCGTCGACCTTCAATTATGGACGCTGAAATTCCACCATCGGCTCTTATGGTACAAGATCCTGGTGCTCTTCCTGGAGGACCACCCTCATCTAGACCTCGTGCAAGAACCAATTCGACAACCCAGGGTCCTAATGCGAATGATGCCGACATGCAGGAGACCCAGAATGAGCGTGCCATGCAAGTCTTGAACAGAGTCAAGGACAAGCTTACAGGTCACGACTTCAAGCCAGATGAAGAGTTGACGTACATCATTCAGGTCGATAAGCTACTGATCGAGGCGACAAAGCTGGAAAATCTCTGCCAGCATTACATTGGTTGGTGCAGTTTCTGGTAAGAGAGACTAGAGGACAGAAGGTACAGAACATGTGGGAGTTTTGTTTCACGACAATGGCTGGGAGGCGTTTTGAGCGTTTCATCTCGATTTTCAACGGATCATAGGTGATCTGCTTATGGGTTAGGGGCAGGAATTGTATCACATATGTACATGTAAGCCGGGAGCTTGGCTGCGCATTTCATCTGGAGCGGGCGTTGGACGGTTAGTTAGCGATGAAATTTAACTTCACATAAAAATCATTCTTTCGTCTTCAGGCGGCAGTTTGGTGGTGGCATTGTCCGAGCTGTAGATTGACATGTGCTTGTGCGGGAGTACAATTATTGAAGCCTTGGGGAGCTTGCGTAGCCGTGACACTCGATTCGCCACTTCCCAAAGCTGGCTCAGGTAGCATCAGAACATCATAGAAATAAGTCGAACCACCACTTTGAGAGCACAAGACTCGTCATTTATGCTGTATAAGTGTAATTCTTCCGGCTATGTAAATGTCGGGTCACAGTTGGGTGATCAGTTGCACATATGATACTTGTGGACTTGATCCAGACTGCGGCGAGCTTTGGTTGCGGAGAGGTAAAACTGTAATTGCCTAGCGGGAGAGGTCCCGATTTGCCTCTCACATGCAAAACAAAGTTTATATTGTTTGATATGGTGATGTATACCTTGGCGTTACCTTTGGCTTGTCGCCACATGTGTAGCGTTCTCGTCGTACTTTCGACGAAATTTCGTTCCGCGCTGAGATCCTGGGAGAATATTGAAGAAGCCAGATATGGGGTACGGAATCAGATAGAGAATGATGTAGAATTTGAATGAAAGCAGTGACATGCTGCTACACTGTGGCGCACTAACGTTCCTGCTTTGTAGGTCAAGCCACAACTAGGTTCGCGCTAGCCAGAATACGTCACTGCTGCCCCTCATCGCACTGACCTCGTCAACTTACCACTCCACTTCCAAACCATCGCTCTACAAAATCCAAACTCTCCCCTCTCCCCAACCTCTTGACCACAAACAAACAAACAAACAAACTCACACGAACAGCTTCCTTCTACTACTACAGACACAGTTCATCATACAAACAACAGACCGTCAATCGTCATGTCTGCAAACACCGTTCACGTTAAGAACATCAGTTCTCAGACCAGCGAGAAGGAGATCAGAGACTTCTTCTCTTTCTGGTGAGTTTCCCCCAAACCTTCATCTTTATGTTCATCAGCTAACTTCAATCAGCGGCAAGATCACCAGTCTCGAAGTCTCCAAGTCTGAGCCCACTCAAGATGCGACCGTAACCTTCGAGAAGGAAACCGCGGCCAAGACTGCCCTGCTCCTCGACAATACCCAGCTCGGTGCCACTCAGGTCCAGGTCTCCAGTGCCACCGGCAGCAGCGAAGATGATGGAAGCCACTACAAGAGCCAGTCTGAGCGCGAGAGTGACGAAATCACCCAGGAGGAGAAACCCCGAAGCCGCATCATCGCTGAATACCTCGCCCATGGCTACGTCGTTGGTGACCAGGCTATTCAACGTGCTATCGAACTCGACCAAAAGCATGGCGTCTCCAACCGCTTCGTCCAAACTCTCACCTCCCTCGACTCGAAGTACCATGCCACTGATAAGGCCAAGTCCGTCGACAACACCTATGGCGTTTCTTCCAGAGCCAACACCTTCCTTACTGGTTTGACTTCATACTACGAAAAGGCCACCGATACCCCAACTGGCAAGAAGCTGGTCAACTTCTACACTCAAGCATCCCGACAGGTCCAGGACATTCACAACGAGGCTCGTCGCTTGGCAGATCTGAAGAAGCAGGATTCTGGTGTTTCCAAGGTTCCTGGTTCCGAGAAGACAACTTGTAAGTGCAATTCAAATTGTGAGGAGTGTCCTTGTGCACCAGGTCAATGTGCCTGTGTTGGATGTGCCAAGTCAGACGTTAAGGAGGCCGCTGGAACGAAGAAGACGACATGCAACTGTGGTGGCGATACCGGCAAATGTGGTTGTGCACCAGGCAACTGTGCATGCTCATCTTGCCCCAAGTCAGACACTGAGAAGGTTGCTGGCACAGAGAAGACAACTTGCAATTGTGGTGGAGACACCGCGAAATGCGCTTGTGCCCCTGGTGCTTGTGCTTGCAAGTCGTGCCCCAAGGCCGATACCGAGAAAGTGGCAGGCTCCGACAAGACGACTTGCAAATGCGGTGGTAACACCGAGAAATGCGGTTGTGCTCCCGGTGCTTGTGCTTGCTCATCTTGCCCAAAGGCGAAGACCGAGAAGGTTGCTGGTACCGACAAGACAACTTGCAACTGCGGCGGCGATGAGAAGAACTGTCCTTGCGAGGCCGGAAAATGTGCTTGCGGCGGTTGCTCGAAGTAGACGTTCTTTGCTTTTTTCTTGTTTCTTTGAGTTTTTCATGTATTAAAATTCGGGAGGGAAAATGATTGTTAGATTGTATTATGCTGACACTGGCTCGCGCCTGCTTTCAGCTACCCCTTCTGCACATGATGCTGCTACTGAGAGTACTTCTATCGTTGATTCTGCAAAAGTTGCTCCTTTGGACTCGGAAAAGGGATCGTCTGCATGAATGCGTTTTGCTTTATTGCTTTACGTTGGTTCATGCTTATGGTGGAAATGAGATATGGTTATGAACGGATGAGATATGACTATTGAGAAATGGGGGCGATATCATTGGGATTGGCAGGCAGGGTTTCCTTTGTTAGCGAGCGTGGACTTCGAAAGGTTATCACAGCAATGGAATTACTATGAATGCATGACATCAATTGATTTTCATGTGCTATATGCAGGACCGTGAATAAGCTGCGAGGACCCGCTCTTTCAACCAATTGCCTGCTCACTAAAGTCTGCGGTGTCTAAAGCATCGAAATCATGAAATGGCATTTCATTCTATGGAAAAACCTGTCCTCCATGTATATGCCCTGATACCGTCAAAGCCCATAATTCTGTGTACAATAGCACCCTCTTTGTGTTTATTGATTAACTGTCTTCTTTGCCACCTCCGCAACATGATCATCAAGAGGTCCCTTAGGGTTAGACGAAAGTCCCTATAACAATGCATTAGTATGTACCTTGTGAAGGAAAAACGTAGAGTAAATACCTCGAGTTGAGACTCGCTCTCTTCCTTGTTCTTGGTCTCGGGGTTGACTCCTGTTCCGGAGGAGGGAGCGTCTTGTTGTTGGGCTCCGCTTTGCTCCTCGGGAGGAGGGGATTGACGGCCTTGGTTTTGGGCAGACATTTTTGGATGGTGGTTTGGATTTGGAATTTGTTCTGTGAGAGGGAGTGTGAGCTGGTGAGTTTCTGGAGGGGTAGGGAGAGGGGCAAGAAGTAGATAGTAAAGTACTTTTGGAAAGTGATGGAATAGCTTGAAGCGAGTGAGAAGGGAGAGATACTCAATGAATTTGTGATTTCAGAACTTACTTTTGATGAGGAGAGTTCAATGAAGTTGTTTGATTGTATCAAGAGAGAGGAAGAAATGTTGAATGTCAAGTTGTTTTAACCCCACCAACACTAACCCATCGACGTCACTTCTGTTGCCCCTGCAGCCTTGCAGCCTGACGTTCGCTGATTGGCCGATTCGCGAAGGAGCACAAGTCGGGATCTTCAGTATCATGAAAGCCACCGACCTTCGTGCTGTCGCCAGGCTGACAATCCACCAAGATATCTTTACACCACGTCTTTCCCTCGAGGATTCAACAATACTTGGTGTCTGATATTCTCTACAAATAGCCTACAACAATCAATTCCAAACCATGGCGCCAGACTTGAATTCGGTCCCGCCGTCCCCTAGACCCCTAGCTTCTTCTCCGCGTCTCACGACAACTTCCAGGCGAACTTCTCAGCAGATGGCTCCACCTCCTATGCCGACTTCTCCTTCTCTCAATATCCTGCCTTCGAACCAGAGTGCTGTCAATCACGTCTCTCCGCCACTGGCCTCTCCAAACATGACCAGCACGACGACCGTGATGGGGGATAACACAGGTGTGGGCACTGGTCCAGGTCCTTTGAGACATCCTCGACCACTTACTGCAGCGGATTTGCATTTGCAACTGGAGAAGGAACAAGAAGCTGTTGTATGTGTTACATGATCTCGAGTTTAGCAAGCAATACTGACAGAAACAGGTCAACAGATTGACACGAGAATTGACCATGCTTCGAGCAGCGCAAAACGCCTCAGTCGTCTCGAACACATCTTCCACATCAGCAGGTTTCCCCGACCCAGCAGACCACAACGCAAACCACCTGCTCTCCGGACCCAGCCATCCCGCCCCCTCACAACGAAGACATCACCGCTCCTCCTCATCCACCAGCACGCGCAGCAATACCGCAATCGCCTCCCTCACAGGCCTCACAACCGCGCCTTCCACAACCGCAGACCGCACCCGCGGCTCCCTCCCTCGACACGACTCCAATACCCAACCGGCCTCCATCTCCCTCTCCCGCCAAAACTCCACAACCGGCTCCCGCCGCAGCGGAGCCTCGTCTCCTGCCCCTCTGTCCTCTGCTCAATCATCCTACCAACCTCACCCGGGCGACCATTTCCCGTCCTACTACACCTCCCGTCCAATCCCGCACCGGGACCCGAGCTCGAGTTCGCTGGCTATGATGAGTGGAGGCAGCGAGATGGCGAGACAGGATAGTATTACCAGTCTGCAGACCACGGGGCGGTACGAGGAGGCGGCGTTCCATCGACATGAGTTGGAGGCTGTGAAGAGGGAGAATGAGGCGTTGAGGAGGAGGGTTAGGGACTTGGAACGGACGTTGAGACAGAGGAGGCAGAGTGATGCTAGTGTAGGCCGTGGCAGGAGCGAGAGTGTGAGTACGACGGCCAGTGTTCGGGATAGGGAGCTGGGCGGTGCTGGCAGAGGGAGGGAGAGAGAGGTTGGTGAGGAGGAGGTTGTGCAGGTTGGGGAGAGTGCTAGGAGTGCGGGGCTCTGAAGGGTGTAGTGCATGGGAGTGTAGAGATCCGGAGATCATCACGGCTTACGAATCATGGGATTTCGAGACTGTTTTTCTTGTCCGCGTAGGATATGAAGGGTGGGACGGGAAAATGGTTGGCGTTTTGGGGTGTCTTTCAGGTTAGGATAGGTAGGCGTTACTTATGTAAAGCTTTCTCTGAGTCTTGACATGGTGATTGCTTACTTAGCGGGTTTATGATAAGTGCTCGTATCTCCTGCTATGACCATCTGCTTCTCTTTCCTATTGTCCTGTTAGATGATGTGTTCAATATCATGTTCTTATTCTCAGATCCGAAAAGCATAAAAGAAGGCAGTGAGCCAATGTCACTCAAGCCTTCCTTTCCAATCATTATGTTGCCTTCCCTCTCACTGAAAGAAGACTTTTCTTTAGCCACTTTACTACGGATTTGAATGTGAGTGTTGATCATTGAATCAGGAAAGGGGAATGGTCACAGTGAACGAGAAGAATAGGTGATGAGACTTTAAAGTTGCCGTCTATAGAATCGTGATAATTTTAGACTCCTTCTAGGAACCTCTATCTACTTAACGCTAATAAGCACCAGTTTTAAAGCGGATCAGCTACAGAAGCGCTTTTGCTCTCTTGACAGAAATAGATAAATTCAGAAGAAAATAGAATGCTGGGATTAAGAATAGTAGCGAGGCTTCCGTACCCAAATCGCTGTCAAGAGCGAGGATTGCGCGAATAGCGCGAATCGCGCCAAACCCTTGCAAACAAACACAAAAGAAAAGCTCTAAAACTTAGCAAAAGATCTAACCAATCACCGGCACCCCATGCCTGTCAACCTTGCTTCTCCTCCCTTCCTCTCTAGGTCCCTGATCAGGAAGAACCCTAAAATCACTTGAAGCCCACTCATGCAAGATAGTCGGCGCAGAAACCGCCCCCGCATTAGCAACAAGACAAACACACAGCGAAATCTGCGCGTACAAAACCTCATCATGCACAGCTCGGTTGCTGTACCTTGTTCCAAGCGCGAGGATACCGTGACCGGTACTAGTCCTTGCGTGGACGTTCGCTCCGTGTGAGAGCAGGACTTTGGTTGCTGCGCGGTGCCCGAGTTTGACTGCGATGTGGAGGGCTGTTTCGCCGAGTCGGTTGCGGAGGTGGATGTTGGCACCTGCGGCGATGAGGCGGTTGAGGAGCGCGGTGGTAAGGGCTTCGTCTTTGGTGGGCCAGTGGGTGATGAATGACATGAGGGGTGTGGAGCCGTGTTTGTCGTATCGATTTGGGTCTACGCCTGCGAGGAGGAGTTGTTCCATGTATTGTTCCCAAGGACTGTTGAGAGCAGGGTCGATACCATCATTTGGTTCCTTTGAAGTTGGGAGGTCGAGACGGACTTCTGCTAAGCAGTGTAGGCCGTTTCGTCCTTCTGAGTCTTCGAAGGAGGGGTTCTTGCCGGCTTGGACTATGACACGTAGGAGTTCTGCGTGTTTTTCATATTCCTGCAGTAACTCGGGGCTCGCTGATAGGAGAAATTTGGAGTTGATTGTTTGGGGATCTGTGGGATATGAAGAGACACGGAGATGTTTTTGAGGCTGAGGCTGAGATGCGACATCGGGCGTGGTCAAGAAGTGTTCTTCATCATATGGCCAACTCAATTTGAAGCCTTGTTCCCGTAGTTGCTCGGCCACAGTATATCCTCGATTATCCCGAGAAGTTGGTAGATCAATGCCATGGAATTGAAAAGACTGCAGCATGCCACTAAGAACTCTCCAAGGAGTCGAGTACTGAGTAAGAGAGTGCAGCGCTGTTTGTCCATTATGATCTTGTTGCTGGAAATTGAAGCGTCGTTTGACCAGCGCTCCAAGGAGAGCGGGAAAGTCTCTGATGGCTGAGATGTCCGAAAGACTGATCAAGTGTAGGAATGTTTGGTCCGCGTTATTGAGGCTGTGGATGTTGGCGCCCATAATGATCATGGATGTTAGATAAGTTGGCGCTGCTCCTAGACATGCAGCGATGTGGAGGACAGAATTTCCAAATGTGTCCACGCTTTCGAGATCCTCCTCTCGTACTGCACAAGTCCGAATTCTGAATAGAACATTTGGATGTATCGATCTGTGAGTTTCCAGGCCCAAGGGTTGATAGATAGGACCACGATTACAAGGTAACCTAATATCGTCGCACCGTGCAAGCTCGTTGTGACAAATATGTTCCCAGCAATACTGAGGATATATGCCAGGCAAGACGACTGGGTTTTCAATTCGTGCTGGAATAGGCTGTATATTCAGAGTTGTAATGGTATGAGGATATGATACTTCGGACGATCGAGATATCGTGAGCCTTCCTAGTAGAGATTTGATGTCGCCTAGGTCAGAGGTTGAGTATCTAAATTGTAATCGCCTTTTCAGACTCGTGAGGCTGATGAGCGAGCGTGTAGATTTTGTACTCGAAATGATGCTGGCATCGTCTTTACCATCAGCGTCATTTTCGGGGTTGATTGGCTGGTATTCAGAAGACGCATGGCTGGTTGACTCTGCTTCGGCCTTGGGACAACACCATAAAAATCAGCACAGATGAATCGAGGTTTATTTTGGCTTACCGAGTCAAGCTTCGATTTGAATGAATGCACCTCGTCATCCAATGTGTTGACAGATGCGACACTGGCAGAATCAATGTCGCCTCTCAGAAACAGAGCATCATTAAGAACTGGTTGGAAAGTTGGAGTAGGAGTTGGGTCATTTTCTAGTTGTTTGTGGTGAAGTAGAGGAAAGGCGGAAGCATTGAGTGGATCCGACAATTGACAGGAAAGCTCGGGATCTTTCTCGAAAGATGCCAGATAGCCGTCGATTTCGGATGGGAAGGACGCTTCCTGTAATTTTGACTTGACGATAAATCGTTCTCGAGATCGTAAATGCTTGCATTCCCTCAACATTCGCAGGCGTTCTTTTGTCATGTCTCCTTTGGATCTGACTTGATTTGGTCTTGCTTGCAGGAGGTTGTTGAGCTGTTTTTGGATGTCTCTTTTGCTGGAAGAATGTCAGTAAAGTACATAAGATCGTTCGAAGTGGATGCATGCCAAGGCTTGAAGCGGACAGAACGAATGGTCTTGGCAAGCTCGTCGATGTCCAAGTCAGTCATCAGATAGAGCCTCACAAGCTTGCGTCTCCTAGAAGGTGTCCAGCCATTCTTCGGTCGTCCCATAGATTTTCGGGGCTTAGAAGTGGATGATCCGTCGTTCTTCTCTTGTATTATTTTCCGCTTTCGATTGGACGTAGACGCAGAAGAGACTCCGACCGGGCTCGCCAGAGACAATTGACTGGACCTTGACGTTGGAATCGATAAAGTAGGGCTAGTAGTCATTGAATCCGAAGGTTCCATGATACCAAGCAACATTTGGATGCCAACAGAACAAGGTACTATTTTAGCACATGAAGTGTTGTAAACGTGAAAGTCATGGGAACCGCAATCGAGGCCAAGAGGCTCCTATAGAAGAATATGGACCACATATTAAAAGATGTGCAACAAGGCTCGGGGTCTTGATATACAGCTTCTCTCTGCAGAATAATGTGCGTTTCCCATACATGTTCCATGGATGGACCGCGATTGGACGAAGTTTTTATGCAGGCGTTGAAGTGCAAGAAGTCGGGAAGCTGCAAGGGAAGTCAAGCTAGTCTACTTTTGATTCATGTGGCTGAGAAGTGCAAGAAGTCGAATTCGACGCCACGGCTCAGTATTGAGAAAGAGAATCAATGTTGAACAGTGCGATAATTTAGTAGCATTCTCGGCTGTTACAATGAGATAACCTGCAAAGCTGAGAATCGCATCACGTGTGGATCACGAGATCGACAAACCCTTTTTGAGCAGCACGATGGCTAGAGCTTGAGCATCGCTAGATAAGGGCCTCGAGATTGTCTACTGGTAGGACACTAATAGAGTACGTCATTGATCTTCACACGAACTGCAGACTGAAGTCGTGTTCTATGCCGGGCCGAAAACCCAGGCACTTTATCCAAATTTGCCAAGATGATGTGAATGGCACCACAACGAGGTTTATAGATTGAGCCTTTATTGGTGCACTATCAAATAGAACTTCTCAAGACGTCGAGTCCAGACGCAAAAATGCAAGACTGTCCTCATCTCGTCGAGAGAAGAATAATCCGAAGACCCTTTTCCGATGATCTGACAAGCAAAGTTGACAACGTCTAGGATGATATTCAAACTCAAAAGCATTTGCTTTGCTCTAGCACTAGCAACTCCACTTGTCTCGGCTTCACCAATACTCTCAAGATCCGATGTCACACTTGCCAATGGGACAGACATCGGACCTGCTTGCACCGTGTATGAAGGGGTAAGCCATATCCGTAACGCAAAGATACCAGAACTGATGCTGATTCATGATGATCGCTAGAAGTGCCAAATGGCTCCTTTTGGGAGCTATTGTGATGCGGAAGGAACCGTAAAGAGAGGATGCGATATCAACCATCTTGTAAGTCCAGCACTGTGCGACCAGAGGTGAAAAGCAACTGAAGGTCGAAGTGTAATGCGACAGGCATCAAATGCGTCATTTATGACTATGCTTGTAGTAATTTCAGCAACATGGCATTCTGTTGATGATGAGGGAAATAGAAGCATTTCGACAAGTTGAGATCTGTCTCATGACTTGCTGTAAATAGGTCTGACTTGAAGAAGAACATACGCGAAAGAAAACTATGATTTGCTGGACTTCAACGGGGTTGTAGGCTTGTCAGTCAGAAACCTCGAGCTTCGTGTGAGAAGTTGTCCATACCCTTCGAAGGAAGAAGAACTTGTTTATTGCCTTCGAGAAGCACGGGATCTGAATGTACGATCGACCTTAGAGGTTGAGGCGAAGAATACTGTTACAAATCTTGAGAATTTAGGATTTGGAAGAGGCCGGTTTGGAAGCCTGCAGCTATTTAAGTGGGTCATATCACGTGTGTACGTATTTTTAGGTAGTACAAGTTAAGGTAACTTCATCTCAACTTCCATCTCTTTATACCTACCCACAAGTACATGACGGACGCGTTTTCATCATGAAATCTTACTTTCGTATGCTGGATTGCATACTTCCACTCTTTTCTGTCTTTGTACTCCTTGTTCCATCAGCATTATGCGACTTCCATCGAGGAGATCGGTACTAGAATGGCAGACCACAGCCTATTGGCATTGACTTCTCCCATGACCACGCGTATGTATCTCTTGGCTCACTTATCAGTACTGTCACTTATACATTGTACGATTAGAGTTGCGGTGTATGCGGATGGGCCCGAGAACTTTACCACCATCACTATTGCTCGCCCAAAACCGGGCAATGAATACAGCCGCTACATCTACACTCTTTTCACGGAACGAGATACGTGGGACGGTACTTCGGACATCATTAATGACGAGAATGACTTCGTTCTAGAAGGAGCCTTCGCTGAAGAGTATTGGTCACGTGTCAAGAGATGGACTGAAGACTTCACTCAAAAATCGTGCTACAAACTCTTGCCCTTGTTGGGACGCTTTGAAGCCTTCTTCGATGTCTGCTTTGCGGAAACTGAATACAACTACGAACCATCGAAGCCGAAGTCCAAGTATCATAAGCTGCTATCTCAACGACGATTAAGAGCTATGATGCCCAAATGGTTCCGGTGGCCGCAAACAACACTTTTATCAAGAAGTGGTTTCGTTCTTTCTGTTTTCGAGATTCTTGAAGATATCAAAGAGTCAAGCCTACAGAATAATATTACCATCAAATTAGCGGTAGTTTCTGTGCTAGGTTGGATACGTAACGAGTGGGGAGATCTCATCGACGAAGCATGTCTACTTGCAGATATAGAACTCTACGAACAACCCCATGTAAAGGCTGAGATAGCCGCCAAAACGGCACCTAAAGGAGGTTCGGTACTTATTCTCGACCATGGATCATATCATCTAGATATTGTTTATGCTGCCTGGGACATTCAAGAAAAAGCTTATAAGCCGAAGCAATCCGTGGGAATGACTGATATGGGAACAAGTAGGATGATCAAGGATCTGACTTTCCGTGTCTTATTTGCATACAATGCAAATGCAAATGTGACAGAAGATGACCGGCGTTGGCCAATAGCTGCTGGACTCGATGATATTGCCCAGGAGGTTGCTTTGGCCCGAAACGAGATCAAATATGGGATAGGACGAGCAGAGTCTCAGGCCATAATCGGTCAAGACACAAGCATCAATATTACGGAGCCATCTGGACGACTACGAATTGTGAATGTTACGAGTCAAGACATCGTACATGTTCAGGAGCAGTACATGGCGGCAATAAGTAAGAGTATCCGCACTGCCTTGATTCAAAACGATCTGATGGCCGAGTACTTCGCAGGTGAGTTCAAAGACTTCCAGAGATGGCATTATTGACAAAATCCAGCGGCCTTCACAGAGCTCCAGAAGACGGACAATGTAAAGCAGAACTCTTTGAAGGAATATCTGGAAAGCTGGGGAACTGGGTACGATCTACTAGCCATGAAATCTGACCCTCCACCCAACACGTCTTGGTACAAACCTGTCGACTCTCTCATTCTCCTTGACAAAGGATACGATGCCGACACTATACGACTTGGAGCGGAGCGGGCTGCAGGTCCACATGGTCCCCATATCCCCCAGATCGCAGGAACAATTTGCGTGCCTCACTACGCGATCGCAGCTCGTGGGGCGTCGTTAAGGGCTAGAGATTGGATTACCTACTACGATGCAAGCTTTCCTAAAACGGATCGAGATGAAGAGTACGAAGTGGATGTTGATTTAGAGGAAGAGTAAATGTATATAACCTAAAAGGTGAATCCCCCAGCAAGTGTCATAACACCATTTGGATCATATGTTGCCTGGATCTCTCTCAATCTTGCCGCATTCGTTGGTCCGTACAGTTGCGCGCCAGAATATGTACTCAAAGCATAATTCGGATATGCATACGCATCTTCTGTAAAGATACCTTCCGCCTTTGCGACCTCAATCAGATGGTCGATACTCTGTTGCATTACACCTCTCCAGTATTCATCCTCGGTTTCGGGCGTCCAAGAGTAGTATAAGTTAAGTGGCAATGGAGAATTTGCGTGCGGGAATGCGGAGTCGGTTGCATACTGCCCGTAATTCAAGAAAGGTTCGACATCATAAGAGATGAGATTGCCACCATTGAGGAGAGCAAGGTCACCGTAGAAGGTTGTCTCGTTGTAAACAGCGGTCAGAAATGCTGTCGTGAGGCTTGTGGTCATCATGGTATGAAAAGCGCCACGGTATCCAGCTTCAAGATCAGAGTCTGTACCTGTGGAGAAGGACGCATAGGATTGGGATTTGACTGTCGAGATGAGTGGAGCAGCGCTGACATTATTGTAGGGCGCAAAAGCTGCTGGTTCCTCTGGACCATCATAGAAAAGAAGTAGGATGGCACCAGGAACCGAGCCGCCGTTCAGCGTGAGGATTACTTGAGCTTTGGGATCGGTGTTCTGATCCTGGAAGGTGTTCGTCGCAGTGATCAAGTCTGGAACAGCATCGGTGCCATAGAGTTTGATGCCACCATAAACGTCGTTCGTTTGTGGCACCGTCTTGAAGATGATGCTTGTCACAATGCCGAATCGATTCAGGCCCCCTTTGAGCGCAAAGAACAGGTCAGATTGTGCTGAGTCGACCTGGGTTATTGTGCCATTTGGAAGGACGAGGTTGAAGGCTTGGACGGTGTCGCAGGTCAGGCCGTACTGATCTGTCAACCACGAGTAGCCACCTCCCAGCGAAAAGCCACCAACACCAGGACCAATAACACGACCTCCGACGACGTTGACGTCTGATCCGTCAAGAGCGGTATAGACATCGGTCCAGACCTGGTTTTCTGTTAGAGCATAGTACATTTTGAGCGAGCGCGGAGACAACTACTCACGTTCCCCAGGCCGACCTCTACAGTACTTTTGTCTGCCGACAGGGTAACCTGATTTATCCTGACCAGAGAGATGAATACTCCTGTGGTACTCGAGAATCCAGGATTCGAAGCATGTCCACCAGATTTGATAGCAAATGGGGTTCGAGTCTGCCCAACGATGCTCAAAACGCTGGAAACGTCTTCAGGACTAGCTACCTCAACGACACATGTTGGAGTCTCCGAAGAAGAGCTCATATAGTGCTCAGTGTCGTTGACGAAGTTGTCGCTCAACGTTGTCGGATAATAGACAGTGCCATTGATGCTTCCTGCGATCTGCTCGCACACAGTACTTCCAGACAACGTCTGTCGAGAGGAAAGTATGGCAGCGGAAGCAGCGGAAACGAGTACAGGCAAGAGCACTTGAAGCATGATGAGAAAGTAGAGGGGGGCTTTAGAATTTCGGGGCTAACTTTTGGACTTGGATGGGGTGCGCAAGTCGCGATATATACAAATTTGCCGCTCTTCCTCTTGGTCGTCCATGTTGACATTGCTGCAGTCCGGCGTTCAACACAGACGGCTGGCTCGACTTCCGTTACTGGACGGGGCGACGCGAACTAGAGCATCGTGGCGCTCTAGCCAAATAGATCGGCAACGCAAAGTCCTGACTCAGAAAGCATGCCTCCATTCCCAGAATACATCAGACGAAAGTGGAATACCACTTCCGCTTTTTTCTCCAGATCCATAGGATACCAGTACTAAAATAACTAAAGGCCCTGTTATTTACGACGTCGGTGGCGGATGCATCTCAAGCTTTCGCCGCAAAGAGGTCGTTTAAATCCTGTTGAAGAGGTTAAATGCTGGTGTTCCCATGGTAAGCAAAAGAAAATTTCTGTGGTTTCCAATACGATAGGTTGGGTAAAGTTAACCGACACACATCTACCGAAGCAAGTCGGGTAGAAGCGTCGCCGAAAGAAGAAAGATATCCTTCCCCACATTCACGAGCCCAAAATATTGAGCTGACCCCACTCTTTAAGGGTTGTTCCTGAGGAACATGGCGAGGTCGGACCTGCAGATCAACCCGCTGGAGAATCTTAACGAGGACCAACTCGATAATGATCCGCTAGCAACGTTCACGGGCACAACGCTTGCATTCGTACTCGGAATTTAGTACAGAATGGCAGACCTCACTTTTTGAAAAAATATTGTCTGGCAAAGACGTGCTTAACAGGGCTTCGAGGTTAAAGCACCCGGCCAGGAGTTGATCGTCCAATCGCAACGCGCTCACTTATGAGGCAACGCACCAACAAGTGTCAGTATTTGTTCCCCTCTTTCTCTTGAAGAGGTGCCGAGGACTTAAAGATGTAAGTGCAAGAACAATCTTGTGATTTTTGCCAAGTCACATCCAATCAACATAAGAGCTAGGTAGCTCCTCTCTCTCCTTTGCTCTCACCTGTTCGAGTCTCTTCTGGATTGCGCTGTTTCGTGTTCGGCTTGTGTTGTTGACTATTAGGTCTGTGTCTCGTCAACATGAGATTTTCCTTGGAAATCATCGGCTTTGCTATGCTGCAGGTAGCCTCCGCCCTGGCCGTTCCAGTCAGCCACAACCTCTCACCTCGCGCTACAGTTCTCCCACCAACTGAAGATCCTTTCTACACACCACCAGATGGACTGGCCGACGAAGAACCTGGAACCATTCTTCGCACCAGGTCTATTGGCGAGTTGTCGTTCCAAGGCGTTGTTCCATTTACAGCCAATGCCTCATATCAACTTATGTATCGAACAACCGACAGTCTCGGGAACGCTTCAGCAGCAGTCACAACTATCATCGTACCTGAAAATGCCAACACTTCGAGAGTGCTATCTTATCAATTCGCCGAAGACGCTGCGTGGCTTAACTGTGCTCCATCATATGTGGTTCAACTAGGTTCCGATCCAGACAATTTCGGCTCCAATGGTCTCGAGACTCTATTCATCATCGCAGCTCTCGATCAAGGCTGGATAGTCAATCTCCCAGATTATGAAGGTCTCCAGTCAGCTTTCACGTCAGGTATACAGGCTGGCCAAGCAACACTCGACTCTGTTCGTGCAGCCCTGGCCTCTGGGAACTTGACTACAATTTCTCCTGAAGCCGAATACCAAATATGGGGCTATTCAGGAGGTTCTCTAGCCTCTGAATGGGCAGCCGAGCTCCAGCCAACATACGCACCGGAACTGAATTTCAAAGGCGTTGCTCTTGGCGGTCTTGTTCCCAACGTCACTTCCATCCTGTTGACAATCAACAAGAGTCTCTTCGCTGGGCTCATCCCAGCTGGAATTCTCGGCCTAGGAAATGCTTATCCGGAGCTGGAAGCTTATATCAATGAGCACCTTTACCCTGCAAACGCTTCGACGTTCAAAGAAGCACTTACACAGTGCTTGGCCCAAGATACCATCACTTATGCCGGCCAAGATCTATTCTCTTACTTCGACGAAGGAGAGGCAACGTTGTTTACTCCCATCCCGCAATCTGTTCTTGCTGCTACAGGTCAAATGGGCGCGCATGGAACTCCTCAGATGCCCGTCTATGCCTACAAAGCTATTGCGGACGAGATCTCGCCCGTTGCAGACACGGATGAGCTGGTAGCTAAACTTTGTGCTCAAGGTGCTAATATACAGTATGTACGAGATAGGCTGGGAGAGCATGCTACTGAAGAGATTACTGGTTCTGGTGATGCTTTTGGGTTCTTGGTTGATAGGTTTAATGGTGTGGAGGTAACGCCGGGTTGTACGACAACGGATGTGTTAAGTGATACGCTGAGTGGGTCGGGATTGGTGTATCTGGGGACTGAGGTCGTTGATGCATTGTTGGCTATATTGGGAGAGCCTGTTGGTGATTATATAGATTAAAGCTGCGTGGGAGTTTGAATTGCAAGTCAGTGTCGTCTCAAGGACTGGTCATGTGACATTAATCTTGCAAACTCTCCCCAAGCTTGAAGCTTCCCTTTGATGCAACTTGCATTCTGTGAAGAGAAAAGAACAATCATCCAAGTACGGAGACTTCTATTTGAATGCTGTTGACCTTGATATCGGTCCCTCGGAGTTGCTTTATCTCAACTTCTCAAGCGAAGTCAACAACTGCTGGTGGCTCCACCTGCCCAGCAGCTGTAAGTCGATCAGCCAGTCCTCGATTTCAAGGAGAAGAATCTCTTTCAATGGGCTTTGAGACGCATGTAAAAATTCGAAAGAAAACAGAATCCGCAGGTTCAGAACTCCATGGCGCGTGATAGCTACTAAGAGTCGCAAGGCTGGAATAGTGATTGGACTTGAACGCGTCAAGAACTTTTCTTTCATGCAGCAACTGCACATGTGATGACGAATAGATTCTACCGACCTCCTTGCATAATAATCGCTCTGAAATGGTTAGGGTCAGTAACTCATACATTGAAGTTGAATGCTTTCTATTGACGATAATCCGATTTGGGCTAGCTTGCGCTTAAGCAAGCTATAATTTTCAATAAGCATTTTTTTGACATGTTAAAGAATGGAGAGAGAAAGTGGCACGAGCAGTAGGGTGGCCGAATGGTCATGTCCGAAAACAATCGAAATCAGATTCTTGTTTCCTGCGAAGACGTTACTCAACCACTTCTCGTTGTATACCCCGGTATACTGAATCCGTTTCTCCCGCCTAGATACACCGGCATGTGTCTAGGAAATGGGTTTTGCCACTTTTGGCGTCGCTATTAGAGGACTCGGGATTGGTTCAGGCTGAGAAACTTTTTGAATGAGGACTTGATTTGATCCCTGATCTACTACGACTTTTGCTTTGTTTTTGTAGGAGTCACCAATGTCAATCATAGACGATAGCAGTGTATCTTCTTTCAAGAAATTATCAGAATACGAAGAGGATCCTCAAATGCAAGATTTTATCTTTAGATCAATACTTCGAAACAATTTCTAACGAACGCTCTTCACCAAGAGGCAGACTAAGGGCAGTGGCCCTGATTATCTGCAAGAGTTGATCCATACTTACAGCATGGGGCATATCAAGAGTCGTCATTTCCGCTTGGATAGTGAAGGGTCCTCGCGATAGAATGTAAACAGCTAAAGCGAAGGAATTTGATAAGAGTCAAGCAAGTAGGGACCCATGAACGCCTTCCGCACAAAACCCAAAACAAAAGCTTCCAACTCCAGCCTCACCGATTCTCACTCTCAGTCTCCGGCCCCAAAGCCAGAAGCTCCCTATCCCCCTCCCACTTGACATACAGAATCACCACCGCCGTCTGTTTCCTCAACCTGATCAGTTCTTCACCCTGAATCGCATAAGCAAACCCCTCCTTATTCACCACAAGCTTATCAACATCTATCAACTCCGCGCCTAGCTCAAAAGCGCCTTGGATCAGATACACAATGCATTGGCCTTTGAGGATGATTTCTTGTTTCCCTGTGGGATTGGATCTGAAGAGGCTTTCGCTACCCCATATGTCGATCTGTTGGGCTTGTTAGAGAGGAGGAAGAGGTATGTGAAGGGAAGGCTCACGTGTTCTCGTACGGCGCCGATGACGACGTCGGATTCTTCATCGGGGTTGCAGGCGAAGATCCTCTGGCGCAAGATAACTGCATCTCTGGGTATTATCCTCTTGACGACAGGCATATTGTTTTGAGACACCGACGAGCCAGAGTGGCTGAGATGAGGCTGAGACCCCTCCTTCTCAATTCGGCAACTGAAGCGTAATGGTGTCAATTTTGGAGGACTACGCACGCTCTTCCAGCAAGATTTGACGCTCTTTTGATCCTTTTCCTTGTTTTGAAAAGATGCACAACACTTCTGTGATGGTTTTGTAGTTCGATGGGAGTGTCGGGATGGAGAGTTCGGTCGAGGATTTTGGCCCTACGGTGGCCGAGATGGTTGTCTCGGTAGCAACTGCTGTCACAGCCATTACTGTACCTTCTCTACAACTCAACAATAGTTTCGTCTTTGAGATTAGACCTGCTCTCTTTCAACACTCGGATATGTGCGAGCACAAACCTACTTGCCAGCATTGTAGAGATACCTTCTCTTCAAGAGATCACCTTTATAGCCATCTACCACACTCAGCTTATAGAAAGACTCCAAAGCGCGCGTACACAGCTTTCACCACCACCCATTGCATCTACACCACCAAGCACCTGGTTATACTGCGATAGAAATTCCACTGAAGACTCGAGTCCTAGCTGGGGATTCTGGACAAGGTAGGTATACAAGACGAGGCGGAAGTGGGAGGATGTTCGCCCACCTTTCAAGTTCAGTGTGGTAAGATTGAGGAGACTTTGAAGGTGTCGCGAGTTTCATCGGTCAACAGTTTCTTCGATCGGATCAACTTACTTACTCCATCTGAATCTTCCTCAATCAGAGAGGGATTTGCAAGTGCAAGCTTAGAGACTGCTGATGCTCATCCAACAATAGCTTGAAGGATGAATCTTTGTTATGTAAGATGCGACTTCTCTGGTGGTTTCGATTTGTTCTACATCGGCATTTCCAGAAACAAGTTTTAACCTTAAAGATACGGGTCCGCAAACTCTTTTGTCCAATTTGATTCGTCTGATCAATTTTTTGTTGTCATATTTCGTTGTTGAGGGAAGATGATTGGTACAGGGGTCGCTCTGGCCTTCATCGGCTCCCCTTTCCGGCTTCTCAAACGTCGCCTGCACATGAGACGATTTTCGCGTCATCTTGCACGATTTCCAGATGGTGTAACAATTTTATCAGATCAAAGTCCGGATGAAACCCCACACGATCATCGACGCCTCCTTCTGGTTCCTGATTTTTGGGGACTTTTGGGGGTAAGATCTGTGACTTGGGGAAGATCAAGCTTCGATTGAGAGGTCGATTGGCCCCTGAGGGTTCTTGGCGAGAGCTTGGCGAGGGGGTTCTTGAGACGATATCGTTCATCCTTCGTGAGTTTGACGAAGAATCATCCATGATCTGGGCAAGTGCTGCCTTGGATGTCAAAGTGATCGATGGTCAAAGGGGATCAGAGAGCCTAGCGAGCGCTTGGAATTGCTGTGATTGGGGTAGAAGTTCATGCTCCCTCTTCCACCTGCTTGTTTTCGTCTCCCCTGAAGTATCGTGATAGAGGCATTGCTAGTTTTTGAAGTCACATTGGAGATAGTCGCCTTTGCTTGCCGCCTTGGCAGTTTCTTGTTAGAGTGCTCAGGTTGAAGGAGCTCGCTATGTAACGGCAGCGACGATGGACCTTCAGAGGATTTGCCAAGAAGGTCTTATAAAGTTCCTGCATTCCTTCCTCTGGAAGACATTATTGCTGGTACTGTATTCAGAAACATTCATTCTTTTTCTTCACACTCTTTTGACCACTTTTTATTCTTCTTCATCTGCCGGTCGGGTGTTATCTAATTCTTTATCATGTATATTTCTTCCCTTGTGGGTTTCGGCCTCCTTTCGTTGGCCTCTGCCCACTGCTTGATCAGTACCGCAACTGGTGATCTAGGAGGAAACGGCACTGGACTTGGCGTCGCTGCAAATGGTATCAACAACCAAGGAGACGTAACCGTCTTCAAGGCAGCCACTGGATTTGGAGCTACTGGTGCTGTAAGTCTTCTTACTTATCCTTTCCGCATCCTACCAACTAACATCACCAGGCAGGAGCAGTCAATCCTGCAACCGACCTCGCCGCTCAACTCAAGATCACTGGCTCTACCATTCCCCAGGTCTCTGCCAACGCAGGCGTCGTAACAATGACCCTCCACCAAATCAACGCTGATGGTGCTGGTCCAATGACTTGTTCAGTCTCCACCGATGCCTCAGGAAAAGCTTTTACAGCAATGACAATCACGACCAATGTCCCTGGTACAAATGGAAAGAGTACAGCAGCAAATCAGGACTTCCCTCTTGTTGCGAGTCTCCCAGCTGGAACGAAATGTACTGGTACAGTTGGGGCTCTAAGTGCCGTGTGTGCGGTCAAGTGTGCGAATCCGGCGGGACCATTTGGCAGTGTAGTTTTGGTGCAGCAAGCCGCTGGGAAGAAGGTTAGAGAGGTTGGTGGGACGCTGGCTGCCAGAGCCAAGAAGGGGGCTGTTAAGTGTGCCTGACGGAGACTGTTGGACTCGAACACCTGCCAGACAACGATGAGCTGCACGTAGCTAGGTTGCGAGGATATGAACAACATCTGATTTGATATAAGATACGAACAATCAATCAATTGATGACTTATCATATTGTCTACGAAAGCGATACTGGTTGGACTCTCGTGACATGGTTGTACTGACAAGAGACCTCGGCCTCGCTAGACGAAAAGGAGAACGAGACTCTAAAACGCGGGGTAATGCGGCGTATGGCCGCACCTGTACCATCACAACTAGCACTTATAAATTACAGAGATACTTTCATCGGTCTGTCACTACTGCTCAACAAAAAGCTAGAAGCTGCAGAAAAAAGAAAACACATCAATCAGGATGCCGGAGTTTACACCAGATCAGTTAGTTTCCGCTGTCACCGATTTTAGTTGCATGTCACTAATTGTTATATAGAGTTGCTTTTGTCACAGGTACAAACACTTTGTATAGAGACTTCAGAAAGACGTACTGATGATGAGAATAAAGGCGCTGCAAGTGGTATCGGCCTCGCCATATCCAAACAACTTATCCTCGACGGCATCACCAAAATCGCCGCTCTCGACATCTCTGAATCCGGGCTTTCCACTGCCTTCGAATCGTCTTCGGCTAAAGTCCTCCAGCTAGTAGTAGACTGCAGCTCGGAATCAGAAATCGAAGCCGCGGTCGAGAAAACGGTAGCAGAGTTCGGAAGATTGGATGTTTGTGTCAACGCAGCTGGCATCCCGTCGGCGGGACCGAGAGTAAAGATCGATGAGTTAGAGAAGGGGAATACGGAGAAGGTATTAGAACTGAATTTGATGGGTGTTTGGCTCTGTGAGAGAGCGCAGATCAGGCAGTTTTTGAAGCAGGAGATGAGGCATGTTTCGTATGTTTTCTCCCTCTATTTGCTTCACCATCATTCAATACTGTTTGAGTAAATAAGAGAAGCTGATGATTACTGAAGCACCGGACTTCCTCTCAAGACTCGAGGCAGTATTGTCAATCTCGGCTCCTTGACAAGTCACGTTGCTATCCCAGCGCTATCACCATATATCATGGCTAAGCACGGAGTTCTTGGTCTGACTAAAGCCGATGCACATGATTATGCTCTTGAGGGTATCAGAGTTAATTGCATCTGTCCTGGGTGGATTCGGACTCAGATGACTTCAAGCTTACGGGATAATCCAGAGGTGAGCGAAGCAGTTGTGACAAGAGCACCGATGGCGAGATGGGGACACCCGGAAGAGATCGCATTTACGGCGAGCTTTTTGTTGAGTGATAAAGCTAGTTTTGTGACGGGGGCTTCGATTTCTGTTGATGGTGGGTATGGTGCTTGCTGATTAAAAGGTAGGAAAGAAGGTAGAAGAGACGCGAGGATAGAGAAGCTGGTCGGTCTTGTAAGCTTAGAGCTACGTGGTTAGCTTGAATTTAGCTCTTTATGAAAATTGCTTCGATACGATACCCCTCGACACACTGTATTCGCACCTTCTTCGTACATATTATCCCTGGTATATGTCTCCAAATCGTCTCCATTCTGTCTGATAACGTACACATACAAGGTAGACCACCTAGTCTACAAAAATGCTGACCTAACCCCAAAATATACATTACATCCCCAAACGCCTGGCTATGTTGAAAACAGAGGGAAGATTTGCACATAAAGTGCTGATGACCCGCCACAAAGGCAAGTCTAGATTGGGCAACACCAATCTTGCACTTTCATCCTCCCGAGCATTACTCGTCCGCCTTTCTCCTTTGATCACTATTGTCGAGACCATATCAGCGCTATTCCCCGTTCGAAGGCTACCGGTCCTTGAATACCTTCGGCTTCCACCCTTCTTTCAGTTCTGATTCTCGTTCCGCCTTCTCCGTCGCTGACCGGACCTCCGCCTCTATTCGTTCCCTTGCCCGTAAGACCTTGCTCTGTAGATAGAAACTCCCTCCCTTCTTCGGATCATTCACATCAAACAGCTTCTTGAATCTCTCCGTCACGTCCTCGATATTCGCTTTGCCATTTTGTGGTGGTTTTACATTAAGGATCTTGCATGCTTCTTCGAGTGTGAGGCCCTGGGAGGCAAATGTGTTCGCAGCCCCCGGGTTGTTCTTTGCTTGAGCTTTGGCGTACTGAGCGCTGGCGGAGGCTTGTTTCCATGCTTCTGCGCAAGCTCGACTGAAGACTCGAGTTCCGGTGACCACGACTTGAGTTATTATTCGATGAGCCTGGCAAGGAGTTAGCATATCTGCGCTGGAAGGTGTGTAACCTATGACGGATCAAAGTATAAAATTATCAGGGAGCATCTGGAGATGAACCTACCATATTGAAATCAGGGAGCAAACGGACAACGGATTCTGGACTAAAATTGGCGTGTTGAATGTCGAGCAGAATACAAATCAGAATCGGATCACAATCTCAACTTTTTGCTACCAAAGTTTATCCCGATCGGCGCTAGGCAAAACAATGTTCCGACGTTTTCACGTGATGGCTATCAAGAAAACACCTTAGCAGAAAGCTCAAAGACCCAGCTTCGACTCAATGCTGCCTTGAATCCTTCATTCTTCTCATTCTGCACTATTGATACCCTTCTTTATTCAAATCTACGCCAAGCTCCATCATGGCACAATTCTTTCCTCAACAACCTCAGAACCAGGGATACGGGGCGCAAAACCTACAATTCTATCCCTCTTCATACACACCAAACCCCGTTTCTGGACATGCTACACCGCAACAAGCTTACAATTACGGTGGTGGACCGGCGGGAAGTCCTGGTTATGGCGTTGGAGGAGGTTATGGTGCAAGTTTCGGGGCGCCTCCAGGAGTCAGTGGCAGGATGGGAGAGCAGGGAGGTTTGAGGACAGGATGGTTAGCTGCATTTGGCACAGAGGGCTATGATGGCGAGCCACCTCTGTTAGAAGAGCTGGGAGTGAACTTTGCACATATACAAGCCAAGGTAATTCCATCATCCAGAATTGAGAAAAGCAGAACGCTAACTGAACGATGAACAGACATTAGCAGTACTGAACCCTCTGGCACACATCGACCAACACATAATGGACGACTCCGACCTTGCAGGCCCAATACTCTTCTTCCTCCTTTTCGGCACTTTCCTCCTGTTCTCAGGCCGTCTACATTTCGGGTACATATATGGCCTCGCGCTCCTAGGTTCCGTCGCTCTACACACAATCCTCTCCCTAATGTCCCCTCCCGCCGACCCTTCCTCCGCACCCTCACCATCCTCAGCTTCTTCTTCACATTTATCCTCCACACTCACATTCCCGCGCTCAGCGTCAGTATTAGGATACTGTCTCCTACCATTAGTCTTAACGAGTCTCGTCGGCGTGGTATTACCCATGGACGGAATGCTAGGTTACGTATTAACCAGTCTCGCAATTGTGTGGTGCACGTATTCCAGCTCAGCGATGTTCTGTGCCGTAGGCCGGATGCGGGGGATGAGAGGGTTGGTTGCGTATCCGCTGGCGTTGTTCTATGTGGGCTTTGGCATCATGGGTATCTTCTCGAGTAGAGGGAGTCAGGGCTTGGCGAAAGTTACGAAGGTTGCGACAGGGCTCTAAGCGCTCTTGCTGTAAGAGGGTGGTATCTTTGTGGTTTAGCCATGGGAACTGGAATGGGATCGAATGGGTTGGGAAAATGGTGTATGTGTAGGTAGCTACGCTTGATCTTGGCTGGTAGTCAAGATTGCGTGGGATAGATAATGCACAAATGCTAATGGAATATTGAAAACTACTCATACATTTTGACTTGATAGGACATTTAGGTAGAGTGGATGCTTGTAGGTGCAAAAAGCCATCATTGTTATGTTTGGTATACGCTCAGAAAATGCCGCTCCAGAACACCAATCACACCCCTATTCACTCCTGATGCCAGTCTCATGATCTCAAAATCGTACACCGTCATACCCAACCCATATTCCTTTCCCATATTGGCGCCCCTCAACCTCTCCTCCAATTCAAGTGAAGACAAAGAAGCGTCTTCACTCAAGTCCCATCCTGATATCATCGCCAATCCCCCAGTCTTCAACCTTGGGCCTCGAAGCTATCGACATATCATCGTCACTCCCTCTATTGGAATAAAGGCTCATCCTACTATTCTGACTCGCACCAGTTCCTCTTCGTTTTAGTACACTAGGTCTTCTTTGCCTAGGCGTGCTCTTGAAGCTTTTCATGCTGTCTTTATCACTTTTGACGCTCTGGTTATCCTTTTCTTCTAGAATTGTGAGACTTCGAAGGCTGTGACTATCCTTGTCTTTCGAGCTGACACTTGCAGTGTCGTTGAAGTTTGGTGGAGGGAGTGGTTCAGTGAGAGAGGAGACAGATGTGGAGGCTTGGTGTTTCGAAGGTACTGGTGTACGATTTGCGTCTGGGCTGACCGGTACTGAGGTCGTTGGAATAGGTGTAGGTGGAGGAGTGACTTCTGTGGAGGGAGAAACTTCAACTAGTTCAGCATCTCGGTACCATTTCCGACGCCGGGTGTAACGTCCCCAGCCGTCTACACCACGGCGACCATTTTGCCACTGCACACAAGTTAATGACTTCCATAGACTATTCAGCAACCAGACTCACCTTATTGTCGTAGTAGATCCATCCCTGGCCTCCATCAGTAGCATCAGCCTTGGCTTTGACGCCTCCTTCATCACTCTCACCAGCACCCTCAACTAACCATTGACTTCCATCGACCCACCTCCACCTTGCATTCCCCTCTTCCACATCTGGAAGTTCAAATTCTTCTTTCGTAGGTGCAGGGTTCAAATGCTCATCTGTCCATGCTGCTCTCTCGTACGCGAATAACGACGTGGTCCATCCAAGTCCGACCCACCTCCGCTGGTTCTCGTAAAGAATGAATGTAAAGCGGACTCCAGGAGCATCCGGTCTTCTCTTTGCCGCTGCCGTAGCAGCTAATGTAGCCTTCTCCTGCTGATCGGATTTTGGTCTGGGCGGGAGGTCCGGCTTCTCCTCATTTGCGGGTTGTGTGGCGGGCAACTCGGCGAAGTGAAGACCTGTTACCAGATGGCACACTCGTCGGACAGTTGCAGATCGCCATAATATGGTCCTCGATATCCTATGGGGCCGGGAGTGCCATGTTAAGAACATTGTCCCTGCAAAAAGAGCAATGCGTTTGGTAGTGATGACTTGTATCGGTCGGAAGGTGAAGAGAATCCATACTGGGGTTACAAGTAGTATCCGTATAAGGAGGGTAGTAAGAGCCGGTCTGGTGGTTGCGGATGTGGCTGTCCTTTGAGTAGAGAGGAAGTCGGTGAGTTCGAGAAGAGGATCTAGGAGTAAGTTACATCGTGATGTAAATTCCTTCAAAGTCTCCACTATCTCATCCAGCGTCTTCTGGTGTTTCAAGCTTGTAGCCTCAGATTCCATTCTCTTGTGTCCTTTCTTCTGGGCTGGATTCAGCTTCTCACCAGTCCATCCGGTCGACGAAAGCGGTGAGTATCTCCTCGAGTACATCCCCAGTATCAACCCCATAACTACCACCAACGGACCTGCGTACCGCATTACTACATCTCCATATGACACTACTCCCCAGAACCCAGCTACCAGTAAGAAGCTTTCCCACGGATCACCGCTTGTCCATGTCAGCAACCCCGCAAACTTGTTGAGAGGTAGGAGGAACGGATGTGAATATGCCAAAGCTCGAGTGATCTGCGGAGGTGTCGCTATTAATAATGGAGACTTCTGATGTACTAGGATCGTGGAGCGTTGCTTGTTCGCGGAGGTAGCGTGCGAGAGCGTCACCGGCGAGAATGAGGCGACCGTCCCCAGATTCGGATCATTGTTGATTGACGGACCTCCATCTTCGTCTTTTCGTGATGAGCTTGGAGTGGAAGACATCATCCAAGGGGTGTCCTTTGCAGAAGATCAGCCATCTGTTGTCATGTCTTGTACAGGTTTGGGGTAATACGAAAGCAGCCATTAAACCAACGTCATTGCCGCCAAGGCAAGCAAGCTCTCGTCGCAACCACACGAAAAATAACGATGGATTGAGAATCACATAGAGGCAAGCCAATGCATAAGATGTTGTGCACTACTAGGAATTAAATTAATTTCTGGAATAACAGAGTATTTACTACAAAGAGGTGGAGGATGGAAGCAGCAAACAAAGTCAAAGAATGATAAATGGCGGGCACGAGACTGCAACGCTTCACCTCGGCGCCTTCACATGCCGACCAAAAACAGTAATCATAGCCTTGCATACGAGGCTAGGCATTGAGTTTGAGTTTGTATTGGGTGGAAGAGACGTATATATGTGTAACAGGCCTCCAAACCATCTGGATTTCAAGAACATTTGTTGATTTGTGTTTTATCAATTGTTTTCGAGGACACGCCAAAGCAACAAAGAGGCTGTTGGGTTGATTGTCAGCCTTTCGTGTTCAATACAGGCTAACCCTAATTGGCTTAGTGGCACTTGCCTTCCAAAAAATCGCGACGATAAAATAATTTCTAACAAGTCAACCATGACCAGAGGCAAGAACAAATCCCGCAATAAACCCAACTCTCGGAATAGCGACAACAATATGTCGCGCCAGCCACCTCTACCACCTGGACCCCCTCCTCCAAGAGGTTACAGCAATTCATACGACCAATATCGCGGCGCATCCGATAGTTATCATCCAGGAGATCGATACAGTCAAGCCCCTCCACCACAAATGTATCAATTTCGCGGTACCGCAGATTCGTACCAATCCTACCGCCCAGGATACGAGCCACGCGGTCGATCTCCTCCCAGAATTTCGTACTATTCAGGTGATGATGATCGGTCCTACCGCCCTACCTACGATGAACCTCGACAACCTCCGTCCGGACCCCGCCAACCACCTCCTTCTGGCCCGATGGCAATGAACAGTACTTCCTATCGCCAAAATGAGGACTTCAACTTCAGATATGATGCTCCACCTGGCCTCGATTATCGTGCTGCCGATCAACATCGCGCCCCTCGATCTCCTCCTAGAGGACGCGCACCAGATCGCAACGGATACCAAGCTAACGACAACCAACGACGCCCTCGCGGTGGCCATCGTGGTGGTCGTGGTGGTCCCAGATTGGCGGCTGATAGGGCTTTCTTGAAGACAAATCGTGATCCCACACCAGAGCTGATGCCAGGCATGGATGAAGATGCTGGAGCCGGTGTCAGATTCAAGCCAGTCGACGACCTTTCCGATAGTGATGAAGCTGAGATGGACCTCACCAATACAGACGATGAAGCTGATGGTCAAGAATCTAAGAAGAAGCAGGCTCGTACGGAAACAAAGGCTGCTGACGCTGATAGTGTTCCTCGCTGGTCTAACCCGGATCCGTACACAGCATTGCCTCCACCAGACGAGTCTCAGCGAAAGAAGAAGGACGTCGTCAAGCTGATCAGAAAGGCTCGCGTTGCTGCCGATACGGAGAATAATGCGAAGACAGAAGCTACTGCTGATGACTTCATTTCGTTCGATTTCGATGATGGCACTGACGTTGTGATGGGTGAACAATTCGGACTTGGTGTTGAAGGTGCCCCAACCGGACCTCGAGCAAACAAGGATGATGCTTCGCGTCAACAAGGACTACAGGAGCGCCCATATGAGCCTCGTGTGGATCTCAAATTGCCAGACAAATCATCCCAGCAAGATATTCCCTTCACAGCTAATACCAACGTTAATACGGGCGACATTGGAAGCGACTTACGGGCTGCAAGCGGTGTTTCTCTAGATGGAAACCATGTATTAGGTCTAGCACCGAACAGCAAATCAAGCATGCAACATGCCCTGCCAGCTAGGCCACCACCCGTCTCCCTTACCTCTGATCCAGCTCTCGGCAATAGGAAGCGCAACATTGATGATGAGATCAAAGGCCCTCCCAGAATCCATGGAGAAGACTTGGGCAAGAAGAAACCCATCGCTGATGGATCAATCACCCCGCAATGGCTTCCTGTGCCGCACGAATCACCAACACCATGGATCTCTATCGATCACTCTGATTCCGCTAAGATGGGCATCTGGTAAGTTTTCGTGTTGCATAATCCTTTAGCAATACTAATTAATTGTAGGCTTCATAAGGAGATTATGGACTTCTATCACTACGTGAAACCCCGAGATTTTGAACAATTGATTCGTGTCAAGTTGGTAGAGAATCTACGTGCCAGTGTCAAGAAGCACTTCAATCATGAGGCAGACATCCTTGCTTTTGGGTCGTTCCCAGCTGGATTGTACTTACCAACTGCGGATATGGATATTGTCTGTGTCTCAAATCGATTCATGCGCGGACAGGAACCCGATTTTCACGAGAAGAAGATACTATACAGGTTCAGGAGCTTTCTCCAAAAATACCACCTAGCTCTGGACGATAAGATTGAGCTGATCATTGGAGCCAAAGTCCCACTTGTCAAATATGTCGACAGACTCACAGGTCTCAAAGTCGACATCTCTTTCGAGAACGACACGGGCTTGATTGCCAACAAGACATTCCAGGACTGGAAAGTTGAGTTCCCGGCCATGCCAATCATTGTTTCGCTAGTCAAGCACATATTGGCCATGCGAGGTTTGAATGAGCCTGTTAATGGAGGCATCGGTGGTTTTTCCGTCATCTGTCTTGTCGTAAGTCTTCTCCAGAACATGCCTCAAGTTCAGAGCAGAACTATGATTCCCGAACACCATCTCGGTGAGATCCTAATGGAGTTTTTCGACCTCTACGGCAATCAATTTAACATTGAAACCACGGGAATCTCTATGAAGCCGCCAGGATATGTCTCCAAGGTAAGGTTAGCCCTTCGAAGCAATACGTAACATCACTAACCGGATCTTAGACCCGTTTGAATATCCCGTACAGAGAGCAAACTTCGAACAAGTTCTGTATCATGGATCCTAATCGGTCCAACAACAACATATCGGGCGGTGCCAGAAACTCACCAGTCATTCGAGGTGCCTTTTCTGATTGCTTCAAAAGATTGCAGGAACGCATGGTTCAGTTGCAGTACTCTGCCGAGGCTGATCGTCGCTGTGAGAGTATACTAGGCACCATCATTGGTGGCAACTATTCTTCGTTCCGTCTTCAGCGCGAGCATCTTGCCCACGTGTACGAAAAGTATCATGGCCCCATTGATCTTACTGGCTGATGAGTAGTTATTACTCTCCACGTGTCGCATTTGTGCAAGCCACTGCAGACGTTTCGCTTCGGATGCCATGCTGCATACCTTTTCATGCCGCTCACGATTGGCACCGCATAAGTTCCGTTTCATTGGCATTATAATACTTTTCAGCTTCGTACATAGTTTCAGGGAGGGGTCTGCATCATATGGCGTATGGAAGAAGATGATTGATACCCAGCATGGCTTCACGGCCACGAACTTGTACACTAGCTAAGAGCTTCTGAAGCCTGCTTTCTTTTGTCTTTGTTGTCTAGAACAATGCAGATATGATGACTAACATGGCAATAGTGATCGATTCGAGTGCCTGGAACTTCGAGACACAAATTCGATCACTTCGCCCAAAAATACAAAGCACTTAACAAATCTTGGACCTTCATCGCACCTGCTGAATTCGAACCATGCCTGCCAGGATGGCGTGAGTTGCTAACTCTTATTTCTTTCTTCTTTAGGAAACCACGCTGGGTGTTACTGCTATGTCAGAAACATAAACCTTCGCGTTGCAACGACAGGGCTTTTGGTGATACGGGCTCTGCCCTCATCGCTGAATACGGCTGCCTCCCTTTCTCACTGCAGTGACACTTCGTGTGTAGCTATGGAGAGAATGTCTCAAGTCGCTTATATAGTTAGTGCTCATAAAACAATGAAGTAGCGATGATCTGTGTTTCCACTTTCGTTCCACACCAAGGCCTTGGATTCAAGAGCGAAGCCTCTCAATGTGATTTGAAGGATTGACCGGCCTGTGTGAATTCTGCTATGTTAGCTTCGAGTCACTGGGGCTCTACCAGACTCTGGGAAAGAGTCATGTCGTCTTCCCACCCCAGGGATTCATCTGTCCCAAAAAGTTTCTAGTCTTTTCACTTCGGACCTCAAATCTCTCACATATTGACCCGACCTATGAGAGTCAAAAGCTGTTTGACCTTCCGAGAGATTTATTAATTAGAGCTGCGCTTCTTGGGTGTTTTTGTCGGTGCAAATGTCAACCTCGACTTTCAAGATGGATAAGTTCTCTCGCTTCTTGGGACTATCACCAGAGAGCAAGAACCATAGCCTCTTTGCCATGCCGCTAACGATGAATATTGTATCTTGCTAATCCCTTTCACCTCTAGCGGCCGCACATCGGATAAACTATTCGATCCTTTGGCTTGTCTTCGCAAGCCTTCGGCTTTGTCCCATCGCAATCCTTCTTCCAAAACAACCCCGCTCTTCATACCACAACAACCTCCTTTCTCGCAACACCTGACGCAGTCAAAGCGCTTTTGTCACATACACTCCATTATTCCCATCTACAACCTCTTCGAAAACAAAATGTCAAGCGGAGAGCCTGACGATACTCCTATGTCAAGCGGAGCGAGATCATCCGATATTCGCAACCGCAACGACCCCCTTGAAGACTTGCTCTTCACCAACAAGATATCAAGCGGAGAGGAGTCCCCCGCTACTGGTCATCAAAACGATACTCCTATGTCAAGCGGAGCGAGATCACCTGCTATGCGCAACCGCAGCAACTCTCTCAACGACCCGCTCTTGACTAATAACATGTCAAGCGGAGAGAACTCGCCTCCTATTCGACTTCAAAAGGATAGTCCTATAGCAAGCGGAGAAAATTCACCCACAAAGCGTGATCGCAACATCATCGACGGCAATCCCCACGATGCAAAGCGTGTTCACAACAATGCGCGCAATGATGTCGACTTTATCAAAGACATGCCAAGTGCAGAGAAGGCACCTGCAAAGCACAGCAGAGGCAACCTTCCCAACAACACGCTCTCCGTCGACAATGTGTCAAGCCAGAAGAAGTCACCCACAAAGGCCCATCGGGCCAACAACCTCAACGATATGTTCTTCCCAAAGACTATGTCAAAGGTAGGAAAGCCACAAGACAAGGGCAGACGTGATGGCGCTCTTACTGAGCCACGGTTCCCAAGCAATATGTCCAGCGGAGAGAATTCGACTTCAAAGGGCAACCGCAATAGTGCTTTCAGTGACATGCTCTCCACCAATAACATGCCAAGCGGAGAGAATTCACCAGCAAAGCGGTCCCCCGCAAAGGATTCATCCGTAAAGCCTTCGCTCGCAAAGCGCGATCTCAAGGATCCACCCGATAACACGCTCTTCGATGAAAACAGACCAATCAGAGAGAAATTACCCATCAAGCGCAAGATGTCTCTAGCCAAACCTCGCAAGACAAACCGCTTCGTGCGAATGAACTACACTCGTGAGCATGATCAGGGCAGAGGAGTCATTGCTGCGGATGACATTCCGAAGGGAGATGAAATCTTGACCGAACGTCCGATTTACTCGGTCGGCATCGACTTCATCACAAGACCTCCCAGTGCTGCCGAAGAACGGTATTGCGCGAGAGAAATGCAGAAGCTGCCCGCCCACGTCTACGATCAACTGATGGCTATGACCAATCAACAACCCCAGTGCCTTGACAACAATGTCTGGGTCCGAACTCCCGTCTCCGGAACTATTCGATCGAACCTCATCCCATACTCCCTCGGCCGATACCAAGATCGTGCTGAAGAGCTTGGTGTCTTCCTTATGATGTCGGGGCTTAACCATTCTTGCCGTCCGAACGCTACACAAACATGGAACACCGAGCTTGGAAAAGAGACTCTTTATGCTCTTGAGGATATCGAGAAGGGACAACAAGTCACCATCTCCTATTCACCAGAGGCACGTGTCGACCCGAAGTGGATCCAGGACACATACAACTTCAAATGTGCCTGCAGATGGTGTGTCAAAGATAGCACGGCAGCGAAGAAAACCAGCGAGGATAATCGAAATGTGATCGAGGAGCTGGCCAACGAGCTCGAGAACATCACCGTCGGAGAGAGAGCCTTGGAGAATTGCTACAATCGGGCTCTTCTCATCCAAAAGGAAGGCATCGTTGATTGGCGTAAGGGCCTGGCGTTCGAGGATGCTCTTGATATCATGCTGGAGGACTTCAAGGATGAGGAGAGAGCTAAGGTCCTGGCTGTTGTTGCTTTCTTGGCATATTGGAAGTGCGAGGGATGGGATACCGCGAAGGGTGCTGATCTGGGTGGAAAGTATGCGCAGTTGGTTGAGGGCATGGATGAGGCGAAGGGAAAGGAGTGTGTTCTTGAGATAGCAATGCGCTACATTGCTGAGCCTGACCGAGGATTGATGGTAGCTCTGGGTTTGCAGGAGGAAAACAATGCTGGAAAAGGCGGAAATGAGAATGCTGTTTCTCCTGGTGGCATTGATGATGCGAACGATGAGCCAACTGCCAAGAACAGATCTCGATTCCGGACACCCGCACCACACGTTCTACCCAAGGAGACGAAGATATCGCAATTCGACCCAGATCAAGTCTGGGAGCAATTGAATGCCCCTATCGTTCGTGCAGAAGATATTGAGGTTGATCCCAGGGACGAGAACAGCATGTTGAATTACTCCAGCATCTTGACTTGGCTTTTTATGATCACCTAGTCGTCCAAGCATGGTTACAGCATTGGCATACGGTGGTCCGAAGAATTAGGACGGTATTTTGGGGCTCTTGGATATTGGATATTGGATGTTGTCACGGTACAAAGTCGATAGATTTGCGTTGGTTTGGTTTGCGATGGTCTGGTTTGCACTGCTTTCTCCTGTCAGTACAAATACATACCATGTCAAATCGTCTCAATTCGTGTGAAATTTGAGAAACTTAAATGAATTGTCTATTCTGATGTGAATATCTCATTTCGTGATTTTGGTCTGAGTGGAGGTTGGACTTTCAGGGGCTCGCTTAATATTTACCCCACCTTGTATACATACCTACTGCACGGTAACACTAATTGTAGAATTCCCATTTCATGTCTCCGTTTTTGTTGTACAGCATTTCATTCCACCAATCTGCAGCTTTGTCACATTTCAATTCCTATTTCACTTGAGTTTCTTGCTCTAAGCGGCAGTTAGAGCGGGGTCATCCTGGACTCTTTGCTTTTCCTTCTCCGCTAGACCCTTGAGACATGGTGCGAAGAAGATCTCTCCAGTCATTGCTTGCCAGAAAGTGATTGTGGCGACAACGAGCCAGAGAATCGTGACGATAATAGCCAAGATCTGTATTGAAGTTAGTCAGCTACTCCGAGATGAAAGGGGGAAAAAGACGAGAAAGCCAAAATTTACTGAAGTGACTTCAAGTACGTACTGTTCCCAAAACCCTGAAGAAACCAGAAGGAAGTTCTTCTGCCATCTGTAATGTGCTAGTTGTATAGACTCCCAGCGGAAACGTGAATCCCCACCATCCCATGTTAAATGGAAATGGACGTCGTGTTATACTCGCGAAAGCAAAGAAGAGCCATACGAATCCGAAACCCCACATCATCGTAGCGACCAACCAGCCCACCACATATAGAATATCACCAGAGTACATGAGAGGAGAGACGGTAGGGCTTAACGGAAGGGTGTTGGTCTTGGGAAATATTTGCATGGCCATTTTACCGAGTTCCATGATTGCGAAACCGCCTTGGCCTAGAGGACCGAGAGGGAGGAAGACGGAAACAATGACTTCCTGAGTGGGGAGGTGGTGCATGGTGAGTCGTTGGAAGTAAATTACTAAGATCACCATGGCGAGTGGCACGCCCATGCCCCAAAGGATGTAAGATGTGATGATTGTCCAGAGTGCGTGTTGTGGGTTAGGGAGCACGGATGCGACGATGCCTCCAGATGCGGCTGCTACGATTGGTGGAACGATTGGCAGGAGCCAGGTTGCAAGCATGGTTTGTAGAGTTGCTGTATGGATGTACATTCTGGAGAGAGAGTTAGGTTGGGTGTGACAGAAGGAAGTCAAGACTTACGTAGCAAATGGAATGGAGAAGCAACATATAACAGACACAACCACATCAAACCACCATAGTCCCCATGCCTTCCACTCATTAGATCTAATGTTAAATTTGAGTGCATTCAACATACTATGTATGGCCAAGGTCCTCCCCAGGCAGGAACACAAACGAACACGATCATATTTATTATAGTCGCTAGACCCATCGGAAAGGTTCCAACGAACAGACTCTGTCCAGGATGGCGTATCATTGCGACGAAGATCTGTGGATAGAGAGTATATCTCAATAGCGAGATGAGAAAGCAAAGCATGAACAAGATGACGTTCAAGGCGAAGATTACTATCGAGATCCAACAAAGCCACTCGCCGTTGTATGGCAGGTTATGAAGGAGGATAGAGACAATGCCCGTACCCATGGTCACAGAGAACCATCTGTCAAATAGTGAGCTTTGCAAGAATAGCAGTCTGAACAGAACGCTCACGAAGGCGTGAAATTTCGCACGATTCTCCTCCATCCCTCCTCCTCCTTGTTCTTCCTGCGAGTGAGATTACCTTCATTGCTATTAAGACTCGTATTCGAGTTGCGAATCTCAGGTCCTTGGTCCATCTTCTTCGGCCAGAGGAATTCTAGAGCAAGTGAAAGAAAACCGCACTAATGTCCAAGGCTTGAATGGAAGTGGTCAAACTATTCAGCTCGGGTCCAAGGGCTCTTTATATTCAATAAATACGGGGCTAGGGATGACTAAGAAGGAATGCATCGCGATTATACGGATACTTTTCGAGGTTTGATGTCCAGTCTAGCACTGGCTTGAGGTGGTTATTAATGACGATGCAGCGGGCACTTCCGCTATTGTAGGCGGGAACCCGGACCCGACGAGGAGTCATATTGCACGTCTCTTGGCTGGGATTCAATTAGGTAACAAAAGAAAATTTTGATACATCATACTTTCCAAAGCATGAGACGTCTATCAGACGAGAAGAAGTATGAACTCTTGGCATTTTGAGGTGACGAGGCTGGCAAGGCTGTCGAATTTTGTGCCTGGCCGCGCGAGGCAGCCACAGGGTCAATGAGAGATTCGAGAGCATCACCATCATTTCCGCAAAGCAAAGCATCATGGACGACGACGACGATTTCGGCGCCGATGCGGACTTTCTCGCAGCTCTTGCAGCAAGTGAGGTCTCTACTCCAACTCCTAGAGTGCAGCAACCGACACCGCAAAAGATACAGCAGCCTACCCCTCAACGCCTCGACCGCGCCCCTCCTACCACGACCTCTTCTGGCCCAAAAGTCGTCCAACCTACACCTCAAGCCATAGCATCACGGTCGACAGGCTCTTCAATTCTCGTGTCCCCGCGGCAGAAGGGCAATCCGATCCTCACAAACCTTCGGTCCTTCGCCTGGGAGTACTCAGATATCCCAGCAGACTATGTCCTTGGCCTGACAACATGCGCGCTTTTCTTGTCTCTGAAGTACCACCGACTCCATCCTGAATACATTTATAACCGAATCAAAGCTCTACAAGGAAAATACAACCTTCGAGTCTTATTGACTATGGTGGACATTGGCAACCATGAGGATAGTTTGAAAGAGCTGTCGAAAACGAGTCTGGTCAATAACGTCACTATAATCCTATGCTGGAGTGCTGCAGAGGCTGCAAGATACCTAGAGCTATACAAGAGTTACGAACATGCGAATCACAGTGCTATCAGAGGAACCGAGAGCAAAGGATATGCAGAAAAGATGGTGGATTTTGTGACTGTGCCGAGGAGTATCAACAAGACAGATGCAGTATCCTTGGTCAGCGCTTTCGGTAGCATCAGAGCCGCTGTGAATGCAAGACCAGAGGAAATAGCTGTTGTTGGTGGATGGGGAGAAAAGAAGGTCAAGCGATGGTGTGCTGTGGTTGATGAACCGTTCAGAGTTAGAAAAGCTGCTAAGAGAGGCTTGACAAGGAAGGAGACGACCCAGGATGGAGAGGAGGTCGAAGGTGTATTGGACAAAGCTTTACCATTGAGTCGTGTACCTTTGAGGGATATGCCTGCTCTGAGGAACAATCAGTCGACAGATAGTGGTGCAGAGTCTCACACGCCACAACATAGATCCACGGAACCAAGAGAGTCTGCCCGAGGGACAGAGACGAATAAACAGTTCCAGATGTGGGACCCTGACGATGAGGACGAGGATGCACTCATTGCTGCTGCTATGGAAGAAGAAGCCAGGATCGAAAAAGAGATAGGACAGGAGAAGGCAAGGAAAGATGATGAGCTTAGTGGGGGAGTGGCAGCTGCGTTGGCAAGGCTACGAGAGAAGGGATAAGGTAGAGTCACTCCACAGCACAATCGCTGGAAATGCAAATCACTTCAATGACACCTAGTGGTGAGTGTTGCCAATTCATATCATTAACTACTGCGCTCCATCACGCCCACAAAAAGACATTGGCAAGAAACATCTCCTTTCAACAGCCTCGCCTAGAAAGTGTAAAACACGGCCATGTCAGCCTATCAAGTGATGCCAGTTCTCTCATTCTGAAAAAGTATTAGTCTCAGGCGGTCGATTTCTCGGAACCCTCGGTGTTTGAGTCTTGCACACTGCCGTTTGGCGCACCGTTTGGCTTGTCCTTAGGAGAAAACTTAGGAGACTCTCCAAGCTCAAGTGGCTCCCACCTTGCTGGCACATTGTCTTCTTCATCCTGGAAGCGGGCGTCGAATATGTCTACGTTTCCATAGAATGCAATCTTCGATTTGCGGAGATCTTCGATCCATCCTGTGCCTTCAGCAATTCTTAGATCGCTTTGAATCATTGCTTTCCGTATGCCGCGAGCTAATTTTAGGTTAAGCATCCTCTTTGTATAAGTGAACTTCAGTATACTATCGAACAGTAGTTGAGCTCTGCTATGTGCTGCCTTTAGCGTTTCCGCATGCTCATTTCTCTCTGTAGAGGTAGCTGCTGTTCCTTTGTTGGCTAACTGAAGCTCGTCGATGTTGTTTATCCTTGCATGACATTCTGCTACGAGGTCGAACTCTACTTTGTGTTCCTCTTTGTACTTCTTTATCTTTCTTCTCAAATCTAGGAGACGATTCCAGAAGCCAATTGTCTCCTCATCGAATATAAACGCTTTATGACTCTTATTTGCAATCGATACTGGAAGGATATCGAAGACATTTCCGGTCCATTTGACAGCATCTGAACCCGGTCCGTAACTGTATGGTCCACAACTTTTGTGGAGATTGCCCTTGCTGTCTGATGTGATTTCTTCGTCTGCAGGATTTATGAAATCGAGTAGATGACCCATGTTGTGGTGATCAATCAAAGCAGCCAATTTGTGTATTAATTCTGCTTGTTTCCCGATCAGTACGGTTTGCTTCTGAATCGTTTGCTCTAACGCGAGCCCGGTTGCGGACGCCATATTTTGATGAATAATGACAAATAATCTACCTAGTTAGTAGTAGGTGTGGAGGATGACTAGATCTGATGGATATGTTGTATCCCACCCATTTATACCGTGTAAGTATAAAGAACCACGACCGATACTGAAACAAAGGATAGATCCCGCTTTGGTTGCTCCAGGTTGCTGCAACTAGTTTGGGCTCTGAGAATTTTCTCGTCCTTTGTTGAAAGTCCGGTTGCGTGTAGGACAAGGAGGCTTTTAGCACATGGAGTCATATTTCTTTGTCTCCAAAACTCACTTTTGTGCTTGCCTTTTGCACTTTCTCTGAAGCTTCATTATATTTTTACTTCCCAAGGGCATGTCCTCCTCAAATTGATTGATTAGGATTGTGCCAGTATATTTCATAATTGGTCGGATGGAGTTGGGTGCATAATCTTCACTATCATGAATCCACCTGATCAGCCTGGAAGCAACAATGCCCCACCAACGCGACCTGCGACTTGGGCCGAGCGGGCTGGAGGGATACTAGGTCCAGTTGCAGTCACAAACCCACCACCGCCGGCAGGCCAAACGCCACCGCCAGCGGGCCAAGCAGGAGCCGATGGAGCTCTTGTTAACCCACCCCGAGGTCCACTGGCAACTCCCACAGGTGGAGATCCTCGGCCAAATGCACCATTCCAAGTTTATGGTGCTCCATTAGGTTTTAATCATCTTACACCGGGAGTAATCATTAGTTTTCCTCAACACGCACCGCATTGGCAAAACCCTCCCCGTGGGCCATTGACTAATTATGACTCAATATCACACCAAGGACATTGGGTGGAAAGCAAAATACGGAAATTCATTGTTATTGAAAGAAGGACACATCATTGTAAGCTATCTCTCTGTTACTTAATTGCCCATGAAGTAGTTCGGATGTCAAGACAACAATCATGATATATCCATGTAGTCATGGACTCATCAGTCTATGGTCACAGGTTTCTTGCGTACTCTTTTATAGCTCCGGAAGAAATTTTCTGGGAATGAAAGTAATATATGGACTGACACCCAGATAGGCATAGTCCTTCCCATGTTTACACATGGTGGCCGAGGCCTCTCAGGAAAACAGGACAGACATAGAATGGAATATATTGGTGTACTTGATGCAGCTGATTGGGACCGTCCGGACTTGGCCTCAGAAAATGCATATCACACACCAAATGGATCGATTTGGGCAACCAGGGCCCCTGCATTCGCCCGCGCAGCAAGGGGATCATTTCATTGGATATCACCCGCGGCGTATGTGCAACATACAGCTCCTCAACGTTTCGATTATAGTTGGCCGTGCTTACTGGAAGGTGGGATTTTTACCCCGGCTGACCTGGCACTCCTACTTGCTAAATACTACGAGAACTGTCCACGCCCACACTACGAGCTGCCTCAACTAATACCTATATTACCGCTACCTCTCTACTATGGCCAACCCCAACAAACACCTTAGTCAGGATCAAATGGCATACAGGGCCCCCGTCCAATTGCCTCTAATCTGGAACCCTGAGATTTGATAGTTGAAGATGGGACAGTCCTTTCCTTCTAGCCACAGATGCATGGTTGTGGCCCTGAAAGAATGCCTCGATATTTGGCTAGTTATTGCGCGTGCTTTCCTATTATTCTAGCTTTTTGTTCTTCACTTTCACGATGCGCGAAGTATTATGCCTAGATGTGGCGCTAGATTATATATATGTACTTTGTCTGTCAAGACTTTCGTTTCTGTAGCTGTGTCCATCATTATGACTGTCCAATGACCGTCCGGCATTCCGATCATCCAAAACTTTTGGGCCATCCAAATTTTGGACTATCCGCACTATTTACCATCATGTAGCACAATTTATTATCTATCAATAATCTCCAAATCGCAGCATTTCCCTGTAAGGTATTCATACAGGTAGTGGACATGTTCAAATGGCAATCTTTCTGTTTTGACCAATTCTCCACTCTTTTGTTTTATAGGAATCGATACATACTGTGGCACGTTACTCTACGAAAATCACTTCGTTGCTCCGTTTCCAGACCAGACCCCTCTACTTTGCCCAGTGCCACGACCTGCTCCACGTCCTACTCCTGGACCCAAACCGGATTGAGGGGATTGATTTCCACGCTCTCGGCCTCTCGGAAGCGGGGCACCTGTTGGAGCAACGACGCTTCTTGCCCACGGACCCGTTGATGGTGGATTTGCCGCCCCTCCGCCTCTACCCCACGCTGGGACTGGAACTGCAACTGGACCTTGCGGAGGGGTGTGAGGAGGTGAATGGTTAACACCTGCAATAGGAGATTGTGTGGAGACTAGGGCACTCCCATTTCCAGTTGTGTTCTTAGGGTGCCGTGAGTTATACAGATCGATCAGAGTAAATACGTCTGATCTCCATAAACGACTTTCGATGATGCATGGTATGATGAATTGGTAAGATTCTGGTGCTGTGAAATGAATATAGGACGCTTTAGACATGACGTGGAACGTGCCTTCGCGATTCGTTCTGAATCAGATTTTTATACGGGCTTTCTGTGTCTCTGCCATATTGAAACTGATCATCCCGAATGCCAACGAAGTCTGCTTTGTTGGGCTTGCGCTCAAGGCCACGTCCGCCATGGCTAAAGATTGGCAGCACTACAACATCGTCTAAGTGAACTGAAAGTACCACATACTTGCGTGGCTTCGAATACACGTCACCGTGTGGAGTACCAGTTATATGTTCATCTCGGTGTGTGGTTCTGGTAGCATAATAGGCGTCATGAGAAGGAGATTAAAATATTGTTCCTGGGGTAAAAGCAGACTTGTCATGAACTTTCCCATAAACCTTCGTCGGATTTGTGTACTCGGTTGCTTTATGTAATATTCTGGGCCACTATACTGAGTACCTTTATCCTCTGTCAAGTTCGCTTGTGTTGCACTGCTGTTTAAACTCATTATGATGATAGGTTCTTCCTGATAGATACTTGCATAGAAGTAGACTTATATGTGATTTGTAGCATGAGAAGCATATTCAAAATACAACATCTTGCAGACTAGTTCATAGGGTGTATCAAATTCTCGAAAAGATAAAGGCGTACTTGAAATTGTCTTTGTTATCGCCATTAAGCCTTCGTGCTCAAAATTACAAAGGGCGTCTTATAAAATGCAGATGTTGCAGTCTGGACAAAGAATTAACTAGTTGGAGACTGAATTTTAGGCCGAAAGCAATAAGAAGAAGGCGTATGCTCTTTGTTAAGAATGTCATATAGGAAGGCGAACAGCATACTGGAAAAGGATTTGAGCGCGGTCGCATCGAGTTCAAACCTCCATATTTTATCGCTCCAAAACATCGACTGCATAATAATGTCTACACCCTACGTAGAATCGATCAGTCGAACAAGCTACGAAACCCTTATTTTATCGCAATCGGATACGAACAAAAAACTTGGGAGACTCTGCACCGAGCAACAAACTCTAGTTAGAGCCTTGGAGAAGAAGCTCGCAATCCATGGCATTACGAATGTTTCTGGTCGGCCTGATTCGCCAGACCATGTAAAGGACAGCTCAGAGCCGGAACTGAGCACTCGTCACACAACAGAAGAAGCAGAGGAGGTTCGTCGAGATAGAAGGCTTCGATATGAAATTGCGTGTCAGCGGTACGGAGAATTCCACGCCGAGTTCACAAAAACCCTGACGGCCTTTGCTCATCGCGCAGAAACGGTTTTGGTACATGCAGATACGTACAAAGAAAACAAACAATGGAATGGAGAGCTAGTTAAGGTTCAGCACCATGATTGGGTACCTCCAGTACCAATTCCAGATTCTGAAAACGGGGTTGTGAGGGTTCTCCAGTCCGACGACGACTGGTTCCAAGATTTTCTGGCAGGAACCCTTTGATAAGCTTAAGGAGACTAGTCTAGTAGAGACATGAGTTATGTGGATAACATTCATTATACCACTTACAGAATATCTGTTTGGGACGTTTCGTGAAATGAGCATCGTATGGTGAGTAACTTAAACCTTTCGAGTCCGAAAAGTCAATCCGCAAGTCGACCACCAGCGAACAATCAAAAGCTCAGGTGTATAAGCTTTCAGAGGCAGCCCATATAAAATAGACGGTAACTACTTAAAGCAATTGGGTAGGTGGAGCAGTTCTTTGAGGTGAGTACTATGATTCTTTGACCAACTTCGTGGCCATTGTTCCACAAATGGTTCTTTCTCTTCAACAATTCATCTGGACTGTACACTATTGTGAACAGTACAATGCTATTATGCTCAAAAGGACGCCGCATTTTCCCGTTGGGAGCGGTAACTCTCATCCAATTTTTGCACAAAGTCGACTCAAAGCCACTTCGGAGAGCGTTATCGGAAGTCTACTATTCTCACCCCAAAACAACATGTGTCAAACTTCATATTTCACCTTCTGGGCGCTGTGCGGGCACAGTACTCTGGAAGACAATAGATGCGACTATAGAGACTGCACCCTTCCAAGCCCTACACGATCCATCGAACAACATCAGCTCTGTCGATCATGCGCCACAAACCCAGCATCATCTTATCAACAACCACCGAACCACCAACAAAATTGGGCCAGAACAGCTAGAGAGCTTGCAGTATACAGACAGGCCGAGATCTTTGCCGAGCAACAATTAATCGAAGCACTCGATCAAGAGAGGAGAGAGGAAGAGCTTGCACTTGCACGCGTCTCCACTTATCTAATGACACTTGACCAAGCTCAGAGAATTAGATTTCTCTACAAATCTTTGACAGATGGCTCAAGAGACGAGATCGATGTAAGCGAGATCCACAGCGAGAGACTCAGAGTACTCAGACGAGCAATGTTCAATGTTCCCAGTAGATTTATGAACGATTGGAAAGTCCAAGACCTCACAGCGCATACTGATGCACTCATCAATGACACAAATGCTCGCGCACAAAAAAATCTTCTCGAATTCGAAGAATTCCACTTGATCCAGTCTACGCTGACACTGGGAGAATTAGGAGCCATGAGTGGCCAGATGATGAATGATCGGACACTGCTTAGCCGAGACTACGCAACGTATCTCGACTTGACTCTCCTCATACACGAGCGAAAAGAGCAGGACAGACTTCAGGAGGAGATAAACGCACTCCAAGCTGAAATCAATGCAGAAGAACGTCATCGGTTGCAAGCCATCTCTCGACTTTTGGAGCTGGTCTCCATCAGCACCCTACCCAACGGCGAGTTCGATCAGCGTTGCACAATATGTATGGAAACATACGGTGTACTCACGGATGATGGAGTGGTCGAGCAACCAACGCGACTTCCATGCGGCCATGTATGCGGCACAACCTGCCTCACTAAATGGTTCATGGAAAACGACACTTGCGGGTTCTGTCGTCGTAACTACTGGGCTGAGCTCGGTAGCGCACCTCCCCCACAAATGGCGCAGTCTGAAGATGAACTTCCTGACTACGTCGATGAGGATGAAGAGATGGCAGACTTCGCAGATGGCTCTGAAGAGGGTGAGATAGTGGAGCGACACAACGGAGAGATAGTGCTCAGCCCAGCACCATTCGAATCGTTCTTCTCGGATACCGGACAGGCAAATTACCAAGGTGAGTATACTTCAGATTCTAATACTGACGACGAATATCTAGAGCCTGTCAACTCCGACGACGATAATCCATTTATGGCCTGGGGCATGTCTTCCGAGGAAGATCTCAGCACGGACGACTCCCCATTCGACGTGATGGAGGTAGATGAAATGATGAGACTGCTCGACTATGACGAAGATCAAGGCGAGCCTAAGCCAATAATACTCACTCCGTCACGAGCGCAGGAAGACTGCTTCGGTAATCTGCTGGACGAAATTGGTTTTCATAGAGTCCCTCCCCCGTGGGCACGATTCTGAAAGGGGGTTAATAATCTTCTTAGTGGTACAAGCTGGCCTTGTGGCATTTTGATGTGCAAATCAGCCCAAAACACAGCATGGAGAAATAAATGAATGAATATGTTCCTATGCCTGTAATATATTCTTGAAACATAATTTGAACGTGAGAAAGAGGGTGATCATCGTAAACGAAGATTTCAATCCACGTTTCATGTGCTACATAGGGTGACTTCATGAATGACTTCATTTGTTCATCATTCACCTGCATTCAGCAATACTTGGGACATAAAAGTCGCACGTATAATAATTATAATAGTGTAAAAGGGAAAGACATTAAATTATCACAAAATTAAAGCCAAAATTCTCTAAAATTCCATTTTCTTTTACAACTTCCTCCGACTACGTAGGCTGCCACCCCTTGATTCCAGCATCAGCTCTCTGAATGCACCGGTTCTCTAAATACATCGGCTCATAGCACAACAAAGCTACATACTTAGAAAGTAATACAAAAAAAAGAAGGATTCTATCAAAAGAAAAGTTTTCACTTAAAAAGAACAACAAGTACTAGTAGAGCTGGTACATTCGAAAACCAGTGCACTCAAAGAATCGGTGCATTCAAAGAGCTAATGTATAAGTACAAATATTCAAGAAAAGTAGAAATAGTAGTTTCATAGCAAGTCAGATTTTTTTCGCCTTTCAAACACTTCAGGCCTATCATACTATCATTTATGCAACTTGTATGTCCTAAGTTCCTGCCGTACCCACAAAACTTTGCATGTAAATCGTGTTCTTGTCAAAAAGAGCCTGTGATTTTGAATTCAATTAGCAAAAATTTGCGCGTAAGTCGTGCTCTTGCCAAAACGAGCTTATGATATTGAATTCACTTAGTTTAAAAAATGCGCGTAAGTTGTGCTCTTCCTTAAAAAAAACCTTGTTATTTTGAATTCACTTAATTAAAAAAATGCGCGTAAATCGTGCTCCAAGCGAAGAAAGATAGGTCATTTGTCTCTTTGGCAATTTCTTCCTGAAGACGGTAGAAGGCTTTGCGGCCCTCGCCATAGATCATCGACATGTTGATATCGAAGATTCCTATGAGACAATAGGCATTGTCTTCTACCCGAGTTGTCGACCTGCTTGCTGCCCAAGACATTTTTCGTGCAACTGCAACATTCAATGCGCTGCTGTCGATAAGGACATCCTTGTCGATGCCGGTGAGCGACGAAATCTGGTCTACCAACGACATATTTTGACCTATATCTGACCATTCAGAATCGAGAATCTCAATATGTTGTGGTGCAATCAGCTCTTGCAAAGTCCAGCCTCTTGTGAACCATCGACACTGGCTCAATCGTTCCTCCAATTGATGGGCCTGCATTTGACCATGAGGTTGCAGGTCCGAAAGATACACAAAAAAAACTTCGGATTCCTTGTACCAAAGAAACATGGAATTAATGGCTTCTGTAAGCTCAACGTTGTTCGCCTTGTCAATGCAACAGGTGTCCATCCAGACGTATTTCAACCCACGATCGAAAGCAAGACGACACGTCATTTCAATTTTCCTGAAGCCCTTTTTCAACGACGTAGATTCGAGGGATTGGAACTCCTGGAAAGACACCTCCTCGTCCTCCCAGGTGTGCGAGAGTATGGCGTACCGCCGAGGGCGTGCATTGTATAAGTCCACGAAGAACTCAAGCTTCAGGGTGGTTGTATTGATCAACCAAATATCTAGATCAGTGAGTTCTAGAGATGGCTCAGGGTATATATGCAAATCTTTCTATTCTCTGGGAGTGAAGGTTGTCGTGAATTCGGACGAGCACGCACTTAAAAAAAATATCCGCTAGTACTGACTTGGCTTAGACTATTCGTCAGGGGTTTTGATAGTTATGTTTGATTCTTTGGGTGTGAAAACCTTGCGAAAAGTTAACGATCAATCCTTGCAGCATTGTGACTAACTGCGCTCATCATCCGAAACACATCTCCAGTGTCCTCTGCAACTGAGATGCACTCAGATCCTGATCAGCCATAACAAGTCCCAAAGAAAGAACCATTCCACCGCAACACGGACGTCCCATTCTTCCTCCAAGTACTCCCAAGCTTCGTCCGCCAACCAACGCAGTACCAATTCGACCTTAGGAAGACGAGGGCCACTCAAGTTGACCATGACAGCTGCTGTGTGTGCCACAGACCAGTTATAGGCAGCAGAATCAACGGTGACATTTCCTGTCCATGCATCAACAGCATCTCTGACCTCATCCGCCACCTGATCATTGCGTTGCACGTCGACGGATCGTTCGTGTGGTAACTATAAAATTAGACAAGTCAACATAGCCTCATAGGTTGCAAGACAGCAAGAAAATGAAAATACCCCCTCGCGTAGCTGACAAAACCGCGTAGCTAGTGAGGTGATTTCGATGAAGGTGAAGACAAAAAAGGGGCTGGGAAAGTGAGAATACCTCGCGTAGCTAACAAACTCGCGTAGCTACGGAGGTCGTTTCGATGAAGGTGAAGACAAAAAAGGGTTGGGAAAGTGAAAATACCCCCTCGCGAAGGTAACAAAATCGCGTAGCTATGGAGGTCGTTTCGATGAAGGTGAAGACAAGAAAAGGGCTGGGAAAGTGAAAATACCCCCTCGCGAAGGTAATGAGCTCGGTTCGACCAAACAGGAAAGCGAAAAAGGGGTTCTTACTATCTCATCGAGACACGCAAAGACATTGACAAAGTGGTTGGCGATGACTTGCAATGACATTGTTGCTGTGATTGTATGTCTTGTCTTGTGTAGTGTGTTTGGGTGTGATAGATAGGGTTGGATTGGGTTTGGTCGAAGGCGGATGTTGTTGTTGTGCGGTGTGTTTGGGTATTATAGGGTTGGGTTGGTTCGAAGGTGGATGTTGTTGTTGTAAAGGAAAGAAAAAAGAAGAAGGGAAGAAGGTGATGGGTATGTTTTTATATCGAAAGGACATGGCTAGCCCGCAAAGTTTTGCGGGTGAATAGTGTACGAACGAGGCTATTTTATATCGATTTACTAAGTGTATTCAAAGTCACAAGCTCTTTTAGGCAAGAACACGATTTACGCGCAATTTTTCCTAGATAAATAGTGTATAAAGGAGGCCGTTTTCTATCGATTTACTGAGTGAATACTCAGTCATAAGCTCTTTTTAGCAAGAACACGATTTACGGGCATGTTTTAAATTAAATGAATCTAAAATTATAAGTTTTTTTTGGCAAGAGCTCGCAACACCCGGAAGACGACCAAGAATACCGTGGCATTTTCGTAGACTCGCCTATTGAGTTTGAGGACTGTGGTAACATCCAATTGATGCCGCCCATGGACAGAATCGACCAGGAATTTGCGATCACGAACAAACGCCTCCGTGTAGAGGCTATCTTAACAGTTGAGCATGATTCATTCGTGCTCAACCTTCAATGCTTTGACATGAGTATTTAACCATTGCATTCTGTAGAGTAGTTAGGAATATACCTCACACAGACTCCTCGAGGCTTTGTCCGGTCACGGCCAAGCGAGGTGTTCATCGCGAGCAGAATCAAGTGGCATTTTAAGAGACCAACCCGTAGATATGTCCCTAGAACCCTAACGGATACTGATTCTAAGCGGATTAACAATCAGTTCCATGGAGTTATCGGACCCTCTGGATTTGAATCCGGGCTTTTCGAAGTCATAACTGCTGGACCGGAAGCTCTCTGGGACTCAAGCAAGGGTTTATATTTGATTGGCGGAGGTGGTAGATTCACTGGATACCTCCATCTTAGATTTACTACTGAAGAATGCCCCTCTTTCGAATTCATGATCGTTTGTGGGCGGCGTCATGTGCAGCACCATCACACAAACGATTCGAGGAACTGCCTGTATGACGCCTGGTGTGCTGTATTCTCCGAGTCGTGCAAAGAATGGACTGCAATATTGGAAGGGACAGCGATGGCGAGCCAGGTTGCCGATGTCCCATCTTTGGACCATCTCTACCAGCTTCTAGGGCACAGCTCACGTCCACTGTTATCACAAGACCACTGCGAGGTACACATGCCAGAGAAGAAATTCAATGTAGGAATCTCTATTTCTTTGAGGAAAGGTACAGTTGGAGATTTAAGAGCCGATCTGGCTACGATTGGCGGAGAAGCTCAGTGCATTGACACAAACTTTTCAATTTGAAGGTCATGTGTTAGTATCACCTGGGTCTGATATATCTAGTCTACCTGGATGAATACACCTGCTTCCCCGAAACTCTCGGAATGATTGCGTGTATCCTTGAATAGTAAGCTTGCTTGAACGATGCATTTGGTAATACTGTTACGAAGTGACGTTCTGGTGCAAGTTGCGCCGCGAGCGCTGAATGCGACTCACAGAGAACGTGCATTCGTGAGAACGAAGGAATTAAGCAATTAGCCCATGGTGATGGAAAAACAAGACACGGGCAAACAACTGCAGTCTCACCCAGATACGAGACCAAACAAAGTCTCCGAAAAGCAACAAACAGATCCCCATACGTAAAGACAAAGAACTCAATTCGGTACTTTGCTTTGGCACCTTCTCTAGGCGCTGGTAACAAAGGTTGCTAGGCTCGATCTGGTAAGCTGCTTGGCTGTACGGCGACGGAGAGACAAGAAACTCTCTACGTCATCATAAAACTCGTCACACAACGAGAATAAATTTATAAAAGTAAATTTATCAAGGTATTTGAATGAGCAGGCTTAAAGAGAAGCAGAAACAGCAAATCCACACTTAATCGCTGCATTCTTCTGCTCGCTTCGAGGTGGGACCGTTCAACCGAACAGCCGAAAAAAAGGGGGAGACAGGGGTGTGCTTTCTCGGCTCAAAGTCTAAACAACACTCCAACATTGGATTACTTCACGACGAGCTCGAGCACTTTATTAGGAAGAGGATATACAATTGTGATCTGCCTACGGATCATAAGGTGTGTTTATGTATGTACATGTATACCCTAGCCAAATGCACTACCCCATTCCGAGACTAGTATAGAAATGCAGACCAAATCAAAAACAAACTAACCAAATAGAGAACACTTCGTGTACTGTGTGTGTGTAGAATATGCTTAGGTTATGAGTCGAGATGGTGATATTCGGGGTATTGGATGTCATGATTCGCAGGCTATGACATCGTCGTATTCGAGAGCGGGTCATAAAATGTAGGTTGAATTCATGAAGTCTGTTGCACGGTTAGAAGCTTCGTTTTAAGGGCAGACTTTACCCATCACTCACTTATGATTAAGCAAGCTTGACAACACGTGCTCGCTTCATGCTGTGTGTGTAGACTTTGTCGCCGCAGCGGATTCTCAAGCGCTCGGCAGGATACATAGCGATCTTGGAGCCGTTCCACATATTAAGAACGACCCGGGTGATAGGACGTGTTGCTTTGGGGGCTGTCTCAGGTACGGCCTCGGTCTTCAAGATCTCCTCCTCCTTGGCCTTGGCGGCGAGTTCGGCCCGCTTGAAGGAGTCGACTTGCTTTTTGCTGAAGCGAAGCATGATTTTCTTAGGCTTGGCGTCAGAAGAAAGTCCGAGGGACTTCTTGTAGGCACTTCTGGTGATTGCCATTTTGCCGTTCTGTACGGGCCGTCTCTTAGGACTTCGGGTATCTAAGGTAGGTGCCGTAGAGTATGATATTTGGGATATGAAGATTCAAAAAGGTTGATTTCGACAAGAGAATTCGATTTGAGAAATGAATTATAGAAATGTGAAGGTTTGTTACTGGAATTCTAAGTTCTGCGATCGATTATATAGATATTTGCATGAGGGTGTGTCTGGTCCATATTGAAAGAGGCCATGTCTGAAAAGGGTATCGGTCCCGTGCTCGACATCATCGCAAGCCTCATCAATTTCAATATCGACTGCAGATGATGAGACTGCTGTGATAATACTCCAAAAACTTGTGTGGCAGCATATGGTTGGCCTGCATGTTCGTGTGCTTGGAATGGAAGGAGCGATGACGATGCTAAATGCTGCACGAGACGCCTTCATCGTGACAGAATGATACACAACACAGATTGTCCGCCGCAACGTCTCTCTTAAGATGGCGTCTAAAGGTGTTCGTAGAGTCTTATAGGTGTTGAGGGCTGGCAAGTGTCTTCCAATGGCTGCTGTCAAGTTCTTGGGCTTCCGTTGAGCGTTGTTTACTTCTGGTTCCTCGCTGGGGTATTCTGCAATTGACACCCCAAAGTCAGCAAGATCGTTCAGCAAAGATGTATTTGTGATATGCTATATAAGTTCCCCGGATTCCACGAGCTCTCGTCTCGTCCCTCTCAAGTGTCGGTCTCGGATGCTTCCAACCCTCCTTGCTCAAATTGACCAAAGAAACCGATTTGTTGACTTGAAGTGGATCGAATGAGTTCTGATAACTGGGATTCTCCTTGAGATGCTAATAACAGGACAGCTTGTGATGATCGCTCCAAGAGGATCATGCGCAGACTGCTGGTATTGCTGGAAAGGCGCAATCGGGCATATCGAGGATCTTATAAGAAATATGCAAATCCTCTTGGAAGCAAGATATCGAGATATGACTTCAAGATCCCCGAAAGACTGTTTTGAACTGAAAAGACGAAAATATCTAGGTTGTCAAGCGCACTTCAATGTTTGACCCAGCTTTCACCCGCTCCATCCTTATCGAATTACTCTTGACCGCCTATGCTTGGGGTAGGAACTCTTTGTCACACCTACGGGTTCACTTCATCTTGGGCATGGCTTAATCGGGACGGACAAGAGAAGAATCATTGCCAGAATGGTCTCTGTGTAAATTCAGAGGTTAATCTAATTCGTATAACGATAAACGCAGAAATTCGCCTGGCAAGAAGGACAAGGAAGCAGCTGACAGCTCAGCACAGCTTGGTCTAGTTTGACTAGCATTTCTCTTAATGTAAGATTGCTAGAGCAAATTGGAGATTGTCATCGTAGAACACATCAAGAAACTGAGCAGGTTTTACCTCGCGAATATTGTCTTTCCTTCTGCTTAATTCCTGAGCTACTAAAGAGTGTACCATAAGGTAAGGTATCTTCACTTCTACAAGTTGTGTCACACAAAATCGTCATCCAACAGAATCTATTCTTCATCCTCGCTGTCGTCTGCAGGTACTCTTCGCAACCGACAACAGCTATTCTGACAATAATCCCTCCCAAAGTATGGACCAACCCTCAAGTCGGTATCTCGCCACCTCCAAGAGGAGTAAAAGCCACAGGTCTCGCATCGGGCCGGCTCTGTGCTCAGAACAATCTTCGGATCCGGTTGGTGTGGATGTTGAGCAGAATGATCTGCGTTATGATCGCCGACATTGAACCACCCACGGAAGCCTTGTGATTCATCCAGATATACGTAGGCTACTTCTGTTGATGATGGTCCAGTTCCTATTCATCGCCGTTAGCATTCCAAACTTCGCCGGGAACAGAAAAACTTACCCTTTGATTCTCTGAATACTTTGATTCGGGTTTGATCCGGCTCGAGCTTCATGGTGTAGTTGTAGTTCCGGTACTCCCCATATGTCTCATTTTGGTTCCGTGGTACACTTGGTATGAAACTCACCATCTCTCCGATTGCTGTGAGAAATTGAGTTAGTATCAATGCATGATTCGAAGTGGTGAATCTACGTACCCCACTCTTCCTTTGTCCTCTCAATCTCCAGAACGAAACCTGGGCGTACGCCATCTAAGTACCGGTAGTGGCGGTGGCAATTTCTGACATCATCCTCCTGTCTGGGTCTCTGAAGACAAAAGCGATTGGGATTGGGAGCAGGGTTTTGCGCCATGGCTGCGACGTTTGTGCGGAATGATGGGAGAATTTGATGACAGAAATGAGCTGTAAAAGTGCTGAAGAATCGACGATACGAGAAAAGCAGGTTGAAGTGGAATCGTGCGCGGGAAAGAGATTGTTTATTTCTATGGTAGAAGCTGAGCTTTTATAATCAGGAATAGAGCGCTAGCATAAGCTAGAATATTCCACGTGATCCATCCACTTCTCTATACGCTATGTCGAAATAATGTAGCACGAAGTTAGGTTTGTTTAGTGTGCCAAAAGGGACAAAACAATTTGCCCTAAAACTTTGTAAATACTCATAGACTCAGGGTTGATTTTCCCTTTCGCTGGTTCCGTTTTAGTCTGCAGGCGTGAGCAGCGGCTGCTTTACCTGAGCCAAGGGTGAGTAGGCCTGAGCAGAGCCTGAGCATCTTGGGTACGCTCCGAGTTAGCGCACTAATGGAGAGCCCATTTTGACCTCTTGTGTGCTCCAGCTACAATTGCCTTACCAAACGTTGTCCGGGTGCCCGTTTTAGTACCTCGCGGTTCTATAAAATAATGCAGAGCTCTATTCCGTTAAGATATGCCTGAGGCTATAATTTACGTGATGAGACGCCAGAATAGATTAATTACTATCTCTCTAAAATATTATCAGTAGAGAACTGTAGAGCTGGTTAGTCGCAAGGGGGTATCTGCCAATTGGATTTTGGGTTGTGTCAGAATTGTACTCTCCTATCATCATAATCATTATCATCATCAGTATCAGCCTATTCTACAACCAACAATTGATGCCGCCACTTGCAATTCATTAGCGTGACGTACTCTAATCTTAACAGCTTTGTGAAACATTTCTTGCTTACTTTTATCTTACCACGGCGCTTCGCAAGTTGTCTGAGGCTTATTTTACAAGTTTTCTGAGATTCTAAGTTGCAGGGTCTCTGTGTGATAGGGATGGGCCACAGGGAGGTCTGGTTGGATCAGCTGCAGCCTTATATAACCAGAAACAGTGACCAATTAGAGAGTTTGAAGTAATTTGGTAGCACGCAAATTTTCTACACGCCAAATCAAAATTATACCTCCGTGACATACATAGCTTACATTCAGCAAAGGCCTTCAATCATGTCTGTTCCGTATAACAAGCTCGCAGAGCGCTGTATTCGCCTTCTTGATCTGTATCCTGGAGAGCTCAACTCACCATTTCGGGGAAGGCTCCGCCCTACTGGTTTAGATATCCCAGAATTCTACGAGGCCCTTTCCTACACATGGGGTTCACCTGAGACGGCTGCTTTCTTGCACTGCGAAAGTGGCTCACTACCCCTCACACTGAACCTTGTCCAGGCCCTGTTGCGACTACGGAGGACGGACACGATTCGAACTCTGTGGATTGACCAGATATGCATCAATCAGGATGATGAGATTGAGCGAGGTCAACAGGTTGGTCTCATGGGCGGTATCTACAGAGGTGCAAGTATTGTTGATATCTGGTTAGGGGAGGAAGACCCAAAGACGAGTGAGGCTATGGCTTATATTCCACACCTTCTTCAATCTTTCTCCGACCCAGGTGAGAGAGATGAGACTGGGGACGAGGTAGCACATGTGATACAAGCTTTGAGTCTCTTAACCATCAAATCGCCAAGATGGATTGCCCTTCGTTCGATTTTTGAGCGTCCCTACTTTCGTAGAATGTGGATTGTTCAGGAAGTAGCCCTAGGACAGAAGTGTGTGGTGTATTGCGGGTCTTTCTCTGTCTCCTGGAACGAACTAGCGAAAACAGCCTTGTGCTTTGAAGAGGACGCTGATCATCAAGTTGAGGCCCACCGTGTTGTAAGAATGATCAAGGAGCTAAAAAGAAAAAATGTCACCGACTATCCAGGACATCGGTCCTTAATAAACCTAATTCATCAGTCTTTCAATCTTCTATGCACAAATCCGAGGGATAAGATTTACGGGGTTCTTGGGCTAGCTTCGGATATAACACCCGGGGAATTTATTCCTGAATATTCTCTCCCATGTCAAGAAGTATATCTTACGACTACGACTTTCTGCATGAAAAAGTACAAGTCTCTAGAAGTGGTTTGCCAAGTTCGACATCCCAAGCTACTCTCGGGGATGCCTTCCTGGGTCCCAGACTGGACAGTCATATCAGCGCTCAGGGAGAGTCTCGCTCTCAAATTCTGGGAGGGCTACTCCGCAGCAGGGAAGAAATCATCAGCATCCAGTTTCCATCTGTCGAACAACAAGCGCACACTTTTTGCGAACGGTAAATTTGTTGACAAGATTCAGCAAGTGGGATCTGTGATGCCCAGCTTACGAGCGACTCATGAAAATATCCATGATCAGCACCAAGTCCTTTCAGAGTGGGAACAATATGCTCGCAAAATCTCCCCATACACCACTGGTGAAACCTATCCCACCATATTTTGGCGTAGAGTGGAGCATATCTCAGTAGGCCTAGTTTTACCAACCGCGTCAGCAGATATTTTAACTAGTCTGGAAGACTTCCTCCCCTTATCTTTAGATAGTTAGTCATACATCAATGGATCAATTATATCCTCAAAATTAATTGTCGCTACATTATCCCTGTTCTCCCTAGATTCAAGGTTGAACTTCGGATCCTTTGTCTTCAAGTATCTCACTGACCTCTTCTGGCCTGCGTCTCAATCTACCAATTGATCGCCTCCTCCCTAAAATATCTCCAACTTATTTACGTACCATTTCAGACGCCTGTAATGGTCTTCGTTAGATATCGAAGGTATCCGAATCGATACTCTCCTGTTGGCGGCTTGACATATGCTATGCTCGTTGCGAGAAGCATATTTTCAAAAATATCCACTTTTGGTTCTCTAAAAACTTGTTTAAGCTCTTTGATCATTGTCGTCAACACTTGACAAAAATGATATGAGAGAACAGAGGTCAGGTCAAGTGTGATTGGCTAAAAGCGAGAAGTCAAAACACGTGACGACGTGGTAAATATTGTCTAGGATGATCAGGCCTTGCTCAGGTAAGCTGCTCAGGGTCCGTTGAGTTGCTTAAATTGCTCGGGTTACTCATGTGAGTGGGCTGAGCCGAGGGTGATTAGTGCCTGAGCAGGAGCGGCAAGCTTACTAACTGCATGCGAAATACAAGAAAGAGAAAATTGATTCATAATACCTGAGAATTTTGTAGGATATTTTAGTGCCCGAAATTTGTGCCACACAGGGTCGCCAATCCCCACACTGTCAGAACGCCTCCCAATGTAGGTCAATATTGAAACTGCAGCTCATCCCAGATCAAGATTCAAAGCGGCCCGGACCAGAAGAGGGATACTCAATTGTTTGTTCCATTCAAGTCCTGCGGCGTAGTCCTTTCGAGCCCAACAAGGTCATTGGACAATCAGTCGGAGTTCTTACAATGGCTTGCGAGGCGTCTCTTGTTTGGCTTCACACAGAATGGAGTCGGCCAATCCTTAACAGAAATGCGTAAGTCGTAGTCTATACGAGTTGAATTCTTCTCTAGCATTACGCCACTCGGCTTTCCAAGAAACTGGATGGACGATGCAGAATTGTGGAGAGCGGCATTATGGATATAAATACCCTCTACCCTCACCTCCTTCCTTCTCTTTTACTGAGCAGTGTTACGAGTCTTTCCAGAATTCTTCGAACCGACCGCCATCAACCCATCATGCGTCTTTCAGCTATACTTCTCCAAGCATTGGCCACCGTCGGTGTCTTTGTAGACAAAACAGCAGCACAATGCTCTGGCCAGGGAGAAGGGAATTGCCAACTGAGCTTTGTAGGAATTCCAAGTACGACTACCTCTTGAGATCATGGAAATCATAGCTAATTGAAATATAAGGAACCGACTGCATCACGTATGACAACATGTTGACGTGCGGAGAAGCCATAACCTGGACAGACGCCTACATCTTCGATTATGCTTGCAACCAAATTGGCAATGCTCCTTACCCAGCTCAGGGTCTTGCCATTTATTCGGAGCTTCCGTGGACGGTTGTTATAACCTTTCTGACTCAAGGAGGGCCGAACAATGCGTTCTTGGATTTCAGGTCGATTGGGTTTGCATATGCTGCATATAGCTACCACAATTAATTTACTTGTTATCCTTTCGGGAATGACATTGCATGCCAGCATGCGTTTCCATGTTGAGATGTAGTGGAAGAGGGAGATTGGTTTTGGACCACTCTGGGAGACCGAGAATGTAAGGGCTGATATAGGGAAGAAGAGAATAGTATACGTCTGTCGAATTCCATTGGACAGATGGATTACCAATTTAAAATCTAGCAGAACAAGTTCGAGGTTGACGATGTCCCATGAAGTGCTGGATTGAGTTACATCTCAGGTTAATACGCAAGAGACCGTATAGAAATCGCATTGAGCCGTGCTTGAATATGTCCGTGGGGAGGGAAGATCTCCGTCAGGTCGTAAATCGAACTACACATAGTGAAAGGTTCTCCGAAGAAAGAATGACGACTTGGGCTGCATTCCGCTTGAGTTTCGAACTTTTGTCCAGTTCCTAGGCGAGGGACTGCTTGTGGTAGTTGCCGGGGCTTCTCATATTCGACATCGGGTTCCTTCCTCCGTGAACGGCACTTCTCGTCCATCAACGAACTACTTCACATCGAAATTGACTATTACTGAACTCCATCATTCATCTCTCAGCTTATTCTGGATTGAGTCAAGAAGTCGCTTCCGAAATTATGCCGAAGGAAGTGTCGGAACCTGATTCCGTTAAGCTCATCTCCGCTATTAGAGAGCACAATGAACCAATGGTCAACATTGTCCGCCCTAAGTTCCGAAGTTCTGACTCGGTTCGTCACTACCCTTGGCACCAAGCACCAAGCAACTGAAGACTTCAATGACGATGGTACCAGAAAGAATGCAGGCAAGAAAGAGAGAGGATTCTCATCCTTCAGTGGTGTGCTGGTTGTGGCTCATGGTCTACCGTCATCCAATTGCATGTATGGTCGGTCATCATAGCAGCCTCAAGAAAAAGATCAAACATCTATTTTCTTTCGTACCTGGATTAACGCGCCGAAAGGATTCGAGGTGAGAATGGAGACACCATCTCTAGAAGTGTTTGACACCGTTAGGGATCAGTTCACTGAGCCATATGAACAAAACTTGCGGAGTGTGATGTACGACAAGAAAGGTGCTGAGAGGCGCAGAGGGTGGGATTGCCACGGGAGAAGATAGAGGATGTTCGGAGATGGGGATAGTTGGTAGAAGTGCCGTGATGTTCTGCACGATAATTAGCTAATGAAGGTCCCAACGCTCTACAACTTACAATAATGATGTGTAACCAGAGATTGCGACGAGCATCCAATAAGTAGCAAAGGACTGACAAGCAGTATCGGACACGTGCACGGTACTTTATCGCCCTCCCTTTCCGAGGACCACTTGTCTTGTTCTTTACTTCTAGTTTTTGTTCATTGTTTGCGTTGTCGTCCTTTGATACAGCAATTATATGTCTGTTGTGTTGCTGATGTGATGCGTTGCATTGTGGCTCAGGAGTGCCTCGTATTCACGCCGTTGTTGTCGTCGTTGTTGCCAATGTTTCCGTTGTTTCCAGTGTTAATCAGTGGCGACTCCAGCTGTGTCTGTTTGGACAGACATCTGCTCGGAGACTTTGTACTGCACACTATTTTTGAGAGTTGAAAGTCGCAAGATCCAGGAATAGGGCGCGACATCCGTGTCAGCGACGTCTCCCATGCTTCTAGAAATGAGTGAATATGGTATAAGAGAAGAATGATTAGACGATGAGATAGCGGATAGATTCAAAGTTATCTTGTGGATGTTGTTAATTTTGAACGTGGATGCAACTTGAGATTTCGTGCACGGAACCAGATATTTGCTGCGACCTGATATGATTGGCCCTCGAGACCCACGTCGACGACTAAGCGGCGAGGATGTTGTAAAGAGAGATCCAAGAGAGATCCAGGCGGATATATGGACTCGACCGTGTTGTTGTATTCTGAGCAATGTTTAAGTACAATGCCTCGAGTGAGCAGTGGCGGGGTGAGCATGATGTATATATCTAAGCTTATGATAGAGCAGTAAAATACGCACCAAGATGCTCAACATAGATGTTCAGACATTAACAAGCTTACAATCATCCTGCAATCCATTACTTCCTGATCACTTGATCTGGTATCGCCTAAGTGACGGCGAAACGAGGACTGCAGATGTCATCCAGAACTTGCAATATTGTGGGCCAGCCCATACACGAACTATGCAGTACCTGTGTGGCATTCTTGCATACTCTGTAGGGGTTTGAGGCCTTGCAAAAAAGCAGACTTCAGACTTCTGATCTTCCAAGAAGCAGTGCGCATCGTGTTTGCTAGCGGCGGACAGTACAAGTGATGAAATCCTTTCCCTTTGCTATTCTGAGCAATGTCAAGCTCGTTCAGGTAGCAGTGAACTAAGCTCAATGGTGTTCGCAGATGAAGAATGGAGACACATGATGTATGCAGCTGCTGGCGAGCATATCTGTCTGCTATATCGGTGCTGATGTCGTTGAGGGAAATCTCATCTCGTGTCTCTCGATCAAGTTGGTCGTGTGGCTAGTAGTGAAATGACGGTTTGCTTCGGAAAGCGAGATTCATCTATCAAACAAGTTCTATCTCCACACCTGCGGAATGCTCTCGCGCAAGGTTCCGCCCCGCAACAAACATCCTGGGGAGCTTGATGTGGGGTAGCTCTTACATTCCTCTCCCATGACACAGCATCACTGACAAAAGTTTCTCCCAGAGCATTATTGTACCATCCGCATACAAACTTAACGGTCATATATCTCTCTCCCTGCTTCCATCTCAAACCTTCAATTTTCTCAGTAAGGAATCTTAAGTAGCCATGCCTGTTACGAAGTTTAGCACACCTGAAAAGTATCGGTACCAAAATGGCTTCGGTTCATACCATGAGTAAGAACCTCTAATTATGTGTTCTAGAAGCTCTCTAAATTTCTTACAGGTCAGAAGCCGTCTCAGGAGCCCTCCCAATAGGTGCCAATTCGCCTCAAAAACCTCCCTTTGGCCTGTATGCCGAAAAGCTCTCTGGTACAGCATTCACAGCACCCCGACACGAGAACCAGCAAACATGGCTCTACAAAATCCTCCCTTCTGCATCACACTCGGCCTTCAATGAACGCGAAGCTTCCTCCTACAATACCAACCCAGAAGGGCACAAGTTACATCAGATTCCCAACCAGCTGCGATGGGATCCATTTGACATGGACGAAACTGTGGATTGGGTGCATAGTTTGAAATTGGTTGCTGGTGCTGGAGATCCTACAATGAAATCTGGACTTGGCATCTTCATATTTGCTGCTGGGAAGAGCATGGAGGATAATCAAGCATTCTACTCGGCAGATGGGGACTTCTTGATTGTTCCCCAGCATGGGGTATTGGATATACAAACAGAGCTTGGCAAGATTCTAGTTCGGCCGAACGAAATCTGTGTCATTCCTCGGGGTGTGAGATACAGAGTGGAACTGCCAGAAGGACCTGTCAGGGGTTACATTCTCGAGTTGTACGAAGGACATTTCCAGCTGCCTGAATTAGGACCTATTGGCTCGAATTGTCTCGCCAACGCTCGAGACTTTCAAGCTCCAGTTGCATGCTTCGAGGAAGATACAATAGGCAGTTATACTATCCTCTCGAAATTCAACGGCCACCTCTTTGCTGCCTCGCAGACACATACACCATTTGATGTAGTAGCCTGGCATGGACTGTACTACCCATACAAGTACGACCTCGGCCGCTTTTCCGTCATCGGCTCCATCTCTTTCGATCATCCAGACCCAAGCATTTTCACCGTGCTGTCTGCTCCATCACCGCGTGTGGGTACCGCCATCGCTGATTTTGTGATCTTCCCTCCCCGATGGCTCGTAGGTGAAGATACTTTCCGACCTCCCTGGTACCACCGCAACACCATGTCTGAGTTCATGGGCTTGATCGGCGGCGAGTATGATGCGAAGACTGGTGGAGGTTTCAAGCCAGCTGGTGCCAGTCTTCACAACATCATGTCTGCACACGGTCCCGACTCAGGGACCCATGAGAAGGCAAGCAATGCGGAGTTAAAGCCAATGAAGGTTGGAGAGGGTAGTATGGCTTTCATGTTTGAAAGCTGTCTCATGGTTGGCGTGACAGAATGGGGACTGAAGACGTGTAAGAAAGTACAGGAGGATTATAATGAGGAAAGTTGGACGCCTTTGGAGGCCCACTTTAAGATTCCTGAGGGAGTGAGGAGGATCAGTAATCTGGTTGATGGAGATGTTGCGAGGGGTGCAATTGATATTGGGAAGAGTGTTAATGGGAAGGGAGCGACTGGAGAGATGGAAAAGGGGCAATTGCCTCATTATACTTGAGAGACCGGTATTATCAATAATATGATGTATGAATACGAATATTTCCCGGCCAGGTGACTTACAGAGCGAGCCTTATCACCTAGGCATTGTGCAGTGCCGATTGAAGTCTGACTTGAGAGAAATAGTATAGGAAGAGGAGAATGAAGTATGTCCCAACCAGGTGGCATTGCGAGATGAGATTAATCATACAAAACCATATTCTAATCTGTTGCCTCAACCCCCAAATGTTTGTCGCTGGGTGAGGCACGTGTTTTGTCTCACGAAAAAGTCAGAGTGATCCCAGCCTCAAATTGCATCATGACTTCTCTTCCTCCAAAAACCCCACAACTGCCGCTCCTCTCCTCGAACACATCCAATGCTACGCAATTTATCCAGAAAGGGCCAGTGCTACGATGTGGAGAAGATGCTCCTCGGAAGCACATATCCGATTTCCCGGGACAGCATTTGTAATCGTTCCTAACGAATCATGAAGCTATCTTCACTCCTCAAACACAGGACAGAATTCAATGGCAGATGTCACTGCTGCGATAGCGGGGTTAAAATCGATAACCCCGCTTGAATCCGTCGAGGGGAAGCTACAAAATGTTGTGCTTCCCGCGATCTGGGCGGTTTTGCTATACCAATCTCTATTGTTCGACTGATCAACAGCACTCACTGAACAGACAGCAATCAGCGACCATAAACCTTCCAAGAACCAACACACGATAGTAAGCATCAAACCGCAAACATGGCGAACAAGGAGATGCCAATCAGCCTGAAAAAGTCCGTCGAGGGCACGAAAGTCGAATACGTCAACCTAGGCAAGAGTGGGCTTCGCGTTTCCGTCCCAATTCTAGGAGCAATGAGTTTTGGACACCCAGATTGGGCGAGCTGGGTCATTGATGAGGAAAAGGTACGTCTGCCAGCATCTGCAGATCTCTAAGAAAACGGGCTGACCCTGCCTTCCACAGGCTTTTCCTCTCCTGAAAGCGGCCTGGGACGCAGGACTCAATACGTGGGACACGGCGAACGTATACTCGAACGGAGCATCAGAAGAAATCATCGGTAAAGCGATCAAGAAGTTCGAGATCCCGAGACAGAAGTTGGTTATCCTCACAAAGTGCTTTGGAGCCGTGGGCGAGGAGCCAAATGTGAGGCATATTTTCTTCCCGAATGAAGTTAGGGGTAGTAAGGATTATGTGAATCAGCATGGTGAGATTTCCTGTTGACGAGAATGATGACAGACATGCTGATGGAAAATAGGACTCTCCCGCCAAGCTATCTTCAACGCAGTCGATGCCTCCCTCAAGCGCCTCGGTACTACTTACATCGACCTCCTCCAAATTCACCGATATGACCCCAACACTCCCATTGAAGAAACAATGGAAGCACTCCACGACCTAGTCAAGAGTGGAAAGGTCCGATATATCGGTGCTAGTAGCATGTGGGCCACACAATTCGCCCAAATGCAATTCGTAGCCGAGAAGAACGGCTGGACAAAGTTCGTCAGCATGCAGAACCATTTTAACCTGCTATACCGAGAAGAAGAGCGGGAGATGAACCGGTTCTGCAATGCTACGGGCGTGGGCTTGATCCCATGGGCTCCGCTGGCTGGAGGAAAATTGGCGAGACCAGCGGAGAGCCATGGCAGCACGGAGAGGAGCAAGACGGCGCCGGAGCTGACGGAGGCGGATAAGCAGATCGTGGCGAGGGTGGAGGAGTTGGCGAAGAAGAAGGGGTGGACGATGAGTCAGGTTGCGTTGGCGTGGGAGAATAAGAGGGTTAGTAGCCCGATTATTGGGTTTAGTAGTCCGGAGAGGATGGATGAGGCGATTAGTGCGAAGGGGAAGACGTTGACAGAGGAGGAGGAGAAGTATCTTGAGGAACCTTATGTTGCTAAGGCTATTACTGGTCATTCTTAGGTTTGTTGGAGGGGGTATGATTTGTGTGGAATTAGTGGTTTGTAGGGGCATACACATATCAAAAGCTGAGGACATTCATGAATACAAAAGCTTGAAAATTCTTACTTTTGCAATGACAGACATTTTATCCTCTATTTGCTTGCGGTTTAAGCACAATACCATTCCCAACATTGAGAGATTGAAGTAACTGGACTAAGTCCTTTCACTTTTCTAGACATTGAAATCCTGAACTGCCATAGGTTCGAGGCGGAGACGAATACAAACATAAAAGTTCGCTATTTGCGTTGACAGGATCGACTTGGGCTGCGAGCAGGAGGATACTTGACAAAAGTAAGTCCTTTAATCCACGCCCGATCAATACACTGCTTATACCTATCTAAAACATTTGAAATTGCTTGACAACAACATCTACACCCTAACATTTACCGAAAAGCATGATGTGGAGGGAGAGGGAAGGCCAGTTAAGGTACTTGATCAATGATGATTTGGAGAGGTAAGGCTGATCGAGGAATAGGGAAGATGATGTTTGGGATTTTTCTGAGGTTATTTTGGAGAGGCGTGTTATGGAATTGGTGTATAAGTAGTATTCTGGAAAGATGTGACAAGTCATTAACAGTTAATTAAAGAGCAAAAGTGCTGAAATCTGCTTGGATAATTGAAGACTTGCAATGGAATTGGAACGCCCGCTCTACTGTATCGTATTGACATTTGGAAACACAAATATGCAATATCGTCATCCACATTTTCCCGACCTTCATGCCAAAAATGAGGTGCTCGCGTGAGTTGACAAATGCGGCAGCAATCAGCATCATAAAATTTAGAGTTGCTGGACAGTGCACAAATGCCTCTCCTTCATAGGTATCTGCCAACACCACATCATCAATTATGTTTTCTCCAATTCAACAATTTTCTGTGATGCTTCTTCAGATCGTGTTTTCATGATTGTAATTGCGCCCGTAAATTTCGCCCCCAAACTCGTCATTCTACTAGCGTATTTCCCCGGATTCACCACTGTTCATTTTGCGGGGAAAGCTCTCGAAAGTGGATCAGAAGCTACCCGATTAGGTCTAGACTTTAGTAGGCGATTTCCATTCCTTCTCAGGCGACCCTGGAGTCACGCGACGAATAACGTGAGCTTGATACCCCGCTCCTCAGGAGACCAACCTAAGCTGTTTGAACTCAAACCCCTCTCTTCTTCTCTTCCTCTCTCCTTCCACCTGCATCGTACCTGATCTCTTTCCATCTCCATCTATCAACACACATCAAAGCAATCAACACACACCAACAATCTCAGCTTACCAAAGCAAATCACATCTCCTGCTTGATATCTTACGACTTTCTGATTCGTGAGATACAAATACCTTCGTACCCATCATCCATCTCTTCTTTCATCTTCAATTAGATCAAGAAGAGCCATCTCCATTATCAATCATGTCTGCTGACGCTGCACCCACACCTTTGTCCAAGGTCGACTCTGCTGTCCAAGGTCTGTCGTCGAGTCCCCCCAAGGAGGAGAAGGCCGCAAAGCGAAGACAGAGCTCGGTGGCTGCCGCCGGTGTGTTCAACATCAAGGACTTGGGTATGTATCATCCGTGCCGGATCTGCCGGTCCACTTCCATCAGGAGAGATGCTGATATGAATTGATGTGTAGAGGAAGAGGGAACTAAGCTTGAGATTGCGAAGGAGACACAAAAGCTGAACTGGTGAGCTCATCTTCTGCTTGCACCTACCTGCTTACCCCTCACTTCCTCCATCTGCACCTCGAATCTTCATCAAGCTTAGTGATACCATGGACTCTGTTGACGATTGACTCGCAGGCGTATCAACAAGAGTCCGATGAGCTTAGAAGAGCCAGAGAAGAGTGCACTCAAGAAGATGCTCACCACCCCACCAATCAAGAAGATTGACCTACACTTCCCTCTCGGACTGGAGGTGACTGCGCGGAACCTGAAGGGCGTTACCATCAAGGATGCGTTAGACGCAATCTACAAGCAATATCGGAAGAAGGTATGCTCGTTGTCCTCTCCACATTCTGCCATCCCTTGCTAACATAAACCCCAACAGGCCGACGATGAACTCGAGACCCCCGTCCTAGCAGGTTTCGAATGGGACCCCGAAGAATCCTGGACCCGTCTGATCGTCCACTGCAAGAAGGAAGGTGCACCACAACCCAAGAAGAAGGCCAAGAAGGGTGAAGCTGCAGAGGAACTCTAGTTCTTCACAGAAGACCACAACACCGCTCCATCATGTCTCCCTCGCTCGATAGACTAGAGCTTCATTTGCGTTGATTTGCTGGCTGGGTTCCTGGTGATAGGGTTTTCTTTTCCACATGGCAGGCTTGCCGAATTTGCGTTGGTTTATTAACATAATGGAGGGGTTTGGTGGATGGTTATCTGCTTGCTGGTAGCGGTCGTTACTAGCTTGTAGATGCTTCTGCTGAGAATGAATTCTCCTCTCCGTTCTGGTTTCAATCGTCGTGATGTTTGAGTTCCATGGTGTCCGGCCATTGAGTGTGTCTCATGTCTCTTGTCGTGTGGAAAACGCCGTGCAGCCCTGGAGTGGTCCAGCTGATGTGTCGCCAAAGGTAGGAAAGAGAAAATGGACTTCCTCGTGCGGGAAAATTGTGCACCCCAAGTGTGGATCCAGTCAGGTGACACCAAAATCTTCAAACTTTGGCATCGGAACAATACCTCAACTGCTCAATTAACCTCAAACGGATAAATACACTGGACAAGAGTCGTCTTGTCTGACTTATCCTCAAGGTCAATTGATCCTTTTTCGAAGCTTTCAGTCGTGGTTTAATCCTTTAGCGCTGATGGCCAAAGCTCCCCAGTTCCGAAGACAGCCCTGGAGTCTTGTTGTGTTCTCTCGAACTCAACGCACTCAGCAGCAGCAAGGTGATTATTGCAAGTGGCATGTAGGTCTACTCTCTTTTATCTGCTTTCTTTGATTCTCTGTATCTCGTTGCTTCTCTCTTTTTCTATTAATTCACATCAATTTGGAAGAAAACGACTGGAATCCTCAGGAGCCCTCGCATTCAGCGCGTCCAGCGCAGTCAGCGCATCTAGCGGAGACGTTGCCCAAACACATGGCAGCCTGAATCCAAGTGAATCTGACCAAGCTCCAAGCCCGAGCCGGACATCTATGCTTGAAGCTCCTCGCTACCTGCCCTTTCTTGCCTACCTGTCAATTTACCGAATAGAGGCTAATGAAGCACAATTGGCAGACACAAGTCTGCTACTCCATTCTCTACAGCTCTCGAAGAACGTTTTCGCTGCTACCCTCAATCTTCAGACGATTCTTGGGAGGGGAGAAGAGAATGGGGTGAGGTGAAGCTATGGCATGAAATAGGAGAGGCAAACGGAGGCAAAGGGGTAGATAGCCCGTCCTTTCAAGTGAGGTCGCGCTGCCTGGGACTATGTAATGGCTGGCCTCAATGCTCGGATGGGTTTGCCCAGACGACTTCATGGACGGAGGGAGGTAGGGGCACAATGGATTTGAGGTAAGTGCAGAAGTGAAGGGGGTGAGTAAGTGCTTTCCCGGCACCTTCAATGTCGCGGAAGAGGGGCTGAAGAGAAAGGTTCGAGGGAGTCGTACAAAACGAGGAGTCTGGTGGTCGAGTGAGCTCGTACCATGAGCCTTGGGCTTGGTGTAAGTCGATGCTCAAATATGCAGTGGTAAGCACGTGGCATTATTTCCGTGCAAATGCTGTCACTTCTTGACTTTCTGTTTGCTGTGTCCTCTGCGTTTTTGTCCGTTTTCTAGGTTTTGATCGCTTCCATACCTAAGATGGATGTTTGGAGGGAGATGTTGGATCGTTCGTGAGAAGGACGGGTTCCTTGAAGATAGCGTATGTTTCTTGCCTTACTCTCGTCTTATTCTTTTGCTGTCTATTCTATGCTAGCTATCATCATAGTGTGCGGAGCATGTGAGGAGGTACATAGACCCCAATAGTATATTAGACTTGGGAAAACACCGGTTTCGTATTCTGTGTCCTCATTACAAACGAATCGAATTGTAGTAAGATCGAATAGTACACGAGTAGCTTACGAAGACTGTCGCTATGTGCTCTGTATTTCTGTGGTATTCTGATTGGAAGCGTTGATTTCGAGGCGGGAGAGAGGCTGGGATTCTTTGCTGAGGGGCGATAGGTATGATCATCAATTGAAGATAGCCAGATGCGAAGCCGAGAAATCCTCGAAGGGCGAGAGAATATACGATTTCTATGTGGTCCAGAAACTAGTCTCAACCTTATTTTGACAAGTACGAATACCTGCATATCTTCCTCGTCCGTAGATGCCGAGACGATCAATCGAAGAAGCTTACTTGAAATTGAGACTTATCTCAGCCCCAGACCGCGAGTGCGATACGGTCCCTGACGATCCCATTGAACCTGCCAGAAACCTAAAATGCGCCCGCCATCATCACAGCCCGAAAATTTCGGCTTCTCTTCAGATCGGCGAATGTCTTCTCGCGGTATCACCTCGTATCCGCACTCGTATCCGCACCGAACCTCTTGGCACGTTTCGTCCCGACTTCTTCTCGAATCAAAACCCTTCTCTCCCTCAAGGCAGCCATCTCAACCTGTCAAATAGAGATGATCAACGGTAAGTGCCGTGCAAGGCTGGGAGGTCCCTCGATGCCGGTGGATAGGAGGTGGTTGTCGAACTTTAATCTGAGATGGGGAGTTCGGACAGCCTCGCGATGTGACGCAAGCTGGTTTTCCAGAAATAATCGCGTGGAGGGGGAGGTACGAGAGTGCGATGTGTTGGTCTGGGCTGGGGAGGGGAGAGGAGGAGAGGTTATAATGTCTTGATGGTTCCTGCTTGGAAGGGTCGATATCATCATTGAAGTCATTTATTTCAACGTTAACACCATCGTCATCATTCTTTATTCCAATTAAAGTCCGATAAACCAATACTTGTGGATCATTATCGACGGAACCAGACTTGCGGAATTCTCTCTATTTCAACAACATCTCCGTCCTCCGCCTCCGCCCTCCGCCTCTGTTCTCCACCACGAATCTCGGCGCAGAGATGGAGTCTTTGACTCTGCTCAACCGAGCTATCCTCGAAGCACGAGACAAAAAGAGCTTTTGGGACAAGTACAAGTGGTTGATTATCGGCGGGCTGATTGCGGTTCCTATTCAGCTTGTTATGTTATATTTCTAGTGAGTTTCTTGCATATTCTTTCTCTTGTGGGCGGTTGAGGGGTTTAGGGGAAGAAGTGGCTTGGAAGATAAGAGGCTGATGTTTTGTTAGTTTACGGTATCGGAAGAGGAAGAAGTTGGCGCAACGACGAGATGATGAGCAGTATATTCAGATGCCTGGGAGGTAGAGAGTAGGGGGAAGTAGACGGTCAGAGAAGGGAGTCATCTTCTTAAATGGTCTTTTCTTTATTCAGGGTTGCGAACTCTTCAGGCATAATAAATTGGGTTGTTTACTTTTCTTATGAATACCTTTTCTTGATATGCTCTGGCTAGCTGAATTCCGCCAAATCTTCTTTCGCATTATCTGTATCTTCGCCCAAGCCAGAGTTGGCTGCCGCGTATAGTGCTGTGTTTTTCTTCTACGCCCGAATGTATTTCGTTTTGAGGCTCTACATTATCTCTGCGTTCTTTCTCAGACTTGTCTAGCAGAACAACCAAAATGGAAAAAGCCATGCATTGGAGAAGTTGTCCTCATGCGCATTCATACACTACACACACTTTATTAGCAGGATATGACATCCAAATATTGACACTGGTCCTCAGGCACTGTACTCCACTGAGGGGTAGGCCAATAGTACTGTTGACGTGAGACAAGATCCATTCCGCCTAAGATTACGGTTTGACACTCAATGTACGACGTCTTAGAGTGGGCTTTTTTTTATTTGCTTGAGTACTTTACGTCTGTTGAAAGTTGAGGTGTTACTGATTGGAAAGTTTTCATTTCCATTCGAATTGAAGAGATGAAAATCTGCCGCTTCGTGCTTAGCTGCACAATTTGCACATATTGCCCGAATCGCGCAATTTCAGCATTCAACGTTTCTTGGTGCTGTATTACCAGATCGCGCTCTTGAATTCAAGGTCCTGAAAACGTTGTCGAGAACTGTTTCGTCATATTATTCGGAGGCAATTGTCGAATAATATGCTGCTCAAACGCTCCATACGAACTTCCTAATCCTACAGCTACGCATGAGAGTCATTGATTGGCTCGGGCTCGATAAATTATTTGGGGGCAACCAGCTTTCTAAAAATATGTCAAGCATGTTACGGATCCCCTCCATGGTCACTAGGCGACATGGCCATCATCGAGGGAGTTGGGGATAATGCCCCTTTATCGACCATGGAGCTAGAACTGTTCTCGAACAGCACTTCGGCGATGCACATATTAAAGAAATATGTTTACCTTGGTAGACTACGAAACCTTCACTACCAGAGATACAGTCTGTATTGTTCAAGGCCTGTGGCCGACATCCAGCTCGGGGTCTTGACAGAACGAGGGTGACTACTCGAACGAATGAACTTGTGCACTTGGAAATAACATGTGCCACGTGAAGCATTCGGCTCTCATTGAGGTTTCCCGCACTGCATCTCTTGTATGCGTAATTCCTGGAAGTAGTTGCGGAATGTGTTGCGGGGAGACTTGGCAGATGGGGTTGCATTGCAAATGAGTGAGAAGTACGAAGCGGTCTACTGAGAGTTTCGATGCAGAAAAGGCGAACAGGAGATAATATATCTCCCCACATTAGCTAAACATCTCCAAATATCTATGGAATGTAAGGTAGAAAGGCAAAAGCCTCGGTCTCGATTAAAGGGGCGGGATCTCCATAAGCGAGACAGGTACGCGCGACTTGATTGGCCAGCCACGGTCTCAGCTGCCCACTTTCGGCAAAGCTGCATGTACTATTGAAACCAGCTCGGGACCCCGAAGCTAAATATTAGGTTCTTTCCCAACCTCACTCCTCTCTTTCCACCTTCCATCAACAGAAGAAGAAACCGAGCACGCAACCACAACTTCGCAAGAACTTCACGATGATGGGTATTCAAAGACTCTTTCACGAGTTGGGCTTGCACTCGTTGTTCGCTTCTGCCTTGGACACCAAGATCATCATCCTTCAGCGCTTCGTCCGCTTCTTTGCTTTTGGCGGTTCGACCATCGTCCTTGCTCTCTATCTCCACGAACATGATATTCCAGCATCTCAGATTGGACTTTTTATGAGTCTTACCTTCGTGGGAGATATCATAAGCTTCGGGCTGAGTCTCATTGCTGACGGCATCGGAAGAAAGCACGTGCTTGCGATCGGCGCCTTGATGATGGCTTTCTCTGGATTTGCTTTTGCAACAAGTGGAAACTTCTGGGTCTTGTTACTTGCTGGCATTGTTGGAATTATTAGTCCGAAGTATGTTTGAATGCAAGATTGAGGTGCTACGCTAACACCCTTTGTGAAGCGGGCGAGAAATTGGACCCTTCACTTCAATTGAAGAATCAACACTAGCCCATCTCACCGCACCTGAAATTAGAAGCGACATCTTCGCCTGGTATGTCGTTATTGGTTCGGCAGGTAGTGCTGCTGGAAAGTTTACCACTGGCTGGGCAGTCCAGCAACTCCAGGCAGCAAGAGGATGGACTTCTATGAGGTCCTACCAAGCCGTGTTCTTCACTTATGCCATGCTTGGATTGCTGAATTTTGTCCTTGCTTGGTTCTTGAGTCCAAGTGTTGAGCTCCAGAAGGCGGAGCCTAGACGCCTTCAGGCCATCGAATCAGATGAAGAAGATGCGTTGCTCCCGGGTACCGATCAAGTAGATGTTGAAGAGCCGGAGAAAAGGAGAACACTGATCCCCAAGATCAGTCGTGAGTCTCGTGGTATTATCTTCAAGTTATGCTGCTTGTTTGCCGTAGACTCATTGGCTTCTGGTCTTGTCCCTGCGTGAGTACCCTCTTGTTCCCAAGCAGAATTGCGTCTAAACAATTCAGGTCTTGGGTCACATATTTCTTCTACAACAAGTTCTCTCTGCCAACTGGATCGCTTGGTACGATTTTCTCTATCATGGCCATCCTATCAGCAATATCATCAGTCGTCGCAGCCTCGCTATCGAAGAGAATCGGTCTCGTCAACACGATGGTGTTCACTCATCTACCATCTGCTATCGCCCTTGCTCTGATACCAATTCCATCATCACTGACGGGTGCTATCATCTTTCTCGTCATTAGATCGTCGCTAGCCTCGATGGATATTGCACCTAAAGCTGCATTCCTCTCCATGGTTGTTCAACCAGGAGAGAGAACAGCTGTCATGGGCTTCGTTTCTGTAGTCAGAACCTTCAGTCAAAGCTGTGGACCGTACATCACTGGACTACTTGCTCAATCTGGGAGCTTTTGGGTCACGTTTATCCTCGCCGGTTCCTTGAAAGCTGCATATGACATGGGACTCTTGATTGCTTTTAGTCATCACAAGGTCCAGGATAGGCAGACACCGGAAGGACCCACCGATGAAACTGAGGCATGATATATTCTTATGACCAACAACAATCCAGGGCTGAATAAGACGATGCTGAGATTGGAGCTCTTGCAGCTGATTGGTCTTGGCGGACTATCACGACATCGGGCTGCAGTACATGAAGCAAGCCAGAAACTGAGCAACAAATGCGCGCATGCATCCTCCAATGATTGCAGCTTATGATTATTATGGCGTCCTAGACTTTGGTCCAAGACTTTGGTCCAGGCTGGTCTTTTGCTTCTAGATTATCTTTCCATCTTATCAGTGAGGTCCATCCCCGTCCCTCGCCTGTCCTTCGCTAACCCCATTCAAGTCCACCCGCATACTCTTATGCACGACACGTCGACATGGCACGAGACCAAAACATCGTTATCGGAAATACTGTAATACAAGTACGAGATCAAATCGCTCAATAGGTCACCAGGCATTTCGTCCTCGTTCTACAACATCCCACTTTTACCGTCCTTTCGCCAAGTATCCCCTCCACCTCAACCACCTCACCCCAACCTCCACATCCCCATCAGCTCCACAACATAATGTCTTACTCCGAATCCTTCACAGACTTCAAAGTCGAGCTCTCCTCCTTCGAAGATCGCGTCAAAGCTCGCAAGGAAGCAGAGAAATACGCTCCCTGGCACCCAAAGAACGTGCTCATGCACCCAAACCGCACGTGGAGACTTGCTTTTGGCATCATTGGCGATAGTGACATGGAGCGTGCACTTGCGCACATGGATTCTGGAACTGCTGGGAGTAAGGATAAGCCGAGACCAAAGCAGAAGAAGATGGAGAGGTTGTTTGGTTTGTGAGGGGCTTGAAGGATGGTATGTGGAAGTTTTGAAGATGGGAGGGATAGGGCTTGTTGGCAGAAGATGGATGGGGATGTAAGGTAGCAAATGAACTTCTTGATCGAGTGATGCGTGCTACTCAAAATTCATTCCCATTTGGCCACACGTGACTTGTCCAAGCTTATGTTGCACGTCGCAAAGACGCAAAAGCGCGAAGGTTTGATATCGCCAACTCTCTCTTCTGGCACATGATCTAGGTACACCGTTGAACTAAACCCTTTCTTGGCTAACCACTGCATATGCACATGCTAAGTAGCCTTCCATCCTTCGCAAATAACTCTTCTCTTCTATCCCATGCACTGCGTCCTGAATTCTGCTTGCCTACAATAATAATAGTTCAGCTTCAACATCATCTTATGCGTTCGTTTGATATCCTTCATTGTTCTGCTTGGTAAGGTGCTATCTGAAGTGAAGTCTTGGTTTTGTCCACGTTTTGGAGAAGGGGGAATCTATGAGCTTGTTGAGCTTTGGGGACCAGTTGCTTGGGTAGCAGATAGCGTGTTGAGCATATTGCAGCCAGTGTTGGGCGAAGATGAGTTCTCGCATGTTTACTTGTCTAGAGAAAAATTTTGAACCCTAAAATTGAATAACTCCATGAACTACCCAAGCACCCTTTTCTCTTTTCTCTTACCTATAACTTCGCGCTCAACTTTTATACGTATTCGATAGATCTAGGCGCCGATACATCATGCGAGGAGTTCAAATACAGCTTTCTGTAATAGAGGCTCTTGAAGATCTTGAAGAGCTCGGCTTCCAAGGTGACTACTAAACAAGAGCAAAGTTTGACTTACTACTGGTACTGGTACTGGTGCTGGTGCTACTACAGCTGCTCCTCCTTGACGAGGCCCAAACTGGCCATGCAAAGGTGGAAGGACCATCAAAGGAGCGCCCATTCCGTTGGATACAGCATTAGCGGCATTAAAAGCACCGATGATGCTGGCTTGATAATGATTAGTTCAGCTCGGAGACGAAGTTATTACCCACTAACCTTCGTCAACTGCTAGAGCGCTACCTGCTGCCGCTCCTACTGCTTCAACACGTGCGCTCATCGTTTGTTGGAAAAGTAGTATAGTTGCAGCTTCCAGAGTTTCCCAAAGCGGAGCCCCAGCACGAGCAGCCCTGAGTCTCCTTATACCAGGAGCATTTCCAGTCCTGTCGGGTGGAGCCGCCGGGTTGGTACCTCCAAACAAGACGTATCCGCCATTGGGAGGCCCTCCTATGGCACCGTAGCCAACTGGTGGTCCACCATTATATGCTCCTTGCGCGCCTACAACTGCGGGGCCTCGTCCGCAGGGTTGGTGAGTTGGGGCGGCACAGCGACCGTAGACATTCACGCCATTTTTGAGGCAAGGTAATTCTCTTCTTGCTGCCGTTGTTACGAAACCACCGTTGTATCCGCATTTCCCTGGTCCCCAATTTGCTGGTGCAGCGAAGAACGCGCCACCTAGTATCGCTGCTGGCACAACATCCTGAGGGAGCACAACAGCCATGATGCAAGTATAATCTGTATATAAATATTGAAAATTGAAATCCAAGAATGCTAGAATATCGATCTTACCAATAATGGGCAAGTAGAGTATTTATAGAGGGCTCGCTTATCACGAGAATGATTGGTTCTTTATCCAGAAGCTATAAAGCCCTGATCGAATACTCCTGCTTTCAAAGGATGCAATTTAGAAAATTCCGCAAACGGCTCAATTCGAAAACACATGCGGAAATCAATGAAATTCAGTACAAGAAGCACAAAGCGAAATACAAGTTGTCTATTGAATATTACGTCAGGGTAGAATACATTTCAGCGAGGAGCAAAAATTAGAGAAGTCCGGTGTTGATGGAGCGAATTCAACGAGACTATATCAAGTTCTAACAGAAGGAGAAGGATTTTGCGTTCAACAAAAGTATTCAACAGCGAGTCTAGATGTGAGAGCATAGATTGACCGTAGACTAAGTGGCATTCCAAATTGAAACGAAGAGAAAATACTTAAGTATAAGCGCAAACGAAAATCACAGTGCTAAGTTTGTTTCTCTGACTGGTGTTGAGTTTTTGCACGTCCTTCGAAGTGTCAGATTGAAACCCATTTCATTTGCCCAGGCAAAGATTTTTCACTTGGTCTTGGCGTTGGTGGTTGAGAGCAACTTGCTTCAAGTCATTTCGCCACTCTAACCACCCCCTCAACGGCAGAACTCTCTGCCCGAACTTCTGACGAAGAGAGAAGCCACAGCCATTTACACAGAGTCGAAAAGTCCGAGGTGCAGACTCCACATTACAGTCTCAACTACGGCCCGTATGTGCCCTTGACCTATCAAGCCTCATCGAAAGCCGCGTTTGCTAACCGATCCGCATCCTGATTCAACTCTCTCTTGACGTGCCAGAACCAGACAGGGATACCATATGCTTCGAACTCCCCCATCAATCCATCAAGCTCCTCCCAGATTTCCCGATTGGCGACTGGCTGACCCTTTGAGTTACGGAATCCATTTGTCTTCCACTTCCAGATATACTCGGAGATGCCGTTGACCAGATATGCCGAATCTGTGATAACCAGAAGTTTACAGACATTTTCATCGTGCTTTTCACCGTCCGGGGAAGCGCGTAGCCTTTGACCTCTTCAAGCACCGATAGCGCGGCCACTAACTCAGCAACCTGATTCGTTTGAGGCAGAGACGGGCGAAGAAGTTCGTAATAGTTCTTCGATGCGCCAGGCCCAAAGAATACTCCAATCGAGCCTCGAGCGCCGCGTCTACCATTATCCCTACAAGCACCATCGATGGAGACCACCACAGATTGGCCATCGACTTCTTTAAGGCACCGTTCTGGACAGGGCGAGATCTTGATTTTATTATCACCGCAACCTGGACATGCCGCGATGACATCGGAAATGCGATCGTTGTACAGCTGGTGCCAGGAGGGATCGAATGCACGGATGGGGTGTGGAAGATTTGTAGGAAGTCTTTCGTTCTTGAAGTGGCAATGGTCATTCTTCTTCCCGGCGACTCTCTTTCTCAGAAGCTGCGAAGTCCACATCGTTTGGTGCTTGGGTAGTAGAAATTGTAGTAGGTACCTAGATATATTAGTCAGTTGGTTTCATGAAAGGGCTGCAACGTCAAAGCGGAGAGCAAAGAGCGAAAACCATTGAGGTTTCGTCAAATATACGTGTTTGCAAACATGCGATCAGGAATCTCACTTGAGCTTTATCGAAGACATCGCAGCATGCAGTGGAACTTTCCTCTCTGATGGAAAAGATTGACAAGAGAGCGTCTGTTTGCCAAGACGAAGTAAGAGTTCCCCGTTTGCATTGCGACAACTCTGTGTACTCACCAGATGGAAATGAAAGTCGAACTGCGTTGCGGGATAAAATCCACGCAAGTGAAACCTAGTCTTGATTGCACTGAAAGAGAAAATGATTGAATATGTTTTCGTGGCTTCGGGGTTGTGAGTGACAAGGAAGGTGCGATATAAATTGCACCTTTCCAAGACGGTAAACGACATTTGCCCGACATCGCACTAGTACGATTAAGTCCTTATCCCATATCGGGATCTTGACCTCGAGAAGATCGGAGCTGTATTGTGAACGGAAAGTTGAGAGTTACAAACCAGCTGTGCAAACACTAACCGTGTCATGCTTGTGAAATGAAAAGCTTTGATATCAAAGCCATGTCAGTATCAGGCTCGAACTAGCGACAACCAGAGGATTTTGACAAAGAATCTGCGTTTGTTGTACTCTAAAAAGCTCCCATTGTTGTGAAAATCATGGACATTGGCAGAATCATTACACAAGAATTGTTCATTCTTCTCAACTGCAGTCAATGTCCGACCAGTGCTCCGGAACTTTCCAGACGTATTTTGTAAGAGACAAATGGAATAAAAGCTTGCTGCCGATAACTGTTAGAGTCATAACTTAATTCCATGCTGTCCTAGTTGCCCAGGTGTGTTTGATATATCTGGGTGTAGGGTGACATTCGGAATTCTTCGTCTGAATGTCATATCGAGCAACGAAATGGAATAAACCCGGATAAGCATCACTCTCTTCTCCATCTGTCGAGCAATAGTGATTTAAGTGAAAATACTGACAACGATGACGGTGAAAAAGGAGATACTCGAGGATAGTTCACATGACCGGGGACCCCAGGTCTCATGCCCAATCCAGTAAGGCGTGATTAGTGGCTGGAAAATTCCCACTAGAAATCCACCCCGCATCTTCGGATTTCGAAGGGCACAGCAGACCCTCAGATCCCTACATACTCTTCCTTGTACATGAAGTCAATGCTGCCCATGGATAAACTCAATATGACTATGAATATCCTCGAAAACCAAGTCACCGACCTCACATACCTCACCGACTCACCCATCTCCCCTGTCGCATTGAACGCCGCCATGAACGGGCAACGGCAGTCTTCGAGTGCGGAAAGTCCTGCGGAAACCGGAGCTGGGAGCGGAAAGAAGAGGAAGAACGACGACTCGAGCACGAATGCGAATGGAACCACACATACCAGAGCCAAGAGGAATAGATACATCTCAATTGCTTGGTGAGTGCTACTGTGCAGCTTCATTTGGGGCATCGCTCTCAATGCCGTGCATCGCCGTTACATTGTTCACTGCTAACTTGAGCTTCACAGTAACGAATGCAAGCGGCGCAAGATTAAATGCAATGGAAACACGCCCTGCCAACGATGCGGCAACCTCAATCTCGAATGCCAGTATGCGCCAAACTGCTGCACAAATGGCTTCAAGGAATCCGAAGAATTCCGTCAGATGGATCAACACCTAGCCTCGTTGCAGGAACAAGTCGACAGTTTATATGCCAATCTCAATGCTCTGCGGGCTGGAGGAGACAATATCTCCTACGTGCCGCCTTCAGAGAGGTCGATGTCGGTATCTCAACCGCCTCCAATCTCTCCGATGAATCGATACAGGCCTCCGCCGAAGCATCCATCCTTCCGAGGCCCAACGAGCTCAGCATTCAGTCTGGATGTGGCTAAGAATACACTGCATAATATGGGATACCAAGGCTTGAGCGTGGATGAGGGCATGAATACTCAAGATGCCACTCCAATTGGTTCTCCACCAGCCATTCCACCACCTCCTTTGACCTCGGCTGGAGGCCCAAGCAGAGACCCAATCTGGGCATTGAGCAAGGAAGAAATGATACGTCTATGCAGAGTATATGAAGAAGAAATGGGACTCATGTACCCGGTAATCAACATTGACCAACTCATCATCCATGGCTCGAATCTATATGAGTTCATAGATGCAGCTTTGCGAACTGGCCTTGCCGATCCATCTTCGCCAAAAGGAGTCCACGACGAGCAATCTCTCGTACTGAAAATGGTCCTTGCCATCGCCAATGTGGTGGAAGGAAATGGCCGAAGTGAAATTGGGTACAGGTTATTTGAAAGTGTACGGGAAGCAGCGGACAGGACGCTGCATAGCGAGGCGATTGAGGTCAAAAGCTTGCCGTTCTTGGTCCTTGTGGTGAGTTCGATTGTTTTTCTTGGATGTGCAGTTGTGTTTAGGTGCTTGTATGCGAATCTTTTTATGTCTTGCGGGGGTGTGTGTGTAAAGCCTTCGCGGACGTGGCTGTGCCATTGGAATATAACAGCAAGATGCTGCGACCCAATCACTATGTGGAAGTATCGTGTGATTCATCTTGCATTGTTTGAATTTTTTATGCTTCACTTTGAATTGAGTTACGTGATGTCTTCAGATCTGCCCTCTCGGGTTCTTTACGAGGGTCTCAGACTTTGATTAGTAGCCATCACTAAAACAATGTCATTTTGATATGCTGCGCTAAGCACCCAGCACACATACTTGCAGTGCCCAATGCTCAATTGAAGATACACTCGATACTATTAGATGTAGTAATGAGCCTCCTTCTCTGCTGGCATGCTTTCCCGCCTATTAGCGGTGTATACTCGGCTTTTTTGCCTGCCTCGAGATATTGGCCGCGCTTCAGTATGGAGCAAAATCTCTGCATAAGAGATCTGAAGAGTTCAAGGAGTCAAAAATTAAAAAGTGCGGCCCTAGATACAAGATTGTTGAAGCATTCCTGAATCTAGGGCCGGATTAATCTACCAGGACTCGAACCTAGAGTTACCGTTCTGCTTTTTGAATAGCAGGGGTCGTGTTACCATTACACCATAGGACCTTATGTTGAAGAAATGATTAGTTGATATTATACAATTATCTCCCTCCTTGAACCAGATTTGGACGTCTGAAGGACAAAGTGCTCTGCTATGCACTTCTCACTGCTCTCTTGACCCTTCTGACTCTAGGCTCAACAACTATGGGAAAAGGAAAATGATCTCGGGTTGTTGATTTTGTCACTTCTCTATCGAATGAGCAAGCTCTGACCGCTGATTCCTGACGCTTACAACTTGTGCTTATTTCTACTTTTAAAGTCATATTGCCTTGTTTGCCACTGTCTTGATTTGGACGCACAAGCTTTCACCTCCCGCACCATTAGCCAAATAAGGAAGAACACACACAATGCGCGCGTAGAATGTTGGTATCGGGCATTTGATAGGCCTTGCACAATAGTCAGTTCTTCGAGTGTGCTAGAGCTAGTAACTGCTTTTGACAGAGAGAAGTTTGTCTCTTGGCTTGCCCAATGTTAAATTTTCTGAATGTCCCAGAATCTGTGACAACCTTTGACAGAGATGAGTGTGATTCATAGGACAGACAATGAACTTTTTCTTTGCTAAAAAAAAGAAAAGAAAGAGATAAAAAAGTGCGGCCACAGTTTCAGAAGAAGCTCTTCTGAATCTGTGGCCGGATTGGCCTCTCTAGGGTTCGAACCTAGCTTTCCTCGGAATTGTTGTTAAACGTCAACGAGACGTGATTGCCACTACACCAAGAAGCCCGAATTGTATTGTGGCAGAAAAACGCTTATTTAATTTCATGTGCACCTACCCATTTCAGGATTGGACGTCGGCGAGCTAATTGCTATGCCAATGCATCATACTATCTGCATCGACCCATGCCCCATGTTTTGGCATATCCTTGAAATGTGCTCATTATGCCCCTCACGCATTTATGTATAACTTGTTTATTTGAAAGGATTGCACATATTTTTGTTCATGACATCGCATCCAGCTACTAACGCGATTCACAGGCTATCTACCACTTCCATTGCGATGAAGAAGCATTGGCATGGCGCATTATTGGACAGGTGGCTCGAATGTGCATTGAACTCGGCCTTCATCGACGTGACTCCCTCTTCAAAGTGGTCACCGACGAAGAAGAACGTTCATGTGTGATTAAGTTGTTCTGGTCTATCTACGTGCTCGATCGGAGATGGAGCTTTGGAACAGGCATGCCGTTTGCATTGCAGGACTCTGATATTGATCCCAGTCTTCCGGAACCTGTGAGTTTCGGCAGCTTCCATGCCCTCCTCCTCTGCTAATATCACCAGGAACTATCAATACCGTATCTCAATGCGATGATAGCTTACTCTCGCATCGGTTCGAAAGTCTGGAAGTCCGTCTGCTCCTTCTCTCCAAATCCCTCCCCGACCTTGAATATTGAAGACATCGGATACCTCGATTACCAAATCCTCCAATGGCAAAAGTCCATCCCCACTGAGCTACAACTCCCTACGGCGTCTGCTCCGCCTGAATCATCTCGAGCTATCCATCGTCTCCAAATTCTTCTCTACCTTCGAGCGAACCAGATGCGAATCCTAATTTACCGCCCCGTCCTCCATTCCGCATCCTCCATCCAAGAAAACCCCAACTTTGCAACCACAGTAGTCGAACTTGCCAAAGATACAATTCGAGCACTCACACACCTCAATCAAACATCAGACATCTACCGTGCTCAGCAAGTCTGCTTCAATTACTTCCTCATCTCTGCCCTAGCGGTAATCTTCCTCGCCTCCTGCCATGCCCCAGTCCACTTCAGCGCCCTCTGCAGAGACGAATTCTACATGGCCCTCGACCTCGTGAAAGGCTTCTCCACTAAATCCTTCGTCTCGAAACGGTTGTGGAAAACTATCAAAGGTCTAAAAGAGGTGGGCCCAAAATTAGGTCTCAGTCCTGATGTCCACACAGCAACACATCCTCAACTCAGCGCCGAGGATCCGCATTCCAATGCTGCACTGGCAATGGCGGGTTTGGCGGGACACGAGATTAGTGGGATGGGAATCGGTGCCAGTGGAGGATATGTGGGTGCGGGAGCGGGAGAGGGCAGTCCGATGAATGGATTCCAGATGAGTTGTGAGATGACGAGTCTTTTTGAGGCGGCGTTGGGGAGTGTGGGGATGAATGGTAATGCGAATGGAGCTGGGTCAGGAAATGGATATGTGCCGATTCAGGATGGGGATGCGTTGGCGGGGGTGGGGAGTAATGTTTTTGGTGGGGACGAGGAGCTTTATAGACAGTTGAGGGATTTGTTCTAGGGTGGGATGTATTGCTATGATTCGAAGAAGGAGAGGATGGGAAGCTGGAAGGAATGTAGCTTTGGGCTTGTGGTATATTTGCTGGGATAGATAATGAATAGTGTGTACTTGCAAGTATCGTTCTTGTGCTGAATGTACATCTTTACAATGGAAGTGTCTCTAGAGAGCAAGCTAGTCTTTTGGAAGTACGAGATCGCTTAGGAAGCATCAGAAAGTGGAGCAGACCTTGTTCACTGACACTGTAGTCTCTCAGTCAACACTCGTCATGTTTTCAAGTACTTTTATTTCTATTTACCCCCTAATCAAACTGTATCGCACTCTCAATAGTCCCACTACACTCTCCAAACCCAACCAGCGCGCCCTCCTCCCCACCACACGTCCCCCGAATCGTAATCGTATCCCCATCCTTCAAAAACTTCCGCACATCCATCCCCGACAGCATAATCTCCCTCTTCCCCTGCTGATTCATCTCAATCATACTTCCAAACTCACTCCCATCCTCCTTCGTCCCGCTAATCGTCCCGCTCCCCAGCAGATCCCCAACCCGCATGTTACACCCACCCACACTATGATGCGCCACCATCTGCGGAAAACTCCACAGTAAATTCTTCCCCGACACTCGACTAATGGTAGTCGTCCCTCCATCGGGCGTCGTGAGCTCAACTTCCAGCCCAATATCATACACGGTATCCTCCCTCCCCTCTCTTAAATACTTCGCGACCTCCCCCTCCTTCTCATTCCTCAATTTCTCCGCCCGGAACGGCTCCAAAGCCTCAGGCAGCACAACCCACGCACTAACTGTGGTTGCGAAACTCTTCGCGGTAAAAGGCCCCAAAGGCACATACTCAAACCGCTGGATATCCCGCGCCGACCAATCGTTCATGAGCACGTACCCGAATATATACTCCTCCGCGTCTCTAATCCGGACGGGCTGGCCCAGCGGGTTGGATTTGCACAGGAAACACGCGAGCTCGAGCTCGATGTCCAGGAAGCGGCACGGCGCGAAGGTTGGAGAGGAGGGTTGGCTGGGGTCGAGCAGGATCTGGCCGTGTGGGCGCGTAATGGGGGTTCCGGTGACGACGACGGACGAGGCGCGGCCGTGGTAGCCGACGGGGAGGTGGTTGTAGTTTGGCTGGAGGGCGTTTTTGGGGTCGCGGAACATGGAGCTGGAAGATGATATTTATTAGCTTTCAGGTTGTTCGAAGGAAGAAAGGAAGGGAGCAAGGGAGGGGGAATTCGTACCCGAGATTCACGGCATGATTCCTGCCGGCGAAGAAATCGGAGTAATCCCCTATCTGCATCGGGAGATGGGTCTTGGTATCTTGTTTTGGCAGCAGAGCATTCTTGCGCAGCTCTTCGTTGTCTTTTAATATCCCAGGGTAGGGGGTGTTGTCCGCGAATACATCTTGGATGTACTTGCGTACTTCTCGATGTACGGGCCTCCCGAGAGCGGCGAAGTCGTTGAGGGTCGGTTGTTCGAAGACGGAGAGGTGTGGAGCTAGGGAGGGGAGCTTGGAGAAGCCGTTGCCGCGGGAGAATGCCAGGAGGTCGAGGACGTGGTCGCCGATTGCGGTGGCGGGGCGGTGTTGCGTCTGCGAGTTTCGGGAAGTGATGATGCCGAAGGGGATGTTGGCCAGGGAAAAGTCGCTCTTGGGTGGGATTGGGAGCCAGGATTTGAGGGGTGACATGGTGACTATGGAGGATTGGAAGAGTGGACGGAAAAATTGAAGGGGAGACCAGCTTGTTGCTATGTTGAATTGCTTCTTAAAGACGAGAGTCAAAGAAGTCACAGTACTTGTGTGTCTGGATGTTGATCTTGACACAAGCATTGAGGTTGAAATGTTCAGAGATGAAGCGTAGTTGTTGTCCCCCCACGGTGGGATGAAGCCGTGGCGGGGCGGGGCAGCGGCGTCAATTCCGCGCTCGGGGTCTCGGCTTCGAGTGCCGTAACCTTATTTCTGCCGGTCGACGTCTCTTCTCTCCTCTTTTTATGCAGATCTATTATGGAGACTCATTGCTACCCCACGGGGAATGATGAGATGCAGCGGAAAAGATCCGTCGTTTTGGGATTTCCGGCAGTGGGAGTGGAGCACAGGAGCTATTGGTGAGCATGGAGAGAGCGGTGATGCTTGCTGGCTGGACTGCAGGTCAGGAGGGGCCAGCATCGTGACAACAGCTTTTACCTCAGCTTAGTCGGATACATACATACAAACTTTCATTTGCACTTTTATATCTATCTCATCTTCTCCTCTTCTTCACTGACTGTAGGAGTCCGTGTCGTTGTCCAATTCTCTCAGTCATGTCTTTCACAACTAGTGGAATCGCGGTAATCGCGCTCATTTACTTCCTCATTAAGTATCTGAACAGAACAGACACTCCCAAAATCAAGAACATCCCCGAAATACCCGGATGGCCATTGTTTGGAAGTTTGCTTGAGTTTGGAGCAAGTCACGCAAAGGTAGCAGGAAGACTGGCAGAGAAGTACGGTCCAGTATTCCAAGTACGATTGGGAAATAGAGTTGGTATCCTTACCTATTTGCTATTGCTGCTCATCTCAGCTGACATCCGTAGCGTATTATCTTTGCAAACACTTTCGATTCTGTCAGACATCTTTGGATCACCAATCAATCTGCCCTGATATCGCGGCCGACGCTGCATACGTTCCATACCGTGGTGTCGAGCTCACAGGGCTTCACGATTGGTACTTCGCCATGGGATGAATCGTGCAAGCAGCGAAGGAAGGCGGCAGCTACTGCTTTGAATCGGCCAGCTGTCCAGACTTACATGCCAATCATTGACCTGGAATCGAATGTCTCCATTAAAGAACTTCTCGAAGACAGCGGCAACGGGAAGAAGGACATTGATCCGATTGCCTATTTTCAACGATTTGCTCTGAACACTTCTCTGACGCTTAATTATGGGCATCGAATTGATGGAAGGATCGACGATGAGTTGTTGACTGAGATTTGCGATGTTGAGAGAGCGATCAGCAATTTCAGATCTACGAGCAATAATTGGCAGGATTATATCCCGCTGATGAGGCTCTTGCCGAAGTCTAGTGATGATGCGGTAGAATGGAGAGAAAGGAGAGACAAGTACATGACTTTCCTGCTGAACAGATTAAAGAAGCAGATTGAGGAGGGGTCGGATAAACCTTGCATTACGGGGAATATTCTGAAAGATCCGGAAGCCAAGTTGAACGAGAGTGAGTTACCCCATCCGCTGTGAACTGATTTCAACTGACATGTCAAGATGAAATCAAATCCATCTGCCTCACCATGGTCTCAGCCGGTCTCGACACCGTCCCCGGAAACCTCATCATGGGCCTCGCCTACCTCTCCTCCGAACACGGCCAAGAAATCCAAGCCCGAGCCTACGAAGAAATCATGAAAGTCTACCCCAACGGCGACGCATGGGAGCGCTGCCTCGTCGAAGAAAAAGTCCCCTATGTAACCGCCTTCGTGCGAGAAGTACTGCGATTCTTCACCGTTATCCCGATCTGCTTGCCACGGACAAGTATCAAAGATATCAAATACGAAGAAGCCGTCATTCCTGCCGGAACTACTTTCTACATGGTAAGTTCTCCTTCTCTTCTCCAGTATAGAGACACGTGCTAATTCCGTACACAGAACGCATGGGCAGCAGACTTCGACCCAACGCACTTCAAAGACCCGCAAACCTTCTCCATAGACCGCTACCTCGACAACCTCGAAGGCACAGGCGGCACCCCGCACTTCGCCTACGGCGCCGGCTCGCGCATGTGCGCGGGCTCGCACCTCGCGAATCGTGAGCTCTATACGGCGTTTATCAGAATCATCACGGCGTTTCATATTGATCCGCCGAGGGAGAAGAGGGATCGTCCGATTCTGGATGCGTTGGAGTGTAATGAGATTCCGACCAGTTTGACGACGGCGCCGAGGCCGTTTAAGTGTGGGTTCCGGGCGAGGGATTTGGGGAAGTTGGAGGGGTGGATGGCGGAGAGTGAGGAGAGGACGAGGGGGGTTTGAAAAAGGGGGTGAGGGGAGAGGAGGTTGGGAGGAAGAGGTGGTTTGAGTGAAAAGTCTTTGGATAAGATGATGTATCTGGAAAATCAAGATTCTTTTGTACAATTTTTTGCTGTCCGTTTTTCATCGTCTTGTTGCCATTAGAGTCCCATTTCGAGATCAAGTGTATGTATCCACTACACAGCTACGAACTCGCAATGTCCTCCAAATTCTAAACCAAGGATAGATCATCCATTCAAGACTTATCTACTTACGTAGTGATGATCAAGTAAAATATAAGAAAAGGAGTTCAACCACCGCAGAGAATACTCTCACCCCAATAACTTCGCAGCGGAGTAGCCTTAATGTTTGCTTTCTGATAGTTGCTCTTTCAATGCTCTTTAGTTCATGCTGTTCATAAAACTAATTAACCGGAGCCCTGCTGTTGATGGATGGGAATTTGCGCGGGGTGATGGAGGTTGATTTTCTGGCCGAGCAGAAAGGGGGTATTGCTTGGACTTGGATTAGCCTTTCAACTGGTACTGGTGATTTGGGGATTTTGGGGGATGAGTTTACGTTACGATACCATGATTTTGGGCATGTGAGATGAGATTTCAATGATAGTTTGCAGAATTGTCTGCTATGTGATGTGTTCATATCGTTCTTAAGTGCAGAGTCGAAGATATGAGTATTTACAAGTGCCGTTTTCCTTTACAAGTAGAGCAGTGCTATGCTTACTAGCTCTTGCGGGCTTGGCAGAGTGTTTGTTCACTGCTGCCCTTCTTGGATTTTGCGTATCCTGCCACTTTCCTGAGTCGATCTTGTTCCGACATTCCTCTTCCTCTTGGTAAGAGAGCGCTCTGGCAGAGCAGGAATGCAGTTGTCATGGTAATTAGAACGCGAGGGGACAGGTTAAGCTTTACCATCCCACTATAACGTCAGACGACTATAGTACTGAGCTGTTAGGATCGGTACAGCTTAACACGATATATGTAGAGACCTACTGGACAACACAAGACCTTAACCTATGATAGAGGGTATAAGGTAAGGCTAGGCGGTCGCGAGGTCGAGATCAAGGATTGCCTTGAATATATGGTATCGAAATCTTGTTTTTGAAAGTTCATTACTGTATGTTTCACCTGAAATCGTCGTGTCAAAATCTTTTACACTAATTCCAAATTTCCTATTTCGGCTTTGCATTGCTTTCTGGGGCTCTGAATATGGAGCATCGATCTCTTGTTTTTAAGTCTTTGGCTTTAGAGCCACTTCGCCGCTCTTATGTTAGCAGCATATCCTTTCATGTAAAGATACTTTGTTCGACCAAAGCTCTCGGCTGTATTGGTGTTATAAAAGTTTAAGAAAGTCGTCGAGCGTATATATCTTCTGAGCTTCGTTCTTGGTCGAGTTTCTAGAAGATAATAGCGATTAGCTGTAATATTATTACGTGTGGAGCTGCTCTACGAAGCAGCAAAATAAAAGTGTTGTATGGAGGATAAATGGTCAAGCCGGAAATAGTAGTCCCAGTCTAATCTTTCCGGCCATATATCTACTGTGGGAAAGCGAGTTCCTTAAAGTACGGGGGAAATTTAGGATACAAAGGGCATAGGTATGATAATATGATAATATGAAGTATTTGAAGTGCAAAAAAATAAATTGAATTGCTATGATTTCACCACTTGCATCCTCTCTAAGCTCCCTCTCCCACCTCTTATACCCAATAAAATAGCTCCTTTCATACATTCAGTACGCTGGCACTATGAATGCACCTGCTCTTCATCCACTTTCTGAATGCCTTCTCTGAATGCACCGGCTGCCTGCACGGGCTTTTTGACTATTGCACCGGCTCTCTGAATACACTAGCCTTTAAGTATAGCAAGAGTGATAGAGAATGAAGAAGCAGAACCTTATAATTTTCAAGGGTTAAGCTACTTTAGCCTAATGAGGGAGCGCTTGAGTACTCCGGTTTCAAAGAAATAAAGGTATTCACACACTACCCGAGCACTCTTGCACCTTGCTTTACCCATAAGCGTGTTGAATAAAGTTTAAACAATTCTATTTTTTATCTACTTAAGTAAAAGACTTCTTTTTTAATAAAAATTTGTTCTTTTTGTATCACTTCTGCGTATATACAGTAGCTATACTATACTATAAGTTAGTACATTTATATAGTCGGTACATTTAAAGAATACATGAAGAGCAAGTGCATCCAGAGAATATATTAAGGGCAAGTGCAAGTGCAAGAGTTGGTTAAACCAGTTAAGAGAAAGTGCAAGCGATAATATTATAGTGATTTAAGAATTTTTGCCACTTTAAATTCATTATATTATTATACTATTATGCGTATGCCCTTTATATCCCAAATTCCCCCCATACTAACGACATTCCCCTTTCTCATCACGAATAAAATTTTCCAATATTTAAAAGCGCTTAACATTCGTGAGCACCCTCTTCCCTCTTGATAGCCTAGACTCTACAATAGCGCATATCGACTACTTCAAAAGCCAAAATCAAACTAGAAAGTCAGCATCAATTATTCGTTTCGGTAACTATAGCTTATGTTGATATGCTCTCCACCCTGTCCTTTTTCTTTTTTCTTTGTTGGAAGCGAATGACCCGAGGCGGACTTCATACATATCTTTATCTTAATATTCTATATATGATCAATTTTTAGGCTACTGACCTCTTTGAGTCGCGTTAATTCTTTATTCTTTAGATTATACTTATTTCATGAAGCCCCTCGCTACCTTTCCCTCCAAACATCCCTTGTATATTCTTGATTAAACTCGCATATATACTCAACCATGGCGCTTGTTCCTCCATCGATGGCTACTTTCCCCCTTGCCCAGGCTGCAGCAGCTCCTGGCGAAGCGATGTTCACTGCTCCAAATGCTGCTAGTGTCGCTGCCTATAATGCGCTTGTTGCTGGCGTTGCCCCTCCCTACGTACCCGGTGCTATCTTTCCAGGTCCCGTGTACAGAGCACTCGTAGCGCCAGCACCGAACTTTCTCCCCCCAGATTTCAACGTCGATGCACGCGATGTTATTGATCCACTTACGTTAGGCCCGGTACCTGCAGTGCCACGAGATTATTTAAGGACTTATGGTCGCACTCTTTGGCACTTTTATCGTATTTTGGTTGCTCATGTCAACGATAATTGGGCAGAAAGGGTTGGAGTGCCAGGTGCGTGGGCAAACGGCAACTGGGGAAACAATGGAGCCTTTGGGCAAACGGCAACTGGGGAAACAATGGAGCCTTAGGGCAAACTCCTGTTGCAGGACTCATGCCTTGGAACTTTTACGCTGATCCGATCCAATTCGATGTTCGAGTGGCCAACTGTTGGTTCGATCCAGCACTTCCGACACGTGGCCTGGCAAGATTGGCGGCTTTATATCCTGTCGCTGTTTTCCGAGATATGAGATGTGTGTTATTCCCATTTAGTACCCTTGTTGCTGGCGTTCGACTCGAGCTCTTGATCATTGTATCTCCATTCGCAAAGACTATCGATTTGTTGAAGACTGATCCATTGGTTGAGCCTCCACCTTCAGCAGCCTCGGCGGCAGCGGACGCGATGGGACATATCATGCGTTTAGTGGCTCTTCATCTGGGCGATGAGTTTGACCCAAGGGACTGGAAGATGAGAGATAGGGGATCATCGCTGAAGTAAGTAAGGGCTATCTTTGATAACTCGATTCTAATAATACTAGTACACTGGGAACATTTACCGACCATCAGATGATATTGGCCGCAGATGCAATGGCTTTACTCTTCGGATATGACATTAGCTTCTTGGGATTGTCTCCGGCACCAGCAAGATTTCCACCTTTGCCTATCCCGCTACCAATGCTTGATGCCTTTCGAGCTCGATTTACACACATCATTGCAACAGGAAGTCTACCTCTACCGGCACCTATTGCGAACGATTACGCTTTCCGCTTGGTCCCTCGAAAGAAAAATCAAATGAGAAGAGCTCTTGCCTAGGGATTCAAGAAGTTAAGTGTACCGAAAGTTGTTAATCACTTGTCATGGCGAGCCCGAGCACGTTGGTATGCAGATATTCGAATGAAAAACATGAGAACCAAAACGGCACTATATACGATCACACAAACCGCACATGCTCACGGTCAGATGTATCGTGGAACCCAGTCTTTTGGTAAACTTGGAACAACAACATTCTTGCAGCTCAAACATGACATCGAAGACCGAAACCTACGCAGAATGATCGCTTTAGCTGGTCCTTTGGGCACCCCTGGACTGAAGCCTTGGACGGAGCCGTGATGATTCGAGGTGATTTGAAGTCAAGAAGCTGTCGGACAAGATTTCTTTTAAACGCTTTTAATATTATCACTTTCATATAACTCCATCGCTGTGCTCGTCTCCTGACTCCTCCGTGTCAAATTCTCGTTTTGAATTACCTTGGTCGTTCATTTATCATTGCTATTGCCTCTCGCGCCCTCAGCCCATACGAGACTTTGTGTTGGAGATCTATATGCACATCAATATTCCAAGTCATGCTAGAGCTTTTAAGCGTAGTTGCGAACAAAATCAGGGTCTAATCTCTTGCCATTCAAATTTTGCTATTGATTCTATGAGCTGTTCACCGCCAGTCCTCGATATAAAGCCAGAAAATGATCAAAAAATCAACTGTATATCCTTGTGAAATTCTCAATCAACTACTCATCTCGAAAATACTATCATAGCTTTCTTACTTCCCCCATTGTACTCCATTGCTGCCTGAATATCCTCTGGCTCAAATGCCTTACCTATAGATGTCTTGAAGACGAAATCTTCTATGCAGCTCTCCAGATCTTTCAGCATTTCCCCCAGCTTCTCCTGTACTGTCACGGTGTTGAAATTGCTAAACCTCTTCATCGTGATATCCTTCATCATAAAAACAGCAGATTGAAATTCCACCTTCTCCTGTCCAGACAAGAATCCGTAAAAGAAGATACTCGATCGAGGCGGCAATGCTCCAAGTATCCTGCCAATAAGCGTACCACCAACACCATCAAACACCGCAGTTGTGCCAAGCTCTTGTGCCTTTTGTTCGAGATCACGCATAAAATCCGGATGACTGCTGTTGAAAACATGCTCCACCTCCACTTCCCTCTTCAACGCTTCTTTCGCTTCTTCACTGCGAACAATAGCCAGAAAAGGGATTCCACGTCCTCGAGCAAGAACTGCCAATGCCCTTCCAGTAGCCGAGCTTCCAGCTGTGACTATGATACCTCGATGTCCTTCTGCCACAACCTGTTCGATGAACGCATAAGCAGTCACAACGTTCACAAGCGACCCGCTATAATCTTTCGCATCGACATTATCTGGAAGCAACAGACACGTCTGGTACGGCATCTGGACCGTCTCACACCAGAGACCGAGAACTGCGTCGTTCGGCTTTAGACCACGGTAAATGGCTACTTTGCGGCCGAGATAGTTGGACGGAATATCGGGTCCGAGTTCCTCGACGGTGCCAGATGCTGAAGCTCCCCAGACGTCTGATAGGCGTGCGCCGGAGGCTAATGCTGCTAGTGCCGAAGGAGGACGTTTCAAGAACGTTTTGTCGCCGTGGTTTATGGATGCGGCGGCGATGCGGACGTTGATGTAACCGGATGGTGGAGCTGAGGGAGAAGGGATATCTCGAAGCTCGAGGTTGCGGCTTTCGGTAACGCAGATGGCTTTCATTTTGTGTCCGATGGATGGAGTATTTTGGTTGAAAATTAGAAGATGTATCAATCTAAGCATAGAAGAATGGAAATTTGGGGTCTATATATGCAACTCTCCAGTTCTCAACTGCCCCTGGAATGCGTTGTCGGAAGTTAGTATTTGACGAGCATCTTTGAATTCTCCGACCAATCAAACCAAGCGACTAAGAAAGAACTCACTCAAAAACTTATGAGATGTGCCTTTACGTACCTCGCGCTTCGGATTCTGTTAAAACCGCGGGTTTTATGTTCGCTGTTCTTGCTCTGATACGTTAAGCGAAGTGATATTTCCGAATCCGGTAATTTTTATAAGCCGCAACTCCGTCTTTGGCTTCTGAGATGAAAACATGTGGAACGAGGCGGTGGCTGGCTTCACTTGTTGGACACGAGAGGCTTAGTGAATGATAGATATGTGCATGTCACTTTTGTCAGAGCATCGCCATTAAAGGCAGTTCAACGAGCCATCCAGAAGCTCAAGACAAATTTCCCTCTCATAAGGAGCCATTGATGCTTCATGCCCGAAACTAGAATAGTAGGAGGGGACGCGACGAAGGGACCGCTATTGCAGTACAGTCTTTTTTTATTTTGTTTTTTTTCCACCAAATCTTTTTCCCTACCAAACAAACGGCACGTGATAGTCACAAAGCCATTATTCAAAGCTCTCGAAGCTATCAAAAGTATCAAAGTAATCTTTGGTTTTGGGCAATAGGGACGCAGTACCCCTTGTTCTGAGATGTTTATAGTGCAGAGTTTGTGACCACAACGCTAAGTGGCCGTGCAACAGACTTTGTATTTTCTTTGCGCGTAATAGGAGGTAGTTCCTGATATGAAGTCCACCAAGGCTCTAGATAGGCAAATTCCACCCTTGCGGTCAACCGCCAAGCCTACCTATGTGAGGAAAACTCCATTATAATGAATATGTCAGAACTTGAAATTTCACTTTTGTTGGTGCCACAAGTGGTCAAATATAGTATTTGCGTGATTGGGTTAGGTAGCGAGGTGAAGTGAAAGGCTTTCTCAAAAGTACAGCCTTGCATATGTATTGAGGTTATGCCTGCAGCACTGCAGGCGAGGAGAAAGCGTCGTGTTTTCCATCAAAGAGTCATGTTTTCAGACATACTCAAAATTATTGTTTCGGAGTGTTTCAGGAGGCTCAACTCGAGTTTTGTTGGAGAATCTACCTAAATCAAGCTACCCGAAACCTACGAGTTGTACCTTACCGAGAAATTACTACGCCATTATCACATAGCCTCGCTGCTCCAGATCATGGCAGAGATACTGGGCCTAGTTTCCAGTGGACTCAGTGTAGCTTCGATCGCAATCCAAATCAGCGACAGTGTACTCAAGCTGAAAGAGTTCTGGTCCTCTGTCAAGGATGCTCCAGAAGACATCAAGTATCTCGTCGATGAGATTGACACGCTCGGCTTGATTCTTACCGACATCGGAAATAATGAAAGGCGACGTGATTCATCACTGGTCGGGTTTGCATCAGCGAGGAAGTGTCTCGCGTTATGCCAGAAGGGTTCCCGTATCTTGGAAGAAGTTGCCAATGATCTCGAAGACAAGATTGGGAACAAGAGAAGAGTAGGCGCGTTTAGGGCTGCGTTGAAAATAGGGATGGTCGAGAAGTTGAGGGATAGGTTGAAGAATGCGCAATTCATGTTGATGCTTTCGAATCAAACTTATTACCAGTAAGATTGCCCTGACTTATGCTCCCCTCACTGGACTATCTAAATAATAGCTCCAGAGCTCTTCAAAGAGAACGTCATGACATCCAAAGAAACCTACTAGAGGCGCATCAAGAAGCCCTTCTGGAAATCAAGGTTGCGACTTCCCGAACAAGTGGGATTATTTCAGCAATACAAGAGCAGCGATCATTGGCCATAGCGGCAACACACTCAAGATTACGCTCGTCACGAATCGGAGACGACTTATCAAGACAAAAATCTGTACACATCAAGAGCCATGAAGTCAAAAGACGCTTGCATGCCATATCATCTGCTAAAAAGCGACATGAAGAGTTCAGAGCTCGGATTAAATTACCTTCGTGGCTCTGATTGTCCAACATTCTCGACGTCTGCTTTTGCAAAGGAATCCCTGGCTGGAAGTTCTCGATGACGGCTTACCGTGTCGTATCATTTGATTCAGAATTATCTCAATGTCTTATGAGCGGGGACATTAAATGTTTGCAGACACTGTTCCAGGAAAAGAAAGCTTCTCCTTTCGATCGCGTTGAGTCCAAGTGGGATAGTAGTGATTCCCGGACAACCCTTGAGGTATAAAATATCCGATCGAATTCACAAGTGCAGAAACAATTTTTAAAACCAATTTAGGTAGCAGCGGATTATTACCAATTGGAAATATGTAGACTTCTTATGCGTGAAGGAGGTAGGTCCAATGATGCTGGCATACACAGGTGAGTGGGCAAAAAGCAGTTTGGTATCTTCAGTCCTAACATAAATGTAGCGCTTCTCAAGCGGCAATCAGACAAGGTTATTGGGCACAGTCATCTGAATCTTACCTTGAGTTGGTACGTTTGCTTGTGGAAGCCGACGACGAATACGACCCTATAGAACTTCTTTTGGAGTCCAACGATGCCCGGCATACCAATGTATACAGGAGCATTGAGGCATGGCCCATTTTCTTCACACCCGCTTTGCTCTTATGGCTTCTACAACAATCAAGTGTCCGTATACAAGACTTGAGTGTTGAGCAATTCGTAAGCTTTGCCATACGCATTTGCTCACAAAGAGGCCAACGTTATTCTGCGACTTTGGCACGAATTCTGCTTGAAAGAAGAAATGTCATTTCGGATCTGTGCTATGCTAGAACTATTGCTGGCGAAACGATGATTCACAGCCTCGCCGGACAATTGGGATTCTTTATACGAGTTTCATCCCTCGAAGGCTATGACGTAGCCTTGGCAGATCATTGGGATACTAACAGACGGCTATCCAAAGTAGACATTGAGCGAAGCTCCCTGCCTCTACAAGACCTTTTCACACTTGCTCGCGAACTCCTGTCTGCAGGATCTGAATTCAGTTCGCTCGCTTGGGTACATGCGCCTCCACGGCAATTCACGCCTCTGCTTTTCGTTTTTTATGGGTTCTTCGAAGACTTTGAACTATTTTGTCCCCGATTCCCAATGCATCCACTAAATGGAGCTACAATTGCTATCCAAGTGTGGCTACGCCTTCTTCAATCTTTGGGCGTGAGTCTGAATGACTACGGGAGAAGAGAGAAGTCAATTCACGCTTGCTCGAATGTTGGGAAGAAGTGGAAGTTCACGGGAAAGTTATCTATTCGTCATCATCCACATGTCGTGTACAAACTGACTGGTTTTGATTACGGCCCTCAATTATCAGATTGGAGATTCTATATCACAGAAGACATGGGGCATATAGATCGTTATTTCCGCGACTTCTGGGATATGATTGATCATCCGGAGCGAGCCATGCCTGGCGCTTGGATTGAAGAGTTTAATGAGGAAAATGATTAGGATGTAAATCGCCCGAAAGTGTGAATTTGGCGTTGCCCAGCATGGAACAAGCTGTTAGGTTCACCAAACTTTAGGTTTCCAAATCTCTGTGTAGAAATCCAACGGATTCTTTATTGCAAAATGCAAACATCAACGATAAACGTGATAGTAGACCAAAAGTACAAAACAAAATTGCCCTTACCCTCCCACGTCGCAAAATCCAAAATCGACAACTTGAAAACTTACATACCTTCACGTAAAATATCCTCAATCAAGCCAACAGCGTCCTCCGCACAACCGAACGAGAGACTCCAACCGGCTCCCCCATGGCCATATGAGTGTACGATTCGACTCCGCTTCGATGGAAGTCCTTCTTCGATGTCATGTTCCCCAAGCTCTCGCTCAAGTCGTACATTACACTTTCGAAATGGGCGTAGACCTTGAGCCAGGGGGTACTCAAGATCCAAGCGAGCATTTTTAAGACGTGGCAGGAATGTCTCACATCGTTGTCTGATTCTTTGAATGACTGCAGAATCAAGCGTCAGATCAAGGTTGCACTCGTTCGGTTGAGCAATGCCGCCTAAGAGCAAGATGTTCTCATTACGCGGGACAATGAAAACCATCTCGTTAACGGCATTGCCAGCATCATCTGCCGTCAATACCAAGGCATTCGAGACCTTTTCAAAGTCTTTGCCATCATTGATAACTCGAAGGAGAGCTCCTCTGATTGGATAGCACGTGTTGCCTCCTGCAATTTCCGCACCTGCAAGTCCAGTGGCATTGACGATCACATCGGCAGATAATCGAGCTCGAAGATTTTGTTCTTGGGAGAGCAAGCTGCCGTGAATAGTCTCTGTGACCAGCTTCGCACCCTTTCCTTGAACGAGTCCCATCAGCCATTTCATTGCAGTGTCGGTATCAATGACTGGAGCCAAGTGCTCGTAAGCATCGACAACACCGACAGTGGGGTTCAGATCTTGAGTGTGTATAATATCTATGTTGCGTCGAAAGCCCTTTACGCCACTGTTCTGGATCTCGAGCATTTTGACTAGTTGCGAAGGAGTGTCTTCAATCTTCGACGTAAAGTAGAAGGCAGAAGTTCGCATCCTAACTCCCGACGCGGCAGATAGCACAGGATCAGCGGCCATAGCTTCCCAAACCTTGTATGCAATCATGCACCAATGTCTAGAGTGGCTCAAGGATATGATATCTGTGTGTTGGCCACAAGCTGCTGGGGGGAACTCCCACAATGCTCCTGCGATTTGAGACGTGAGCCGTTGCTTTGATGTATAGGTTCCCCATTCCTTGGCGACAATAGTGACCTTGTATCCTCGATCGAGGAGAACCCAGGCAGTGACGAGACCTGTAACGCCACCTCCGATTATGAGAATGTCTGGTGATGAGCCGGTCGGGCTGATGAGAGGCTCAGGACAACCGTTAAGATTGAGTCCGAAGACAATAGGTGTAGTCTGTTTGGTATCCATTTTGTTACTTCCGAAGCAAAGTGTTGTAATCTTGGGATGAGTTTTGATTTGTCTTGATGAAGGATAATGTAAGTCTGAAGTGAAAAAGCAATTCCATTGACGTTTCAACCATTATTTATAGACTAAAGAACTCTGTTCTCTCACGCCACTTCTGGGTATGTGACTGACTTAAGGTAATATTTGTGAGTATAGTGCATGAACTGATGCAGGAGAGTGAATGAAGAAAGGTTGGAAAGCTCTATTGGAATGTCAGATAAATTTCCAACATTGAGAAATGTACCTTCGAATTAAATGTGGTATCACAGTTCCACCACAAGTTAATAATAGAAGAAAATAGAAGAAATCTTTAGAGAAGCACGAAGAGCGTCTTTCCATAATAATGTACTCAGATAGCGGCAGAAAATGCTTGTACAAGTGTACAATGTCTTGACCGACGGCAAGCTTGTGACCCAACCAAGCGGTAGCCGAGACTCTCTGTAACGAGTCAAGAAAATTTGCTATGGGACGAGGTATCAGTTTCTAGCATATACTTTGGCTGTACAGAAGAGAGTGCTAGAGCCCATTGGACCATGGTCAAACCACCAACTTGCCTATTCCAGCTTAAAAAATGTTGTTCGTTCTTAATGTTGGTTTTTGAATCAGCAGGCTTGATTCATTGATCATGAACGACAGAGAATATGGCATCATACGAAGCTCTTCCATTCCACGTACGATCATTGCCATTTCTGAAAAGTTACCAACAATTCTTGTTCACTTCGAAAATGTAGAGATGCTCCAATGCAAGACAAATACATGTGCACTATACACAGATATGTAAATCCAATGGTATGAAGCGTGCACCAAAAATTCACTTTAACACTTGAATATGTTTCAAGTATATCAAAAATAAGTATCTGCGAGTGACAGAAGGTTTCAAAGAAAACGCTTAAATAGTATATAAAATATGCGTCCATAAAACTGTCTGCAGAGTGAAAGATTTCTACTTGTCCACTGAATTTTGGCCCATTCACACGGACCGTGGATGGTGTGACTGGGCAAATCAACATCTTCAAGATAAAAGAGAATATCAAGAAAGACCTCACATCGTTCTTAAATTACTGCAATCTTCGGGTTAAACTTGGGAATTAGCCCAGTCATATCGTCACACAAATTCTAGAGCAGCGTCTTATATTTCAAAGTTTAGGCTACTTACCTGAATCGTCAAGATCTTGAAATTACATCGCAAGAAATTCATTCGTCTTACAGATCTAGAGCTTTAAACAAGCCCAATCCGGCTCTCACACATTCCCCGGCTTTCCCTCCCTTTCTTCCTTCATACCTAAGCACCACCAAAGACTAAAAGGCTTTCAATGTTGACCTTGCCGAATCCATGCTGGCGCAAGAGCTCCCGACCACGTTGAGCTCGAAACTCTGCCACGATTATAATGCTAATTTTATCAGCGCTGATGCCAGCTTTGCCTAAAAGCTGCAGCACCGCACAAAGCGTCTCCTCTGTGGAAAGAACATCATCTACCACGACTATTGATGCTTCCCTAGAGACCGCGTCCTGCTCAATTCCGATCCATCTCTGCTTCGAACTGTCGGAGTTCAAGGACGAGATATACGACGAAGGCTTGATGATGGAAATAACTGGTGGTGGGAGCTTACTCGCATCGCGGACCAACACCAAAGGCAGATCAACTCGTGAGGCCAACGCCGACGCATAGATAAAGCCACCGGCTTCGCAACAAGCCACTGCATCCACTCTGGCCCATTTATTGGCAAATCTAGTTTGCAGCAAAGATGTGCATAGGTTCAACCCATGCCGCTGCTGGGAAATGCCGAGCACATGGCGGAAGTCGGTGCCCGAGCGTGGGAAGTCTGGTACTTTGTGCACCATATGGGCCAGTGATTGCAGGTCTTCATGGACGTACGGAAACAGGTAGTCTTGGACAAATTTTGTTGCCGCCTCCATTCCAGTTGTGTCATTCTGGAAGATGAGACTAGGGCAGTACTCCAAAGCTGTCGAATTCGACGGCGATTTACTATCACTGCTATTACCATCGATATCCTGGTATCCTCGGCGAACAACTATCTTGCTAGATTCAACACGAACGTCGAGAATCTTGTGGTCTGGCACCAAGTGTGAGAAGATTGTAAGTGGTGCCTCGTCCCTCATTCCTGTGATGAGCAATACGTCTACATCTGCGGCTTGAGAGACAACGTCTTAGAACCGCTCTTCTGGCAGTCGAGGTCGTTGTCGGAGTTGGTCGTGGAAAAATCTTGTCAACTCTGGCCGATGCTGCTCTTTATAGGCACGGTCCCGTAGCAAGCGGTTCAGATCGGCTCCCCTTTCCAGTGCATATTCTCGCTTCGTTGCTTCGCTAATACTGATGGCCCGTGCTGTGAGGTTCTGGGCCGTGAACACAGCTACCCAGACCTCGGCACAGTAGTCTTTGCCTGCGAAACTGTCGCCAGTAACAAGGATAATCAGCTTCTGCTTCACAACCTTCGGGAGCGGGCAAGTATAAGCCAGCACGTTGTACGGATCCAAGCTGTGTTTGAGAGCGGCCAGACGCCGGCCATTTCCTCCAAAAGCTTCAACCGCCAGTACTGCGTCTCTGGGCTCCAACCCGAGGTCTGCGCCGTAAGCTCCCCGACTCCAGGGCAGCAAGTCTCGAGCGATATCGTAGACTCATTGCACAGCATTTCGAGCACTTTCGGTTCCATCCTGGTCGCGAGACCAAACACCGGTCACGACGCAGGCAAAGTCCCAATCTTGACAGCCAAAAGCAGTGGTATGAGCTGGTACGTCGCTGATCGCTCCGCCACCTTGCAACAGATGAAGATAGCAAAGGGGCGAGGGCCAAGTCTCAACAGCCTTCAGCAAGATCTCGGCAATGTTTGTGGGTCCGATGTGTTTTAAAAATAGACATCGTTTGAACGAAGAGGGTTTGCCGCCGGAGCGACTACCATGCAAGACGGACATGTACATTTCGGTGTCAAACAAACCGACGCCATCCACAATCTTGAAACTGTCTGGCGGGCCCAATAATGTATTGATAGGCGCAAGTGCTTCAACACTAAGCAGAGACGTGGAACACTCAAACATAGTAACGCCCAGATGCAGCTTATCGTTGTCTCGGTATAAGTACGCATCCGCAGATAGGTTTGGAGGAAGTGTGCTAGCAACTAATTTATCAAAGCTGCTGAGCGTGAGCTGTGCTTCAAGGCGGTCGACGAGCGGGATGATCCAGTTTCTGACAGAATAGGTGGGAGCCGTGTATGCTTTGAAAGTGACACTGATGACGATGCCAAAATTAGTTCCGGCACCTTTGATTGCCCATAACAGATCTGTATCGTTTTCTGAGCGCACAGCACCCACAGGTACTGATTTGGTACATGGCCAACACAGAAGACTTTGCCAGATTCGACGCTGACCATTACAGCACCGACGATGGAGTCGCATGTGAGACCATGGAGCCTTCCCAAATGTCCAATGCCGCCTTGTAGCCACAGTCCCGAGCCGATGCTGGGACGGCCTCCTAGGGGTACTGCCAAACCCACGTTCATGGTCTCGCGAACGATGTCCCCTATGTTGCAGCCGATCTCGACGACGACTAACGAATCGTGATCAGAAGCAGTACTGGACTCCCTATATTCTCCTCTACTTTGAGAATGTGTACTTGGTAAAATTGTAAGTACAATATTCGAGACTTCCAGTGCATTGCAGTCTGCAAACGAAATCTCTTCCAAAACTGACGCAGCCTCTCAATTTCTGGGCTTAATAGCCTGCATGATGCGACATCATAAATGTTGAGTTTGATGAATCTTCTCAAACTTACGAGATGTTTCAAACATCAAGAGGTGCCGGCTTTTATTCAACGACTGAGCTCCCCGCCGTCCTCCCCTATTTGTCGGCTATTCTCGCTTACCAGAGTCACGACTTTCTTGTCTCTTCTTTTATGCAGGGGCTGCTTGAAGTCTACTGCTCAAAGATGCAACCGGAATGAATTGATAGAGTGAAATAGAAGCTCAGAGTAAAGTTTCCGCTCTTCAATTTTCCGAATCGTTCCGCTAATGCCTGTTTTTGCTCCGTCCTTAGATGATGTCTTTTGAAGGAAGTTTTACTTGAAATAGCGAACCTTCTCCATTTTTAAGCCGTGTCCATATGAGCATCATAGTGAATGATTCTGCCTTTTTTAAATTACTCCAACCTCAACATTGCATACCTAGGTAGGTATCTATTCCAGGTGACTAAGATCTAATGCCTGAGGCATAAAGATTTACCCGGAGCCGAGACTTAGCTGCTGTCCTCGAACTTCAACTTTCTCAGTCAGCTTCCACTCATCGCTATCCTCCATTCATTCCACGATTACCTTCGGAACTCAAACCCATATCCAGTAAACCAAAATGGATCCACAAGATCAAGAAGAACACGAAAGGAAAAGAGACAAAATAGGTCATTTCCTGTCAGCACCCTACCCGACATCCCTATTGACTTTGGCGCTTAACTCTAACACTATCCCAGACACGATGAATGGCATAAAACAGCCGAGAAATCGCACGACTCGCTGTTGAAAGGGGCTCTCTTCCTCGAGCACTCATTAGGACTTGGTCACAAACCAAATGTGCGTATCACCCTCCCAGGAATCCGTCCTCTTCCGGCTATGGAATCGTGTTCTAGGTGCATTTCCAAGACATGAATATCCATCTATTCAAGAAATATACCAAAGAAAGACTCTGACTCCAAGATCCTTAATGCAGGTCATCCCCTGGAGTGAACCCCGCATCGACTGCCCTCAACGCACCGTCCTCAGTACGTCTCCCTTCCCCCAAACTACCCTCCTCCCTCACTCCCCTCTCCCTCTACTACTCAAAACCCCCACTAACCCCCCAAAAGTAGGCTGGCACCCTGTCGCCGGCATGGGCGGCAAATGGCTCGCCGAAAGATCCGGCCTCGGAAAAATGGTCACGAAAGAAATAGGCAAGTACCCAGACCCAACCCAACACTGGGCCGTCCTAGTCGGCGACTACGTCCACGAGCTGTGGATGGACGAGCATCTGGACGTGATATATATCAACGAGCGAGTCGACTCGGGAGAGGAGTGGAGGACCTTCGAGGTTGGTAAGACGAGGTTTAGCGATGAGGCTTTGAGGCAAGCTGGTATATTCCCCTCCCTCTTCTTCCCTCCTCATGTTCTACATAGATCTTGGTGGTTGAACGAATAAAAAATTTACAAGAGCCAGGTGAGATGGTAATCCACAACATGCGTCTCGCCCGCCCGGAATACAACATAATCAGCAACAACTGCCAAAACTTCGCCGAGAAGATGCTGGACGCCATCCAGATCGGCGCGCACCAGGAATTCGCCACCGCCTTCGCCGTGTACCAGCGCGCGACCGGGAAAGGGACCATCAAGGATCTGTTCGTTGATCATCATCCCGAGGAGCAGAAGACGGATATTGGCGTTGTGCAGGGAGAGGGTGGGGAACAGTTGCATAGGGTGGATACGGTGCAGAATGCGCAGGTGGTGATGGATGAGCAGACTACGAAGTTGGATAATCATCGGAGGTTTTTTGAGTAAGGGAGGGAGGGGGTGGTGGGAGGTTTGGAGATATACCCTTTTCTTTCTTGAGTTGTTGTTGGGTTCCTTCCAATTCGCTTGTGTGTAGGAGGTCGAGAGAGATTCTCATTACGAGGAACGAAAGCTCTAAAGCATTAAAGACAAATTTCAAAGTATCATGGTTCCAGTTACCATTAAGCAGCACCCAAACATCATCACCAAAAAGTTCTCCAATGGAATAGGTCCTGAGTCACCAATACTTGAAATGGTTGACTACTCGCAGAAACGACAATGCAATTTGTATCTACTCATACAAGTTTCGAAGAAACCGAAAATGCACTCAAATCGTGCTTTTGATGCACGCACAACGCCGTCTCATGCTCCGCTATGCCGATGTACCCTACAATTACTTTTCCAGAACCATAAATCGTCTATGCTCCATTCTCTGCACCGTTCTCAACGGATGGCTCGCCGGCAACGAGACCAAATTGTCCTCCCAATCCAGCAAATACCAACTTCTTTCCTCGTACGGCCGTGTTGTCAATCTCTGTAGCCTCCTCGACATCATCACCTTGACCCTGTCCGGTTTGGTAGGCCTCACTGAATCCCCAAGACCAAGCTACACCGTCGGTGTCGATAACCACACAGGTGTCTCCCGCAGTAGCAACGCAAGCACCCTGCATCTCCAGCTCTAGCGGCTTCTCAACGAAGCGAGGCTTGCCATCAGCGTCCATGAATGCAATATTCTTAGGGATATCCTCCGTCTCCACACCCATTTGGTGTCCATCACATCGGCCCCAGATAATAACCTTGTTGTCCTTCGTGCAAGCAATGGTGTGATGAGCGCCGCCAAAGATCTGCTTAATCTCGTACCCCTTCAAAACGTCAACCGGGGTAGGTTGCATAACGATATCATCCGTGTCGGATTTCTTTCCAACGCCCGTCTGGCCAAATGTATTCAATCCCCAACCATACTTGATGCCCTTATCGTCAATGACGAAGCTGTGGTAATCTCCAGCCCCAATCTTCACAATCTTCTTGCGGCCTAGACCGAACTCGCGCGGAACGAGACCATTCTTCAAGGACCTAGCCATAACGCGACGGGCGAGCTGATTTTGCTCACCAGCTCCCCAGGTGAACACCTTGCCCTTGTTCGTCAGAGCGAGAACGTGGTTGGTGCCACAAGCCATTTCTACAATATCCTTCAACTCAGAGATGAGGATGGGAGAGTTTGCTTGATTTTCGCCCTTCGGCTCGTCGAAGCGGAATCCAAGGACACCCTCGTTACCCTGCAATAATGTTAGAATTAGTAGTGTTGAATGGTGAAGAGACTTACTCTAAATGTTCCCCAACCATAAACAAGACCAGTCGTAGTAATAGCAAATGAAGCATTGTCACTAGCATAGACTGAAGCAAACTTCGTACCCTCGGCGAAGTTGGCTGTATCAACCTCTGCTGGAGTAGCCTCAGACGCGTTTAGATCGTCGGCAGCATCTCCCTCATCATCACTGTCTTCATCAGAGGCAGCCATATCCTTCATGGGTCCAGCATCAGTAGGCCGGCCCAAAGCACCCTGATCGTTCACACCCCATGTGAGGATCTTGTTATCTGCCGTGAGAGCAACACAGTGCATGCCACCAACAGCGATTTGTACAACACCAACTTTATCCGCCAACAAGTTATGATTAAGTCGAGGACGCTTGACATCAACGACACTCTTTCCGCTAGGGTCCTTTCCTATACCCAGACCAAGCTCTCCTGCCGAACCCTCGCCGAAGACGTAGATGTCGAGCTTCGTTGTAGGTGGGGTGTTGATAGTGGGTAGGACTCGGACTGGCCGGGGGGGCTTTGGTGCAACGACCTTCTTTGGTCGAGCAGCAGCCTTCTTTGCCTTTGAGAACCAGTTAGCATGAAAATCGTGAAAATTTGAAGATGAACTCACTTTGGTCTCAGCAGCCTTCTTGGCTTTCTCAGCATCTTTCTTTGCCTTGGCTTCAGCGGCTGCCCTGGCCTTGGCCGTCTTCTCTTTTGTCTCACCGTTCAATGTAGTTGTGTTACCGGCCTTGGCATTCTTTGCTGCAGGTGGTACATCAACTGAAGCATCAGCTTTTCGCTTCACACCGTTGGTCTTTGGGGGAGCAGCTTCTGCTGGTGGAGTTGCCTTCTTGGCCGGAGCCTTGGCAGCTGGTTTTGCGGCAGGAGCTGCTTTCTTTGGCGAAGCCTTCTTAGGTGCAGCTTTCGTAGGAACTGGAATAGGAGTGATTTTCTTCGGAGCAGGCTCCTTCGCAGCAGGCTTCTTCGCGGCTGGCTTCTTAGCAGCAGGCTTTGTGACTTTCGTAGCAGCAGCTTTCTTTGGCTCGGGAGCTTCGATCTTCTCGGCAGGCTTCGCTCTCTTCGATGCGCGCTTCGGTGCCTCGACTTCCTCGTCAACGGCCTTTCTCTTAGAACCGGCAACAGGCTTTGCTTCCGGAACCTTTGCCTTCGCCCTGGACGCGACAGAAGCAGATTTCTTTGGTGCGGCGGCAGCGACCTTAGCAGGAGCTTTGGTCTTTGGCGCAGCTGGCTTTGCAGCCTTCGTAACTTTCTTGGGTGGCATCTTCGAGATCCCGGCGCGCAGAATCAGGAGATGTAATGCAAGTATGTATTAAAGGGTTTGATTGTATTGGTGATCAAGGAAGAAGTGATCAAGAATGGGTGTCGAAATTAAGTTCGAAGAAGAAGTGGAATTCGAATGCAACAAAAGTTGTTGATGAGAGGAAGAAGTTCTGGTGCCAACGCGCGATCTGAGGCGCGATATTTCACTGTTCCGCACTGACGAAAAAAAGATCGAGCTAGTGCCAAAATAGATTAGCTTTATTTACACCCAATGACAAGGGTTCGGAGCCTCATTCGAGATCGATGCAGGGTTATTGATTGGCTGCGTTCGAATTATGTCCAACGTGCTATCGAGTTTCTTGTGCACCTGCAATCTTTGGATTGAGTTGTCTTCTTCGAAATTCGCAGTCAATGAGAAGAAAGTGGTGATGAGATCGACACAAGACATCAGCCATTTTTTCCACCTGAGGGCGCTGAATTTACGGCGATTTTTTCAACTCAATTGTTCACAGAAGCGAGTCAGCACTGCATACACAATGCTATTATTATATTGAAGCCAGATTTCTCGAGCTGAACAGGCTATTAACGTCTACCCTATGTCACCTTCCTATTTAGAGATATCTTATCTCGCATTTCATGATTTAGTCCAGTGAAGGAAACTAATGTATCGCTGCCTAGACACACAAGTACAGGCTACGCGATACCAGCAGTCTGACCCTTCTTCGTTAATCACTTCCCTGCAACCAAGTCAAATCACAGATGGGGACGGGATTGTGTATTGTGTGACTGTATCACAATTTGTCAATTCATGTCCTGTTCTCTATGTGCACACTTAAAGAGCCGTCCAATATCCCACCATGGCTCGTCGCTTTTGTGCTTATGAAATGACTCGATCTATACATAATTACAATCACAGCAAACTCTCATAGGCATCCAATCCCGACTTCTTCGCTGGCTGAAGTGGTGCCGCAAATCCCATATTTTGTTGTGCCGGAGGAGCAAATCCCATACTCGACTGTTGAGGAGGGGGAGAGAATGAAGACTGGAAGGCATTGCCCCCAGGCGGAGGAGGTAGTGAGAATGAACTGTTGGCGCTCATGCCTGGTCGTTGTTGGCCAGGTGGTGGTGGAAGAGCAAATGAACTTGTACTGCTCATTGTAGGTCTTTGATTCATAGACATTTTTGACATTGAGTTCCCTAAGTTCCCCATTGATGACAGAGAAGGACTTGACGTCTGCATCGAGCCGGTGCTTGCCCATGGATTCGACGTTGGTGCGGCGGCTGCTGCCCAATTGATAGTCGATGGCTGGGTCTGGAAGCCAGACATCGGTTGTGGTTGTAGTGGAGCTGCATTGTAGGATGACCGAGTTTGAGGTTGAAGTGGTGCACTGAAAGCGCTTTGAGGTTGTAATGGCTGCGAGAACTGGGTAGAGCTGGGAGAGAGTGCATCGAATCTAGATAGATCAGGTGTGATGGTTCTCGAGGTAGGCCCAGGCTGAGGTCTTAATGGTGCAGCCATCGAACCGCTCGGCCCACTTGCTGCCGTCGGACTTGGCGTTGACCATGCAAACGATGGTTTCTTCTGGTGGTCTATATTAGGGCGCGGGCTTACAGGGACTGTATCCCATCCACTATCAAGAGAGTTCGTGGTGGCAGGCGCTCCATTGGTACCTTTCACCAAGCGCTCGAAATCGATTTCAGGGCCGTCAGCAGAGCCGTTGGTAGTTCCGAACGCATTGCCTGTGTCGAAGGACATGAAGTCGTCGTTGCCTTTCGCCTTGATACCATTAGATCCAGAGAGTTCTTGAAGCTTCTTTGTGTGCTCGGACTCGACTCTGGTTGATAAGTTCTTGATGAGTTCCATAAAAGCTTGAAATTGTTTCAAGTCGAGTAGTGGACCTAAGCTCATGCTCCACAGCACTGGTAAAAGATCCATGGCCACAAAATCAGTATCGGCCACAACGCCGACTTGGCGAAGCACATTCAAGGCTGCAAGTGCTACAGCTGGTTCTTTCGTTTTGATGCCCTTGATAAGCGGAACGATCTTTTCTTGCATCGTATACTTGTCAAGAGCAGTTGAGGAACTCTTCTTGGCTGCAGCCTCGTTCACGATACCACTCAAGCCATCGTTACTTGCAGCAGGGTCGTTTGAGCCTCCACAGAGAATAACAAAGGCTTCGAGACCGCGCACCTTGATTCCCAGACTGCTTGTCTTTGTGAAAACTGACGCAATCACTGGGAATAACTCGTTCTTTATTGTAGAAAAATCCAGGACAGGAAGAATGAGAGGTAGACTCCTCAATGCAGCGTCGACAATGCTGTGTGTGGGAGACTCAATCGCCAAGTGTATGATGGGAAGAATATCTGTGAAGATTAGTTACAATTTCAAGTCACCGAGTGTGTAATTTACCATCTTTGAATTCCTTCCCAGAGCAGTTGTGAGTGATGGCTTTCAAATGTTCCAGCAGTACCATGAGACCGGCTTCCTTTGCTGGATCTCGTTCTGGAGGCGTTTTCGAATTGCTTGGAGGGATGAAGATCTCCCTTAGTCTTGGCATGATCTTCTCAGTGAAAGGTCGTCGCCCAGAAGGTAGCAACTCGATAATCTTAAAGACGTTTTGTAGGATAAGAGACAGCAGCTCTCGATCCTTCATTTCCTCAAGCAAAGCTGGAAGCACTTTCTTATCTAACACGGATTTCGGGAAGGATGGCAGCACCCTAGAAAGCCCACGCATGAATTGAGCTTTCTCGCCTGGTGTCTTAGCTGGTAAAGCATCCAAAAATCGAATAGTGGATATCAGAATGTTATCAAAGTATGCGCTCTGTTGGAACTCTTTTGCCGACATTCTCTGAGCCGGACGCCGTGTTATTAGGCGGGGTAGGACTGATGTAACAAGATCTTTTGGTAGTGGCCGTGAAGATAGGAACGAATTGGTAGCAGAGGGTATCGTAGACGAGGACGTAAACAGTCGCTTATATGTAGAGATGCTGGAATTTGCCTCCAGAGGTGAAGTATGCGGGGAATTGTAAAGGGCAACAATCAACAGCCCCAAAGAGAACATATCTGCTGCTATGTTCAGGTTCGAGTCCAGCACGAAGTCGGGAGAACAATAGTCGAGGTTCATTTGTACAGAGCGAGGAAGTCTTTGGTCAATATTTAGGCTTTCGGATAGGTTGATAGGGTTCACGGAGGAGGGTTTCGTCGAGCCATCAGGAGGACTTGAGAAGCTTAATCCACTGATCTTCCAATCGGACTGCCATACATCAGTAAATATCTTCAACTTTCAAAACCTGGGATTACCTTTGAATTCACGAAAACAGCTTCAGGAGTCAAATTTCCATGGACAAGACCGGCATTGTCATGTAGAAATTCTAGAGCTTTACTGATTTGTTCAAGCCCCTTTTGTATTTCCAGCTCATCAATTTCCACTTCCCTCCTCTTTCTGCCACCTTCCGAATCCTCAGTGACATATCGACTCGATCGTCCACCTACACCACCGGCTCGTTCTTGGTCGTCTTTCTCTTGGAGCAAACCTGCCAATGATGCTGTCACAACTTCGGTTGCGAATTGTAGGCCTCCATTTCTTGTGTCCTCCACAGGCTCCACCAGCTCGAGGATATTGGGATGTCGCAGTCTGGCAAGAGATGAGGCTTCCTTCTTTAATCTTTCTACTACTTCTTCTGTGGCCTTTTTCAGCGAGGAAGCACTCGACCGTCCCAAGGAACCTGCATGTGCGTCTAGAGATTTGCGATCGAAGACAAAGACCGAGACAGCCTTTCCCGTAGACTTCTTTTTCGCATCGTATATCTTCCAAGGACCAGACGTCGAACTCGGTGTCGAGGATATGCTATAATTTGAATTGATATTCGAGGAGAACGACTTCAGCGCCGAGCTGAACATCTTGGTGGCAGCTCTCCTAAGCTCTTGCTGTCATGCAGCTTCGACGGTTTAGGGGTGCATTGAGTTCAGATAAGGCCGATAGGAAAGCTTCGACGATTTCTTTGTCCTTAAAGCTGCGCACGCCGTATGCAAAATCGAAGCAATAGCAGATGTCGCAGAATGCTGTAAATGTTTGCCTGATGTTTTCTAAAAGATGTCGTACTGTCAGCGATTGGTTCAGCTCATGCGACAGTATTTGGAGCCTTGTCAGCAGCGTGATGTGATTGATGGACTGCCGGTGGCCTTTCGGGCGAGGCTCGAGACACCGCCTTCGCCTAGCAAAGTCCGATTTAGGAGCTCGCAGAGAAATAATAAATTGAGAGGGCTGTGACGCGGAATCACTGAGTCAACATCTCCTGTACTCCGTTCCACCCTGGTGAAAGGACCATTTCCGACTGAGGTGGTCCAGTACAACTCTTCACCGTGCATCTTTCAGCATCAATTCGCAAAGATGCTTCGTCAATTGCGTCCGCAGAGCGCGCTGTTCAAGCAATCGCCTTCGAGGCTGCTAGCAACATGCATGAGAGCATACAGCATTGAAGCCACTTCTGCCTCTACGATCAAACTCCAAGACATTGATCCCTCGAAATTATCTATCACTAAGACGAAAACCCCAAAAGAACTCGTACCTCCCAATGAGCTTGTCTTTGGAAGAACATTCACTGGTATGCATTCCAATTGCTGCCCACTCTTCACTACTGACCGCTACAGATCATATGCTCAGTCTCGAATGGACTGCTGCTGATGGATGGCTACCTGCACGCATCACACCCTACCAAAACCTCTCTCTCGACCCCGCGAGTTGTGTATTCCATTATGCGTTCGAATGCTTCGAGGGCATGAAAGCCTACAAAGACAAGGATGGCAGAGTACGACTATTCCGACCAACGAAGAACATGGAGCGAATGAACAAGTCATCTGCACGCATTGCATTACCTACCTTTGACGGCGCCGCAATGATTCAGTTGATTGCGAAATTTGCGGCTATGGAGGAGAGATTCATTCCTGATACCAGAGGGTACTCACTCTACCTCAGACCGACAATGATTGGTACACAAAGAACATTGGGCGTTGGACCACCAGGAAGTGCATTGCTCTATGTCATTGCCTCGCCTGTGGGACCATACTATCCAACCGGGTTCAAGGCTGTGTCATTGGAGGCTACCGACTATGCTGTTCGAGCATGGCCGGGGGGTGTTGGTGACAAGAAGCTTGGTGCCAACTATGCTCCATGCATTCTTCCACAATTAGAGGCTGCGAAGAGAGGCTTCCATCAAAACTTGTGGTTGTTCGGTGACGAGGAGTACGTTACTGAAGTGGGAACTATGAACATGTTTGTGGCCATTAAGAACAAAGAGACTGGTCAAAATGAGCTTATTACTGCACCATTGGACGGTACTATTCTCGAGGGTGTGACGAGAGACTCGGTACTATCACTGGCGCGTGAGAAGCTAGCACCAGAGGGATGGATCATTTCAGAAAGAAAATACACCATGCCAGAGCTCTTCGAGGCTTCCAACGATGGTAGGTTACTAGAGGCATTTGGTGCAGGAACCGCTGCTGTTGTCAGCCCAGTAAGAAATATCAGCTGGAAGGGCAATTTAGTGGAATGTGGATTGAGACCTGATCAGGAAGCAGGCGAGATTGCACAAAAGATGAAGGATTGGATTGAGTCACGGCAATATGGTGATGAGGAGCATGAATGGAGCTACGTTGTACCAAAATAGGTGTATGATACCTCAAAAATAGACGAGCTGAAGAAATCAAAGCGAGCAATTGCGTCGTCTGAAGAATTCCAATGGCAGGTGTGGTGATGAAAGTAGTAAATCTCCAACGGATCGGCATAACAGCCAAGGACCCTCGAATCTGACTCACCTCGCTTCCCACCCTTCTACTCACAGCGACTTCGGACATCTCCAATATGCATCGATCCATTGAAAAGAAGTAAAGCGAGAAAACAGATCGTCGTCTATGAGCGCACTCAATAGCATCCATCCCATCCTGCCTTTCTTTCTGCTCAGCTACAATATGTACAGTCCATGCAACCAAGAAACCAGTTGCCCAATCTATGACCATGAACCTCGAACCGTGAAATCGCCATGTGTGTGTGGTCTATGACTTGTCCTCCGGCTCCTTCAAGATCCCTTCAACTTCTAACCGTCTTCGTGCTTCCTCGAGAGCCCAAGTTTGTATCCTGCATCCACGCATTAGCATCTGCTATCCCATCCCAACCATCCATCAATTCATCCCAATCCACTTCCTCCTCACTCCGCAGACCATTCAGCATCTCCAGGGCCGCATATTCCACGGATAGACAACACGACGAGGAAACACTCACGAAGTATCAGGCTTAAAAGCATACGCCACAGCACCCAACCCCAGACTCCCAAAGAACCCCCAAACCCAAATCGTCTCCCACCCCTCCTTCTCCGCCTTCTCCCCCGGCTTCACCCCAAAAAGCCATCCGCTCGGCGGATCATAATGGTCCTCGTGTGCATGGTCCGCCGCCTTGACGTTCTGCGTCGAGGAGAATGCTCTCGTTGCTGTGCGAGTTGTAGGGACGGAGACGGATTTTGCTGCGCGCGAGAGCAGCGCGGGTCGTGGTATGGGTGGCATTGTTTCTGTTTGTCGAAGTGTCGTGTCGTGAGGGGAGTGGAGAGGGTTGATTGAGGAGTGCTTGATGAGTGAGGTCGAGTTGAGGTTGTCGTGATGAGTTCGCTAGACGCAAGGTAAGCTTAGCGCAGCCGCCGCCCCGAGCTTGGGAAAAGTGGGGTCTAGAAATATCCCTCTTCGTCCGGCGACTTTCACTCTTTCTCATTGACATCAAGAGCAATATTCGGAATTTATACTTACTGTCGCTTCTTTCCTTCTTCTCGTGAGAAACTTAGTTCTGCAACTTTCCACCCTCCGGTCTCTTGCCAGTAGAGGCCTGAACCTGAGACTCCCAATTCTCAAAACTATATTTCGCAATCCTCGAGCTATCTCTGACCCGTCCCGAATTCGTGTCCGCAGGCGGTACGATGATGAAGGTTGCGCGGTTGGGAGGAGTTTGAGGTTGCTATATGAATCGGAGCGGGTTCTGCTTTCGTGAGATTGAGATGAACCCATTACAAATGTTGTTATCTCTCAGATAAGTCTGCAGTTTTTTGTTTGCTTTTGCTTGAAATTCTCGAGAGTTTTAATAAATGGATTGGCCCGACGAGTGCTTCTCGAGCCCTTTATGTGTATCATTTCTTGGTAGTGGTTGCAAGAGAGTTATTTTCCTTATTGGTTCGTGTTATCTGTTTACATGTATGCATCGAAGTCTGTCAAGTGATACTGCGATTGAGGTGCCAATTGGAGCATTTAGTGCCACTTTCCGCTCTGGTGTAACCTGGCTTGAGGTGCCTGCTGCATGACCATAGCCCTCTGGAATCACTATGTCTCAGCTACATCGCTCTACTGTATTTCTAGACAGGCACCCAATCTAAAAGCTGAGCTCGCTAGTATTTACCGACTTTTCATTCGTGTCATTGCTCATCCTCTGAACTACTTAAGCTTGTTGCGTTGAAGGAAGGGAGACTACAATATACCATCCTCACTCCGCGGAAGAGTTGTTCTTCGATGCCCGTAGCCTCGCCAGGAAACCCGATATGTTACAATTCAGGACTCTGCAGATGTGGCGCTCAATCGGATGACTTTCTGAAGCTCCCATTGGCTTCCACATCCTGGGGCATACGGTTCATCCAATGAATTTCATGCAGATGCGGGCGAGTCAGACATGGGGCTTGATCTTGTGAGGCTGTCTAGCCCGGCCTGCTTTCCATTGGCCTATCAATCAAGACTCACGCTTATCTCTGATGTTCACTACATATCCCCAAAGCGTAAACGTGCATCAATTGTGGCAGACACATGTAGCCTTATTCTCAGTACTAGCTCAGGAACGTTGGCATGTGGAATTTTCTCTCCCGTTTTATCTCAAACTCTCTACTTTCTCTCCAGCTATCCAGCACGTTCTTATCGCGCGTCTCCAGCCTTGTGAATCAGGATCCGAGATGGTTTCGCAGACTGCTATGGTTGTCACAACCACGAACAGCTGGACGATTACAAACCTCGGGCCTATCACTGCAGCTTGGACGCCACCTCCTAGCTGCTACGAGACCACAACTTGGAATAGTAATTTGAATACTCTGTACATATATGACCTCCTACCTAGCGATGATTGGAATTGCATGCCACCGATTGCGGGGAAGACATCGAATTATCCAACTCCTAACTTCCCCAGTATCGGCTTTGGAAATCTTCTCTATTACTGGCCAGCAACTTGTCCAAACGGTTGGTCGACAGCTAACACAAACGCTCAATCAACTGTGGGAAATGTCACCGCATGCTGTCCTACGTAAGTTGTGCTGTCCTTGCCAAAGTAGCTGCATCAACTAACCAATCCTTCTCGATAAACAGACGTTTCGGATATAACGGAGGGTTGTGCGAACATGTACGACCAGACGGCACAGGAACCGGAGCAGTCATCACAAATATCATGGATGCTTCAGACAGAGGTCACAGTCCAACGACAGTCTTTGCGACTACTCTCAGTGTGGTACCATCCTGGCTTCCAATATGGGCTTATCCGATATACATAATGGAGCAACCTGGTTATTCAGCAAGTACGCAGCGCAATTCGAGTGTTTCTCTATTGAATTCCCATACAAAGCATCTCTCGGGTGGCGCCAAGGCTGGGATAGCTGTGAGCATTTTAGTGGTCGTCTTCTCCATCTCTGCCGGAGTATTCTTCTACTTCAGACGGAGAGGCCTGCAGAGAAGGCAACGGCAATCCCAACAGGAACTAACAGGGATCACAAACGGATACGACCGGGGACAGGTCATCTCTACTACCATTGGGCATACTGCTGGCGAACAAACAGATGACCCGACTTCCTCTGAGAAAGAACCAGATCTCCCAGAATACAAGAGCAGTTTCTCGAGAGACAGGATACGTCCCGAGATAGAACACTTGGAGACGGCCCATGACGGAGTAGAGTGTCGCCCCTCTACCATTCACGTCAAGACCTCTTCGGCCGTTGTTGCAGCTATCAATCCATCCCCGTCGACGCGATTACCACCTACATCTGATTACCGACTTGGAAGATGAGATACTTCTGCCAGTGGAGATCACTCAGACATCTAGAACTAAAATATACTAACAACTCGTCGCGTCGAGGAACAACTGTCATGAAGGCTGAGGAGAGGAAGAATGGAGGGCATCATATCTAACCAAACACGAAAGCAAACGGATCATAGAAACCTGGGGCTTGTCATCCGCATCTCCACCAACCATCACATCACAGTAGCTGCTGTTGAGAATGGCACTATCTTACCTCGATCTTGGGCGTCTACTATTCTTTCTTCAACATCGTGGATTGCTTCTCTTTCCCATTCCTGGAATGGATGGTCAGGCTCCTTCGAATTTCAGGACCTCCTAAGAGCGAGTCTGGGAAAGCAGCTTCTTCACGAAGTAAGAGTGTAGCCACGAAACGAACGCCAACTTGCAGAGGGACTCGAATAGCATCGACCTTCCCATGTCCTCCGTCCTCGCGAGAGGCAATGCCGTATCTGTCAAAGAATCGAAGCTGATAGGTGCACTAAATCCATCTTCTTCGCCGGCTCGGACCAAGAGGATGCTTTGTTCTCGACGGTATCCATCAGCATGCGTCCTAACTGCCATAACTTTATACTCATCAGGAACTATTATGAAAGCTCAACCCAGAGGATGCAGCCTAAAATACCTCGGGTGCGATCATATCTTCGCGTTATACCAATTCGTACCTAGAAGACGATCCTCTCTACCTGTCTTCTTTCCCATCGTCTTTTAAAGCTGCCTCCAGATATACCTATGCGATCGATTATGCCCTTGATCCTACTAGCCATTACTCTCGGAACGAATACAGGATTCACGAACGTCTCGTTAAGCGGTATCTGTGGTTCTCGTCCTAGAGCCTTGAACCGCATATCCCAAATACAGCCCAGAATGAGAGGTCCACTTCGTTGAGCACGTGGAGTTACTAGTTCCATCCAATAGAGCACCGTAGCTTTATTGGATGACAAACACTTTCTCGGTTTATCGGTGTATGGATCTGGTTTCTCTTACCCCGTGGAGCGGCGTTGAGATGAAGCATGTCGGATCTGGTGAGGTGTGGTGAAGGTAGTGACCAGACGTGAGAGAGTTGGTGTCGGTATTGATTCCGCTCTACCCTGTACTATTCTCTTTTGTGGGCTTCTCTCACTTCTACAAGGACTTCAGGTCAGAGGACTTGTTTGATGGGAGGGACATCTGGTCTTTCTCGAGGTTTGGGTTTTAGGATTAGTAGTGTTGGGTCCTGAGGTGGAGGAAGGGAGAGGTCCTTCCCGACTTTCATGGTAAATGAATGATTGAAAATATTCTGAATGAAGATAGATGAAGCAAGTAGAGTTCGATTTCAGAAATACTTTTTTGCGATTGTGACTTCAACTGAGATCTCTAGCTGCGGCTCTTATAGCGCTTCCGCCCCGTAACGTCACCAAACGCACTAACTTAAGAAGCGCTCTCAGTGAACGACAAAGATCTCGAAATCATTGAGGCTTCTAAAACACCAATTATCAAAACTTCGATAGCGAAAAGTGGTAGATGATTGCTAGGTCTGGAGAAGAACATTCAAGATTCTCCTGTGGTTCGATAACTGTGGCTGAACTTGCGCCCCAGCAGCGTTTGCTAGAGCCCCGGTTCCTGCAGCACGTTTGGGGGCCAGTGCAGCCTAAAGTGGCCCTAATTCTAGCGGCGGGAGACTTCCCCAGATCGTCAACAATTTTTAACTTCATATCAAATCCTTTCTATTTCGTCCCAACATTGTGGATTTTCTGCATTTGCTCACCATCTCAATTCTATCTACTATTTATATATCTGCTCTTCATTTTATCGCATCAGCTATGTTCTCGTGCTGCGGCCAGCGACAGAAAAAGAATGCAACTGCGAAAGATGCGCAATTGAGCCCGAACACAAAAGAACCTGCTACGAACTTCAATCGAGACGAAATAAACCCGAATACAGACGAGTCGTCGAATGGTAAACAGAAATCTATATCAACCGGCGAAAGAGATGCGCATGAAGGTGGAGCAGCAGACAACACGGTCCCCGAAACGTTTGAGCCGCTGTCCGAAGAATTCGATTTGAATAGCAGCATATTCATGCCTGATCCTTCGAAGAGGAAGCCTTCGGCTTTCGAGCTGGCGAGTGCGTCGTATGCGGAAGCTACCGATTTTGATGCGAATAAAGAACAATTGCCGTCTATGACTGAGCATGAAGAGGAGGAAGAGGAGGAAGAGGTGGGAGAGCATCATATACCGGATGTGCGGGGTAAAGTTGGGGATGAGAATGTGCATGCTACGTGAGAGCTGTTGGGGGCTGAGAAAGAGACCAGAGCTTAAGAGGGGTATTGGGCCTGGGAATACTGGAGGACAAACAAAATAACTGGTCTTGGACAGGGCGAGACAGAGATATATTCATTTCATAAGTGCTGATGCGGAAAGAGGCACGTATAGGCCGGGCTACAATCGTCGCTCACATACTGGCCTGGGGAATCTAGAACTGGGTACATATGGAGTTTATCCACATCTTGGTCGAAATGATTGACCATTACGTGGAGTTTCTTTCCGCTTCAGGCAAGGGCTAGTTGGTCAAGTATATGATACTTAGCTCAACATACCGTTGGATGCCAAATTTGACAACAACTGCTAAGTCGGATGTCAATTTGGAGCCGGTTTCGTTGTTATCTATCCATTATTTGCAAGGCTGAGGTCATGGGAAATTTAGACAGTGTTATCCGAGCAGGAAAAGGGTTCGACAGGTCATTGTCTATGTTTCTGAGATTAAGTCTACTTAAGTGTGCCGCAATGCTTTCTTCTGCATCGTCTGCTTGAAGACCTGCAACGCTAAAGCTGGCTCTACATGCACTGTTAGCACTACTCTCATCTCTTCGATCCAGGGCCACTTACGGAAGTATGGGACTTCATGCCCAGCATTGAACACTCTCAACCAGCTCAGATTATCGACATTCTTGAAGGTTCCTCCTACAGCTCCATCGACAGTATAGTTTTCCACCTTCTTACTGCCAAACTCCTTTTTCCCATGCCAGTCCAGCGAGTCGGCCACTACAAGACCACCAAACCAATTACATACCACATCTGCGTCTCCAGCAAACATCACAGTCTGTACGCCAGATTGAACAACTGCCGAAAGCTCAGGTAATTGACTTCGTGCCTCTGCTCAACCTCAGCATACATTATCAAATAGCGGAGTAGAGTGGGGTAACTCACGATCGCCAGTACTGGAAAATAAATCATGGGCCGGATTCGGACATTCAGTATAGTTGATTTGTGCCCCAATGGCCTTCATGATGGCAGGATCACTCAGATAATTGATATACGTACTCGGAGGAACAGTATTATTACCATGTTGCCGGATGTCATACCAGTCAAGCGTGGAGTTCGGATCAGCAGCTTCGCCCATCGGATTGTCGACGTTCAAGATGCAGTTTACGTTTGCGAAGACGCATTCTGCGTCTGTACCGCCGTTTGCGCATTTTTCGAGGGGAGCGGTGGCATTCGTTTCGAGGACGTGGAGCAGTGAGGCGTGGGTCGAGGCGTTGATTAGAGGGTAGTAACTGTTGGAGTACAGATAATCGATTTGGGATTTTTCGAGAATCAGACGCTCGTAGCAGCCGTTGTTGATGCCTAGAGCAACGAGGTCAATGTTTTGCCCAGTGACAGAACCAGCTTTTATTGCTGAATTCTGAGACTAGAAGTAGGATGCGAATTCTATACATATTAACGACGGAAAAGTGGAAAAGCTGGGAAAACTTACCAGGTCCAAAATGTCCTCCATATGACTCGGTAAAGAGGCCGAAGTCACGATTCTCGTACTGAGGAAACTGGGCATAGAAAGCCTGCATGAAGGTCCACACAAATGGAGCAGCTACGATGGTTGAATTGACTTCAAGGGTACCATTCACTACACCAGTAGGAGTACATTGTTCGTTGTCATTACAGACGACAGTTGGTGCCGAAGCTGCCGAATCATAAGAGAAGCCGACTCCGACTGGTTGATCGATGTAGAGCATATTGGCGTACTCATTCCAGCTGTATGGATTCAGTGATGGAGTGCTTGAGCCATTGTAGAATTGGCAGGGTCCATTCTCCTGTTGAATGTTAGTGACTAGAGCCGTAATGCGCTGGGCTTGGGATATTCCACCTCGAACAACCCAATCATGGAAGAGCAGCCAGGTCCACCATTGATCCAAACTGCGAGAGGTGCATTTTTGGGATCATTTCTTGATTCGAAGAACCAGAACCACATGTTTTTGGTCCCTTGATTGAAAATCAGTAAACTTCTTTGAAGTTTGGCCCCCTGTTTTGTAGTAGCTCACCTCCAACGGAGAAATATCCAGAGTACTGGTTCACTCCAGGCGTCGTTTCGCAAACACCCGAATTCTCAACAAAGTCCATCTTTGAGCTCGTAGCCCTGTGCTCGAAAATGGTTCGTTTGACGCCATCTCTTTCCTCGAATGATCGCTTGCCCCGCAGAAATGCTGCTAGTTCTTGTGCTGATGGAGGAGCTGCAACAGAGACCACAGCCTGGAATAGAAGCCCTACGGCAAACGTAACGAGATGCAGCTGCATGATGACTATCAATGGTACCTTTCAAGGTGATTGCACAGAAGCAAAACCATCATGCCTCTTGGCCCTATAGCTTCATATAAATGCCAACAATTTTCGTCCGAGGTTCCGCAAATCATGCGCTGACCAGGCACAGCATAGACTTTCGACCAGGTACAAACCAACATTGACCGATGCACAAATCACCACATGATGTGCAGCGAAAGGGCATTTCTCGTGGTTGATTTGTTCTTCATCGCGAGATCTTCGCTTTCGTATCCTTACTCCGGACTTGGTGAAGTGAGGTTACATGGAGCCGGGGCCGGGTAAATAACGCACCTGCATGTAAGATCTGACCATCTTGTGCTGGGGTGTGAGGCACCGGCGAAGCAATTCAAAGCTGTCGTAAATGCCTCGAGAGGATTTGGGCCTTTGAGGTTTGAGAAGATTTCTGTTCTGGGTGAGACGTGCTCTTTGTCGTGGGCTGATGTTTTATCGCAGGAAAGGGTTTCCTCCATACGAAGGCCGACTAGTATAAGCTACTGTTACCTCAAGATGGCGTACACGAATCGAGGCAAGATTTGTCAACGTATTTCGGGTTGGTGGGTAAATAGAGATTCTCGTGGGCAACCTTTCGCATGGAAAGAACCCAGAGTCCACTAATAAGCGAACCCCTAAATTTAGCGAGTATCTCCAAGTCAATTCAATGCCACCTTCCCGCCGGCGACTTTGTGGCACCTCTTCATCCACTGCCTGTCACTATGTCATCTTCAAAACACGAGCGCTGGTCTATTTCGCCGGCTGTATCTCGTTTATAGCAATCACGCATGTTCTCAGCCTCTTGCTGCCACAATGTCTGAGACGATGCTTCCTCGTCAGCTAATCACAATCGCAGATTGCGACACGAGCAACCAAGGTTTCTGTTTTCTTAAGCAAGGCTTCAACCCCACGAAATGCCAAGAGAATATGTTCAATCGCAATTGTCCATGAACAAATCATGGTAGATCAATGTCATATCATACTCAGACAATGCTACTCGCGCTTTTCCTCGTGCCTACATTCTTTGGCCAGGGGAAGTGCATCTCGAACATATCTTAAAGGAACGAAGACAAAATGGCTTGCTCCGAGCGGGGTAGCGAGTTCGTAGCTCTCAAATTGTTCATTGTCCTGTGTTTTGATGATCACGTTGTTATTTGTTCACTGGAGGCGTCAATTAGATGCTCCACATGCGTTGTAGTCTAACGCTCTTCGCATCTTGTTGCCATATCGTGACTTCGTTAAATCAAATCTTCTTGAATCCGGTCAGTCTTTCCAGGAGTACTGCAAGTACTAGACATGTCTCCGATTATGGCTTGCAGGATTGGAATATTGATTGTTTATCGGACCACGTATGTGGACTTTACATCATCGAAATGTCGGTGCTGGCTGGAGTACGAGGGGTACAAGTACGCATGGTTCTCGCCTCTTTAGACCTATTGCTCTACAGAAAATCTTCTTCGACGACGATCTCCTTCAGTCACGATGCTCTTCTCCACCCTACTTGTAGCTGCCACTTTGGTGTCTGTTGCCCTTGCTGTTCCGGCTCCAGCACCCGCTTCTCCCACTGCCACAGATACTACCGATGTCTATGCTGCACAAGCTACGGTTCTTACTTTGAGCCCTGTCAGCAATGTCAAGGGAAAAGCATTTGACCGTTATGTCTCCATCTGGCTCGAGAACACCGATTATGCGGACGCTGCTGCTGATCGTACGTCCATCAATCTTTCGAGCGCGCTACTATATCCTGGAAGTATGAGTCTAACAAGCTTTTAGCCACCATGGAAGCACTTGCCAAGATGGGCATCAAGTTGACTGGCTCGTATGCTGTCACACATCCCTCCGAGCCCAACTACATGGCTGCATTTGCTGGGTACGCATTCCATGACAGCCTGTTTCTTCATACCATGACCTGACGCTTACAGTGACTACTGGGGTGTCAATGGCGATTCATTCCTAGCCGTTCCATCCAATGTCTCTACTGTTGCCGATCTCCTCGATGACAAGGGAATCAGCTGGGGTCTATATCAAGAGGGCATGCCTTACTCTGGCTATCAGGGGTTCAGCTGGATCAACTAGAAAACTGGTGCTAATGATTATGTTCGAAAACATAAGTGCGTGGCTCGGATCTATAGTGATGCCTTTAAACTGACAAGCATGTAGCCCCGCTATCGTCTATAAGTCCATCGCCAACACCCCCGACAAGGCGGCTAAAGTCAAGAACTTCACCATGTTCTATGAAGATTTGAAGGACGACAAGCTGCCCCAATGGATGTTCATCACTCCTAACATGACCAATGATGGACATGATACCAACGTTACATTCGCCGCAAAATGGTGCAAAGAATTTTTGACGCCTCTCCTGAGCGACCCACACTTCATGGCCAATACCCTTGTCCACATCACCTTCGACGAGAATGAAGACTATACCATCCAAAACCAAATCTTCACCGTTCTCCTAGGCGATGCTGTGCCCGCAGATCTAGTCGGAACGGTTGATGACAATTACTATAACCATTACTCCGAGCTCTCGACCGTCGAGGCCAACTGGGACTTGAAGACCCTCGGAAGATGGGATGTTGGCGCCAATGTATTCCTACGTCGCTGACAAGACCGGAGACAATGTTCGAAAGTGGAATAACGATGATTACCCTGCTTTCGACAAGATGTTCTTCAACTCTTCCTACCCCGGTATCTTCTCATCTACCAAATGGGCTCCCCAGCCAGTACCCGATATTCACTCTCGCCGCAATGGCCGCACCACGCTTGATTCTATTCAAGACACGTGGAAGGGAACTGATGATTTGAACTACTATCACGGCGAGCTTGAGATCCCCGATGGAGCGTATCCTCCTGTTTACCCAGAGGCATTCAGCGCCTACTAAGTTGGCAGTTGGAGCGAGAGCAGGATTAATAAAGTCTTATCAGGGCAAAGGAGATGAGTCTGGTTGGAACTCCATGATTGTATGACAGAATAATTTTCGAGTTCTCACTTAATAATATAATCGAACTTCTCTGAGATCAAGTTTCTTGATTAGCACCAAATCAAGTTTTACTATTATTGGTGAACAACATCGCTCGGATCAAGGTTGAAGACAGTTGCAAGCACATAGAAGAAGGATTGTGATCTTTATAAGTAATTCCATTGCGTGTTAAACTCGCTCAAATACCATGCATGAATTGTCCCTGAGGACGCCACCCTGCGTTCTCCCTGAGAAGTGCCTGAGAACGCCATGAGATTATGCAACGAATGAGTCTGTCCGAAACGAGTGTGCCACCAAATCCATAATCAACAACGCCGCCAGCCTAGCTTTTCTTTCAAGCTCAACAACAAATAGTAGAAGCTTGGTGAAGCTTAAATGAACTCAGACTCTGCCAAAAGGTACCGTCAATCACTGACGTCAAAATGACTTCAGCCAACTTACCAGAAACTCGTCAACCACGCCCTCATCACCTAACAATCAAAAGGAACCATCCAGGAGATATAGTCGCAACGCATACAGCCGATATTTTGATTCAAATCGGTTTGACCGTTCTGGCCAAACTTCATTCCTTGGCTACGCTACATCAGTCCCGCGCTCATATGAGGAATATTTAATCAGGAGATTGATACTCACTAAACACCAGAAGGAGACCAGGACCAAAGAGGGATCCACCAGGTAACCTCAACAACATCAGCCCAATCCAAGATCGGAACTGCTACGTATTGATCTTTGAAGTGTTAGCAATAGCTTCACTCTAGGACTTCAAAAAAAAGTTTACGTACCCATAACAGTCTGCACGGTAGTAACAGCAACGCCAACCTTGTTGCACCAGGGGTCGAAGACCGTGATAACAGCGTCCTTGTTGGGAAATTGGGTTGAGCGCAGTTGGCAGGCGTGGAGGTTGTCTGTTGGGATACAGGCGATTTGACCAGTGCCGTCGTCTGTTTGGCGGGAGAGGAGGTCGTTGTCGCTGCGGGCGGAGAGGATGTCGATGGCTGTGGCTAGTGAATCGGTTGGAAGAGCCAGTGTGTTTAGAGGTAGGAGGAAGAAGAGGATGGCGATGGTGAGGAGTGAGTTTAGGGTTGGCATTTTGGTTTGAGATTTATGGTTGAGTGTTATGGTGTTTGGATAAGTGGTATGGTTTGAGGTTGTTGTAGACTTGAGGTAGAAATAGTATGTTTTGAAAGATAAGTGTGTATGAAGAAAAGAAAGAAGAGGGAAGAGCCCGAATCCAGGTTCTTTTATAGACTTCGCTCATCTGTCGTATATTGAATGAATATGGCATATCTCATGTTTTGTTATAACAGTCATCCACTCAAGCTCACAAAATTCACCAACCAGAAGTGAATTGGAACGAAAAAAGTTGAGGACGAGATGGCCGAAAATTCAGGGTCCACGATATCTTTAAATGCCGGGTTGATGAAATTGAGATCGCCGCCAACATCATGAACCTGACGATCTCCCGTCAAGAAGCGATGTTTCAGTCAATGCAATGATATCATCGTCAACATGACCCTATTCACTGTTTCAAGAAGTTAAAATGCATACGGAGTCATGAGCTGGAAAAGAATAAATTTCAAATTCACTTGTGGTGCTAATGTCAGATTTACATCTTCACGAGATGGCTGCTGTCTGCAGCCAGAACAGACTACATTGTTACAGAAGTAAATGGCACTGAGGTGTCTAAAGAGTTCTTGACTAGCATTCTCATATGATGGTGCCATCAAGGCACAGTTTCTCATGTTTACAACACTTGGTCAGATGACAGTCACGTGAATTTGCTCTTTCGGACCAACCTTTGGAACCTTGAAGGTTAGGAACTGACACCCTACATGAGATGGAGTGAATACCTTTTTAATGACCAAATGAGAATCCAAGTACAGTTGTTTGAAACTTTACTCAAATGTTTTAAGAAAAGGGGGGAGGAAGAGATCCTCAAAAACGCTTCTCGCTTAAGTGCACAGCCCTCCCTGACCCACATATACCCAAAGATGCCTCAGAGCTCAGCCTCGGAAGATCAATACCCATTCAGGATTCTGATGTTCGTCGCTGAAATAGTTTCATTTCAAGAAGTCACTCAGCGACCGCCTTCACTCGAAAGGAGACTCTTTATCGGAGTCAGACATAAAAAGCGGGTCGAAACATCTTCTGAACTCTCAATCCTGCATGCACTGATATAATCCACGAGAAGCATCGTGGCAGACGGTGTAGCATACCTCGAAGGACTTACAACAAATGTTTTTACACGGTGTAGGAACTCATTTCTAGGGATGAGGATACGGGTAAGCTGGTGTTAGATGCGTCGGCCCGGGCAAGATGGTAAGAGTGTTTGGAAAGTTATGGGAAAGAAAAAAGCTCCTCATACTAGGAATGAGAAGGAACCTATATCTCCGCGAGCTCATTGAATTGCCCTGTTAGTGAGGTTTAGAAGCGACTTAGCGTATCTTTCCTAGCTGTTACATGTTACAAATGACTAAAAGCCGAGAAGATGCTTCGATTCTATCACTCTGACCAGCATCGAGTCACCATAGCGCATATATAGAATCTAGAGAAGCATCGTGATCATTACATACTCTTATGCTATGCAGCATGGACTGTCTTCGTCTTGACCAGTGCTCATGAAAGATTCCCTATCGCTCGCTATGCTATGTCAAATCGCAAATAAATCCTCCAACGGCATACCATTGCCTACCACTCCATGCTGCTGCGCTTTAACTAGCATCCATCACGCCTTGGAGAAAAGGGGATCAGTGGCTCCATCAAGAAGGCATCCTCGGAACAATCGAGAGGCTGATCAAGTATTGTCTGTGAAGTTTCGGCGTGTACGTCCAACTGCTCCTCTGCCTGGCTATTGCTGAACGACCATCCCTGATCCAGTTTCTCATCTCTTTTGTCATGTACCAAGGCATCTGCATATTTTGACAGCGGGAGTTTCACTATCGGGAAGAGTCTATCATATCCGTTCTCGGAGGGCGCTTCACTCCACTCTTGTCTGGTTCGTGATATCGTGGTCCCCCACGTAGCTTGGAGAGGACTTATCATCTCGTTTTGCTTGCTCACACGCATTATCATTCGAAGCAGCGACTCTGCAAGCGGTAGGCGTACTGTTCTGACTGCAGCTTCTTCTCTTGTTGGTTCCTCCGGCCATGGGTCTCGACTCCAAGCTATCTTCTTATCAAGTGCTTCTCGCCTTTCTGCCCGCTGTTTCGCTGCAAGCACCTCGCGTCTTGCCGCAGCCTTTGCGTGCTCTTCTCTCTTGACCTTTGCCCAGGTCTCCAACTTCTCTGTCTGATTCAAGCAGAACAGAACTACTTCTCTTGCTGCAAGAGAATCTTCAACGGAGTCATGCCCTCGACGTCGATCTTGTTGAATACTAATTCCCAGCAACTCTGCGCACGAGACCTTCAGTCCAACTTGTGTCTGAGATGGAACGTTGATCGCTTCGGCTGTCACGATACCGGAGTCGACTATACGAGAGTGGATAATCTTCAACGCTTCGAAATCGTTCCGTAATGATTGCCCAACAATCACTGTTTCGCTGTCAATAAACCTCCATAGTGCCTCTCGTGCCCCACTGTGTCCTCGTATTGCTTTCCCAGCTCTTACTGCAGTATGCATAGCTGCTGGAGTCACGCCGGAGTATCTTGTTCGCCAGTCTGTAACTCGCATGTCGGGTTGGACAAGAGAATCTATGATGGTGAACCCAGTCAAATAGTCAACAACAGATAGGCGCGCAAGCACACTTTGTTCCTTTTCACCATCATGTGCTCCAACCATTTCGCAATCGAGGGCGACAGCATAATACTTCAGTATCGATGGGGCAGCGAGAGGCGCTGACTGGAATCGATTGTCTTGACTGGAGCGGAAGTAGCCTCGCTTCTCCAGGAGCTCGTGTGAATGGACTCTTTGCCTCAACTTCGTTATCGCCTCCAAATATTGCGCTGCTGGTATCACGGACCATCTTAAATCTGCTGAAGTTTGTCCGAGTCCGGGAGGCATACTTTGTATCGGGACGTCCTGCGGTGCGAAAGCTTCAAGTGGTATCCAGCTCGGCCGACCCTTTGGAGGAGGTTGCAGAGTAGTAGAATGAGAAACTGAGCTTGGTTGCTTGTGCATCTTATTAAAATGCTTCTCCATATTGACTTCATCGTGAAAGACGGCAATACAGTCTAATTGTGGGCATGGAACGTGCTCGCCATTGTCAGATATATGGACTGTCAAAGCCGCCCAGGTTGCAAACTTCTGGGGGCATATAGGGCACGTGAAAGACATCGTTGGAATCATGTGTCGTTAGATGAGAATGAATTCATCTTGCGAAGGCTGAGATGTTGAGTGTATTGACCATAGATTCGTGAAAGAAAAGAGACGGAAGTTTGTCGAATCAGGTTGGTGATACAAAGAAGGCTCGACTACAGCCTCGTGTTTGCCTCGCTGGCAAGGCACTAGCCAATCAGGGCCGGATATCGGCCGGGGGAAGCGAAGATGCCTCTTGCCCTTGAATGCAGATGCTTTCTGCTCTTCGAAATGAACATTGTATATGTGAATATCATGAACACTAATTCGACGATGATAATGAAAAAAAGCAGAATCTGCATTCCTCTGCGAAACGTGGGGAAAAGGGGCCTCGCTAGGGTAAACTCGGTGAGCGGAAACAGCCGGAACCAATGGCAGAATTGTTTTTTCAATGCATCGTTCGATCATCGCAGTCGCCTCCTCTTTTTGTTTCTTGACATTACACCCTTCAACAACAGCCATCACCTGGATTTCTTCGCAAGATTGTTTCGAATAATCATTTTTGTGTACTATCTACTAATTGCTAATTAATCCTCTCTTTCTGCCGCAATCATGGGATGGTTTTGGGCTGATTCCGACGTATCAGTCGTGAATGCAAGAGGCGCTCCTCATGCCATCCCCAAAGATAACACCCTTTCACCACCAGTACGTATGCTACATGTGCTACAACTATCCTGCTAACAGCCATATAGCCAGGATGCCCAATGCATCAAAGCTCTGCTGCTGTCGCCAAACCTCCCACGCCTCCCGCCGAATCAGCATGCCCATACACCCCAGCAGATCTCTCCGACTCCAAAGCTCCCTCCAAATACTCCAAGTACAATCCTTTGAACTACATGTTCTCAGATCTCACACAAGACCGAGCCGAGAATCAAACAGTAGCTCTGCCTACAGAGCGCGAGCCATCAACAATCCCCAAGGGCAATGGAGAAGGAAATTGGGAGTACCCATCGCCACAGCAGATGTATAATGCTTTACTGCGAAAAGGATATACGGACACGGATGCGACCGCTGTTGAGTCTATGGTATCTGTTCATAATTTCTTGAACGAGGGAGCTTGGGCAGAAATTGTTGAATGGGAGCGAAGGTTTGGCCGAGGTTGGGGTAGGGCTTGGGAAATCTGCAAGAGAGGAGAACAGGCTTCAATGGCCAGTGCTTCTCTAGGAGCAAACGAGGATGAAGTTCCACAACCCAAATTAGTGAGATTCATGGGTAGACCAAAGGAGATGACCCCAAAGGCTGCTATGTACCAGGTTATGGGCTGGATATACCCCAGTGCTTTTGCGTGAGTTTTACGTTTCTTGCCTGGATGCCACATGCTGACAATTTCTAGGACCGAACCGCCTTTCGATCGCCACGACTGGTTTGTTCAACGAGAATACAAGGGTCAGAAGAAGGAAGTAAGATATGTGATCGACTACTACTCTGGGCCTGACGATACGGATGGAAAGCCTGTGTTTTACCTCGATGTTAGACCTGCCGTTACACCGACTGCCGCAGTTGAGAGATTGATGAGATGGGGAGGAGATGTTTGGTATAGAGGTTCTGGAGCACAATTGAGAGAGAAACAAGATGCATAAGATTGCGATAGACGATTTCAGACTGTGCAATGGATGTTATGGCGCCTGTTCGGCGTATGGGATCATGGATATGCTTTTCATAGCGCTTCATGATGGGAATAGCTAAGTTTGTGGAGTTACTTCCTTCCATTGGGTCTAAAGCTCTGGCGTTTGAATGATTTGTGATTTGAGTTCTCCACTCTCATATGTGCGGTTCTTGTACCATACTTGAATAGCAAGCAATTACAATACCACAATTCTGCACTTAGCAGCTGTAGATATCCAAGCAAGTCCATACTTCGCATCACTTTCACCTTCAAAAATTCTTCTGAAGCATTTCGTCACTCGTAACTCTCTATCTCGGCGAGCCAATCAAAATCCTCCACGGCAAACTCCTATATAGATTTAAATAAGCATTTTTATGGCATCCGGATCCAAACGATGTTGCATATCATGGGGCCAACATTAAAATCGTTTGGTGGATCACGCCAACGCGACGGCCAGACTACACACCCTCTGGTGCCCCAATAGTAGAAAGCACCAAGTCGTTTTCTTTTGCCATTTTGTTCTAACAATTCTGTTCCCTCATTTTGTACTGTCTTTTTTTCTTCTATAGACGTGAAAATTAAGCGAGTTATAATATATATTCCTCCTACTAAACTACATTTTCCATCATCATTCACTTTTCTGAAGCTCATGGAAGCTCAAGTCGAGCACGTGATCGCTTCCCCACACTTTTCGATACCCGATCACAGCCCGACAGCTGTCAACGGCCAGGGGTCTCCAGACGCTATATGTACAGCACATCATCACCCCTTCTAGACCTTCTCATCTGCAAGTCATCTTAGAAAGATGGATAACCCTTTTATATCCGTAAGGAAATATATCAAGTGGGGAGTAAGTCCTCAAACCTCTCAATCAAACGTAATGAGATCATCCCATCATTAACCAAGTCACAGGATGAGCCGAGAGGCGAAAATACAAAGTATGACATCTTGTCTCTCAATCACTCCAGAGATCAAGCTGATGAAAGAAAAGCACCCTAGTCCTAACAACCCGCTCAAAACACTACATCGACATCCGCATCCATCTCCCCCTCCCCCTGCCCAACGACCCCTCAGATGCCACAGCAATCAACCGCCTCGAATGGGCCTTCGCAGGGACATGCCACTCCACGCCAGCGAAGCTCTCCCGCACAGGCGAGCTCCTGAAACCAGCGCATACGGTGTGGAAGCATTGGGTTGACAGTAACAATGATGGGAAAGAGGAGGTGAAGGATGAGGGGGATATGTATCCGCAGAGTGATGGGTCTGTGCTGGAGTATGGCGAGATGGTTAATCCGGCGAGGGGGAGGAGGATGAAGTATGAGGAGTGTTGGGAGGATGTTGAGGCAAGGCTAGTCGGTGTGGAGGAGGAGTTTGTTTCTTGGATTTTGATTTGTGATGATGAGGAGGGTGGGAGGAAGGGTATGTTGGTTAGGGTGGGCGATGTGATTCAGGGGTTGGTGCGGGACGGAGCGGGAAGTAGGATTGTGAGGTGGGAGTGGAGGGCTGGAGAGAATGAGGAGGAGGAAGAGTGGGAGAGGACGGTGGGGATTGGGAGGTTGGAGGTCCCTGGTGTTCTGTTTGAGGAGGGGAAGAGGGTCGAGAAGGGGGATGAGTTGATGGGAAGTGATGGTGTGGATTGGGTTTGTGTTGAGGCTTTTGAGTGGAGTTGAACCTAACTTTTGGGCTGGTGTTATTTTCTGTTCCTGTTTGAGAACTCTGACAATGCTTAGATCTTCCAATCACTATTAATTTGGCTCTTTGTTCATATGTGACTTTGTTCATAAAAATCGAAATTGCCGCTCAGTACACATCTAGAAGATAAAGGGCCTTGAGCGAAGCCTAAGAATGCAACTACCCGGGACCCAATCCCAATCTCCCCCATATCTCGTGCGTCTTATCGTCATTCTTATCCCTAAATGCTTTTAGAGCCGCATCCGCCTTGGTCTGTGATGTATTGTACCTAAACAGATCCCACACATGATACAGCCAGAACCTCTTCGCTTTGCCGCCGCCCATCACAGGAAGTTGGTCAAAGTGTTCCTTTGTCAGGCCGAAGAAAGAAGTTGCGTCAGAAGCAGAGATCCAGATAAATTGCTCCTCGAAACTGTCCCAGAACTTTCTTCGAGGAGCATAGTTGAGGTTCGGCGGTGTCCAGGGAGCCTTTTGGAATGCCTTCGGAGGAATGTTGGTGTGGTTGCGTTGAGGGCCTCGTGAGTCTTGAGGTATGGAAGATTTATACACAACAAGTTTTGACTCCGGCTTGATACTTTCCGGGGGCCGAAGCTGAACGGCGGAAGGTGCAGGCTCATTCTTTATCTTTCCTTTCCGAAATTCACGCAAAGCAGCTCGTAACTCTGGAGTTGCTTGTGTGAAATTTGGTAAATTAATGAGCTTCTCAAGTCGAAGAATGAAATCATTCGGTACTTCGGAAAGCGTCTTGCCATCGTGACGCCCGAAATGGATTCTGTATATCGAATTTTGCTTGCTGACTCCGGCTTGGACGTCAGTTTTGTTGATTGGTGGTTGTGGCAGTGGTGGTCGAAATCCATTTTCTGCATCTGTTCTAGCTACTGGGAGTGTTTTCGAATTTTCCCGCACAGGATACATCGTTCCTGGGCTGCTCGATAGCTTCTGGTCCTTGGGAGGAGGACTAACCTCGTCATGTGACTCTGCACGCAGCCGTGGTCGTCCTGTCGCGTCAAGAGGAGCTCTTGAAGTTGAAGATTCATTGCTCTTGGGTTTGACCAAGTCAGGACGTTTATCAAGAGCAGCTTTAAGGTCTGGTCGAGCTGCAGCGCCGTTCTTCTTGATCAGATAAACTACGTATCCTGGCGGAACGGATTCGAGGGTTCGTCCTGGATACTTTCCAAAGTTGAAGCGGTATTCCGGTTTTTCGGGAAGGGCGTCAGTCGCAGGAAGAGTGCTCGTAGACTCGTTCGACGAATGGGGCGAAGAAGAAGTATTCGCCATTTCAGAGGTTGCTGTTGAGAATGATCGCTGAGGATGTAGAGTTGGATTGTTTTCGAGGATATGGAGGATCACCGACAAGGTTTTTCTCGAAGCGAGATTTGGATTAGCCCCCCTTTTCTCCGATTGAGGCGCGAATTCTTGGCAAAACACAATATTAGCTTTCCTCTCAATTCCTAGTCGCTAGGGATATCTTATATTTAAATGTGGACGCTTACTTTGGTATTGGCAAGCTAGAGCTACGAGCATTTCCGTGGGCTGAGGTGCTTCATTGCGCTCCTACTAATTCCAAACTGTGGGTTTACCATGTTTGGTATTTGAGATTATATGAGAACAAGGAAGTCAAAGGTCGGAGCTGATAGAGCGATGATATAATTTCTTCAGAAGAACGCGGAGAAGGTCAGTCATAGCCAGGTTTTCTTTCGCCCAGGAGGATTTTCTAGTGAACAGTTCGCCTTAAGTGATCGGGCAGAGTGAGTTCTCATATTCTGTGTGGCCGAGAAACGAAGAGCCGCATTGAATATTGATTATACTGTTCACTTGATTTCATAAAGGTCGTTCTGCAACAGTACTGCTCGCTATTGACTCTCACATTCTCTGTCAGTTTTATCCTTTTTCATTAGGCTACTTAGTATCTCGCAATCGCGAGCATATAACTTGTTCGACCACTTCCAGTCTAATGATGAGGATCAAAGAAGCGGTCTAAGGCACCTGAGCCCGGGAAACCATTTAAACGTACAACACCATTTGAGCCTAGGAGCTTGTTGAAACCATGGAGCTTTTTCAGAACATGCTTCCGATACGAGTCTACGTCAGTGATGCCCAAAGAAGCCATCTTGCGTGACAATTCCGAATCACTAGGCCTGGGAAGCGATTTCGTCCATATCTTATCCTCCGCAGTAGGATTCTCACTCCCGAAATGAACCTTCCTGACCATCCTCAACTTTTCTTCACTCATTCTTGAAGAGAAAGGATCTTTCTCATAAAACGGACCATACCACTGCACCATGATTCCATGTTTGTCAGCACCCCCATAATACCATCCTCCTTTCCCATCAGCAACCTGCTGATCTGATACAAAGTGACCTCCGCCAATACAGCGATACCCGTCCCTATCTCTGCTCCAGAGGAGGCCAACTGGGCAAGCAGATGCACCATTCTGTGCGAGTTGCGTGTTGGCCCACACGTCTTGCTCTTTTGCTTGCCGGCTGTCGTCTGGCATTCTTGAGCGCTTGGTCTGCAGTTTCGACATGCTGACGTCTTTCTGGGACTTGAACAAGCTCTTGCCACTTGATAGAAGGGTGTTGGCAGATGAGCCTGGGCGTTGGGCATGGGAGCCAGAAGGACGGCTGGACCCCGAGGGATGGCTGGAGCCCGAACTTGGTCTGTGACTTTCGGCAGGAGGCTTGTAGGTAGGGTACCTGGACTCCATCTTCGATGGTGGTAGCTTGGAGCTACTACTACTACTTGGTTTGGAACTTGAAGCCTTGCTGCTGCTCGTCTTGGAGTTGCTGCAGACACATACTGATCTTCCGCATTTGGGACACTTCGACATTGCTGTGGATGTTATTGGGGAAGTGAAATGTACTGATGAAGAGAGAGCCAGATGGGATTATTATATAGAGAGTGTAGGGTGGATGATTCCATGGACTGACGAGGGGTGGTTGTGATTCAATCGTCATTGAACTCAAGAATGTTGCTTCTTGGTACTACAACGCGGCAGAATGGAATGTTGGACTTGATTCAGTTAATAAAATTAGAAGTTAGATGACTTTAATCCGTCATTGGACCTAAAACTTTCGTTCATTTTAAACCATGGAAGTTGATCAGATTTATGAATAAGTTTCGACATAGCAGCCTATTGAAAACCATGACAAATATATTCACCAGAGCAAGCCCCCGGAATCCGGCTTTTCCTTTCTTCTCTATTACTTGCTACATATCACGAGCACTAGTAACGATTTCGGACACATGACGCTAGCTGGTTCTGAAATTATCTGATGGCGTAAAGCTCTAGAATTCCACTAGCATGTCGGAATCGACTACTTATTATCGACTTCATTTCCTTTTCAACTCGGAACTTCATCTCCATCTCAACACTTCGCAACGAACCCAAGCTTTCACGGTGTCAGAGCAACATAATCAATCACCATGGCCTCTACATCTACGGACGAGCGTAACATCACTGCGCAATCCGAAGCTCTCACGGAGTTCCACAAATTTCCCAAACTTCCGCCGGAGCTACGTCTTCTAATATGGAAGTTTGCGTGTCCGCCAAGCAACATCCTCGTCCATCCGAGAGACAGCTGGGACGACCAAGGTGAACTCCACCTGCCTATAGGTTACGAACCTACGAGGGAATTCGGTCTTTCTCAGAGACTCGTCCGCGATTTCGTCTTCGCATGCCACGACGCTTATAAAGCCTACATGGAGAGCAAACCTTATCACATCCGGGGACAGTATAACCATGCTCGAGTGATTCGATTCGGCCCAGACGACCCTATTTTCATTCAGCATCTCGAGACGTTCTTCAAGTCGCCGGAGTGGGACAAGTTGGAAAATTCAGAATGGGCTGGAGAGATTACGGATCTGGTGGTCCATCCTATTGGACACGGCGATTTCGATTGGTTGAAGCTTTTGGCAGTCTTCAAGAGCCTCAAAAAGGTGCGAATCATGGTTGGCTTTTGGGACTTGAGTATTCCTGCCTTGGACGAAGCAAATTCGCAGCGGGATCTGGAGGATCTGGAAAAGCTACGTCAAAACAATATCGAGAATGTCAACATCCCCGGCATCGTCACTGCTTCATCGTATATCATCCAATGCTCTCGTTCGGAAAATGAGGCATGGATCTGAAGTCAAACACGTTACTCGAAACATGACTACGCGCTGATTTGGACATTCAGGGTTCATGGGCAAGGGATTCTATGGGGACAGAATAGAAAAGCACATAATCAATGAATTATTCTGTCTTATACTATTCTTTCTAAATTAATCAGCGTGATCAATGTTAATGTGAATGTGATATCTGAATCCGTCCGCGCGCCCACCAGCAATGATACCCACCTCGTCCTCTTCTCACCCAATCTTGTTAAGCCAATAGTGAGATCTCTTTACAAAAGGGAATTGTTGGAAATTGCTCTTAGAAGGATAAAGTTAACTTTGGATTCAGTGGACTGGTATTTCTTATAGACTGCGAGGCGTCGTAAGTCACTGGCTACGGTGGACTGGTTTTCTGAAGGAAACCAAGAGTTAGAGGTGAAATAGTTAATTTAAAAGCTTAAAGCATCAAGCAAGGGAGAGACTAGGGGTCAAGTGGACTTGGTGCTTTAGTTTAAACTAAGCTTCGTTTGAATTTGATTTGAACATGGGTACAGAGAGAGTAGGCCTTGTGTTTTTAAAAATAAATTTCAATGACTTAACCACTATTCCATATTTCTACTTGTGCTTAGCTTGCAAACTAGAGTGTTCAGAATCTAACCACTTTGCATTGTCCAATTAATCATTCTACGTTATTTAAGTTATTTTTATCCTTTGAAGGACAATTCGCTGTCGTTGGGAGATTCTAAACTCTTAATCGTTCATTTCACATACATTTGCGCAATTTTATCCTTCTCTTCCTTCCTGCTCTTGACTCTTACTAGATCAACCAAGCCCCCTCAAGTGACCAATGACTTCTTTCGCTTCCTGGCTGTGTCTACTCGTGGTCTGTACTCTTCGCACCCATCACTCAGTGGAAATATCCTTCACCCATATATCAACAACAAGTGAGATCAAACTAGCCTGAGCATTCATTCCTATACTCCGAAAATCCGACCTTCTACACACCCTCCCCCATCTACGCCAAAACCAACGTCCAATTCCCACCTCCCAACCCCTCCGCCAGCCCATCAACCAACGTTACCTCCTCTCCCTTCTCACTCCTTAATAACCCCACCACCCCCAGCAACCTCACACTCCCCCTCGTCCCCGCCGGCGCACAAACCTCCATCCCAACAACCATCCCATTCCTCGCCTGTACCCGACTCTCAAACCATCCTTTTCCAGTCCAAAACCCCGCCTCCACCACCCCCAAATCCCCCACCAGCGGCTCAACCCTCCACTCCCCTCCGCCCGCACCCAAAATCCTTATCCCAGCCACATAAAAACTCAGAAACGAAGTAGGACCCGTCCCCCACCCATGCGCGTGCGACACACTCGCATCATTACTATACGGCGCATATTTCAGCGTTCCATCCGCCGAAAACCCTTCTATAAACGTCGAGTTCGTCATCCGTGGGTCCGTGAGCATGAATCCCCATGAGCGTCTCATTAATTCTAATGCGGCAAGAGGGTTAGAGGACAGGAAATGAGCTTCGAGTTCAAAGGAGGATATAAACGGGGAGATGGTAACCGGGGACCCGGCTTCGGGCGCGGGAGCGCCGTAGGGACCCCAGCGGGTGGAGAGCGCGGTGGATATTTGGCTGTTTTGCTGCGAGGATAAGGTCAGGTTTGAGAGGATGGCCCAGGTGTTTCCGTCTTGGGGGGACAAAGTGGTGGTTTCGTTGTCGTGGTAGAGGGTTGTGGTGGGGGACCAGAGGAGGGCGTTTGCTGCTGTTTTTAGTTTGGTGGCGAGGGGGGTCCAGGTTGAGATGGACGTTGTGTCGTTTAGGAGGGTTGCGAGGGTGATGCCGCGGGTTAGGGTGGAGTAGAGGATGGCGTTTGCTTCGATGTTCTGGGGGGTTTTGGTTAGTTAGGTGTGGAATGGGAGGCGGAAGGCGGAAGAGGGAGGAATAGACTTACATGACCGCCCATTCCAACGCGCAGCCAGTCGGCGGGGGCTGTTACGTTCATGAGGCCAGTATCATCGATGTAACTCAACGACCACGCTAGACCGCGAGTAAAGCGACCCCAGTTATTCTGCAGATATTCCAGATCCCCAGAGAAATGATAGTAATTCGACACCGCAATCAACGTATACAAATGGTACGTAAAACTCACAATCCCAAACTCATTAAACGGATACCCGGCATAAGGAAACATCCCCGTACTAGCATTCTGCAACGCAAGCAGCGAGTCGAGCGAATTCTTAACAGCGCCCAGATCGTTGGTGCTGACGAATATGCTGGGCATGGACACAGCCATGTCGCCGGCCCAAACGAGACGGTCTCGTTTCGCGCCATCGACGGTACAGCTCCCGCCCTGTGTGATGGTGATGTTGTTATACCACGTATTGGTCTGTGGGAGGTTGATCGTCTCGTTGAATGTAATATCGCCGAAATGAACCTGCGCGTCCCCGTGATAAGGATCGATGTTGCAAAGTTGGTTTGTGTAAGCACCTACACCCTCATTAGCCACCAGCTCCTCCTCCTTCTTCCTAATGGAAAGGAACGACATACCAGCATACCAAATCCGATTCAAAAGCTCATCATCACAATGAAAATACCCCTTATAATCCCTCAAATCCTGCAACGGCGCAGCAGTAAAATTCGTCACCACGCTCTCGACCACCACACTCGCACTCCCATTATTAACCAGCGTCAAATACCGAAAAGCGCCGCGCTCATGCCACCGCTCCACCGTGTAGGTGCCGGGTCCCTTCCCCACCGGCAGCCAGAGAACTTCGTCGAGACCCGCAGGAGCGGTGGCGTCGCTGGCTTGCTTGTTGATCCAGAGACTGGATTCCGTGTACGTGAGCCCGATGAAGGCATCTGGTGATGTGGAGCTGAGGACGGTGACGCTGACAACGCCGGCGATGTTTTGGAGGTAGTCGAATGTGATGGAGGAGTTGGGGTGGAAGGTTGCGTGGCCGGTCGTGGAGGAATTGGAGAGTAGCGAGGACGCGTTGGTTATTGTGCCGTTGATTCGGTGGATGGAGGCTGGGTGGAGGGTTCGATTTGAGGGCGCGAGGATGTATTTGCTGTATGGGATTGCTGTGGTGAGATGGGCGGCTAGGAGAAGGGAAAGAAAGGAAAAAAGGATATACATGGTGGTTATTGACTTTGGAAGGATGGATCATTCAAGGCATGATGGTAGGTAAATAGATATACACTCTTCACCCCACAAACTCATTCTCCATACCCCGCCATTGCAGTGTAAAAAATTCTATATGCCAAGTCATGTCGACGGGACATCTCTCGACAAGATCTGGGGAATGCCTGTGCGATGACAGGGGAGGTCAGGTACCGGTAGTATTGAGCGGAAGTTAAACAACGCCTAAACAAGGCTCGGAAAGATAATGGCGTTCATTCAGACCCAGGACTTCTGAGATCTCGGGGCAAAGAATAGCGAAAGAATTGAGTTATGCTGAATACAGTAAATGATTGACAAGTAGCTAGGGAAGGTGTCGGGCCGAGGGTTGATATCTCTGTTGTATGAATCATGAAGGTTGACTATTTCATGTACCCCGCTGTAGAAGTATGCATGCATGAAGTGGACGAGATGAAGCGGTGGTCAAGATTTTATACATCCGACACACGTGGGGAATGTGGGGGAAAGACCCACTAGGGTCAGCTGCTGGACGATAGTTCAAAAATGTCAAGGCCAAAGAACAATAATGTTTGAGTCCATACCAAAATCCATCCAACGCTCATATACAGCCATACATTTTAATACAGATGATTCCCCAATCCCTTCACGGTCGACTCCTCGACCTCCTCTATCGTGCCGCTGAATTAAAAACTCGTAAACTCTCATAAAGATACAGACAGTGTCCTGACTGATATGTGATCGAAATTGAATCTGCTCTTAAATCATCCCCATCAGCTCTCTAGGAGTGCCTATACTCCGTTGCTCCAGATGCGCCCTGATACCCGTACGGGTCCGTGGTGGCTACACCTTTATACGACGTGTCGCCTGGACCAGTCGTGCTCGTATTGGGACCCAACATGCCTAATTCTTCATCGCCTTGTCCGGCGCGCTCGGCTTCAATTTCTTTAGTGGCAATTGCCATTTGTTTTCGGATCCATACGCTAGCAAAGACTTGGAATAATTAGCAAATCATAATTTAAAGAGTAATTTGAGAAGGCCTTACTGGTAATAGCAACCACTATACCGATAGCGATTACCTTGCCGACTTTGGCCCCCTTGGAGTGCTCTGAACTTGGGGCTCCGAGAGCTACGAAAACCATGGATTTAGGGAGGGATAGAATCACTGTTGACATGTAAAGCCAGAATTTCATTCCGGTACAGGCAAAGAGTGGATTTGCCAGGTCTGTGCATAAAATGTCAGTGGGAGCTCGTCGCTCGTGAGATGGAGAACTTACGGGGTGGAACAATGCTGTATCGAATAACCAAAACACCTTTGAAGCCAGCTTGCTGGGCAACTCGAGCAGTGGCTGCCCATTTGATCTTTTGTCTAATTTTCTTCTCGACATAGCCGCTGAAACAGTACTTGAAAACGACACTATGGCTGTGTTAGAATTCCGTTCTGGTTATTTTGCAATCTTATAGAGAATACTCACAAGCACCCAGCTTCTCCCAAAATCGACCCAGCACACGCAATTCCCAGCGCAACGCCCAGAGGATACGTCAACTGTGAAACGTCAGCACTTTCTCCCCCACTCGAACTAAACTTTGGAAACACTCACACCAACAATAAGCTGCACAATCTCATGCCCAAACAGCGGCGGAAAACTAAGCACAAACAAGATCGCCACAGGGATCGTCCAAGACCACTTCTCCCTCTTCCGCAACCAATCCGTCAACGGACTCACCCAGCGCTCGAAATCAGACTTGTACACCTCGAACAGCACACACAGCACAATGACAAAGATGCCCAACGGTACCATCCTGCAAAGTTCGTTGTCAGCCAAAATAAAATAAAAATGATCACGAGATCACGAGATCACAAGCCCCGTGACTCGCTCGGCTTACCAGTATAACCGATGCTGCCATTTCTTGCTGATCCGCCGCTGCTCCTCCTCGCCCTGCATCGAGAAATCGTTCGGGCTAGATGAGAACTTGTTCTCGAGACGAGGATCCGGCGCGTACTCGTACGACGACGACGGGTTCTGGTCGGCGGGCGGCGGTGACGTGTAGGGATTCGACGAGGGAGCTGCGTGAACGGGCCCTGGATGCGAGATGGGTGCTGCGTACTGCTGCTGCTGCTGCTCGACCGGCGGCGGTGGGGCATACGACGTATTCTCCATGCTGGTGGGATATGGGGGGTGTTGATGGGTGTCGTTGTCCATGATGGTGGTGGTGGTAAAGATGTATGTTTGATGTTTGATGAGAGGCAGCTTGAGGTGAAGCGTGATTATAACCTATTAATTACCTACCGTGTCTCGCTTTTTCCTGGCCCAGCCCATTTGTTGCGTTGCTCAGCCTCACGCGCCAGCCTGGTCGCAGCGCGCTAGGCTGGATGAGATAAGCGTTCTGTAGTGGCCAGGCGGGTAATGTGGATCGTCGTGGCTGAGGGATGTGAAAGCTTAAGTCAGACTTTTTACTTTGTATATACGCTGTTTGGCAGGTCAGATTTGTGTTGGGTTTGGGGTGGCCGTGATACGACGGGGATCTGGGAATTTGACGAGCGCTTAGGTGGACTATGAACGCATCAAAGGCTCGTGCGTAAGACTGACCTCGTCGAATCCTGGCCTCTTCCATATTCCAACATCTGCAGAGAAGTATATTTTTGCTTTCACTTGTTCGTTAGAATGGCACTGACTAAGCATTTTCAAATATATTCCACATCCCTTCTCTTCCCGGTAATTTATTCTGTTGGCCTGCTGCATGTAGATGTAGTCATGTTTCGCCTGGAAGGTCACCGCTGCCATTGGATTGGAGATACACCATTTTTCACTCATCACAGCCATTTGCTTGGCATTCGCTGTTTGTCTTAATTTTTCTTGATTTATAGCGCGAGGCGTGGTGGCACAACATGAGGTAAAATTCCGTGTCTGTGCTGCGTATCTCAACCTGTTGTCTTGAAGCATTGTTTGTCGGTCGCTGATCACGGAATATCCGATGCTGAAAATCGGTACGTAGATCGCTGTGGATATATATCCCGGATCGCCCGACAAGCTGTTCGGTTGTGTTTGTAGCTGGGCTATCTATTCCCTGAATGGCTGGGGACAAGCCTAGCTGTCTCACTAAAAACATTCGAATCTTGCAGTGATGCCACCAAACAAATAATACAGTAGTGATATTCAACAGCGACCCAATCGTCTCGATTAATCCCACGCCAAGCCCGTTCCCGACATCCAAGCTTTGCATAGGGCTGGCTGCGTCTTGGCTATGGGGGATCATCCACGCTACGTCTTGGTATCTCTTTCAAACTTAGTTCTCACTTCTTGAGAACGGTGGGCTGTCGCAGCTTATGGGCGTAGATATATCGGCATGCAGAGTGAAGGCACGAGGGCGTGTGTTTCTTACTGGCAGCAGCTGGGCGAGACTGTAGTTGGTATGCAGCTGCTGGTGAAGCATGGATGAAGAGGTTAGAATGGCGAATCATTTTCGAGATGGTGGGTAGATGAAGGGGTTGACTTGAAGTACAGGGCTTGAAGATGTTATGATAGCTGCTAAGATAGCTGCTAAGATAGCTGCTATTTGTGATATCTTATTTATTGCGTTCATTCTCCATACAATGTCCAATTATGTCATTGAATCTTCTGCTTCGAATCTTACACGTTCAACGAGAATATTGTCTCGCTTTCTCATTCTCGCTCTGGGGTTCACGACCACCAAGATCCAACTCTTCCATTGTCGACGCCTTGACTATGGACTTCATCATCATCACCCGAGTTGAAGCTAGGACTTTAGACCGTCGAGTCGTCCCACGGATAGATTCGAGACTTGCACTCGTCTCCCGAGTGACGCTGTTTCCGTTAGTTACCTAGGTAAATCCAATAGTCTTTGAGCTTGGAGTTCTCACCATTGCTATCAAAACTCGAATATTAGACCTCTGCTGCAAAGAAGTCTTCGCTTGACCAGTTCCCCTTCAACATCTCCAAGCACCCACACGGTGCCTTCTTCTGTCAAAGCACTAAAACCACAAGCTGATTCAAAGCCCTTTCCTGGAAGCGATTTCTTCACCTCGCAAACTGAGGCACCTCCCTAATCACCGTCTGCGGCCCATGAGTCGGCCAAGTCTTCATATGCGCCGGCGTCCCCGATGTCCTAAACACCAGATCCCTCGGCAGCTTCTCCTGCACACTCGCCTTCGTATCCACAAACGTAACCACCGACCCCCGCTTCGGGTTCGTCTGCGCATGTACTCTCAACCCAGGTGCCGTATTAGCACGTCCCTGCTCCGGCCGAGATGTGGTGCTTGTTCGTGGGACGGGTTGAAGCATATATTCTTCGTCGGTCTGAGCTCGTGTCAGGCACTCGTTGAGTTGAAGAAATAGCCAGCTGGCTTCGAAACGGGCCCCCGATTTGACGACTAGGAGGCCTTTCATGGTGAGATCGAGCAGGTCGTGCATTAGAAGAGAGCATTTCTCATCTGAATGCAACTCGTTCGTCCAGGTGAGGACCTGTTCTCGGACAGTAGCCCGCGGTCCTTCAGCATCATTGATGATGGTAAAGAAGTTATCGTCGTCAATCCCAGTCGCAGTCGCTTCTCTCCCTCTGGAATTCGAGAACCCGTCGATTTCATCGGACCCTTTGAGCAGCCAGGTGATGAATTCGAGATACAGACAGCCCAGACTCCACATATCGTATGCGCGGGAGACGGGGAGACGCAATTTACACTCCGGAGGCTCATACGTTGGCGATGAGAACACGGTATCGGGGTTCACGTGGGACCGCGAATCTCGTCCATGGAAGCGTCCGAGTCCAAAATCAGCAATTTGGAGAATTCCACGCGGATTATCAGTCTCGTGGTTTTGAGCGAACCAGAGGACGTTCTCGGGTTTGATGTCGCCGTGGCGTCCGAACCACTCTTCGCCTTTCTGGACGCTGAGTTTGGCGTCTTTCTGGACTCTGGCGTTACCGGGTCCGTTGATGGAGAGGGGGCGAGTGACGTTGAAGTTGTGGATTCGTAGGAGTCCGTTGGCGATTCCTGTCATTTGCTGGACGGACCAGAGGACGGTTTCTTTGTCGAATGAGGGGTTTGGTCGGTCGTCCCAGTATTTGCGGAGGTTGGCGTTGGCGAAGGGGAACATGAGGTGGTATTTTCCGTCGTATTTGTAGGTTGCTAGAAGTTTTATCAGGTGGGGATGGTTCTTCATGCTCATGGCAGTTAGGATCGTTCTTTCTTTTTGGAACTCATTTTCGTCGTCGGAGAACAGTTGTTTGACGGCGATGAGAGGCTCTTCTTCCTGATATTTTTTTTAGCAAGTCAGCTTGGGAGTGGGAGGTTCTTTACTCACCACGCAACCTGAAGTCTCCCAGAACTCGTGATGAGCAGGATGAATCCGTACCGGATACACCTCACTATAACCTCCCTGCTTCTTAGTCTCGATACCCTCCGGTGTTTCGAAAACCACAAACGGAAGAATCGTCTTGTCATCCAGCTCATACAGCTCTTCATTCAACTTGAAAACCGGTGCGCTCATCCACCACTGGTGCTGGTCAAACTTCCTCAAATGTTTAGCCGTCCAAGTCTCCAAAGTCTTAATGGACCCTCCGTTCCTACGACTCAAAGCAAACTTCGTCTTCCCATTCGCCTTCCTCACAAACGGCAAATCCTCATCCGTAACCTCCTCAGCCAACAATCCCTTGATCTCACCCCCCTTCTTGGTATAAGCTAGCGTAGCATACAACCTCCTCGCACACGCACACACGACCTCCGCATACTTCACAGCTTCCCCTTCCTCAATCTCCGGATCTCGAGCCTGGATATCTGCCGCGACATTATCCACAGTTATCAGTTTCTCCAACGCACTTCTCGGGATCAAAGAATCGTGATGGTGCTTAGGACATTCGAGTTCCGCTTTCTCAAGCTGGTCTTTCAGCCAGTGGCCAGCGGTCGAGGAACCCTTGCTATCGGCTCTACTCCGCAGAGAAGTCTGCGAGTTCTGCGAGTTGTCGCGAGATAGTCTGGGTGTTAGGGATCCGACAGAGGGTGATCGGGCAATGGTTGTTGCGTTTTCTGCGTTTAGGGTTGCTTGTCTTTGGACTTCGATTCGAGGGACGGTGTTTGTGTCTGTTCGTCTGTTTATGAGTTCTCGTCCGACTCGATCGTCTTCTTGGAGGAGTTTGCCGGCAAGTGCTGTTGCTTTCGAGTTTTTGGGGAGAGGGTCTACTGCGGGCTTCGACTCTGCTCCTGCTGCTCCTTCATTTGTATCTGCAACTGCTTCATCTTTTTTCGCATCCGGTGCTGGAGTCGAGATCTGCTGCACAGAGAATTAGAAATGTACATTCTGAGCAAGCATATACTTACAATGGACTGCGCGACAGCCTTTCCCGGAGCTCGCTCCTGCTCAACCCTCTGGTTCTTCCTCGATCTGGGCGCGAGGCTCTTCAAGCAATTCAATAACGACAACATCACCAAGCCTGGATACTCAGGACCTGCAGCAAGTACTACGGGCCATTGGACGTATATAAAGCACCACTACAACGAAAGGGGAGCTCATCGGTGTCCCGAATCCGAATTAGCATCAGCAGCACACCACAATGGGAGCCGCAAGGCTCACAGCCTCAATTTGGAGTGAGATTGGGCGGATGCAGGCACTGGATCACGGCCCCCAATCAGTCGCACTGCGGGATTGAAGCCTGTAATTGGTGTAACCGGGGTGGGAATTGGTGTGGGTGATTAGTGATTAGTGCATTTCCAGGGCACACAACTCAGGCTTTCTTCCAGTGGAGCGAAACGCCGACCGAGAGCCTGGGCGAGTGCCTGCATATTTTCGTCGTACAGTTTCTCGTTCACACGGGCGACAAAGTTTCATTCTCACAACTCGGGCACATAATTCGGAAGCAGAGGAAATATACAGCACAATTTAATCTACCCAATCTTCACAGTACTCGCCTGCGAATTCCACGTCGAAGTCGGCGATCCCCTCACCGGCAGCATCGGCGGCACCTGAAAACTCATCCCCATCTCCAAATCCCCCTGTTTCTGCCTACTCTTCTTAGACGACACCATAGATCTGAAACTATGCTGTCGCTGTAATGTCACGGTCCCGGGTTGCAATGGGTTAAACATGGGTTTCACTTCGGTGAAATGTACCCAGGTCCACCAGAGGAGGATGGTGAGGAGTGTTAATGGGACGGCGATGGCGGCTAGGAGCCAAACGTTGGGGGCGACATTCATGTGGCCGTCGGTTGTTTGGACAAATTGGGTGGAGAAGAAGTTCTGTATTTATTGTTAGTTGGGAAGCGGTTGAGGGAAGGGAGAGAGACGAACGGCTACGATGGTGGTGGGGAGGTAGATTAGTGTTATTACTGTTAGGATTTTGACTGCTGCTGCGTCTTTGGTGCTTTTTTCCTGGGAGGGAATCAGTTTTGGTTGTGTTTGGTTTGGAGAGGAGCTTACTGCTAAGTGACACATTGACTTGCTTTCTATTTGTGTTTCGATGCTCAACTTTTTGAGTGAGACTGCTTCTTCATAGCTGAGGAGGTCAGATAACTAAGTGGGTTAGCGAAATTCTCTGGGAGATATTAGATATTACCAGTCTAGCAGTCGACCTGGCCATATCATTCAAAGCCTTCGATCTCTCAACCAGCATCTTCACCTCCCTAACATACTCCTCAAACTCTCCCACAATAGCATTCAACTCTCCATCCTCCTCAGTCTGGAAGCTCGAAAACTCTCTCAGCAATTGCTCAACAGCGTCCAGCATCCCCGGAAGAATGACTTGAAGATCAAGAACCTGATCCTCGATTATCTTCAGCTGTTGACGGTTGTCGAAATTGATGACGAAGTCTGTCAACGGAGACAAATTGACTTTGTCGTCCCCTACTGAGGCGAGGACTATGTGATCCGACTTTTTCGAGGCAATGGGTCAGTAAAAGCGTGAAAGATAATGATGGGAAGACACACCTGTTCCTTTAATCCCTTCTCCAAATAGGCCATATAATCCATCCACCCCCTCAAGCTATCAGCTACGAGAATCCGATGCACGTTCCATGGACTCAATGCCATCCCATCCTCAGCATTGCTCTGACTCAAACATCTCCCGAACTGATCCTCGACGTTCTCAGACGGAGCAATGAGCAAGAAAGTTGATTTGAGCGATTGAGTTTTGGGCGCCGAGAGCCGGTGATAAACAGCAGTCTGTCGAATAGACCACGGGTTATCATCCTCGGTATGGGCCCGCCCATTCAACTCTACTCGACGCAACATATACGCATACTCTGTTTCTCAATCAGTACACCATTTCCCCTAATCAAGCAAATAAGTAAAGATTCCACACACCATGCACTTTCACCCCAGAATCCGTTCTCCGCCGCCGACAGAACTGCGGAAACTGAAACTCATTCTCCTCACTCTTCCGCCCAAACGTAAAAACATGCTTCCAGAACGGAGCCATGATACCATGCGCCGCCGTGAAGCATTGGAACAAGTCACGCGATATATTCAACGTTGTCCACGAGCGGTCTTGTCGGATGGTGTAGAGCTGCATATCATCTTGGTTGTTCTTTGCTTGTTTGTCAGTTCATCTCCCTCAAGCTGTGGAATGGGAGTGGGGCTCACTTCACGCATCCCCTCCACTTGCGATGAGTCGCACACATCTAGATTCTTTACGAAACAATTCTTCTCTCCAACTCCCTTGGAGCTTTTCCGTCTGAAAACCCGCGTGACTTGTAGCCCGGCGTGCCCCTTCTTCTCTTTAAACAGATCGTGCGCCCTGGCGTCGATTTTCTTGTCCAGGCTGGATAGGTCGTCCAATGCGTATCTTTTCGCCATTTTGATCTCCTTTCCTTTTTTTCTTCAAGCACAATCTTCAATCTCTCACAAGCAATTCCTCGGACTCCGTGATTCGAACCTGCGTTCGTCGAGATAGCAGAAAAATGAGGTGGGGACGAGAAATCTGACCACGGTCGCTTGATTGGACAATACGCGAGATGCTGCGGAAATCAGCCTCGTGCACTGCCTCATGCGGGTTGCAATTTTTCGGGATCGTGGGAACGACTGGAGGGTTGGGGGCGGAAGTCCTTTTCAGGTGGGCGATTTTGGAGGCTTTTAGGGGTGTTTGGAGATTGAGGGTTGAATGAGGGATGATTGAGGGATGGATGTGGGGATTGTGAGGTTTATGAGTTGCGGAAGTTTCTTGATTGGGATGGAGAGAGAATTATGCAGTTTTGCTGAAAGTATTGAAAGGCATTCGAGCATATTTCACGGTGAGCTCTCGTTGATGATTATTTGGATAAAAGTACTTTTGTGGGAATATTGGAGAGCTTTTGGATGTAAGGATTCGCATAGTATCAAGGATTTCTACTGAGTTTGGGGAGAATCAAGCATAGGTCACGATGATTTCTCGTTGACGATTGTTTGAATAGTTGTAATTTTGTTATGAAAATTCCAATTGACTCCCGTTTCAGATACTCCATCGAAATGCCCGCTGTCCTCCTTATACGCCTTGTGTCTGAGTACATTGTTCGTGATATCATTATCCCAGTATGGTCTATGAACCCAGTTCATGACAGATGGTCATCGACGTCTAATTGCGCGACAATCCTCGATTTGATCCTGATGAGAGTTAGAAATGCTAATTGCCGGTAGTTCTTCGAGCACTTACTTCGGTGAGATTACTAGTTGATCGTGCTAGAGGGTAGATTCTGTATCGATTGAGTCGAAGCTAGAAGTCGTGCATCAGTACAAGACAGGATATGGCGAAAGAATCACTCACTTCAACTCGGAAGTTGTTCTTTCCCTCTTCAGAAGTCCCATAGACATCTTTGAGAAGACGCATCAACTTTCTTTGATCGAGGAACTGTCCATCGATAACTTGAGGCTCGGAGCTGAATGTCGGATGTGAAGTTGATGACATGATGTCGCACATAATGTGGGGAAATAGGGCGAGTAGCAAGTGTAAGTAAATATTAAACGTCTGCCTAGAAGGCAAGAGATGGGCAACGTATGTATGATGTTTTGCTTGAGGGCAACGTCAAAGTGGATGTCAGATTCGTAAGAACAGATCGGTCACTCATGGATATAGGATTCTCACGATACACCCCGAAACAGCCCCCCATCCTTCGGCATAGGAATAGAAGCCATGTATGACACCACTGCCGCCCCGGACCCAGACTGCCTTGAAAGATGACTGACCCCAGCTCTTCCGTAAACGCACTGTAACATAGACGCGGAATGGAGGACGAACGAACATATTGCCCTACGAGCTGCATACTAGAAACTCGGCATGGCCTTATCTCAGGCCTGCAACGAATAACACGAAGCCAATCAAACTACATGAACAGCTTTCCCCCTGAGACGGAATAACAAAGCGTCGCGCTCAATCAATTGCGAGGCATAATGCAGCCCTCCTTGCGAGGCAGATTTGCTGAAGCTCAGATGATCCATATTGTCGGGTGTGGTGGCGTTGATACACAGCCACAATGCCCAAGATTCCGGTACCCCAACGAGAAATCCTCCCTCAAGAGACCTTAGAAATCTCGACAAGAATCAATCTCTTCCTGAGTCACTATCAGTGACTGCAACTTAAAAAGCTGTTGTCTAAATAGAAGGAGTCTGAACAAACCTGAGTCAACAATCTCGGTGCAGACACGATATATTTCCCACGACGAATCTAGTCCCGCCACCAGTCAACCTCGACCCTCTTCAAATACGCCTCGGCACTCGTGGCGAGCAAAAAGTAAGACTTACGGAGACCTGGCAATACTGCCCAGGAAAAAGCCTGACCAATAGGTCCTTCAATCCCGCGAGGATGTCGTACCGACTATCGATGACTTGTGGCATGTTTGGTGTTTGTTGCTTGTGAGAGGTTGCAGTCTTAAGCTTTTATGGAAGGAAAGAGAGAGCCTTTCGAGATGAAAGGTGATTATTGATGGCGAGACATGAGTGTGTTTGTCAACTGTGACCCGAATGGGATTGAGGCTGTTGAAATGGGGGCCATTGCTGCCTGGTTGCATTGTTGCACGAGGTGAGGTGAGGTTTTCTCCACCGCCTTGGGCAAGCGGGCAGAATTGCTCAGGAGAGACAATCACATGAGTCGGGGTTTTCCTTGTGGTGAGCTTTTGCTTCAATATTCGTTCTAGTGAGGTCATGGTATGGTATTCGCTCCATAAGTGGAATCTGACAATTTATTTACTACTAGTACCATAAATGTAACAGTGTCATTCCGTCTCTTCCTCTCATGCTGGAAGTATCTCATTTTGTCTCTATCGTCTTGCTTCATAATTATCCTCTCCTAAAGCTGAGACGTTGTAGAATCTCGAATCTGGTAGTGGTAACAGAATTCTCAATGGCAAGGCGGTGTACCGCGTGCGATGCAAATCGTGAGACTTAGAGGGATTGCACCAGAGATCTTTGCTTCTACTAGGCTCTCTTCACATCTGACGAGCTTTTGGGTCAACGGATTCATCTAATGATGAGTGTGAAGACCTCTTGCATGAATAGCAAGTGTCTAGCTATAAGCCCAGATCGTCGTAATAACCAGGGTTTGTTCCTTCTCTGTCCGCACAACTGTTCTACACAGACGTCGATGGTTTCGTGGCTGTTACAAAGGTTCTATGCATGTTAGCCTGCCTCCCATATGTGTATAAGTTATCATAATGCTCACGTGTAAGTATAGAGATGCATCTGATTGCTCAACAACTCATTCCTAACATGTGCAAGTAAAACCTGCAGTTCTAACTCAGACCACCCACTTCTCGTGAAGAGAGCGCTGCTGTATGCCTCCAATCCCGACTCGAGGAATTGTAACCGAAAAACAGCACCAATTCGTTTCAAGGCTTTGTTCTTCGGCCACGACCCTACGGGAACGACACGATTCATCAGACTAGCGTCTTCAAACCCCGCTTCTTCGAGCAACATGGGGATATCTTCGATAAAGTCAAGTTTCAACCCGATCGATGCTCCAATCTTATGGAACTCAGTCTACAGGGAAGTCAGTTGTGGAGTTGCGTGTCCGGAAGGAAGGGGGCCTTACAAGCCATTTCGAGGTATGGCTGTCCGGGGCCATGGTTCCGTCATCACAGTAGAAGTTTGCTCGACCTTCAGAGATTTCTATCTTCCCGCCAGGCTTGATGTGTCGGTAGCAGCGTCGGAGTAAAGCTGGCCAGTCGCGGATACCGCCTCCAAGTGTGCGGGCATGAATAAAATCAAAGTGATTCTCTGGAAATGTCCAGTCTGATGAAGCATCATCGACTTCGAACATTACATTGGGTGGCGTCCTAGATGAATGAGTAATAGTTATATCAAACAATGCTTTGCTTACCAGTTGGGTTGTATAGGACCTATGAGTCTTCAGTTAGCGGCTACATTCTACCGAGAAGCGTTGTTCTCTGGCAAGCTCACTCAAATCAGTTCCAATGACTTTCGCAGAAGGAAATGCATCTCCCACTTCAACAGTGTCAGCACATCTAGATTTGAGAAACTTTTTCTCGGGACAACTAGACTGTCAATTGCCCAGATCCCGGTGCCAGTTCCTGATCTGCATGTTAGAATGCGACTTTGTTGCCAGCCACAGAACTCACCAAGATCTAAGATATTCTGAGGATTATGCAACTTCGCCGCACAAAGATCACCCTTCAATGTCAAGCTAAATAAGTGATGCACCATATCTAATCGCTCTTGTTCAGTCTCGTCGTTTGGTAATACCTGATCTATCAAGTTAGACCTGACTTCATTCTGAAAGTCCACCTTGCACCAACATATTGGCCAGCTCTATAGGCATGGTATCGTCGCCCGTTCTCGTATGTATAATTGAGAACAGATGATCCTAACGAAGTAGTCTCGGTGTGGCCATCACCAAAGTCGGAAAACTCGTCGCTAGGGTCAGTCTATGGAAGTTAATGCCTCTTCTCAGGATCTGCGCAGAAAGAAGACATGCGTCAGCTTCGATATTCTCTGCTTGAGCAGCTAAATCTGAGTTTGGAGATAGCACTTGGTCTTCAACTGCTGGTACTGGCGCTGAGACATCTGCAGGAGGTGACGCGGGCTCTGTTCGTGTTGGCGAAGTCATATCGAGAATAACGTTGCGAAATATACGATGATCAACGAAATGCGCAAAGAGAAGCAACGACGCGACAATTAACAATTGGCCAATGTGGGGTTCACGGACCTTTTTCCATCCCGGGCTCATGGAATTCTTCAAGTGGGTTCTATCGCCTATTGGTATTATTCCCATTGGAGAAAGATACTGACAAATCGTGGAGCGGACGCAGATCCCAAAGGAGGAAGTTGAACCGGCCTCGTGGAAATCCTACGGGACGTACCCATCTTCTCACAACCGAACCGAAATATTCAAGTACTCCCTACCAAATTGTGGGATCCAACATTTATGGCTCTGCTTACTTTCACCACGCTGGCTGGCGGCGCAGTCACAACCTTTATCGTCTATTATGTCGGTCTTATTATCTATCGGCTGTATTTCCATCCCTTGGCGAAGTTTCCGGGACCGAGGATCGCGGCCGCCAGTCTGTGGTACGAGTTCTATTACGATGTTGTCTTGAGGGGTAAATTCATATGGAGAATCCAGGAGATGCACAAACAGTATGGTGAGCATGAAGTAATAGTACGGCTCCGGCTAAGCTCGATTCTAATTATTTTTAGGGCCAATTATTCGAATAAATCCAGACGAGCTGCACATCGATGATCCGGATTACTATGATGAGATCTATGGATCCACCACAAAGAAGCGAGACAAGTATGGTCCTTGGGTAGCTTTGGCTGGCACTCCTGGTGCCAGCTTTTCAACTGTTGGACATGATCATCATAAACTGCGACGAGGCGCTCTGAATCCATTTTTTTCTACGAAAGCGGTTGCAGAGCTAGAACCTGTGGTGAAAGCCAAGGTAGAGATCTTGGCCAGTCGATTTGAGCAGGCCCAGCAGACAGGAGAAGTCATCAAAGTGGATGCAGCATTCATGGCTTTGACTATGGATGTCATATGTCAATATGCGTTTGCAAACGATGATAACATGTTGTCGAAAGACGACTTCAATCTAGCGTGGAAGGAGATGATCATCGGTGCTTTTGAAGGAGGAGCCCTGTTAAGACAATTCCCTGGGATGATAGCGATGATGAATGCGGTTCCAGATAGCCTGATGGGTATCATGATGCCAAGTATGAGCTTGATGCTGGATTGGAAAGCAGGTGTGCGAAGAAGAGTGACGCCAATATTGAATCGAACAGAGAGTATTTCCGATATTGAGAATGCTTCTCATAGAACCATCTTCCACGAGCTACGCGATAGTGGCCTACCGCCGGAAGAGAAGACTATGGCTAGACTATGTGACGAAGGACAAATACTCACTGGGGCTGGGAGCGAAACCACTGCAAAAGCGTTAACGACAGCTACTTTCTATCTTTTGGAACACAAGCAATCGTTGGAGAAACTGAAGCACGAACTTAAAGATGTAGCTCCAGATGCTGACACGTCTGCGAAATTATCACAGCTTCCTTACTTGGTAATTGGTATTTATGTGGTCGAAGAAGCAAAACTAACAGATCTAGTCAGCTATGATTGCCGAAGCACTTAGGCTATCTCATGGAGTGACTACGAGATTGCCTCGCATAGCAACGGATGAGATCATGAGATACAAAGATTGGGAGATTCCATTTGGGGTAAGCTTTTTGATGTTGTAATCTGTCTACGTCACTGACGAGAGGAAAGACGCCAGTCAGCTCAACAGCATATTTCATTCTCATGAATTCTAAGATCTTTCCAAACCCAAAAGACTTCAAACCTGAGAGATGGATTGATGCTACTGGAAGGTTTGACTACGCACTCGAGAAGAAATATCTTGTCAACTTTGGACGGGGCAGCAGGCAGTGTTTGGGCATGAAGTGAGTTGTCTCCTCCCCTAAATCAAATAGGCACTGACGAGTGAAGCTTGGCGTACGCGGAGATGTACCTCACTTTAGCAACCCTGGTACGGCGGTTTGATATGGAGCTATTTGAGACTGCCGTAGAGGACGTGACAATGGTCCATGACTTCTTCGTTGCTGTTCCAAAGCTAGACTCGAAGGGTGTTAGAATCAAGGTAACAAAAGCTTCGTAACAGACATTTAAAGATAATAGCAAATATCATCTGGACTAATACAGCTTTTCTTCCTCAAAGACCTGCTGAGGATCAAAAATGACTGGAGAAGATCAGGTAAGCTTGTATCTACAGTCTTCTTACTCTCCTCCTTTTGCGGTCCGACTCTGTAGGAAGTTCCCTCACTTCAAACACATTCATACAGACATGGAAGACATGCTAGCTATTCTGCACCAGTAGCCAGAGTTGGCAAATGGATAGTTCCATATTCCAGCCAAATTGAGATTTGGTTGCGATTGCGCTCCTGACTCCATCCAGTGATGGGAATCTGTCACTTTCGCATAAAGGACAAACAAACACCTTTCCCTTACTTTAGATTATTTATTTAACCACACTTTGCACCTTGTGTGCATTGGTAAATTGTTTAAGACGTGACAAGCTTGAACTTTGCAAGTTGTGGCGGGTCTTTGATCTTAGCGAGTGAGTTCGTCGAAGGTATGATATACTTGGCCAGCGTCAACACAGTCTACCCTGTGTTGAACATAATTGCCAATACGTCTCTCTATCTGTAATATAACTATGTAGCCGATTACTAAAATTCTTTGCCATCTGTTTGTGGTCTTGTCTCGACCGAAAGACTAGCGTCACGTGCATCGACAAAGGGTGTATACCTTCATCGACGATTTCATCTTGACTTTATGCTCGAAACTATGAGATGAATGCTTGTTAAATGATGAGGCTAGTGTATAATTTGTGCTTAGACAATTCTTTTGCTTCTGCAGAATCTTCCTGTAAACATCTCCCACAACGAAACCTTAGACAACCACCACCTCGTCCGTCCTTCATCACAGCGAGCTTTCAGTCGTCAGTACCGCACACAAAAGCTCTTCCTCTTCAAAGATCTCACCTTTCGTTCTTCGGATTTGCGCCTTTCCGATCACCGCACATCTTGCAGTAAGTCTGCAGCGTCGACCCATTAATCATTGCTAATTCCTAATAGCAAGTGCTGAATACCCACATACAAGAATTCGTCACCAGCAAGATGTTCCAGAGGTATGTAAAGTTTTGGTTTCTTACTTTCTTGTGCTAATCAGCTGCAGAATCGTCAATCGAAGAACTCGCATCGACCCTGCAAATGGCAGATCATATACTACCTACCACACCGAGCAAGGATTTGGCTACGAACTTGTCGACCAGCAAACATTTGAGGTCAAGCTTCACAATGGCGAGAACTTCATTAGTCAATCCGCCTTCGTCGTTCGACAGGGCATGGGAACTACGTACACTGTGATCAAGCGTGTCCTAGGTGGCCCACCGGGTCCCAGGCCTCAGTACAAATTCTCCGTACAAAAGACACAAAATACCTATACCATGATCCCAGAGACTAGTGCTAGACCTCAATCCTCCGTCAGATATGTCGTCAGCTACGGCATGTTCGGTTACAAGGTCAGCATCTTCAGTGACGATGATTTCGAGGACAGAAGCCTCAGCCAACTGTCCGCGATCTATGCCGAAGCTATGCATGCTTTCGATGTAGGCATCTTCCTGAGTGAGCTCCAGGTAGAGAGGGAGTGGAATGCACTGCCTCCTGGGCGCGGGATCCTCTTCAGTAATTATCGAAACATCTCCACCGCGGCTGTGGTGCTTCCCCCAGATGTCGAGGCTTCTATCACTGAACGAGAAGTTGATAATGCAGCGCTGGACACAGTTTGATGAACTTATATCACCACTGTTTTCGTAGATTGGACTTGGCGCGTCCTGCACTTTGAGGGCTGGATAATTGTTGATACGGTGCTGGTTGATTAGACATGGGCATTGATGAGGACTTTTCTGCTTTTCGATTTCTGCGCTATGGAGCATGGTCACAATGACAAGTAAGGAATAAATCTTGGAGTGAATACACAATGTAAATAGACAACCCTTTCACTATACATCGAATAAGGTATACCAGCCTCCTACCTCGTCCACTTGGCAAGTGTCTCTTCTTTTCGTATGATACTATCTCGCACTCAAAAGCCATATATACAGTGCTGATCGTATTCATCTCTAATATATGAAAAATAAAAGGATGAATACTGTACACTTTTACTCAGTGGTCTACCATACGTGACACGCCCAGTCGCGTCCATCATCCTCCGCTTCTTTTGATCCCCGGCCACCAACCTTAGGACCTCATCGCCACCCTTCTGCCTGTTCAATGAATACAATACGATCCCGCTCTTCAAAACACGTCTTGTACTCGCAGGGAACTCTTCATACGCATTTGTACCGTTGGCGCCTTCTTGTAGGAATTGAGGATCCCGAAAAGTATGTCTGATGGATTAAGCCTTCTTGTCAACGGCTGCTGACTTTCTGTCTGGTTTCAAATAACAAAATCAAAACCAGCACTCAACTCATTCAAAATGCTTCAGAGGTAGGTAGTCAAGTAAGCCACTTCCCAGTTTGCGCTAAATTCTCTCGAATTCTCCTCCGTCGCTCACAAACCGATCCTGTAAGTGGCGCAGCCATCACTACCTACCGAGTTGAGCAATCCTTTACATGCCAATCCGTCGGCAACGGAGATTTCTCTGTCATGCCTCATGGTTACGAAGGCTCTGTTCGTTCCTCTAGCTTTGTCATTCGAAAAGGAACCAACAACTAGTACTCCGTCGCCAAGCATAACTTGTCTGGATCTCCTCCCCTCGCAATCTTCGTAGTCAATAAGACCAGGTCTACTTATACGATCACTCCCGGCTTTGCGTCGGGCTCTGGTACACCCAAGTATATTGTCAACAAGTCTGCTTTCGGATATCAAGTGCAAATGGCTCATGACGCTCCATCCTACAGCGGAGAGGCAGTAAACTGCGCTGAAGCCCTCATTGCCTCCGATGTTGGTATTCTGTTGGGCGAAATTGATCAGGACGAAGAGTGGAATGGTGTTTCTTCTTCTAGGGGTAACCTCTTCACCAGCTCCGGTACCCGCAATCACTTTACTGCCCCAGGTGGAGGCCTACCTCCGCATATCCAAGCCCGTATCACTACAAGAAGGGAAAAAACGCTGGGGAGGACAGTATCCGAGAATTTTTGCGACTAGTCAATTCGTTTGGTAAGGTGGTATAGCGCCATGGGTCGTAATATGGGTTCATTTGATTTCTGGAACTTTGAGATACCTTTTGCGTCTCTTGCAGTGGCCTTGGAGACACTAAGGTGTTGGCTAGATCAAATTCGTAGTGTAGACAGCGAACCTTTACTATAAACTACAACTTGAGAAACAAGGAGTGAACAAGCGAAGCACATCATATACTTTCCACATAAATTTGAGATGGGGTGTAGTTTGTTCCACGAAGAATTCTAAGTCCTTAAATATTGAGAGAAGAGAGGTATATTATTTCAGTACTTTGTCCCAGTGGCGAGTGCCTCTTGTCTTGCATGTGAAACTCTCTCTCGGGTCGTATGTACCGTGACAAGAGTGTTCGTCCTTACTAATATGAAGAATAAGATGAATACTATAGAGTCATGCCGTGGAATTCTGCTTAGTGGCCTGTGATTCTTTTATTTATCCACGCCATTCATCATCTGCAAACTCTGTGCATCTTCAACCACAAACTTTCCAACCTCAACCGCATCCTCGCTCAGCGCGACGCGTACTTCATCCATCATCAGCATCCCAGGACGAGACATCTTCCTTTCTGTCGATTCTGCAATTACGCGTCGATAGCAATTGCGCTTCTGCGTCACTAATACGGATCATTGGGAGCAAGTTAAGAATATCTGCCCGTAAGACTTTGCTAACATCCAACAGCTTCCACAAAAACCAGACAAGAAAGAGATCTATAACGTCACAATGATGATGCAGATGTATTACCTCCAGTTTGATTTAGTCTGCTAATGCTAACTATAAGTAGGATCTCCCGTCGCAACACCCAAACCGACAGCATAACTGGTCAAGAGATCACCAAATATCTTGTGCAGCAAAATTTCGAGTGCAGACCGACGGACGAGAACAATTTCGCGCTCGAAGTCTACGATCGCGGTAGCCAGCAGCGCACATCCATATTCGTTGTCCGCAAGGAGAATAGGAATGGCTACACTGTGAGCAAGCGAAACGCGTCTAGCGCCTATCACTGTAGCACTTTCTCTGTCCGCAAGAGACCCACTTCTTGCTTGGTCACTCCGGGGTTTGGCTCATGCTCAGAGAGTCCTATCAAGTACCTTGTCTCGCAGTCTCTCTCCGGATACGAAGTCGCTGCGATTCGAAATGAATCCAGCCCATCTTTAAGCAGTCAGGAAGATGAATACCACGTCGAAGCACTCAATGCTTTCGACGTAGGCGTCTTCTTGTGCGAGTTGAACTGACAGGATGAATGGGATGATTTGCCGTCATCCAAGGAAGATCACTTCGCATCTTCGACGCCTCTTCCTTTTGGATCGGGTAGTCTCTTCGCCCCCATGACTGATGCTCCTCCCGAGATTGCAGCTAGCATTGCTGCTCGAAAGAAAATCAACGCGGGAAAACGTTGAGCCGCACAATACGGGTTCAACTTGTATCAAGAGAGGACAGGTGGTGATATAGATTACTACAAATAATTGCTATTGGATGTTAGCTTACTAGGTAGATTATGGACATTGACAGGGCTTTTCTTTTTTTTTCTTTTTGCTTTCTCTTTTTGGGTTTTTGCGTTATTGAGAATGGTCATTGGGAGACATAAGACACAAACACTTGTACATAAACGAACTCGTGTAGATAGAAGAATCGTCATTGTGGCATAAAATCCGAGTGCCGTGATAGCGTGCCATTCGAACACGGTTTGGTGAGCTTATAGTCCTCAACTAAGGAGCAATTCTGGAAGCTGAAATGATTTCTTGTCGAAAATTTTCCCACTCAGATACAGGCATAATTAGTCCTTGGCAAAAAGAGCTAGCTGTGCTACATCTCTAGATCATTATACCTGTCCATATCCTAAGAGAAAGGGGGGTAGAGTAGAAGTGGGACAATATAAAGCGAAACTTAGCAGTGTCCAATTCTCTCCACAGGATCGGTCTGCAAATGCGTTAAGGCAACTCGACTCAACATCGGTGGATAGGAACCAAGTACGACTTGTTCTTGTTTAGATTTATTTATCACTAAAAGATCAAATAAACCAGAAAATACAAAGCTGCAGTAATACAGGTACTACATGTAATCGAATCCATTTATATACATTCCAGTATAGTAATTTATTTCACTTGGAACTAATATAGCTGTAAATTAAATGACTTCATCGTCTCGTATCACAATTGATTAGAAATTCGCCTTGCAGTTTTACTCCCATAGATAGGATAAATGCAGGCATGGAAAAAGGGAATCTAATGGTTCGTCAACTTGCGCTCCTAGACAAATTTTGCTTCTGCATCTGCACACTCATTACCTTCCCACAACAAATCCTATCTCAACCACGATTTTCGGCACCAATACTACATCGTCGCCGTCATCATACAATCATCTAGGCATTCTGTTTCTAAATCTTCATTCGGATTTAACGCAAACTTGTCGTTTTGCATTGATCCAGGTAGATGAACACGACATACCCATGGCACTTTCCTTTTGCTAACATTTTGCAGCTGCACTCGAATCGGGGGTAATTGTCATCACTTAAATCTCGTCATGTCTCAAACGTAATACCCGTCCTCCACATTGAAACTCTTCGTGTCACTAATTGATTTAGACTTCTCCACCAAAGCATTCGCACCGACCGTCACAGCGGGCGAGAAATCACTACTTCCACGGTCCAGCAAAGCTTTACCTACGAACGTACAAGCATTGGCGAATTCATCTACACAACTAGCCCAACTGCCGGTGAGAATCGCGTATCAAAGTTCGCAGTCAGTACAGCTAGAGGATATATGCTTAAGGTCATCAAGTTCGTTACGAACATGGGGACAAAAGTCCGTGCGTTCAGGGCATCAGAATCATGAATTTTATTAATTAATTAGCTGTAGACCAGCCACATCGCTTAATTAAGTCGTGTACCCAGAAGTCCTGCTGCTCAATAAGCCCATTGATCCATTCCTGAGGAATTTTGTCCCATTCTTCTAATACTGCTACAACCATTTGAACCTCAGTTGTTGGCTGCCTTAGGCGCCTATGGAGAGCTTGTTTTATTCTCCTCCAGCACTTCTCAATAGGATTCATATCAGGGCTAACTGCAGGATGGGG